GCAAAATAAAGAAGCCAAAGCACTACTAAGATAGCACGAACTTATATCTTAGTGCTTTCACTACAAGGATGGCTACACCGTGCACCATCGATATAATGAAGAATCAAAATGGCCTAGAGAGAGACACCCATAAAAGCCAAGAGATAAGCAAGTCGTCAACTGAGACGAAAAGAATATCCTCGATTATATGGGAGAAAATAAGTACTTCCAAGGAATTATGTGTATTGAATATAGAGTTATAGAAGTTGAGACCAAATACTAAAAGAGGGATCATCAGGGCAAGGTGATCTTTGACCTTAACTGTGAAGACGCCTCACGATAAAGATCTAGAGTGGTGGCTATTAAGAGATACTTTAGATATTAGGATAATAAAATATATATTCACGTAGAACTGGATAGAAAACAATACAACTTTTCGTTTGAAGATAAGAATAAACTCCTGGTGGATGAATTTAGTTTCGATATTGTGGAGCTTTATCGGATTATGTATAAAGACTAGAGACAAGTAATGACTAAAACGAACTATTGGCTGCAGATCGATAAGAAACCTATATTTCGCCCGTTTAGTGCTAAATAAGTGGAGCCCCGCACAGTACAAATAAGGATCTACAACAATAAAGAATGCGACAATAGCGACAAAGAAAGATATACTCACAATATTTAAGGAAACATCTAGATATATATATTCCTGAATAAAGAAAATAAAGACGCCCTCAGCGATAACAAAAACAATAAAGGGTGCACAAGTGCCACACCTAAAGAAATAGTTATATATCAACACACAAACAAATACTAAGTAGTAACAAATAATTATAATATTGCAATACTAAACACTAGGTACTAAGTTAACAGCACAGAATCAGGGTATTCAGGTATTCATCGGCGATTCTGCCCCAACAGAACCCTAAATACGCAAGAAAGAATTGTGTATATATAGAAGTGTGAAGACAGCGAGTGCGATATTAGCTTAAATGTTGAACACACGCATAATATAGTGGGTGTGGATTGTTACAAAATGCCAACAAAGGGACCTCCAGAGGAAGAGGACAGCGACATAAAAACCAACGCTTAATATAAGGTGTAATACCGAGGAGTCACTTGTGCGGTTATATTCACTCACTGATAAGTCAACATGAGGTGTTCAGCACCAAATAGATACAGGATATCGCACGCGATGGCTGACCTATACGGTATCAAGCGAGAAGAATAACAGATAGTGACGCTTTGGCGATATAAAGAATATGACAAGATCACAAAACCATATACACACCAAGTCAAGAACCAACAGGACTACCTAGAATTCCTATTTCGAGAACCCAGTGACCCAAAGAACAACGAATTCATCAGGGCCAGAGAAGTCGCAGAAAAATATAGGGTAATAAGCTGAAACGAACACAAGGTCACTATAACAATGCATTAGTGGACTGTGATAGAAGGTCAGGCCTGATTTACACTGTGAGGATACCCATAATCAGTCCACAGAATAATTGGGCTAAAACAATGCAACTGGCTAGAGTGCCCTAATGGACTAGGCAACCACACCCACTCAGTCAAAGACCAGAGAACATACTAGTTCCTCGCAACAGACCTAATAAACACGAGCGCGCAAAGAAAGAACTCAGAACAGAAAGATAAAATACTTATAATGGCTAACGCACCTAGATAGGATAGTGATCTCATTAAGTTCGTTATCATTAATGTCAACAATAAATAATTTTACATAACCACGCTGTACTGAAAACCTAGTATATATCAACAGGAAAAGTGCTTAGAAGGAACATAACATTATCATGCGAAATTTAATCTAAGTGTGGAACCAAGACAACCAAGAATGATCTAGATATCATGATACAGGGATAGATAGTGCCAATACATACCCACTATTCACGCGCATAAGCCAAACTTCAATGACAAGATAGATATCAAAGTTTCATCAGGAGTCCTGATATATATATTCGGGAAACCTAACACAGACATAAATGACCTACCAAAAAACGAATAAGAGAGAAACTTTTAAGGCGAAAGTTCTCTCGAAGAAAGAAATAAAAGCCTTAAACACAGAAACTTAATATTATATAAGAAGAAGCTTTATCACCATTAGTCTTTAAGGCTTTACTAGCTAATAAACTAGTGCAGATAATGATTAATTATGAAGCTAATCAAGACTATATATCACTATCAATAGCAGCAACAGTACTCGGTTCTGTCGACGAGAGATGTTTTCAAGACGCTTTTCCAGGTTGGCCACCTTCTATTCTTAAGCGAGCAGCTGGCGGGCAAAAACAGCCATTAGCTGGCGACCTTAGCGACACTGTTCTTTAAGTTGAGCCTTCTTTTTATCCAACCGATCGAACTCGGTCTGTGAGAAATTCCCTTCACAGGACACATTCTTACGGGTGCAAGGATCGCAGCGCTTATATCCTTTCTTGACAATACAGGTTTCGCTGGATTTAACACATTGGGGGCAGGGAGCTATCGCCTTCTCATCGATGCTGCAGATGTTTTTACCAAGACAAGTGTAATCGGGTTCATGGGAATCAGGCCGGCCGGGGCGCTATCAAGGCATCGTTAGCCATAACAAAAGAAAGGAGAAGGCGAACTTTTCAGAATGGGGGAGGCACTTACTTATGTACGTTGCGGACAATGAACGAATCTAGGAGGGAGAAAGTGTTATGAATTAGCCTGGCCACCGGCCATATATAAAGCTATGACTATAGCCACGCCTTCTAGAAGGGAAGGATTGCCAAGTGCACGGGATCGCAAAGAGGCTACAGAACAGAGGTCACGTGACCTCTATTCCTCTATTCGCTATGTTCAGACATAGTAATAGAGAAAGCAGGGAACAAGGTATATATATACATAGTCATTATATAGACTTACTATGTAGTCAACTTCGTTCACGATTATACCTATACGTTTTGGATTGTGATCACTTCGCTCAAGAATTATCGCTCATAGCTACCACGCTCTCAGGTCATACCCTATACCTCCCACTTGTCAGGAAACCATACGTGCAGTGACACCTCTGGTGGAGCGAAACGTAACACATGACTGTAAAATTAGGGACAGAAAAGATTATTATATTAAAGCTAGACTAGCAGTAAACCTAGCACTTCTCTATCTATTACCCTCTGGGTAAGGACATCAATCATTATGAAGTACTCTAGGCAGCAGAGAGAATCCTTATTTAATATCACGCAAAAGGGCTACGGAACAAACAGGGCCACAAAGCGCACCAGAAGACCTGCAATGCGCTAAGAGAGTCCACACTCAACACTACCTACCGTATAGTTAAGAATCACGCAAGTTCTCTATATGAGAAAACTGTTGCGAGTTGACCTATGGTTAGGTCAGTGCACAGGCCTCTAACAGCAGGCGGCGCGGAAAGATAGCCATGTCAGCCTTATTTTCTCAGGCCCAATATGTTGTATCCTCTCGCTCCATGTACTCGTAACGTCAATCAATATCCACATCACGATAGAGTGGCAGAACCACAACAAGATGCAATCCAGCTGGCCCAACCACACTTCCACCGAAGTCTGGCCCAGAGAAACTACACTACAGCAATCCTTTAAGGAGACAACGCGATCGATTTTAGTGAGATCAAAGAATGTGCGGAATCCTTAGCTTCCAAGTAGCAAAATTCAGCTTTCCTGATTCTTGAATTCGATATCCTTTTCCATAGCTCTGATGGCTTTGCGAGAGAGTTAAGGGAAACCCGAGAAGTCTATAGGAAGACTGCGAGATATATTTACACGATCGTTATATCGTATTACTATGTAATCAATTTTGTTCACGATCATATTTCTACATTTTAGTTATTATCACTTTTCTTCTATATATCGTTTATAGCTGCTCGATTTTAGGATCTTTCTTTTATACTTAACACCTACTAGGAGAATTCTGCAGATTAAGACACTTTATAGGTGACTATATTTCATCACTTTCCACGCAACAGCAAATTGTTAAGGCCCCTTGAACCTATAATGGAACGACCGCACTTGTAATACCATACTTCGGACACTATGTAAGCCGTCCTAGATAACTTGCTGAACATTGTTACATTTATCAAAGTCTCGATCCCTCTCTTCCTAATTGGCATGCTTCTCTCTGTTAATAATTAATACCGCTAGGCCGAGTTCATTGTGGGGTACCTACGAGCCATTTTTGTCAAACTATGAGAGGTTGAAAAGGTTTCTTGTCCTCGATAGAAGGGTTTCAGGGGAGGCCTAGACTATATAGTTGTCTAGCTATCTATAGGTAGCCAAGGAATGATCGGAGGGGGCTGGTAAAGCTTATAGTGAAACCTTCATCTACCCCAGATTCTGACAATTCTCCCCGGTGAAGGTGGTGGATAGCCCACACCAGGGTTTCTTTAAGACAGCATTCGATATAAGACGGATATTGCTCTCTACTCTGTCAATGAGCTAGTGGTTTATCGGGTCGAGTCAGGTCAGCTTGTAGCTCTGATTTTGGCGACGAATGCGAAATTTGTCCTTAAGGCTGCTGTATCACAGCCTGAAAATGGCGTTGATGATGACTCGAATACACTAAAGTATTTACACGACGCCGTGAATAGATTGGGACAAGAGTACACGAGGCACAAGTGATTACCGGTGCCCCTTGTCGAGGTTCAAGAATAACCGTCTCACCACCGCTTAGAATTACCTCTGAATCATTTAAGCCTGCCATTCTATTATAACCCTTCTATCAACAGGTAGAGTGATAGCGTAGAAGAAGTCGAAGTATTTCTATTTAGGTGTTACTCCTTCTATAAACTTTCAAGTGTAAGAAGAGACGATCTCCTTATACGAAAGATTTACGTGAAAAGTGCGAAGCTTCTAAGTCTAGGTCCGACAACAAGATCCCTGGACAGCAACTCTACTAGCCTCCTACACTGAATTATTGCCCTTGGTCAACACAGCTTTTAACTTGATACTGAATTCTGATATATACACCACTCTATTAATCAGGAGTATTATACTCCCCAAAATTTATAGTCACCAATATTGAGCATAGGTAGACTTGCCGTCTAAAACCTTCACAAACTCGGCGGCGATAATTCGACTTGTTTGTTCAGATGGGTGAAGGTTATTGCGCCACATAAAACTGTCTGGGTTTTGAGCACCATATTCTGTCTCGATAGAGAAACCTGTCACATTTGGCGCTGCAGAGCCATTAAGATAGAGCCCTGGGTTATAATATAGGTGGGTCAATAGAGAATTGACGTCAAAAAGAGCAACCCTGGCCCCTGGATACCTCATAGACACAGTGAATTCGTATAGCGTCTGGTATCTGAAGATATTGTTGATAGCCTCGGTCATGGATAGCTCCCGACCCGCCATCCAAGAGTCCTTTATTCTCTCTCCGCCACTCGACGTCGTGTTCGCATGGGCTGGAGCTAATTGTAGAGGCGCCGTATTCATCAGAACAAAAGTTCTTGCCCCAGCGGCATACAATGCATCAAAAGACCTAAAATTGCATTCTGTAAAGTCAAGTAGCGTTTTTCCATACACCTGATCATCTGAGAGGTACGCGAACATTCCAAGGTCGTTAACACCGATCCAGAGTGCGAATACAGCATTAGACGGCGTAATTGGTGGTTGAAAGAAAGGCTCTGTGGTGTCGAGCCTTGTGGCGTTCATATCATGAATGAAAGATGGTACTCCTCCTTCCAACACTGATACCCCTTTTGGGCCTCTCGCAATGAGTTCATCCGAACACCATGAGCCACCGAAAGCGTAATTGTATAGGGTGATTTGGGGTTTCCACTGCATAGGGTCTGATGAACCAGCATACTGAACAACATAACGAGCCCAAACTCTGCCGCCAACAATTGTTCGAAGATTCTCTCCCAAAAGAGTGCCTGGTTCAGGTAATGTGGAGTTGTGGGCGTAGAAATACTCGTATCTGCTCTCGCCTGTCCAACTGTCCCCAAAGGTGATGAATGACCTGAAGTTCTTTATGTTCCAACGACGCTCTTCGAAAAGCTTTATTTGGCGTACCATGAGAACTGCGAACACACTAGCGACGAGGAATAAGCTGGTTACCACCAAAGCGATCCAGGTGCGTCGGCTTGACCGCGGATGTCTGTATAAGAACCCCTCTGGCGATTTGTCGGACATCAATAGAAGAGGTTGATCGGCTGACTTTTCTGAGGAATGCGCATATCCCATCTCAAATCCACGCTCACATAATCGTGAAGCACGGTCTTCACGGTCCTCAGCCATAGAGACTAGTGTTGCGCAGAGGATCGACACGAGACACGCGTGGGCTTGAGAGGAGAAAACATAAAGGAAGACCTGCGCACAATGGACACTCGGAGTTTCTATAACCCCAAAGTCGGCAGAGTTATGCGGCCGGCCTGTTGTCAGTGCAAGAGTCGGATTTCCCCTTCCTTGGGGCCTTGCCGCTCGCGAGGAGATTTAAGCAAGAACCCAATAGGCAGAACTCCCAATTGTGATCTCCCCACAGAACATTAGGTGTCTTTTAGAGGCGAACTATACTGCCGGCGATAAGAACAGATATTTCTTAGACGAGCTTTTAGTCAAATTTCCAACAAGGTTGACCGCGACTGCTCTAGAAGAGCAAAGTCCACCTTGGGGACACGTTCTCGACCCTAGAATATTTCTCACCTGGCCCATGCACCCTGCGCGCACGGACACGTTGAGGCCGATCGGAGTGCGCCACTACACCGTGCGCCTGTGCTTCGCATCTAGCCTCTGCCACGCGGCCAACGCCGCCAGATTCTGAGGCAGAGAGGCTAGGCCTGGCGAACAGAGCAATAATTTTCGTATCCCTACTCTATCCACACACTCTCTTCGCAGAGGGCGAATACAGATTTCCCTAGACTTTTGAAGCTATTGGCTTCCAGAATCCGTCTCATGTTTAGGTTTCGGACGTCACAGATTGCATGAAGCGATGCCTGGTCGTGCTAGTCCGGAGATAAGATATAGCACAAGAACACGGAAAGTGCACCCCTTCCGGAGTCTCTTCTCCTGGACTCAGGATCTAGAGATCCGGAGATTTTAAACTTTTGCTGCCTCCATCAAGGACATTCAAAGACCTGGACTAGTCTGTTTTCAGTCCTACCGGGGTCCCATTGCGTCCTCGATACCTAGGGACATCAGCCAAAATATTCCTCATTCTAAGACAGTGGCTTGTCCTGGATCTTTCTTTCCAACAACCCGCATCAAGCACTGTGCCACATCACTTTCTAATCGCTCCTAACTGCTTATTAACGCGGTAGTTTCTTTATTCTGGGTCCTGTGGTGGTTGTTTTCCGCAAGCCCCTTCACAGGCTCGGATACAGATACATCCCTCCCTACTCAGGCTTCCGTTTGAGTCAAGGACGACATCTTCCTACCGGTACAGAGGCAAGGACAGGAGTTGCTTGTTTTTCTACTTCTGCAAATATCGTTTAATTCGCTTCTCTGCTATAAATTCCGAACAACGCACTGCAACATGGGCTCGAGTTCGCAGACAAACCCAGCATGGTCAACTAGCAGAGCATCCAGAAAGTATCTTTTGTCCTGCATGGTAGCAGTGATCACTTTGACACTCTCATTCGCGGCCTTGTATGCCTCATCCAGCTCAGACGACTTCACACACTTAAAATCGAGTCGGGCGAGCCTAGACAGATTTGTCCGCAGAGACAATCTTGGCGACGTTTATAACAGCACACTCGGTGTGAGTATTTCCGTTACCTTTTCGGTTTACAGATAATTAACCCGACACCATCAGTTTCAGAAAATCTTCGCAATTAATCTGCCAGAGCGATCTGACAAGGCCGATACAATGTTACTTCAAGCCAGTCTGACCAATTTCACCCTGGATTTCGTTGATGGAATCCGCGGGGAGAATGTCAGTCCTAAGGCGCTACCTCTTGTAAGTTACAAGGTTCATTGAAGCGAAAGCATGAGTGGCTAAGTATTTCAGACAATGAACCAAGGAAATGGCAGTATCGGCTGCTGGAGGGCTCATCTGAATGTTTGGAAGAGGTAGGCAGCCTTGCACCTTTTTTCCACTCACAATTAACTTTGTTCTAGAATGATCCAGGAAAACATTGAAACTGCATTGGTTTTTGAGGACGACTCGGACTGGGATATAGGCATCAAGGCTCAATTGCATGAGCTCGCTAAAGGGTCTCGCTTCTTACTTGAGACCGGCTCCCAGACCCCCAGGTCACCATACGGAGATGGCTGGAGCCTCCTGTGGATTGGGCACTGTCACACAGATCCCAACATGACTGACCCAAGACGATGGGTAATTCCTCATGACCCTACTGTACCACTCGCAGGGTATCGCTCGCAATTTGGCGGGCACAACATGACTCGTTGGGCTGAAGGTGACAATCCTGATCCTCAAACACGAGTCGTCTACTTCCAGGATTTTGCCTTTTGCACCTCGGCCTATGCTGTCACCCGCAGTGCCGCCCAGAAGATGCTCTACAAACTTAGCATGATCCCATTTAGCCTCACCGTCGATGGGGGCATGGGAAACATGTGCAAGGGAGACCTGCACGACTTCAGATGTATCGCGCCTTATCCCCGCCTGATCGGAAGGTCCACGCCACCAGGTAGCATGGCTCGATCAAGCGACATTCAAGGTGGCAACGAAAGTGAGGATCCAGTGCTCTGGGAGGCTCTCTCTGAAAACGTAATGTTTTCCGTTCGACAAAATCTTCAGCCTCTGCTCAACGGCGAGTCAGTATTTAAAAGCAACTTTCCAAATCCGTCGGGTGATGAGCTGACCTTGGAGCAAATTACATCGTTTAAGGGCCATATTGAGTATTTGGACCAGCCACCATCATCATTAAAGGGTCGAGAATAAAAAGATCTTCCTTTGGAGTTTGGGCTCAATCGAGATACTTTTCACAATATTGACACGAATAAGGCAGAGTTAGACATCTATATCCACTGATGATTCGAAGACTAAGCATGAGAGGAAGATACTAAACAGCAGCTTTAAACTTACGAAAACTGATTTGTTTTGAGTATGAGGGCTTGTTCATGTCGGCGATTCCTTAGATATAATATCATTATTCTGCACCATTAGACTCGTCACTATATCGCGCACTCAGATTCAGGGCGTCCCGAATTTTATAGATTAGACCTTTGCCACCTAAGATACAATACTAGTTAATTGAGTTCGCAGTAAATCTCGATTAGGTTCTATGTGTGGAGATATTCTCCATTGCTACCAGATCGAAGCTACCCGTGGGAAAGACTTCGATCAAAAGGAGAAGACTAAAGAGTTTGTTAATGAAAGCTCTGAAGAAACTAGAAAAAGCAGATATTCATTAAATATCCTGGTGGATTGCTTGTTCTAGTGTATAGAAATCACTTCAGTCTAGATTGGGATAAAATAGGAATGATTATTAGTATTAGCTTCTCTTGCACCCCAATCTCTAGAAGGAACGGGGAATTATTTTAGAAGCGCCTCGAAGATAGCTTTCTTAGTGAGGCCTTGACAGACATGTGTAAATATCAGCAATCGGTGAATGCCGGCATAATATCGTTAGCCACACTGAAACCGTGCTTAGATAGATGGTACTCTTAAGAGGAGATCAGCTGCTTCGCTGAAAGCCTACTTCAGCCAATCTCGAGATACCGTCTTGACAAACATGTCAAAGGTTCCTAAATACGTCCATCCACTCCACATTTTGACGCTGATGAGGGTTAACCTTGACTCTTCCTGAATTAGTGATAGTGGCTGAGACAGCCATTTACTCTACACAGGAAGGTGATAAAAGCTTATGAGTTTCGAGGTTTCGTAGGCTTACCTCGCCACGGTGCGAGAGATTCAATAGATACAATGTATAGAGCAAACCCTCTATACTTATTCTCCGGTTTCTGTGTCGCGGTATTCTGGTGCCCTCTTAACTTCTAAATATCGACTTCTAATTATCTATCTCAGGACTATATTGTAGTAGGTTGAGATGTGTGAGCCCCTCTCTAGGGAGGCGATCACTATACAGTGGGCTCAGGGCCAAGCAGACGCGAACAACTAGATCAAGAGGCCTAGGCAAATGTTTTTTCTTTCTTTTCATGCATATAGTACAGCCCGAGGATAGCATGTTCACATACAATCAATCAGTCAATCAAGCAATAGTCGAAAACAAGCAAGTAAGATATACGTATAGAGAAGCGTGTATAGTCAACATGCGAGTACATAAGTTGTGTACAGAGTGATGCGAAGAGACAGCAGATTTCGGTCAAGTCTACAGCGTTCCCTACAGATTCTCAGTACGTCGCGCACTCCAACGCATGATTAATTGTGTTCTAGAGCATTCCGAGGAGTGTTTAAAGAGGATAAACAAGTGTTCCAGGGAAAGAAGAAGTGTTCTATAAGTGCATCTCGACCCTCTTCTCATGTTGCCTGATTGATAACAGCCCTGTGCACCTGGTGCTTCCCCCTTTACTCCTGTTATAATATTAATAGCCAATCTTGGTGATATCTATACTTTAGCAAAAACATAGACTAGTTAAGTGTGTTTTGGCCTATACAAGATTTTGGCTACACTGATATCTTTAGTATCATGATTATGGCTAGTCTCGCGCGTTCTTAGACACTCTCTGGATAGTTGTGCTAACACAAGTAGTGGATATAAACCAAGAGTTAAATCAGTCGCTAAAGATCAAGAAGAGCTCTATGCTCTTTCCCAAGTTATCGTTTATAGAGTATTACTCTGAGGATAACAGTAGAGACTAAACTAAATTCTAAACAAATTTAGTGATCGTGACTTAATTAAAAATTGATTGTGGAACTTTTGGATAAGAAACTTATAAGTAGTAATACAGTATAGTGCTAAGAACTGAAAATTTGTGAGCTGACTAAGGGAATATATTGTGATATATTGGCGATTATATTCTCTCGCGAGATATTTCGAAGAAAACTTGAGAGCTTATTAAAAACAGGCTAATTAGCGAGCCATTTTTTTCGGTGTATAGTAACTCAAGCTGCCTAGAAAATATCTAGAAAAATAGTTCTTGATACTGATCTCTTTGTATAGCTAAAAAGCTGTATAGCCTCCATCTATAGGCAGGCCTATACCCGTCACCCAACTACTATCTTCTGAGACCAAGAACAAGGCAGCTTTGGCAATGTCTTCTGGTCTTCCCAGTCCTCGAAAAGGGTGGAGAGCTTCAACTTGAGCCTTCTTTTGTCTCTCAAGCCCAGCTATGAAGGCTGTATCTGTGTCTGTGCTATATTAGTTTCTGGCCGTGACAGAGACCATGGGTACTAAAGAAGAAAACTACTCACATCCAGGACACAGAGCGTTCACATGGATTCGGTGCGGCGCACAGTCCCAGGCCGATACTTTGGTCAATCCGATCACAGCATGCTTAGATGCAACATAGCCAGCGACACCGGGTGACCCGACTAGGCCGAAAATACTTGCAGTATTCAATATCCAGCCTCTGTCGCCGCACGGGAGAGGGTCTTGTTTGATCATCTGGGCAGAAGCATACTTGCATCCAAGAAATACTCCCATCACATTGATATTCAAGTCCATCTTAAAGGTGGTTTGGTCGAAGCTCCAGATTGGTTGGGGATCTTTGGCTTCACTCGCAATCCCGGCGTTATTGACCATTCTTACCGATGGAATGTGTCAGCTAGGCTTTCATGAAAAGTTTGTGCAAGGTCGAACCCCGTTGCGAAGTAGAAACCGCGATTAGTGACCTACATATCTAGTCTGTCGAACTTGTCGACAGCATATTTCACCAACCTCTCTTGTTCTTCGCCCTTGGTGACATCGACCTTAAAGAACTCAGTAAGGCCACCTTCTTTGGTGATCAGATCGTGCGTCGTAATGGTCAGCTCGGAGGCAATCTCTGCCCGGGCTTTCTCGGCAATATCTGCACAAATCACTCTGGCGCCATTTCGAGCAAACTCTAGCGAAATAGCACGGCCTATTCCGCTAGACGAGCCGGTCACTATGGCTATCTTGCCGTCAAGTCGTCCCATGGTCAACAATGCTTTCAGTAAACAATGAGAATACAATTCTATCCCTTTGTCGAGAGCGATTATCCAAAGTTATGGCAATTGCGGGGATCGATCATTATTATTGAACAATGTAAGCTGGGGTCAGCACTCTCAATTCAGCCGAGGGAATGAAATTAACATAATTAGGCTACGCAATCCCCACAAAATGAGCCGAAGCGATTGTCTGGGGCAAGTATTTTCTGGGGAAAAGTGATTTCTAGGGCAAGTCTGCCGAGGTATATCGGTTAGTGATAGTAAGACCTCGGTTCCCAACCGTCGCCCTTCTTATATTCAACAATTATAAAGGCGATTTGGTTCGTTGATAGAGACTACTTATACTACCTCTCACATAGAGAACAGTCTTCTCAAGTGAACGCTTTTCGATCTCGGCAAACTTAGTGGACATCAAAATGGCGGAAGGAGGCTGCTTGTGCGGAAACATTCGGTACAGTTATACGGGAGAGCCCGTGGTTCAGGTAAGTCTTGGCCGAACTTTAGTAGCTGTTTTCAAACACGGCCTTGACAGCATCAGAGTTCTGATGGACGAGATAGGCTCTTTGCCATTGCGGCGATTGCCGCAAGATTAGCGGCAGCGCGTTCAGCACCAATATCTTGGTTCCTGAGCAAAATCTCAATCTCGTCAAGGGCACGCCAAAAGTGTATGAGAAATTAGCTGACAGCGGGAATAAGATAGTCAGTTATCTGTGTGGTGATTGCGGGAGCACTTGCTATCGACAGGGCGAATCATTCCCTGGTTTCACCATTATCAAGTCTGGGACTTTGGATGACTTTTATATCCATCCTACTCTTGAAGGATATGCAGACGCAAGACCTAGCTGGCTGAGCTGCGTGGATGGTACGAAGCAAATACCTGCTCCTAAGTATAAAGATTGTTCCAGCTCATAACCGCGATCGTGATGGATACTGAATAGATTGTCGCAAAAGTTTTGAGTATTACATGTATATTGTTGACTACACATAGTTCATCATGTTCGAGATGATGTCTACCTGCCAGAAGTCTGTTACCATTAGTCTGGAACCGACCTACTAGCACACGCCTCAAAGCGAGGAACCTATTGCCTTGATTGACGTACATGGAGAACTTCAGAATGATCCCAGAGCCCTCCATCTCGTGATGGTCAATACTAGAGTCATCTGTTAGCTGCGGAAGCTAGGTTGCCCTTGATAGTTGGCTAAGATCACGCTCCCACAGTTTCAGCCGCATCAACAGACCGCTGGTATAGAATTTTCATATAAGTGACCTTCGCTCTTCGTCACTATTCAGTAGGCGTAGAATAAAGTTGTCTCGTCCGAACTCTGCCGGATCTTCTTGTTAGTCCTGATGAGCCACATCTTCATGACCCAAGCACCAGCAGCAGTGGCGACTGAAAAAGCAGCGGAACTTGACATTGCAATAGTGTAGCGCGGGGCATCAGTCTTTGGCCAGAGGTACTAAGAACCACCATTAGCATCCTGTTTTCGAATTTTCATATCCTGTTGGGTGCACACTTACAGGAGTCCAGATGAAGGAAACGCAAGCTATTGTGTTTACAATGGCAAGGGAACTTGCTTTCTTCTCCTTGGTTTGTCCGCAAGTGGCTCCGACCCAGCCAAGAATGATCGAGTTGACGGCGTAGGTGCCAATAGAGAAGACGATCATCGCAAAGTATCTTGCTCCGGTATTGAGAGTGGCGCAGCCCACGACGAAACCAAGACATGCAACTGCCTTGGCGGTTGTGATGTGCCATGTACGTTCGTTAAACCGTCCAGAGGAATAAGACCAGTACACGGAGATAAACCCTGCGATGAGATAAGGTGGGCAAGTGAGAACGAGGGTGATGGTGCGGTTGAATCCCAAGGACTGAACGGCAGTGGGGAAGAAGTTTTTGAAACCATTGGCAGCAAGATGCATATGTTGCATAAAGGCGAAGAGCCAGAGTTTGGGATCCTTTGCAGCTTCGAGGAGACCCTGTACGGTAGAGGTTGCGGCCTTGTTACCCACTGTATCTTTCTCAATTCGTGCATGAGCTAGTCGACGCTCTTCCTCAGACAGCCATCTGGTTTGGAGTGGGTGATCTGGAAGAGTGAAGGCGGCACCTAGAGCAACGATGAAAGTCGCGATTCCTTGGATAATGAAAAGCCATCTCCAGCCAGCGAGGCCTGCGAAGCCGTCCATCTCAAAGATCCCTAGCGCAATCAGACCCGCAAAGGCGGTCGCCAGAATGTTGCCTGTGTAGAGAACTGAGATTCGGGTTGCGATCTCTTTCCGAGTATAGAAGCAAGATAGCAGGAAGAGAGCTCCAGGATAGTAAGGCGCTGGCATCATGTTAAAGACCCTACTTTCGAAGTCTAGTAGAGTGGATGTGCTTACCTTCTGTGATTCCGAGAAAGAATCGAGTGAGCAAGAGTCCGGTGAAGTTCTTGGAGATCGCGGTCAGAGTCGATACCACGGCCCATAGAGCCATACAGCCAGACATGTAATAGGATGGCTTGACTCGAGTCAACAACATGTTGGAAGGAACCTGGCCAAGAATGTAGCCAACAAAGAGTATCGATACGCATGTCTGATATTGTGTGGAGGTCAAGTTGAGGTCCTCCTCCAGATCGTTCAGGCGAGCCAGGGCAATGGCATTGCGGTCCAAATAATTCAACCAGTACATGAGCCAGAGAGTGGGTCAAGACATAGTTGAGTTTATTTGAGGTGGTTTTAGTGTAAACAGTTATTCGCGGGTCATCGAATTAAATAACATACTTCACTACTGGTTTCAGAAACGGTCTAATGATTTCAATTTGTGCATTGCCGCCTTAGTCATGAGGTGGAGTGCTTACACTTTCATGTTATTATTAACTCTAGTTTTAATACCTCTTTTTGATATATTTTTAATTTTTTCATATTCTTCTTATAATTTTAGATCTTCAGTAGAGGTACGTTTATTTAAAACACGTATATTTTTAAAAACATTAGAATCAAACAAAAACACAACAAATTAAAGTTGAAAAAAGTGATTTGAACACTTGACCATTCGCGTGTAAAACGACTGCTCTACCGCTGAGCTACTTTCTCTGAAAGTTTGTTTTTTATTTATCATATTATTTAATTTTTCTCTATTTATTAATTGTTTTTTGTTATTAAAATTTTAAAAACATTAGAATCAAACAAAAACACAACAAATTAAAGTAGAAAAAAAAAGCATAAAAACTTAAAACGAACTATAAACTTAAAGTTTATATTTTAGATAATAAAACTTTATTATTTAAGAGCATTTACAACCCAAAAATTATTAATTTTAAAAAGAATGCAATACATAAGTCAAAGTCCTTTAGACCAATTCACAATAAGAAACTTCTCTTTAACTAACATAGGTTTATATTTAATTATAACAACAATTATAATATTTATGCTATATATTTTAGCAACAAATTATAATATAGTAACACCAAATAATTGATCTATATCAATAGAATCTATCTTGATGTAAAAATATATTCTGATTTTGTATATAATAATCATCTTTATCTAAACAATTATTATATTTTAAAACTTTGTCATGATTCAAAACATTAGAAACAACAAAAATTGTCTTATAAATAATAATAATTCTAGTATCAAAAATGTAATTCAGAATATTGAAAATAATGATCAAGTGATTGCTAATAATAATCATATATCTGTCGAAAATCTAACTCAAAACATGATAACATGTTACGAATCGGCCTGCGAGCAGGCCGCATACAAAGCTATGACAACAGCCAGGACAAGAGAGAAAGCTATACCGGGAAATCACATGTAAAGAACCACAGCACGGATCACGTGATACGCTTAGCCGGCTCAGCCCTGGGGACGCTAAGCACCGCTAAGCACCACTCGAGAATACTTAGACGTGCTCAGTGTGCTTGGTCTAAGTATCACTAAGCGGAACTGAGTAGTGATGGATATATATACATGGTCGTTCTATAGCTTTACTATGTAGTCAACTTCATTCATGATTATATCCATATATTTTAGACTATAATCACTTCGCTCTAGTACTCACTCAAGTACTTCGTTCTTAGCGACCTCGCCTTCTATACTTCCCACTTATTAAGGAACGATATGTGTAGTGACACCCCGGGTGGAGCGAAATATAACACTTTAACTACCACTTAATTAGAAGTATTCGACACGATGTCCAGCTCCAAAGCTCCTATCCGCTCATTATCCCCTATTGGGTCGGTTCGGTCCGCCGCGCCGGGCGCACCCACACCAGGACCCACCTCCACTGTCATCTCTAGCTATGGCAACTATAGCAATCACGGCAAGGACAATACCAAGGTTGACGTGTTCTATGGATCTCGTGAAAAGTTGAGACTGTTCGTCACTCAACTTATCGCGACTTTCAAATTGAATCGCACTAGGTATGTCACCCATGAAGACAAGGTCTTATTCGCGGGACTTTATATAAGGGGATCAGCCTTCTATTGGTTTGAACCTATCATGATGGACTACATGACGTCCCCCAAAGGATAAAAGGACCCGGAAACCATTGCCATTTTCTCCAACTTCGCGACATTCATGGAACGACTCAAGCAAATGTTTAGAACTCTAGGGGAGGAACAGGCCGCGGCCCAACAAATCTACCAACTCAAGCAGAAGGGGTTAGCTGCGCAGTACTATGCCTTGTTTAAGAGGCTTTAGACTAAACTGGACTGGGACGACAATGTACTTGTCGCTGCCTTCTACACTGGCTTAAAGGACAATATCAAAAAGGAGTTGGGACCGGAGAGGCTTGACACATATCAGGGGTTAGTTAATAAAGTCATCGAAATTGATAACTGGCTATACGAGTTAGGATTGGAGAAGAAAGAATATCATGAAAAGACAGGTGGCATGTACTACAAGGGCAAGCGCACTAACTACCAGTCTTATAGTGATCCGATGGATCTTGATATTGTTGAACGAGGCCGGTCCTTATAACCGAAAGGCAAGTTCCAACGCAAGGGGCTATTTAACAAGGAGCGAGAACGACGCAAGAAAGAAAACCTGTGCTATAACTGTGGAAATCCAGGACATAGGGCTAATGAGTGTGGTATAAAGCCCATAGAACTGTATATAATTGAAGCTGGTATTGGAGAAGAAAAGGCCGACACTTTAATTGAGAAAGAACTCGAGCGCCTAAGACTTGAGAGTAAAGAATAGATTCGGGGATTGAGGAGCCTAGAATCTAAAAGACAACAAATGATGAAGGTATATCTGGATGGCCTTAAGAAAGACAACTCAGAACAGACTAATCGCGTCGAGAGAGCATAGAAGAAGAATTCCGAAGGAACCTAGACGAAGGGAGCGACTTCAGTATCACTGTTAATAATCAATGGTGAAGAGGTTATCGATATCGTAGGAATCTATTCTGGCTGAGGTTAACAGAATAAAATAGCCACGGCACGAAAGACCGATAAAGAGCGGCCAAAACACGCGAACTTATTATGGACAGCCTGCCACGATGATAACTGCTCTATTCACTACTCTAACAAGCAGGGTACAGAATAGTTCCCTCATGAAAAGAAGTGCAAGAATCGTTAAAGCAAAAAATCCAAGAGAAAGGAAGTCGACTGAGAAGAGCCTGAAATAGTGGCCATGGTAGAAGCGAGATTATCATTATACGAAATAATTAGCGTCGGATACAGGTTTGCACGGATCAGGACTCGTTATTAGGAACATGACATTAACGGGGCCGTGTTTAGCCCACACATTAATGTTAAGCAAGACTGGATATCACTAAGGCTGAAAAGGTGCTTCTGGTAATGCAGTTTTGAAGAACTCTATATCCACCTGGCAGAAGGAGAACAATACCAGTTCCCGTTTAAACTGCTATGGGAATGGACCCTAAGCCAGATAAACTAAGAAGTCGCAAGCACCTATAACCTTATAAGCAGAGCGGAAACGCTGATGATAGTACAAACACATTATTAGACCAGAAGAGAGGACAGGACCTTCTTGAGCCTATATCGGGGAAAACAGCTAACAAAGCATGTCCTCATCATGCGTATCTATCAAGAACCTAACTACATCAAGGGGTTCCGTCTATATACACACGATATATAGGGAATGCCTATAATCCATTATTTTCCATTCGATAACAACTCCAATAAGGAAAACAATAAACCTAGCGACCAAGAAGAAGACAAAACATTCGTCTAGATGGAGTCTAACATCTAGAGAACAGCTACACCAATAATAGGGACACGATACAAAGAAAAATATAGAATAATTGCCAATTATAATAATGTGGCAGTACTCATAACAAAGTACTGAAAGAACATATTATGCACCCAAGTATATAGAAGGGGTTGCGCCACGAAACACAAAAGATTTGATCCTAAAGGAAGTTCGAGGAACAAGGAAGATTTAGTACCTATGACAAAATATGAAGAAATATATAAAGGATCCACTCACACACACGATATACTAGGGGAGGACCATTACGATTTTATATTCGGCGAAGAACTGAACTCAAGCGACTCTAAGCCTAAGTGTAATATCGTGTTGTTCCATGGGTACTATCACGCGGTTATCAAGACGCCGAACTAAATCTACTATAAGGAAGGAGTACTCGAGATGTGTATAGTCAACAATGGGCTTAAGCTAAACTATGCTTAGAAGTAGAAGAAAAGGAGGTTGATATCTATATAGCGATGCTTTAGGTGTCTAGGCCTAGCTCTTTATACACATTAAACTGATATCGGAGAACCCTACTTCTTCTCATTCAAAGAACATAATGATCTAACCCCAAAAGAGATCGACCAAGACATGACGAGACACTATATTGAAGAAGAAAGAACGAGAGACATTATGGTTATAAGAATATATCATTAAGTCTAAACAGTAAAAGGGGTCCAGAGATACAGCCTCTACACTAACCTAAATGCCCACTAGGTTTCTATAACCTTATGCTTATGTCACGATAAGTGGTGTCTATACAAGGGAGAATACACACACAATATGATTAAGAGCGAAACACACTACCTACTATATAAGTCGAAAGATCTCATGGTAATTGGTACCCCTGAAGAATCCAATAAGAATAACTCGTTCAAGTTTATCGTTATCAAGACAACTAAAATACACCTCTGGTTCTTAACCCCGTTTTGAAGACCAGTAAAATATGAGCAGACAAACTGCCTAAACAGAGTATCACATTACCACCCGAAGTTTGACCCCGAAATAAGCGAAAAGAATAAAGTCCTTATATTAGCCAAAAAGTAGTGTACTAACACGACATACATCCATGCACCCAGGATACACGCATATCTCACGACAAAGAATGTGATCGAACCACCGATCGAGGTGCTTCTACATGTTTTCGGAAGCAGGGATATAACCATGAACAACATGTCAAAAAACTAGGCGGAGAATCTATCATGAGGCGGAAGGTCCCGCGCAACAGAAAAAAGCCTCGGAAACGCCATATCAATATAGTACAGACTTAGTGTTCAACGTCATTGGTCTTTAGCGCCAGACTAGCTAATAAGCCTGTCCAAGTAATGATCGATAGCGAAGCAAGCCGAGACTATATATCACTAAAAATAGTAGCAAGACTAAATAAGTAACGGAAAAAGAATCTATACCCGGTCTTTATAGTAGACAAGACACTAGGTGAGTATGATGGTGGATAGATACGATAGAAGATTCGCGACATCTATCTAGAGATTAGGGAGTATAGAGAGCAGGTCGAGCTTAATATAATATCAATTAAGTATGATATCATTCTAGGGATAAAGTGACTAAAAGAACACTCATTAGTGATAGACTAAAAAGAAGAAACCTTGTTCTTCTTAAATTGCAATCACGGGAAGATAAAGAGAAAGAAATAATTAACTTTTATTGTACCTCTATAAAGGGCGATATAGATATAATCTAGAAGAAGGGCCTTAAACGAAATACGAGAGAAAAGCCTATCTAAGGAATATAAGAACTTCGCAGATATCTTTAAAGAAAGAGAAGGCATGGCCACGCTATTAGAGCATAAGCCATGGGACTATAAAATAACACTTGAAGAAAGGAAAGTGCTAAAGCATAACGGTTAGCTTCGACCCTTATCCCCAAAGGAAGAAAGCTTCCTTAAGGAGTACGTAGAGACTCACTTAAAGAAAGACTTTATTTAACCATCCAAGTTATTCATAGCACACAGTGTGCTGTTCGCCCCAAAAAAGGATAGATCTCTTCGACTATACATTGATTTTTGACCACTTAATGCGATCACCAGAAAGAACCAATACCCACTACTCTTGATCAAGGAGCTGCAGAACAGACTTCTTGATGCAAAATACTTTATCACGCTCGATATACAGGACGCCTACTATCGAGTACGGATGAAGGAAGACCATGAATAGATAACAACTTTCAAAATCAGCTTTAGATTATATAAATATTGTGTTATACCGTTTAGATTAACCAACGCCCCGATATCTTTTCAGGAACTAATCAATAACACACTACAAGAATATCTCGACAACTTCGTAGTTATATACTTGGACAATATATTTATATTCTCGAAGACATATAAGGAATATATACAGCATATTCGAAAGGTTTTAAGGAAACTTCAGAAAAAGGATCTACCATTAAAACTTAGCAAGTATAAGTTCCACAAAAAACGGATTCGATTTCTAGGCCACATTATATCCGATCAGGGTATCGAAGTGGATCCCGATAAAATAGCGCCAATTAAGGACTGGCCAGAACCCAAGAATATCACGAAAGTACAGTCTTTCGTTAGACTACTCAACTACTACTAAAGATTCATTAAGGGATTTTCGAAGATCGCAGCGCCTTTGATGAACCTTACCAAGAAGGACGTTCCATTTAAGTTTAGATTAGAATGCAGAAAGACATTTAAACGCCTCAAAGAAGCTATCATGACGGCGCTAGTACTTGCGATATTTAACCCTGAGCTGGAATGCTAGATAGAGATAGATATATTGAACGAAGCGATTAGAGCCCGCCTCACGCAAAAAGGGCTAGATAGTAAGACTCAAATAATCGCGTACTTCTTAAAGAGAATGATAGGGCTGAAGTTAAATTACGATATCCACGATAAGGAATTACTCGCTATCATGGTATATCTCAAGGAATGAAGAGTATATCTTAAAGGCGCTAAGTATTAAGTTTAGATCTACACTAATCACAAAAACCTATTATACTGGATAACCACAAAAGAACTTAACCATAGACAGGTTCAGTGGGCCGAAATATTGGCATTATATGACTTCAAGATACATCACATTCAAGGAAAAGAAAATGCTGTGGTAGACGCGCTCAATAGACGGCCAGATTACATGGAAAACATCAAACCAGAGCCCATGGCAGTACTCAAGGAAAAAGATAGCGCCTTAATCTACGCAACACCTAAGATAGAGGTGCTGGCTCTTATCGACATTGAGTTGATAGAAGAGCAAAAGAAAGAAATCATCAAAAGACGACATGATGATAAGTTAGCAGGATATTCAGGTATCGAGAAGACACTCGAATTAGTCACGAGGGACTTTATCTAGAAAGAGGTCAGGAAAGATATAGCAAAATACATTAAGAACTACAATACATGCCACAAAGCAAAGCACACAAGATATAAGCTCTATGGGTTACTCTAAACGCTAATAATACTAGAAAAGACGTGGCACACTATCGCATTAGATTTTATCACAAAGCTACTAAAGTCTAAAGAACCCCTCATGGATATAGAATTCGACAGTATACTTGTGGTAAATGATATTCTGACTAAATATACAGATTTCATCCTATACAAGGAGTTATCAACAGCTAAAGACTTAGTGTACACGCTATATAAGGACATTTTTAGTCGACATAAGATACCGAAAGAAATACGCTCGGACCGGGATAAGCTATTTATATCGCAGTTCTGGCAATCATTAATAGATCTCACAGGAGTCCACTAAAAGCTATTAATAGCTTTTCACCCACAGAGCGATAAGCAGACAAAAAGAACGAATCAAACGCTGAAATAGTATTTATAATGTTATATCAATTTCCAGCAGAACGACTAGATATAGCTACTATCTATAGCGTAGTTTACATTTAACAATAAAGCAGCAGCAACAAGAATATTATCATTCTACGTAAATTATGAGTTTCACCCAAGAATAGATAAGAATGCTAAAGACATTAAACCAATTACAGAAAAGGCAGCAATCTTGGTTGAGAAATTATAATCACTATATGAACTTTTAAAGAAAGAACTTAAGAAAATATTATAAAAAACAGTTAAAAGCTTAAACAGACGAAGATCTAAGGGACTAGACTTCAAAGAAGAGGAGGCAGTGTACCTTCTTAGGAAAAACATTAAAACATAACGACTATCTAACAAACTAGATCACACCAAGATTAGACCTTACAAGATCAAAAGGAAACTTGAACCAGTGAACTTTAAATTGAAACTATCTAGAGGGATGAACATTTATTTAGTTTTCCATAAATCGCTTCTTGAAAAAGCACCACCGAACGCCAAACTAGGACCGGTGCTAATACATGAGGAAACCCAACAATCGATATACAATATAGAGGGGATCCTTGACCATTAAAAAACCAATGGAAAACTACAATACCTAATCAAATAGTTAGGATATAGACACAAAGAAAACATATAGGAACCACCGGAATATCTCTCAGAGAACATGATCAAGAAGTATTTGAGGAAGAAACGGAGGAGGAAACTCACCAAACATCTGACGCAACTATAAGGGGCGATCAATTGGGATGGGGCCTTCGAAGTTTAGAAGAGCCCCCGATGACAACTCAAATATCTCCTCAAGTTGTTTATCATCCATGCCAATAAAAACGATGGCTAACGCTTTTTCGAGAGAATCCACGTGATCCAAAGCATCCAGCGATTTGGCCTCCCGCACCAGTATCTGCTTCTACTTTTCCAACAACAGGTCAGCCTCACGCTGAAGACGCTCGCGTTCAGAGTGAGCCTTATTGACAACGGCAATCAGTTAGGCCAGCTCTGCGCCCTTTTGGCGGGCCGCCTCGACGAGGCGATTTCGTTGAGTAGTCAGGGAGTCAAACTCTTCATCCGAAAAAGTGCCGTCGCAATACTTCACGCCCTTCTTTGTGCAGGATGAACACTTGCTGTAGCCATCGAGGACGAAATAGACGGAGTTCGAGTTTTAGTAAGGTATGCAGCGACCCATACCGGACAATTCGCGACCAAAGGACTCGATACGATCAATCAGTTTCTGACGATAAAGGGTTAAGAGGCGTGCGGGCTTAGCAACACGAAACTGAGGCATGATAAGCCATGGAAAAGAAAGAAGAGAAGGGCACAAGGAGGGGGAGGCACTTACTTATGTACATTAAGGACAACAAATAAATCTAGGAAGGGGAAAGTGTTACGAATCGGCCTGCGAGCAGGCCGCATACAAAGCTGTGACGACAGCCAGGACAAGAGAGGAAGCTATACCGGGAAATCACGTGTGAAGAACCACGGCACGGATCACGTGATACGCTCAGCCGGCTCAGCCCTGGGGACGCTGAGCACCGCTGAGCATCACTCGGGAATGCTCAGACGTGCTTAGTGTGCTTGGCCTGAGCACCACTGAGCGGGACTGAGCAGTGACGGATATATATACACGGTCGTTCCATAGCTTTACCACGTAGTCAACTTCGTTCACGATCATACCCATACGTTTTGGACTATGATCACTTCGCTCTAGTACTCGCTCAAGTACTCCGTTCTCAGCGACCTCGCCTCCTATACTTCCCACTTATCAAGGAACGATACGTGCAGTGACACCCCGGGTGGAGCGAAACGTAACATAACGATTAAAAGTCGTATGTTTTACCATTAAACTAAAACCTCTATTAACTTTATCATCTTTTAGTTATTAATATTTTTGTTTAATAGTAATAACTATTGACCCTACCATTGCTAATGATCCAGCGATCGAGCTTTTTGATCAGCGCAATTTCTGCAGGGTCGGTTTTCTCATGTGCTCCAGAGTAATCGACTGAGATCGATTTTTCACCTTCTGGATCAAGAACGTACTCCGTGTGAGCACCGACAGGCTTTTCAGCCTGGTTGCTAGGCAACACACGATCTTGGTCACCCTTGTCATCTTTATTGTAAGATTCCATGATGGTTGGAAAACTTCTGAAGATGGAGTTTCTTAATCGAGATTGGATTTGAAGCAGATAGCTTGTTGAGGCGATATAAGTCAATGAACGAAGGAGTTAGATTGTCAGTGAAGTGAGATGCTTTGAACAAACCGATAAACAGAGAAGACATATTGTCCTTTTTATACTTCGAACAGCGCTCTGGGACCAGTTCTTCCGTCTCGTGTATCCTGTCTACCGCAACAGATGAGACCTATGTCCTAAATTCCCTACGCATAGTACGGGTTCTACCCGTCTTTGCTGTTCCTAACTTCGCCCGTCAGGCAATTAGATTTCTAGAATCGAGCTCATCAATTGGTTGAGCTGAGTTACAAACTGCATTCCTCCGGCGCATTATCGTGGAAGGTTACAATGATGGATTGAATACGATCATGGCAGTCGATCTAGAAGGCTTGGATATCGCAGGATTATGATCATATCTTGGCCTCTGTAAGCAAGGCCAAGTTTCTGTAAAAGCCAACATCGAACAGAGTCCAAGACCACTTCTTGAATGCTCCGTTCTGGGCCACCGCCCGAGAGGGGTTATCACCATGGTGTGCTTGGCATCCAGGTCCAAGATATTTCAGATTGGAACATTGGAGTTTCACGGGCGCGGCATGCTTGGCCAATATCCTTTCGGAGGCCTTCTAGAAGGCAATAAACTTCGCCAAGGCGTCTATCGAATATCTTCCAAGCAATATGACGAGTTCTGAAATAGAGGTTAGCATTAGCGAGTGGCTCTGGGCTACTGGCTCCCTGCCCCGTGCTACTGCGAGAAGTGGGTATCAGGGTGAAGACATCACAAGCTGATGTGGAGGGACCACAGATTCGGAATACCCCATGGGCGATATCCAGCCAAGACAGTGAACTTGTCTTCCCCAGACTAGATGCCCTTGGCGCCGGGCAAACCAAGAGTCCACTACACTCTTTAAGTGCTGTTGGGAATTCGAGTGGGAGGCACATGTTCTCGTTCGGTGCACAGCAGTAATTCGCGAACTTGACTAATTGGTCTCAGGAACTCCCTTCGATGTTTCCCTCAACGAATGCTGCAGATCTCTCTCCGTTGTGGATCAGCTATCGATTAAATAATGATTCTCATAATAAACCTACACCCGATGTGCAGCAACCAAACCGATTTGACCAGCCTCCAAGAACACTAACGCAAGTTTGACATACACCACACCGATTTGATCTTCTTCGGGTGTTCTCGAAGGTATCTAAGAGAGAGTTCTTGGCCACCAGGAAGACTTAGCGAATGGTTCACGGCGAAAATAAGTGTTGCTTGTCATTGGTACGGAAACTACGTCAATACTGAAGCTACGCCTGAAATAATCTCGAAACCACGTCGAAAAACTTTATAGCTTCGGCTGGAACGTGATTGAAATACCTTATCTTTCTGATCCGGAAAGCGTAACGGGATATCTTTGAACGCGTGGTGAACTAGTCTCCAATCTTGAAGCTCGTGACGCCCCGAAGTCAGTCCTGGCAGCTGACATGACTGGGCGCGATACTGTCCTCATTGACCTCGAACACGCTTTTTGTTCGTTTCCGACGCGGCGATATTGTCTATTGCTAGCGTTGCTGTGGCTTATCACCGCTTGTCTGTAATCCATATTAGTGCGATGATCATTGTGGCGGTGTTAATGAGTTCCCTCTGGAGCTGAGTTTGATGATTTTCTTCGAGGTCCAACCGGTCTTTGAGGTAGCATGATTCATTGGCTATTTGAGGCCGAGGCCAAGGATGCTGAGAACATCGCAAAGTACCCGCCTCTTGGCCACCGCAGGGTCGGTGGACATTATCCACAATTGGTGTAAGCACCCCTGCCTCAGGATCAAGCGTTGGCTGACGGAGGGAAACTGGCATGTGCGAATCACTTCAGTGCTGAAATAAATCGAAGAGATCGTCGCCGTCTCTGTTGCTAACAGCATTCTCATTGGCACATTTGATTTCTACAAGAGTCTTGGGATTTGGAACAGTTGGGTCAACAACCCGAAGACGGAAGTTTCACTTGCGAATGTTAGTGCCTTTTGCAAGAAGCACGGCAGAGTGCTTGGAGTTACTACTTGGGACTATCCTCCGGAGATGCTATCTTGGCTCATCAAAGCCCTCGGCGCAAGACTCGACGTCGGGAAAAGGAGATTTGGAGATATTGGTAGACGGACATAACACTGCTCATGATACTGTTCAAAATATGGAGCATGTGTTGAGGTATAAGCTGAAGGTGAGTGACAAGAGTCCCAACAAATCTTGTGTTTATGTCTCAGTATCCCCTTGCATGCGAGTAAAAACAATCATTGGCAGGGTATGAGGATGGAGGAGCTCAAGATAGGATATCATAGATATGTGGAACTATAAAGGATGGGGTGAGAGGAGAAGGAGGGCCATCCTGACCACACCTGCTGCAGATTGGCTGCTACCTTGCATTTGTTTGTGTAGATCGCCTCAGGGTGTCGGCTGGAAATGAGAGAAGATAGTTTTCTTACCGAAGGACTTTCAAGGCGTCTTTTTGACAGATAAAAAGATATCTGTACAGGTCTTCGAGCAATCAAGAAAATTATTGACTACAGTGATGACGACCCGCTGCAAACAGGTTGCGGCGCAATGAATGCATACTGTGAGTCGATCATTTGCAGAGGAACACAGAAAATCTCGTCATTCAAAGTTTCAACTACATACCAGTGTAGTAGCGTCGAAGACAGAATCAGAGACACAAGCTTCCAGATCTTCGTGCAGTTTCCAACACGCTATCCCCATCAAAACGGCTGAATTCCCATGTTTGAGATCTTTGTCTCTTCAGGGTAGTACACTAGCGGCTTGCCCTTGAGCTCCTTTCCATCAACCCAATTGCCATGGATCTGTGCCCGGATACGGAAGGGAAGCTCAGCAACGGCAATGGGCTTGCTGAATTCCCTTGTATCAAGGAAAACCAAACTGCTTACGTTGTAATCTCGCTGCTCAACGACAGACATGATCCAGCCATCACCCTCCGGGGCACTTTCAGACCGTGGGATGAACGTTGGCTCCTGGCAGAAGCAATTGTCTCCGGGGTAGTAAAATTCAGTTTTTCCGGTTCGTTTATTGACCATTGCAAGCGCATTCAGGCCAGCGAAAATGTTTTTCTTGCCGTCAGAGCGCTCAGGAAGGAAAACATTTAGGAAAATGATGTCGTATTTCTTAGAGATGAATCGATCGTCAATGCGAGGAAATTCGCACGGGATATCCAAGATGACCTTTGGATCAGGGACCCAGCTTTCACTGGGCTGGGTCAGATCGATTTCGTAACGTACGAAGTCCGCCTTCGTTTCGGGGCCAGGTTTCCTTCCGTATGCGTCTGGGAAGAAACCGAAAGCATTGTCGTGAACTCTGGCGTTTTCGAAAACCAGTTTTGAGCCTTCTTCTTCTTCCCAACCACCAGCTGTGTGGATATTCATACAGTTCTTCCAATGATACACGCGGTATTCCCCAGCTTTCCAACCCGCAATGTTGTGCTTCCTACGAGGGTATACGATAAAACTCGCAGGCAATTCGTAGTTATATGCAAAGTGGTGACCGCTAGCTTTCATCCTCTCAATGCTCGCCTCAAATGGCCAAAGGAGCAGCACCACCCAGTTTTCTGTCACTGCACAGTCGTGGATGAACGTTGCGTATGGTCCTTTTAACCAGAGCTCATTGTGTCTCTTGCCCTCTCGATCCACTGTGTAGGTAATGACATCGTCCGTGGCAGGTCCTTTGGCCTCGTAGCCGAAGACGATCAGTTCATCCGTGTAAGGGTCGATCTTTGGATGCGCCGTGAAAACCACTGACTCCGGATAATTTTTAAACGGATCGTATCCATTGGTGTCCAGCGTATCCGGGTCAAGTTCCCACGGCAGACTGGATTCCCGCAACGCCAGAAGCTTGTTCGCCCAGAGAATGACGTTGGTATTTGCAGTCGAGTCGATAGTGCCTTTGACACAAGGATGATGTGCCCATGGGTTTTTATAGGTTCCGAAAAGTGCTTTTGTTGCCTGTCCATTTTCGTTGAGAGTAGAATGGAGTCCCTTTTGAAAATTTCAAGTGTGGTGCAGATGTCATCTACCGCACTGGACGTTGTGCTATGCGCAAAACAACGGCGTGTACGGTAGCTATATGTAATGCAGATCTCGCAAGTGCGGAGCCCCGCGTCAGGCTGTCGGGATCGCGGGCGACGGGCGCTGAACACAAAAACCATCGGGTACGTTCCCGTCTCTAGGTGGCAACTTTACATCCCTGAACTCTGCTGTTTGTAGCCTAAGGATCCGGTAGAAGTCAATTGCGAGGAAGAAGATTGGTAGCCAATGCTCGCGGGAATGAACCCTATTCGATAATTGGTAAGGATACGGGATCTCTTCTTCTCAGGTTGTATTGGAGTGTCGGCAGATGCGAGAGCTGGTGTTTTGGAAGCTACCCATCACATCGTGGACTTAGATGAGAGTCTTCAGATCCTGAAGCACCAGTCGAGCTCCTAAGATGAGACATTCGCGATTGTTTCCGAGCCGGCTCCACAACATGTCACCTTGAAATATCAATTCATATCTGCCAAAGTGTAGGTCATATTGCAGTGACTCTGTCAACCCTAGCTCTTCTCTCTCCTGGGCATTACTAGAATTCCAAGGAAATGGGCCTCACAATCGAGCTAAGCCCCTGCAGCGAGGATGGATTGGCCGCAAGGAAAGCGTTCAATCAGCGTCTTGAGGCAATGACGAATTCCCAAATTCAGTGGCATCAATGTCGGTCTCCACAGGAATACCGAGACAAACGTCGTGAAGGCACCGACGGTTTTCAGAAACCCTTTGTACTCGATACGGCTGAGGTGATTTCAATCCCTTCGACTCATGCTGGCCACCAAATCCAGCTGCGTCTTATCAAACCTGCTGGCGAGATACAAGGGGTCATACTGCACTATCACGGCGGTTAGTACATTCCATTTCCCACGCCTTTGAGATTTGTTTGCAGCCACTCATTTTGACCCCATAGGAGGTCTCGTCTACGGATCAGCAGACGGCCAAGACAAATATCTTTTAGAGTTTGCTACCGATCTTTCTCTGGCCGTAGCATCGGTCGAATACCGACTAGCGCCTGAAGAACCATTTCCAGCTGCCGGCGAGGACGCTCTTGATGCCCTTCGATTTGCATTATCTGAAGAAGGGAAGGCTAAATTAGGACAAAAACCACTCTTCATCGCAGGAGAATCTTCAGGAGCATATCTGGTTGCCTGGAGCCTTTTGACACTGAGAGATGAGGGTATTGATTTAAGAGAACAAATCACAGCTGTGTTCCTCAGCTACGGAATTTATGACCTTACTTACACGCCCTCTGTCCACAACTACAAGGGGAGAGCATTGGTAGGAAGCGAAGATCTGAAACTCCTTGTTGACGCCGCTTTTCCTGCGGCGTCTTACCCTGAGACAGCACGCAAGGATCCAAACTTGTCTCCTCTGCGAGCAGATTTGAAAAACCTACCTCCGGCATTCTTTCTAGTGGGGACTGCTGACCCGGCATTGGATGATAGCATATTCATGGCGTCAAGGTGGTATCTCGAAGGAAATCAGGTCCAACTCAAGGTCATCCCTGAAGGCTGCCATGCATTCACTTTGCTTCCGATGGGCGATGCGGGTGCCGAAGGGCGAGCTGAGCTGAAGTCGTCGATAAAGAGTTTTCTCGCTCAGTTAGATTCTCGGAAGCTTGAGAGGAGTTAGATAGAAGAATCTGTTCAGATGGGTTGGGACCATTTCCGTGGCCAGCCTTGAGACACATCGAAGAATAGCCCGTCGAAACTTCGAGAGAAAGACCATAGTTAGACACTGAAGGGCCAGCGACTCCCATTTTTCTGATATTGTCCATGCAGCACTATTTTGACACGCTTTAAGACAGTAAGTCGAGACTAAACGGCTCCGCAGTAATAGTGTCCGAGCTCCAAGGCTCCCAAGAAATGAAGCTTTCGTCCATTAGTTCGTCCCCAATCAAGTCAAAGCTGGTGTCGAGCTGGAACTTGGGGATTGATTCTTCGTGACCCTCAGGCACAATATTACCAGTCTCGATGGTGTGCAATTTTTCCCTCACAGCCTCAAATTGTCCTTCAACCCGCTGAAGAAGCCCAGAGGCTTGCGGTTTGCCGGAATTGTCGATCTGCTTCAGAAGCTTCAGCGCAATATGAAGGGCACTTTCTTCGCCCTGAAATAACTCTGCGGTCACAGTTTGGCCCTCTGCAAGCTTATTCAAATGCAATAGTAGCGCTCCTACGGAAGCCGTGATTTCTGAGATGGCTGTATCAGTAACAAATATTTTCTTGCGGCAAATAGGCTCCTTACTCTTCAAGTCATACCACCATGCACTGTGTGGTCCGTCTTTGGCGCTATGGAGCCTGTCGAGGTGGTGGATAAGCTCAATTGCCGCCTTTACACAAGCTTCCTCCAATATAGGCTGTAACACTGCATCGGCCGCACCTTTCGCAGAGGAGAAAGCTGTGATCACTTTGGGTTGAGGATAGCTTGACTTGAGATGGCGGGTCAGAAGAAAGACCCTGAGATGTAAGAATCTGTGGAATCATTAGCCTCGTCTCGCTAGCAGGATAATGTGTCGTCTCCTCACCTGGATGTCAGGACCTCGCATTGGCGCCACAGAATTCCGTGTAGACAGTATTCCCGCTCTGCGGAAGGTAATGATGGTATGCTGGAGTACCAGTCTAGGATCTGCTGATCGATTTCCAAAGTCTGCGCCGCGCTCGGTGTCGATCGATATGTTTTAGCCACGTTCCGCATCAATTGGCAGAGCCGTATGGTTTGTGCGAAGAAGAAGATCCTGGGCGGTGGGGTTAGTGCTCCTGGTGTGATATCGTCTCCAGAATGGCTGTCTTCATCTTCGAGAGCCTGGGGCAATCGAACGTTGTCCTCCGCATCGGGGAAACGGGGTTCACGGCCCCAGTATGACCTGTACACCGTATCGAGAACAAAGCACGCCCACCATAGTCGTACGTTCATCTCATTTTCGACTTTTGCCTCATAGCTGGAATGCTCGTTCCCAGGCGATAGTCTCAGTCTAGGCAACAGCCGGATCATCATGCCAATAATCTCCCAGGTCTGTTCTTGCGCTTCCGAGCCCTGTGGATACATTGCTATCAACGAAAGAGCCTGTAAGGTGGTTGTCACCATTCCATCATCTGTACTCTCGTACGCGGACAAGGTAAGTCCTTTAGCTCTGCGAAAAAATGAGTCGGCCATTGCGATGCTGGAGTTGGTAGAGAAGTGACATCCAAGCGACAGCACAGCATTCAGTGTACCCGCAATGACTGCATTTGGGGGCTCTTCAGAAGTCCACAGGTTGCCATAAGCTTTCCGATATGTCGCTTCATGCAAAAATGGATACTGAGGCTGACATAGTTCCATGTAACGGTCAACAAGCTGATTTGCTAGCCATTTTTGTGGAAGGGTGTGGAGGTCTATGTCGAAACCACTCTGGACCGTGCCAGATGCCGTCGCTTGATCTAGATTCGCCGTATCGATCGGCCTAGCTATCACCTGCTGGGTAAACGTATGGGGACTCAAACCCGTCATCGAACTATTGCCGCAAAAAGGGGCACGTGTAACATTTTTTGAGCCTTCCTCGGATGGTTCGCTGGCCGTACCCTGTGAAGATCAGCGTCTGCGTTGCGGTAACACGCCCGCGTAGGAGAGCGCACCTTGAGTTGTTGGGCTTCTTGAATTGCCGATGCAGTTAGAACATCATCGTCCTTCAAAAGGCTGTGTGCGCTGTGGGTGGAAGTTGGCGAGGGTGCGACTCCGTCCAGCTGCGCCTGAAGTTTCTCAATTTTTGTCAGGAGGCTCTGGACGTATCTGGATTGCAGAAACATCGAAGTCAGCTCAATTGGTAGAATCAGGAGCTTTTAAATTGACTGATTTTTGTCGTGCCCCGGCAGTGTTACCCAGAAAGTGGTTCAAGGTATGGAACTGCGCACCAGAAATGACACGACCACAGCGACTTACTTACCGCTGCGTAACGGTTGCACGCTTTGAAGCGGCCTGGTAGACACATTCGACGCCTTGCTGCTTGCAATTGCCGCATTGTGGCTGTCTTGCATCACATCGCTGTTTGCGCGACCTGCAAAATGTGCAAGCCAAATATGTACGCCTTCTCGGCTTGTGGCCATGTTGCTTTGATAGTGTGGAAACCCCCAACACCCCAGGGCTATGCGACGCCTCACTCTGTCTTCTCATAACAGAAGTTTCCATTGTGTCGGTCGTGAAGACAATACTGGGCAGACAATAGCAGGAGAGGATGTGCCGGGCCCGATAAGGGCGATTGGGTTGGGCACGGTAGGAGACGAGAAGCGCCGCCCAAAGGCGGGATGCTCAGAGGTTTTACAGTAGCATTGGGTTGGTCCAGTGGAGAAACGAGACCGGGGGCGGCAGTCATTTCTGGAGCCAGAGTGCGGGGGAGCCGGAATCGGGATTAGCAAGGAGGCGAACGAATAATGTTGTGCGCGTTCATAATGTGATTGTGGCGTAGGGAGTAAGGCAACGATTGAGGGTGCCTCTGTCCGCTGCTCCACTGGATTACGAGTGCCATGCCCTTACATAAAGTACCTACATACAGCTGCCCGCCGATCCGTTACCTCTAGGTAGTCAATTTTGATTTCTTCACGCCGCTACGACCACACGGGATCCTAAACTCATGACACTTAGAAACCAAGTAAAGACCGAGCTAGAAGTCTTCTACAGCATAGGTCGCAGCCCTCCTCCAGTACCCCAAATCAAAGACCTAGCAGTATCAGAGATAGCATTTGCGAGACGGGAGCGTTGGAAGGTGCACCCCTATTGAATGGACCAAGGGTAATAAGGAGCATTCGAGCATAGCGGCATCAGCTCCCAGGCGGATGTCTTTTTTATGGCGTCCGAGGGACTTCTCTCCCGTTGATGGTGGAGAAGCGCAAAAATTGGGTGAGAAGAAGGAACAATTTTCTGTAGCGTAAACCTCGAAGCGATCCCCGGGGATTCTTCAATCCTTCCTAAGCGGATAAAGTTGCCCCGGGGGGCAGGCCTCATGGATGTGATTCCGACGGCTCCGTTGCCGAAATGACTTTGGTGCACGTTCTCACAGAGTGTCGGCTGCTGTTCGACCTTCTGCTTCGGAATAATTCCCATCTTTGATCAAGTAAGTAAACTTCATTCTGTCTTATCGCACGGTATATGGACGCTGGCGATTACCCCCAGATATATAGTCCTAGGACCCGTACGATCAGTAAGAGCTGTTTTCCACATTCTTTCTTGGCACCTTCGATTGTATGTAGAGTACCAGCATATTTGGTGACTTCGCGATGTTGGACAAGTTCGACGAAAATGGCCAATGCTCGGTGTCAAAGTCCCAGATCCACACCCGCAGGCAGCTGCGGCTAATCTGCATCGGGGCTGGAATAGCAGGCATTGCGGCAGCGTATAAATATGATCGTCAACTCAGCAATGTGTCATTCGTCATCTACGAGAAGAACGAGGATGTCGGGGGCACCTGGCTCGAGAATCGCTACCCCGGTTGTGCATGCGATATCCCTGCCCATGGATACACATATTCATGGGAGGGTAACCCGGAATGGTCTTGTTTGTATGTCGCGCGATCGTTTAGCACAAAGCATTTACTAAAAAATCTTGCAGCTACGCAGAGGCCCCCGAGATCCACGCATATTACAAGTCTTGTGCTGAAAAGTGGAACTGTATGAGATACATCAAATTGTCGCACCAAGTCACGGAAGCAAAGTGGTCGTCCAGCTCTTCAAAATGGGACGTTAGTGTAAAAATCCTGGCAACAGGAGAGACAATTGTGGATGAATGTGATGTCCTTCTGAGCGCTACCGGTGTGCTAAAGTAAGTGAGCATACTAGCTTATGAATCGACCACGGCTCAAAAGTCATAGCAAGTGGAAATGGCCAGATATCACTGGGATTCACGATTTCAAGGGAAAACTTCTTCATTCAGCACGATGGGACAACGACTATAGTTTCGAGGGTAAACGAGTGGCTGTAATTGGGGCCGGATCGTCTGCAATTCAGATCGTCCCCAAGTTGACACCAAGTAAGTTTGTTGCTGTGCCGACCGCGCCATCTTACTAAACTGGAGGATAGTTGTGGCAGAGATGGTTAGTTTCATCCGCTCGCGAACATGGATCACTGCAGAATTCAATGCCGACCTGGCACCGCAAGGGCGAGAAACCAGGTACTCCGCAGAACAAATCGAGAAATTCAAGACAGACACACAATATTTCCTTGACTATCGGAAACGGTTGTATAATGCGTCGGGAGCCAATTACACCGTATACTACAAAGACTCAGAAAAACAGAAACTTGCGAAGCAACGGTTTACTCAGATGATGAAAGAGAGATTGAACTTCAGAGAAGATCTTTGCTCGCGAATTATTCCAGAATTTGCGGTTGGATGTCGGCGGTAAGTTGCATCAACATGCTACCACACTCGGCTAATTGCAACAGGTTCACTCCGGGCACCGGATATCTAGAGGCGCTGGTATCGCCTAATTCACGCGTCGTGACGACGGACATTGAATGCATCACTAGTGGTGGCCTGCGCACCACTGACGGAGAGGAGTATGAGGTTGATGCCATTATTTGTGCTACAGGATTCGACACATCTTTCAAGCCAGCCTTTCCGGTCATCGGGCTGAACGGGAGGAACTTGGCAGAGGAGTGGAAAGAGCAGCCACTACACTATCTTTCTGTTGCAGCACCAGGATTCCCAAACTATTTCAGTGAGTTCCCCTGTAGAATCTGCGCTGATGACTCAGTACGCTGACAACGATGCCAGTGGCCGGTGGACCCAATAGTCCAATATCTAATGGCTCGTTGATAGCTGGTCTTGAAACAGCAATAGATTATGCTTACCGCTGCATTACCAAGATGCAGACCGAGAATATCGTTTCTTTGGAGCCTAAAATCGAAGCGGTGGAAGATTTCCTTGAGCATCGTGATGCATATATGGATCTAATGGTCTGGAGCGATAGCTGTAAAAGCTGGTGTGTATCCCTACTGCCCAAAATGCCTATCGCTATCATTGACTCTCTTCACCAGGTACAAGAACGGAAAATCTGACGGGCCGGTAATTGGACCTTGGATAGGATCTACCTGGCATTATGAGGAAGCACTGAGAGAGCCCCGCTTCGAAGACTACCAGATACATTATCTTGGGCGCAATCGATTTGCATACCTCGGCGATGGTAGGACAATTGGCGAAGTTGAAGGGGTTGATATGTCAGCGAAAATAACCCAGCCTGGAGTCTCAAAGCTCGAAAAAGCATTAAGTTAAGACTGCTTCACTTGTAGTTGCGCTCTGCAAATTCTGTAGGTGCGCCACTTCAGAGTCGCAACGCAATGATATACTCATTTAGCAACGGCCGTGCGTGTACTTTCTGTTTTTAAGTACTGTTCACTGTAGTGAAGTACGATCAGAACTTGAGGATTCTTGAGGCGGAAGAATCATTCCAGTGCTGGAAAGCATGCAGTGATCACCACGACGCCATCTCATTACTGCTGTCATTGGGGCAAGAGACGAGTAAAAGGTTGCTGACAGAAATAGTTGTCGATATGGTTCTATAGCCATGTTTCCTGGTCTTCGCTCTGGCAACCTAGGCACAGAGTCTACAACTGGAAGAACTGTGTGGATATTATCATCTACAGGCGACCTACCATGTCTCATAACCATATCGATCATCTTGATGACAATAACTAAGTCAAGTACTGGGAACTAGTTACGTAGGGTTTCGCGTGTGAGTAGGCGAACGCAGGCAGTGTCGAGGCCGAGGTTGGGGTCGACGGTTAGACTTGCTAGCAGGACACACGACTAGGATGATAGTGAAGACCTTAATCTGTGACTTAGGCGTTTGCTGATGACACGTTCCTTGCCTCCTCCATATAATGACGCTAACTAGTACCGAGCCCGTAAACCAAAGTTAATATTGTTGGATAGAAGTTCGAGCTAATTAAATCAAACGGCTGCCGCTTATTCAGATTCATGCATTGAAGTTCACACAATGCTGAGCGTCCGCTACCGAAGACGAATGGGCTCATCAGTCTCTGTGCTATCTTACCAAAGGAAAGTGATTCTAAGGTGAATTCCTCCTGGTCTCGAGGCTTCATGATTCCCGGCTTCGCATCCGAAACGGACGCAGTGCTAATAGGCACCTTTCCCCTCTGCAGTCATCTTGGCGGAATCGTATCCGACGAGGTGCGCATCAAAGTCCTCAGAATGGGGTTTGTCGGCTATGCCGGCAGTTGGCACTCTCCCTTAAGGTGTTCAGGAAAAGTTCGAATCATCAACCAACGCCATAGCTGGCTCGTTCAACCTTCCAGCGCCAACGAGTCCTTTTCGACATGAGAACATTTCATCGCAGTGCTTGGGAGCAAGAGTTGTCAAGCAATTTCAGTGGCGTCGTTGCTCGGAACTTTTGCAAATTATGCGGCCGACATGCCGATGCGGCCAGTGGGGCCCCATGGGGGTCTGAAGTTCGAGAACGGGTAGGTTTCCGATTGAGCTGCTCTGGTCCCCTCAACCAGCCACATAAGTTCCCCTCTACCTCCTCTGCGAAATAAGCCGCTATTTGTGTCACTGAGCAAAGGGTATCATCATCCTATGATACAATGAAGATCATCATTGTCGGCTGCGGCCTAGGTACGTAAACTTCTACTAGGGCTGCACGTGATGCGGGCGCTGCTTACGGTGCATCTTAGGTGGCCTTGCTTGCGCAATAGCTTGTCACAGGGAAGGCTTACAGGTTCTTTTGCTGGAGCGGGCGCCATCCATTCTGCCAGTACTATGGACCTCACAGTTATGTATGCCGTATGCTAAATGGAATAGGTTGGAGCAGGAATCCAGATCCCACCGAATGCGACAAGGATTATGCAGCATTTTGGTCTTGAAGACCGCCTTCGCCAGCGTGGAGCTGTGCGTATTCACTCACGCAATCTTCTACGATATTCAGATGGGCACACCTTGTGTAACCGACCTGGTCTAGATGATATGGTCAATGATTTTGGAGCATCCTACTAGTAAGTTTTGCGGGATGTTGTTGAGCATTCTTTCTTACTTCTTTTAAGCGTTATACACCGCGCCGACTATCAGGAACTTCTGCTAGAAGAAGCTGTAAGGATAGGTGTGGACTTCCGCCCAAATTCCGAAGTCTCGCAGATTATATTCGACGAGAGTCCTAAGGTTGTGCTAAGAACCGGAGATGAAATTACCGCCGACGTGATTGTAGGAGCGGATGTTAAGCTTCCAAGTAAAGGGCACACATGTGGTACTGGCGAAACTAACAGCATTTGAGGTTTGTGGTCGACAACACGGGACCAGATCCTGGGTCGGTCGAGTCCTCCTCAAGAAACCGGTGACCTTGCATTTAGAGGGACTTTCCCTCTTGCAAGGTTAGAAAAAATAGAAGATGATGGCATTCGAGACCTCATCACATCCCAAAAGGCGTGCCTGTGGATGGGTCCAGACAAACATTGCTCGTTTTATCCTGTTCGAAACGGACAGGAATTTAACTTGGTCCTGTTGTGAGTCTAGCTGGTACTGTTTGACATCTCTCACTTATATTTCGTCTTGGCAGGACTCCTGACGATCTTTCAGAAGGCATTAGAACGTCTCAGGGCAGCATTAATGAACTGAGATATATGTTCGAAGGATGGGACCCTACGTAAGTTGCCTTGTCAATTCCGTTATGAGTGTGGTTGCCCTTCTTGGGTTGTTGGGGTTAAAGAAACGCCAAACCGAGAGAGCATCTTTATCAAGGATTAAGCTGACTCTGGTAGGTTGCTGCAGCTGATATCATGTATGAACGACAGTTTACTGAAATGGAAACTTTGTCATCATACTGAGTTAGAAAGTTGGGTCAAAGTAAGATTTCAAACGACATTATGCCAGTAACAGAATCTGTGCTCATATCATCGCAGGGAAGCGTAGTATTGCTCGGCGATGCCTGTCATCCATCTCTCCCATACCAGGCTCAAGGAGCGGCAATGGCGGTTGAAGACGGTGCGGTCCTAGGCCTCTTGCTGGGGAAATTTTCAAGATTGAACAAACAATCTGCTAATAGTACGGCGAATGTTCACTCTCTTCTCAAACTGTACGAATCCATTAGAAAGTCGCGGACGACCACCAATGTCCTCGGATCTATACGCAATCGAGAAATGTTTCACATGCACGACGGCATTGATCAGCGAAAGAGGGACGAAGAACTCTCGCGTGTGGACTGGAAGACACCATGCCCGTGGCAGTGGGGAGATATTGGCTATCAGAATGAACTGATGGGGTTTGATGCTGTAAAACATGCCAACGTTGCGTTCGAGAAATGGACAGAGAAATTGTCTGGCGATATGATGTGATGGTCGGACTAGACGGGCACATGACGCGACTTTCTACAAAATATAGGAACATAATCAATGTTACCGAAGACTGAACTCGCTTTCGTTCCTCCCAGCCTCGACCACCCAATCTCCCAACTCAGCTGCCCTTCGATAGTACTACTCTATACACCAACACTGCAAGGCGGCATCATATCTTCGTGAGAAGGTATAAGAAATGGTTACTACGGTTTGCAGCTCAGCTTCTCACCATCTCCTGAAAACGGTCCCCTGCTTTCGAACAGTCCGTCGTGTCTCCTTAGTCAACCATTATCTATCTCCTCTGTCATTCATATATGAACATGGCTTTCTAACCCCATCCCTTTGCAAAAGGATCACTGCACAGGTGGGAATTGCCTTGAACCTTCTCAATGTCGCCTCTTCGGTTTGTCATAACAGATTAACTAACTCATCTCTGGGGTCAACTATTCATATCCCATAATTCTACAATGCAACGTCCTTCTCCAATTCAACGTCATACCGAGCTCTCTTGCTGTCTTTTGCCCAGATCCCCAATTCCGGTCCCCCACTCGGTAAGGAGATATTGACCGTATCCATCTCAATACTTATCGGCTCCTCTTCTACTTCTGCTGCGGTAATTCCGAGACATAATGTTGTCGCTACCATTGTTCTTAGTGTTGTGGGGTTAGCTTCGCAATAGCATCCGCCAGCACTTACCTTTGACTTATCTGCGCGATATAGAATGTAGTGGTTTCTGCTCCATCTCGGCACGGTCGAACAGATCTCATAAAATCTACGACTTCGTCAAGTCCAAACGCTCGCGAAGTCAACAATTCGTATTACGAAGGTCAGCTAAGTTAAGGAGCCGCAGCCGAGAAATGCCATCAAATCTTCAATACACCGAGCTTTCTTCTAGGGCTCAGCAAGCCGTTGATGACTTCATACCACCAGATGATATTGTTCAAAAGCGGAGCCGTCATTTTGCTTCAGTCCAACCTCGAGCTGAAGATAGCGAGGGCGACAAAGAAGCTCTAGACGGGGTTGAGTTTACGCATCACTTTGTCGACGCACCTGGCGATCATGAGTGTGTGCGGTTCCACTACGTAGAAGCCGGCCCTAAGAAGGGTGAGGTGATCGTCTTCCTACATGGAATCCCGGATTCCTGGTACCAATGGCATCATCAAATGGCTACGTTGTCCGCAACATACCGATGCATTGCACCTGATCTCAAGGGTTACGGACAGTCAGAGAAGAAAGCGGGCGACTACCGTCACGAAGGTGCTGCAGACAACCTCTTTTCTATGTTCGAAGCCATTGGCCTTGCTACCACAAAATTCAACATAGTCAGTCACGATCGAGGCACGGTCCAAGCTGACTATATCGTGGCGAAGCACCCTGAAGCGGTATTGCGCTACGGGAGAGGAGAACAGCACTTGTACCACTTCAACCCTGTCCTTGCGCCTCAGGGTGATATCTTTATGAACGCTCCCTGGACAGGCATCATGGAAGATCCGAAGCACTTTGTCGTATGGGTCTACACGTGGGTGGCGAAGCAACCAATTCCAGATGATCAGTTCGCCCGCATCATCCAGGAATACTCATATCCACTGGTCTCACGCGCAGTACCACGATATTTCAACTCTTCGACCTTCAGAGCTGAATGGCTAGATCGTCGGAATCGTCTTTTAGAAAAGTGGAAATGTCCTGTCTTCATAATGCAAGGTTACGACAGTAGGACACAGCCTCGTGAGTTCTACGAGGACGCAAGGGAGTACATTCCAAACGCGAAGGAAGTGCAAGTCAAGTACCTGCCAGGGGGTCATTTCTGGACAATGGAGTCTCCTGAGGAGACAACAAAAGCCATCCAAGATCTTCTAGCTGTCGCAGTTTAAGAACCATTGGGTTGATTTTGCATCTTTCCCTAAGAGTGATCTGCTTCACTATATGGTTCTACTGCTCCTCGTCTGTAATGTCAATGTAGCAACGCTTTCGCACAAAGGGAGGATTCCACCGCGCTTTGACTAATTATTTCTCCTCCTCACAAAAGCTCTCCCGCTGCACATAATCATCCTCATCTGGCTAAACCGTAAATTTGCTCCTTCAAAAGCCAGCAGAGCGTCACGTAGAACGAATAACATTCTGCCCGCAAAAGCCTTGCCGTGGTCACCAAAGACGTACCGTGGGGAACCGAATTCTTTCTCTCCAGCCTGCTGGGCTAATTTCGTCTTGGCCGAGGATTCCGTCGACTGCAACTGTGTTGCCGACCCTAGCGTCACTCACCCCGTGGGGTGAGTATAATTTATGTTGACACCTAAGTTAGTCAACATCACTCGGCCCCACAAACGATCCCCGCCGGTACGGTAGCGAGAGTCTCAATCTGGGGCCTTCTGATGCTGGTCTAGCAAAGTTGTACATGTCGGTGAGTGGAAAGAATGATTTGCTTCAGGCTCAATATCCCTTTGAACACGAATTTTATATGCTTCTCGTTATCCCAAAGGTATGGATGAGGATTCTGACTGGCGCTAATTATGCAAATCTGTATCACCCACACACTGACGAGTACAGAAAATGAATGTCAATGATTTGTTCTTCCCCGGCAACCTGACTTATGTGTTAGCCTTTTTTCTTGGTGCCCTAGCTGTCCGCTCCGTTGCCCGACGTTATTTCTCACCCCTGGCATCTGTTCCTGGACCCTTTACCGCTTCCATAACAAGGGCATGGAGGGTCAAGGAGGTATATTTCGGGCATGTTGAAGAGACGGAGTTGAGACTACACGATGTTCATGGTATGCAGCTATTTACCGTGCGCTCTATAATGGGATCTGATGAGATCACACTAGGCCCTCTTGTGCGTACCGGCCCAAATGAAGTCGTGACGAATGATCCCAAGGCGATTGAGGTACTTTACGGAATCGGCAGTAAATTTGAAAAGGTACTGTAAATACAATTCAGATTTTGGCAAGCCTTGGATACTAGTTGTCTAATATATCCTGTCACAGACGGACTTTTACAGACTGTTCGGGTTCCCCAACACCTACGGTGTGCATCAGTTCTCAGCATTGTCAAACGCTCTACACAAGAAGCTCATACGATATACTGCCGCCGCATTCTCGATGACTTCCATCGTGGAGCTTGAGCCGTTCGTCGATAGCTCGGTGGAGTTCTTCGTCCGCAGAATCAAAGAGCTCGGATCTAACGAAGCTCCCATGAACATGGCGCAATGGTTCCAGTGGTATGCATTTGACGTGATAGGGGAACTGACCTTTTCGACTCGCTATGGCTTCATGGAACAGGCAAGGGATGTAGGCAATTCTACTAGGATGGTGGATCAATTCAACACTTACGTTGCCTTCGTTGGTCAGGCGTTTCCATACCATTGGCTGCTGCTTGGGAATCCATTGTTGACCATGATTTTGCCTCCACCGGCAGGATTGATCGGTGAGGTAAGTTGAATTGTGGCTCTGAGCATGCAGTATACTAACAGGGCTCACAGATGGCTGCCCGAGAAATTGAAGCACGCAAACGAAGGCCCACTAATCGTCGGGACATGCTCTCCCGCTATCTCAAGGAGCATGAGAAAAGCCCTCAAGACTTCACAATGGAAGACGTGTATAGAAATGGAGCCGTGACCATGTAAGCTGTGTGATAACAAACGCCAATGCAGAATTCCTCCAATTGACATTATACACAGCGCCGCGGGCTCTGATACCACAGGGATTGCCTTGACTGCGACTCTTTACCACCTGCTGAAGAACCCTGAAGCCTACCGAAGACTCCAGGACGAGATCGATCAGGCTGTCGCCGATACCAGACTATCGAACCCTGCTAAGCTTCGCGAAACCCAGTCCCTTCTATATTTGCAAGCAGTCATTAAAGAGGGAATGAGGATTCACCCCTCTGTGGGTTTCATTCTACCTCGACAGGTCCCGCAAGGAGGCTGTACAATAGCAGGAAAATTTTTGCCTGCTGGTGTCAGTACCCTATATCATGAACACTTCTATACAAATGGCTATATGTTCAGTCATGAAGCTAATGAATGCCTCTAGACACGTATTGGAATGAACCCTTATGTCATCCACAGGAACCGAGACATCTTTGGTGAGGACGCGGAGTACTTCCGGCCCGAAAGATGGCTCGAACGTGACGGGAAGATGATGAATCGGTACATGCTTCAGGTATGACTTCTAAATCACTGATGATTGGTGGCGAGATATAAAAGCTAAAGGCGAGTCAAAATACAGTTCGGTCAAGGTTCCAGAATCTGCGCTGGGAGACACATAAGCGTCATGGAAATGAATAAGGCCCTAGTCGAGCTGATCCGAACCTTCGATATTGAACTTGTGAACCCGAAATTTGAGCTTAATACCAGTACTCGGTGGTTCATGAAGCCCGAATCACTGCCGTGTAGATTCAAGCTGCGCGCAAATGCCTAAAGGGGCAAAATCCCCTCATGAGCAACGATCAAACTATGATGGCAGAATGATTTGAGAATGGGATGATGCTTTGTCCTCGAATTCTCTGCTATACTATCTATTCACAGCGAATATCAATTCCTAGCAGCTGTTCTGCGTTCTTGTATAACACCTTTTCTAGCTCTTGCTCCGTCAATAAGCCACTTTCACGAAGTTGTCTGATGAAGTCCACTGAATCATCCATAGGCACCAAGGGATAATCGACGCTATACATAATACGATCAATAGACGCGGATCGCACGAGACATGTCATTGCACCCATATCAAACATGCTCGTGGTGAACCAGAGATTCTCGTCCCACACCTTGTCGAAAGTTCGTTCGTATTTGAGCCAGCTTTGAGCTGCTGCATACCGAATTCGGCCTTTCATGAATGGAAGCATCTCTCCCATATGTCCAATCGCGATCTTTAACTTGGGACACTTATCGAAGAGCCCACTGAAGAACAACCGGAGGATATGACTGCCTACATCAGTATGCCAGCCCCACAGATGCATACCCAACATCGTTCCGAGATCTTTGGAGTAATTCCCTTGATAAAACTTTGCATGAGCTGGGTCAGGAGGTGTTGGATGGATGTAGATTAGCGTGTTGAGCTCCTCCACCTTCTTCCAGAAAGGCAGGTACTGTTCTGCATCGTAGAATGTCCCGCCGGCGTGGTTGGGGACGAGGGCACCGGGAAATTTCAATTCTTCAACACAGTACTCTAACTCAGTACGTGCCGCCGCTGGATCCATCATTGGTAGGCAGGCGAAGCCACTGAATCGATGCGGGAAGTCCCTCACCGACTGGGAGATCTGTAGGTTTGTATCACGACAGATTTTTGGAGATTCCAGAGATGGAATCGCCGATATGACTTGTACAGATATGCCCCCGTGGTTCAGATCGTCGATTCGGCCTTCTCTGATGTCGCGAAGCTTCGACACAACCTGTGGTGGGAACATGTGCAGACCGAGATTGGACACTGAAGGCGACGCATGCAGTGCCTCGGACACGAAATGGTCCTCTAAGCTGATTACTGGCATTAGGACAACAGTGGTGATAGAACGACTCGAAGCTGAAGATTGATGGCAGAACAAAGGAATAGATCGCGAGCTTCTTCTTTCATGGTCCTGTCTCTTCATAAAACAACTACAATGACCTATCATGCATATATAGATAGCGACAAACGCCATGCATGGCATACGACAGAGCCTACGGAAACCGGATGTCTACAGTCGGCCCCACGGGAAGAGATCATGCGTCAAGGGAGCGACAGTCGTTGGACCAGGAAACCGATTAACTCACTAAGGAAGACTATTTTGCGGCACTTCTCAATATACACAGTTTCAAACTTCTTATTTAAATATCAAAATGACGACGTTTTCTGTAAGAAGCTAGAGATAGAGATCTTTCTGACAATGACCCAGTTATAGCTACGATACCTTTAAGACGTCGACCATAAGCTTCCCTCCTCTAGGTGATGCGGCAAATCGATCCTCCATCTCCATATCACTTTCGGTCATGACCTCATTCAGGCGCAAGTCTAGACGTCGGAACACTATACTCACTACGAGCAAGAGCTCTGCTTTTGCCAGGTTCTGACCGATACAGTTTCTGGTGCCGAGGCTGAATGGCGTGAAGGCCTTTTCTACTTCACTCGATGGACTTTGCCCAATCCAACGCTCGGGGAGGAAGCTATTCGGTTCAGCGTACACCAATGGATCGCGATGATGTACGTAGTTCTGCATACCAACAATGGTGCCGGCAGGAAGGTGAACATCGCCCGATTCCAGGGGTACGTCTAGTACGCGCGGCAGTGTTGAGATGATGGTGGGATAAAGACGCATTGTTTCCTTGATAACGGCATTCAGATAAGGTAGGTCTTTGACATCTGCAAGCCTGGGCCCTGCAGCTTGAAGCTCTTCTCGTAACTTGAGCTGAACATGGCGGTTTTCCATCGTTGAGAGGCTATAAAAGAGATAGACAAGCGTCGATGATGTGGTTCCACTACCAGCGAAAGCGAGACCCATTGCTTCTTCGACTGCCTCGTCCTCGGTCAGACGTCTGCCCAGATGTGTATCCTCGCTTCGCAGGAGTGGAGTCGCCATGAATCGCTCCGTGCTGTCTTGCTTCGATTCATGACGAAACTCCTGGAAGAGGGATCTCATGTACTTCTCGTAGAGCCTACTCTGCCTGAATGCATAGCCGCCCGCACCTGGAAGATACTCGCCGAGTCGTTTCCATTTTCTGAAGAACGGAAAGATGGAAGAAATGATCATCACCCTGGGGGTGTCTTCTAAAGCCTGCAAGAAAGTGAGAGCATTTTGGGTGGAGGGAGCAGAAATGTCCTTGTTGAAGGCTGCTTTGCAGATTACTTCCAGGCTGAATAGTTTGCAGAATGGCAGAACATCGACAGTGTTTGTAAAAGAGGCGTCAGAGCTGTTTATGACTCTCTCGACAAATCGCTCACTCATTTCCGTAATGAGAGACTCATTTTCGTTGATAGCTTGTTGCGAGAACGGCTGGCTCATCATCTTGCGACGGGCAGAATGCATGGTTTTGTTCCTGACCAGACGGTCGATTATTAGTACTGTCCGGCCCAACAACCGTCGCGGAAGACATTCATACCGGTAGCGTGCAAGATTCTCGTGCCCCAAAAGCGTGGTCGCCGTGTAGAACGATTCCTCCTTGGTGGAAGTGTTCTGGCTGTAAATTCTTCGATAGAGCTGATAGTCTCCAATGGAAACTTCACTGGGGCCAATACGGACTACTGGTCCATATTCGCGATGCAAATCCAGGAGCTTCTGTTCATAAACGTAAGTATTAAATCAGCGGATGTGTCGACTCCCAATATCACGCATACCTGTGCTCGGCGTGCCTCTACCATGGCAGGTGCCATATAGAACGCGAAGATCTTTGCAAGGACAGGGCCCGGTACAGCTCTAAGCGGATGAAATAGAACATTATAGCAAGCCTTTTGACACCAGTGAGCCGAAATGGATCGATCTGTCGCAGTGAATCACAACACGTACCGTCAACAGCACTTTGAGAAGCCATATGCACCATAGGGCTATGAATACAGTAGAGTTGCTTAAATGCTTCAAAACCTCCGGCAATATCATGGCGTAAAGGACTTCGACTATCAACCGGATTGATCGTTTCGAGTTGTGAACAACAATACTGCAGTGTAAATGCCGAAGCAGATGATTATTGACTGAGGTCTTGTAGAGAGACCTATCACTATAGTAGTAGAGAATTAGTATTGGTGAAAACGACTTCTTCTATCAAGCAAATAAGGTCTATCAAAGACACGCCATGAACGGGTCATCCCAGACTCCAGACTTCCGACCTAGGAGCATCTGCTCACACCGAATCACTAGCCGTCCACATCCAATTTCTATGGCCACGGATTATTGTGCTAAAGATCACGGATGTAGCTGGAAACATTCTTCCGTCAAATGTGGAATGGCAGTAAGGTGGCTGTTCCGGCTACCCGGAGGGGGAAAATGCGACCGAGAGCTAGGCGTCGGCTTCTGGCTGCGAGCGGCGTGGTGTGGCCAACTACCTAATGCTCATCTAGAGCAACCGGCTCAGGACTCTGATTGACTATCGGCTGCAAATTTTTGTATTAGTAAATTAACCACCCATTCTGACCATGGTATTGGTAATTGCAGTACAGCTTCCTTGTCCAGGATCAGCCTCAGACTGAGCACCCAAGTGATTTCAATTTATTGTGGATCAGATGCCCCGGCCCCTCCTTGGCTCCCGGTGGGGGAGCAGAATGCAGTAGCTTCACAATAACCCGATTTAACGACCCTGTGAATATGAACAGGACTGGATGAATTGACCTCTCACTTCCAACCAAGAAGGCTTCTGTTACTGGCGTATCTTCGACCTTGTTGGAATCATGCTCGCACGTAGCTATCGTGTGTCCCAGGCTCCGGATTTGGAAACCTATACACGCTAAACCATTCACGGAGCTACCTTTTCTCAACTGATTTATTCTGGCATCTTGGAGCAAAAGGGTTTGGACGAGGCTTGACAAGGTAACTTGCTAGCCGCTCAAACATGGTCAGCTGGGACGAGACATTCGATGTGGTGGTGGTAGGGTCTGGAGCCGCTGGTGTTGCGGCAGCACTGAGCGCCCAGCGCCACGGCGCAACAGCAATCGTGCTCGAGCGCAGCGATAAGCTCGGAGGTACGACCGCATGTTCGGCTGGTGGAATATGGATCCCAAACAACGACCACATGCACGAGGTTGGAGCCAGTGACTCACGAGAGCAGGCGCTTGCCTATTTGCGCAGTCTGTCTTTGGGTGGGATGGACATGGAGCTCGCAGAAGTCTACGTCGATGAAGCCCCCGCTGTGGTCCGGTTTCTGGAAGCCGACAAGTCCCTCTCCTTTGTGGCTACAAGCTTGCCTGATTATCAGCCTGAAAATGCTGGAGGCACGTTTGGTCGCACATTAACCCCGCAACTATTTCCTGCGAATGAGCTCGGTGACCTGCGCCCGAGTCTGCGACCAGCCCCGATGTTCCCAGTGCCCTTTTGCTGGGATGATGTCCAGCACGGTATCAATTTGATCGACCCAAAGGTTTTCCAAGACCGACTGATTCATGGTCTAGTTGGAGGAGGAGAGGCGCTGATGGCAGGCATGATCAAGCAGGCCGCCGACAAAGGTGTCTTATTCCGGTCAAAAGCCCGCGGGAGGAAGCTCATTATTCACGATAGCTCGGTCATTGGTCTAGAATACGAAGACAAAAACGGGCAGCTTCGGAAGATTTGTGCACGCCGTGCCGTTGTTCTTGCAAGCGGAGGCTTTGAGTGGAACAAGGAGCTCGTCAAGGACCATGTCGCTGGTCCCATCGAAGCACCGTTGAGTCCGCCATCCTGTGAAGGAGATGGGCTTATCATGGCCATGGAAGCTCAAGCCGCCATCGCTAATACCAGGGAGGCGGCTTGGATGCCAGCAATCTCCATTCCTGGGGAAAAATATGAGGGCGAACAACTATACCGCTTGACAGGAGGAGAACGGGCAAATCCCGGATCGATCATGGTGAACCGAGCCGGCAAGCGATTTGTCAATGAAGCACACAACTACAACGATGTAGGACGAGCAATGCACAACTTTGACGAAATGAAATTCGACTATCCAAACTTGCCATGCTGGATTATTGTGGATGCAGAATATATGGAGCGCTATCCTTTTGCGACTCGGCTTCCTAGTGATCCAGTCCCAGAGTGGATAGAGGCAGCCTTGACCCTGCGTGAACTTGCAAAGAAAATTGGGATAGACCCAACTGGCCTTGAAAAGACTGTACAGAGATACAATGCTCATGTGGTGCGAGGGTCAGATCCAGACTTTGGCCGGGGCACAAGCAGCTACGATTTGGCCTTTGGGGACAATTCGCGAGATGGACCATTTCAGACACTCGGTATCATTGATCGAGCACCGTTCTATGCATGTCGTGTCTATTCCGGTGTCCTCCAAACCAAGGGTGGTCCCAAGATCAATGCCAGATCGCAAGTTCTCAACGTTCGTCGCAAGCCAATCAATGGCCTTTACGCGGCTGGAAACGTCAGTGCCGGGTTTACAGGAATGGCATATCCTGGAGGCGGGGGCTCAGTGGGACCGGCCATGGTGTTTGGTTATATTGCTGGGCGTAATGCTGCAGCAAGCGAACAATGGACCTGAGAATGAATCTTGATGGACGGTGACCACTTTGCAATGTTAACCAGGCAATCAGCACAGGTATCGAGTCGTCTTTATTACAGCATCAATTGCGACCACGGTAGGTGTTTGAGGAAAAATATATAGCTATGAGTATTAGAAGCATTCCTTCACACTAAACCGACAAATCTTAGACCGCATGGCAGAACCAGGGTCGCGTCGACCGAGGAGATAGCCATCACTTCATGAGAGTCTCTTTCTGCATCAAAATCAACCATGGCTCATAGCGTCTACACTCAAGCCAACATTGGTAACCGAGGGTCTTCCCTGCTTCGATGTAATCTTGTTTTCAATTACCGGTTTCCAATAGCGTTGCCGCCCCTTGCTCGCAGAACATCCGCACCATATATGGCTGGAAGCGGCTGAAGAGAACGGGGAAAGGCGGGGATTTGGGTGGCGGTTTGACTGGTCCGTTCTCAGCTTAGTGTTTCCCCGCGAACAGCGCCGAATCGTTTATAAAAGTCTCGGCCCCTCCTTGCATTCCCAGCAATTCTGTGTGATTGAAAAGGGAGTCATCAAACTAGAATGAGCGACAACTTCTCAATGGGGCCTCAAGTCGACCCGCTAGCAGCACCGGACTTAGAGCAGCCGTCCGTGTCCGCGGAGACCGAGAATGCTGTCGGCTCAGTAGCGTCGGATGAAACGTTCAGTTACCTCATCTGCACTTCGACTGACGGTAACCCGCCTGACGCAAACAAAGCTAAGGAGTCATATCAGTGTCGTCGCTGTGGTAAACACTTTGGTCGACTTGACCATGTCAAGAGACATTGTCGCTCTCGTGAGTCCCCTTGACTGTATATCCATTTGACTTTGTGACCCAGATAAGCTTTGTATCGAGCTTTGCTACCTCCCTGCTGATTGGCTCTCTCTAGATGCAAATGAGCGTACCTACACATGCAAGTTGTGCTCGAAGGGCTTTAATCGAAAGTATCAAGCCCTCCCTACTAAACATCAACTCTACGCATCTCGAGCTTGGCTGATCCTTCCTGGAGCGCAGAGATCTCCTAGATCGGCATAGTGCAATACATGGTACGTCGAGCCACAATGATGAGTACCGACCGAGACAACGTACTCGAACAGCAAAGGCCTGCGTACAATGCACTATCTCCAAAACGAAGTGCTCCGATGAACGCCCATGTCAAAGATGTCGAGATCGAGGCCAACCCTGTGGTTCGGAACCTGAAGCATCCAGTCCCATATTCCAAGGATCATCGACGCAGTCTGACTCTACCGACAGACACCACCACGATCCGGCTCCAAGCTCTTTGGAACTTTGGACCCACCGTCCGAATCGCAATAATGCGTTGACAGCCATTCCTGGATCACAGCAATTAGACAATAGAGAAGCAAGCCACGTAAACAGGCCCGTTTCTTCGTCATCAATGCCCCAGATTGAGATCGAGAGGAGCACTAATGGTCATACTGATAACATTCTGAGCACCTCTGCATTGCCATGGATGTGGGACAATAACTTCTTCTCAACTGATCCTGCGCCGGACTTCGACGATGATATTCTGATGGATCTAGATCTGGATTGGACTTCGTTTGTTCAGCTTGATTACGATCTCAATTGCAATGACCCTCATGTCGGCTCTCCACGGTACACCAGGGGACCAGATGACTCGAACAGTGGGTTTCGACCTCGTGGACCCTCGGTCAGGGAATTCTTCAGCCAATCCCTTTGGCTGTGGGACCCTGATGCTCGTGATTCAGCATCCACGGAAGAAACACCGCATCTGTCAGAGGCCGACGAACGTGTCATTCTATCTACAGTGCATGTCAACAACGCATCCACCGATAAGGGAACCGGTTTGTCGCCGTGGTCTGCAGGGTTCTCCTGCAGAAGCGATACTCGAGACGCTCTCCTCCTCATGGTCCAGAGTAACTCTGCCAGAACGTCTGCAGTGCGATGCTTTCCCTCTGCGGAGGTCCTTAACTTTCTGTTGAAAGCATTTGCTTTTCAGGAAGCTTTATCCCGTTGCTCGTTGCTTCATCTCCCTTCTTTCAAGGGAGATAGTTGCAAAATCGAACTCCTTAGTGGGTTGATCATCGCTGGATCTACCAGCTTTTCCAATCCCCAGATCTGGAAGCTCGGCCTGGCGCTTCAAGACCCCACTCGAATAGCTCTCTACAAAGTATTGGACCGCCAGGCCCTGACCTGGCAAAACATGGAGCTGTTGCAGGCTCAGATCCTTTGGATTGAAGCTGGATTATGGAGTGGTGTTCGCTGCAACATGGAAGTTGCTGAATCGGCCGCAAATAGTATCCCCACCGTAAGTATAGCACCGAGCTAGACGGAGGGATGAACTAAGAGCTGATGTTGGCTAGATGATCCGGAGAACTGGAGTTTATAATCTGATGAGTCTTGAAAACACTTGGGTTCCTTTGCCTCAGGATGATGACAACACCTTGAAGTCAAAGTGGGCGAAATGGACACAGCTTGAATCTTTCCGCAGGTGAGTTGGAGACGAATCGAGAGAGCTGATGTCCTAACCCTTTTCAGATGCGTAATCAGAGCCTTCATCAACGATATACAAGCTTCGGCGGCCTATGCACGGAGCCCGCGCTTCTACAGCACCGAGATTATGTTCGGTCTGCCTTCTGCACACGACCTGTGGAATGCGCCCGACCATCTGACCTGGACAACCGCACTCCTAGCTAAACGCACGGGCACGGAACAGTTCAAGCTTACACTGAGAGATATCTTTCAAGACCCTTCCACCCTGCGTTCTCTGTCGCGTGAATATGATCGTGAGCTTTGTGCCTTTTCAGCATTACATTGTCTCTGGCCGCAGATCGTCGCACTGCAGGATTCCAAATCCTTGCATCGCGGTCATCGATCTAACAAAAGGCCTTCTCAGAACAGCCTGTGGCTGGAAGCACAACGGCAAGACCTATATCAGAGGCTTGCCGACATAAGAGACACTTCGAGTGTCATGGGGATTCTCACATGCGAAGCACGGGTAGTCTGTGAGATTTTCATGATGGCTCTCTACGTTTCGTTTGTCGACATTGAAAAGCTCGTTGGCCGATTCGGCCTCGACGAGTCTCGGTTAACAACCCCGAACTTACGGACATGGTCAGACAGCGATGAGCCATGGCATGCCATGTGGCATGCAGGTCAAGTGTTGAAGGCCGCGCAGGACATGAAACCCTCCCAACTCCGGGGCTTTTATGCGGTTGCCGTGTACCAAGCATGTATTGTATTGGCACTACCGTTTATGCTTGAAGCAATCAGCAAAACTTCCAGGAGACAAAGTCCGGAACCCCAGAACGACGCACAAGCAGGTTGCGAACAGCACACGCATAATCGACAAGAGATACCTAGGCCTAGAGAGGAAACTAACCTTGTTGTCTTGAACGGGGAAGAAAATATGCAGGTCAGAATGTACCTATTGAATGGACACGGGAGACCGAGTCTCATTCTCGGGAATGAAGTTACGCCGCTATCCGACATCAGCGTGGTTCCACTTATCATTTCCAAGATTCTCGAAAGCAACCATGGAACTGGTGCTGATCGTCTTCCGCCCATGTCCGAGAAGCTGGTGGCACTTGTGAAAGAACTGACCAAGCTCACTGGGCATTGAGGCTTTATTACCTGGGATTAGAGAATTGACCTCTTGTCCTGGCATCGTAATCCAAGAACTTTACATTTGGTTATACCATTTGCGTACCAATAGCCTAGGCTTACCACACACGGCCTGCGGAAGGTCTCTTGGAATCATGCCAGCCTGTTTGTTAAGTTTCTTCAGACGACCATATAACTAAGGCATCGGTAAAGTTCGACAAATTGATATTGGCCAGTTTCACACTACACACTACACAGATGGCTCTAGGAAGTGGTATCCCAGCAGACTCTACTATACCAGATTAGAGGAGATAGCTTGATAGCTTAATCATTCACCGCGTCCAGGATAAAAGACTCTCGGCTAATGTTCTAGGGATATTGTACCTGCAGGAAGCTTCTTTCAAATCTTGACCAAGCCAGTATTGTCATAGGCAAGGTTTAATTTTTTGGAGATCACCCAATCCTACAACTTTTGGCCCAGCTTCAGGAGGAGTTCGGCAATATAATATGGCCGGCGGAGCCGGAGGGGCCACCCGAATTTCTGATTAGTCCATACAATAGTAAGAATATGAGTTTCGGAGTCGAGACCAACAAAGCCAATGCGCCCACCGGACCCCAGGAATCACCCTGGATTCTATCTTGACCCCGGCCTTCGTGCTGAAGGGATACAATATATCATGGACTGCTCAACGCATAGAAACGAAAACATTCGCGATCTCCTCCAGCTTCCTATTCTTGACGGTTTTTCAGCCTCCCGGCACATCTCATCTACCGAATTCGCCTTCACCCCCGTGTCTTGCTCAACATTATCCATTTACCGCACACGCTCGGGCACAGGATGTCAGAAGCATTAGGAGACATAGCTCTGAAGCAAGAAGCTGAGCACCACGAAATGGGACAGCTGAAGAAAACCATTTCGCGGGATACATTGCACCGCAACGAGCTTGGCCACGATGCTTCGGAACTCGACAACTACTGGGCTTCCCCACGGTTGATTGGGTCCATCTTTGCCACCTTCCTGCTAGCCAACAGCATCTTCATCGGCTACGCAATGCCAGTCAACATTCTATCCGTCATCAATGCTGATATCGGCCCTTCGCCCAACCTGTACCTGATCACGCTGGTGAACACCCTCTTCACTGGGGTATTGCATCTGTTCTTTGCTCGCCTCTCCGACATCCTTGGTCGACGCTATTTCCTCGTCGGCGGGCAGACACTCGGCGTCATTGGATCTATCATCTGTGCCACCGGCAACAGTGTCGACGTGCTCATCGGTGGGAGCGTCTTGACCGGCATCGGCGGGGCAGCAGGGTTATTATATCCCGTCATCATACACGAGCTGCTTCCAAACAAATACCGTCATTGGGGCCAGGCTGCTATAACCGTCACGGTCTTGCCCACGTTGGGCTTTGGCGCTCTGATCGCGAGGTCCATGATTGCCCATACCGCAGTTGGATGGAGAGGAGTCTACTGGCTGAATGTTGCCGTGGCTGGTGGTTCGGTCGTCCTCTTCGCAACCTGCTATTTCCCCCCAAACTTCCACATGATCAACAGCGAGTTGAGCAGATGGCAGGAGGTCAAGTCATTAGATTACGGGGTAAGCCAAGTGAACCCCATACTTGCGGACTCCCGAGCTGATTTGATGTTGAACTACCCTTGTGAAGTAGCTAATCTTTGTCCATAGGGAGTTTTGTTATACTTTGCTGGTCTTATTCTGGTACTTCTCGGCTTCACATGGGCTGGCGGGTTGTATCCCTGGCACAGCGCCCGCGTTGTCGCTTCCCTAGTTATCGGTGGTCTTCTGCTCGTCGCATTTGGAGTGTACGAAACATACATGCCACTACGACAGCCCCTTCTCCCCGTTCGGCTTTTCAAGATTCGAAATATTGTCGTTTGCATCTTTATTGGCTCGACCATGCAAATGGTTTGGCTCGTGCTGAACATATTTTGGCCCATCCAGATCACCCTGCTCTTCACGACGAACGAAATCACCATCGGCCTACTTTCTTGTACTACGGGCATAGCCCTGGTGGGAGGTGAACTGTTTTTCGCACCTTTGTTCAAAAGGGTTGGTTGTCTCAAGTGGCAGATGGTGCTCGCTTGTATAATGACTGCAGCTTTCTGCAGCGGTATGGCTGCGGTGACGTATAAGAGGGAGAGTCTCGCGATAACGTTCACAGTGTTGGCCGGCCTTGCAAATGGGTGGGTCAACCTCGTCACAATCGTTGTCACCGGGCTTGTGGCTCCCCCCAACGATATTGGTGTCGCCCAGGGCTTCTTCGGGTCGACAAGGTTGACTTTTGGTACCGTTGCTGGTAAGTCTCAGCGCTTCGTGCTCGCCAAAATCAAGGCGTGGTGCCATTATGGAGCTATTCAGCTGATGTAAAACCTCCAGTCAGTATTTTTCTGGCCATATATTCGAACAGACTCGGTGTCTTTCTGCCTCAGGAAATAACACCTGCAGTTGAAGCTGCCGGCTTACCCGCCAGCAGTATTCCAGACCTGTTCTTAGCACTCGCAAACGGTACTTCAGCGGCTATGGAGGCAGTACCTGGAGTGGATATCGCGGTTTTGAATGCATTACAGTTCGCAACAAGGCAAGCATACACCCATGCTTTCAAGATTGTATATCTAGCGTCTTTGGGCTTCACGGGCATCGGCTTATGTTCGGCATTCTTCCTCAAAGACGTGAATGATTATCTTACCAACTATGTCAACAAGACTCTTCACAAGCCCACCCTTGTGATAAGTCAGAAAGATGAGGTATGAGGGAATCGGGTCGGTTTGGATACGAATTGTCTTGCGCCTGGGAATGTTCTAGTTGGGTGGCTTTTCGTGTCTACCTCCATGGTGCGATGCCGTGTTGGTAGAGAATGACTTTAGCTTAGAGTCTCGCATATGTAGTTGACGCAAAATTACAAGGTCTTCTACAGAAACTGACATCATTGACGGCTAGAGAAAGATACCTTCCGAGCGAACCACCTTCAGTCGTTCATGCCATGTACGCGTCAAGACATGTTGATAGCAATAGTAGATCCAAGATACCTGAGCAGTAGGTGCGCATGCCCGACTCACAACATTAAAAGCAACTGTAGTTGATGTTAGACGTAGCTCTTTGCCAGAATGTTTAGATTAGAGCCAGGAGGCCATATTGTAAGCAAGTAAAGCCAGAAGTAATCGTTGTGACGCTATCACATGCTTCAACCGAAACTCACAGACAGAGAGCTCCCGGAGACGAACCGGTGGTACCATCTTCGTTAGTGTAGCATTCTTATGGTTGGTACAGGAACGACGGAGAAAATCTTTAGAGTACCGAAGACGGGAAAGCCGCTTGTGACTTCGAAGCCGGCCCCTCCCCCTCCTTAGGCCCACCGGGCCGTTACTGCGTCTTGGAGCAAGTCAATGCCTTGATCACCTCCGACCGACACTTGGGATCCGACGACTTGTTGTGGAGTTTGGTATGCCAAAGGTGATAGCTCGAGTTCGGTAACCTGTTCACTGAGAAACAGCGATATAAGCCATGACCTGAGTTTCGATCTTGTCGTGACATCTACTGCTGGGTGGCTATCCCTAACATCCATACAATCACGGGTATCCTATTGATTTTCAGCAGCCTTAGACTTGGATCATCACGATGCTGCCAGAGGAGGTATCAGTTCTCGTTGTTGGGGGAGGCGGGAGCGGACTTTCGTCGTCGATTTTCCTATCTGATCTCGGCGTGGATTCACTCCTGGTTGAGCGTCGTGCTGGCACATCACATATGCCTAAAGCTGGTGCCCACAACCAGCGCACAATGGAAATCTTCCGCCGTCACGGGATAGCAGATCAAATCCAGGCCATCGGTATGCCTGCGGAAACTCGCATTCGCACAACCTGGTTGACTTCACTCGGTGGGAACGACGTGCTCGACCGGCGAGAACTCTTCAGTCTCGATGTTAATGGGGAAGGTGTCTTCCGCGAAATGTTCGAGCGGGACAGCCCTGAACTCTCTGCAGGTCTGGGTCAGTACCTCCTCGAGCCTCTCCTTCGAAAGAACGCAGAGGAGCGTAACCCAGGGAAGGTATGCTTCGGATTTGAGCTGCGCCATTTGACCCAGAACGGTGACGGAGTGATTGCGGAGATACGTGAAGTCGCCACCGGCAAAGGCTATAACGTTCGTGCACGTTACGTTATTGCAGCTGACGGAGGCCGCACTGTTGGGCCAATGCTGGGTGTCTCAATGGTCGGGCAGACAGATCTCGCTACCATGACCAGCCTCTATTTCCGCGCAGATCTTTCGGAGTATGTCAAGGATGATGTGGTTGTTCATTGGCTGGTAGGACCGCGCTTTGGATCCTGGACCGGTGGTGCTTTGGTGAAAGCCGGTCCGAAAAACTGGGACCGCCATTCCGAGACGTACACCATGCACATTATGATTCCACCAGACGACCCCGATGCTCAAAATCTGACCAACGAGCGCGCGCTCGCCCGTGTTCGGGCACTTCTCAATATTCCCACACTGGACGCAGAGATTCTCGGCGTCAGCCCATGGCACATTGAATCAGTTCAAGTCGAAAAGAGCCGCGTAGGACGTGTCTTCTTGATAGGCGACGCAGCGCATCGCCAGCCACCCACATCCGGACTTGGCCTACAGTCAGCAATCCAGGATTCAGACAATCTGGTCTGGAAAATCGCAGCTGTCGTCAAGGGCTGGGCGAGTGAAGCTATTCTGGACACATACGAAACTGAGCGAAGGCCGGTTATCCAAGACAACATCGAGTATGCCCTCTTCGCGTTTCAGAACCAGTTCGCTTTTGAAGCCGGCATCGGGTTGACTCACGCCAAAACACCAGAGCAACGCAAGGCCGTCTTTCTGAAATACCTAGAGGACAGTCCGATGGGCCGAACGCGTCGGGCAGTTGGGGCCGAAGTCTTTGGGACAGGAAGGATGGAGCTAGACCCTCATGATCGTGAAATAGGCTTTCATTACGAGGATGGACTTGTGATTCCGGACGGAACTCCCGCCCCGCTGCGAGATCCAATGGGGATCACCTATGTTCCCACCACTCGCCCAGGACACCGTTTGCCACACGCCTGGCTGAACAACAGAGGCAAACGCCTTTCAACTCATGATCTCGGTGGCATCGGCTGTTTCATTGTGCTTGCGGGACCCGATGGGAAAAATTGGTGTGACGCCGCAGCGCGGTTATCTGCCGACTTAGGTATCCCCCTCGAGTCCTGCCGCATCGCAGCTGGAGGGAACGTCGGCGATCCAACACGATCTTGGGCCAAGCTCAGTGAAATCGGACCCGATGGCGCGCTTCTTGTGCGACCCGATCGCTACATCGCATCCCGTTTCAAGGTTGCTCTGGCAGACCCGTACAAGGCACTCAGTGACGCTCTCACAAGGCTTCTGAGCCCTTCACAAGTTCATTGTAACGGCCAGAAGGCGTAAGCCGTTGGAAGAATGAGTAATCAGATACCAAGGCTTCTCACACTTGACCGCTAGAGAGGCTCAGATTCTTTGCTTCTCGCGGAGCTAGACTACTTCCGCGGGCTCTTCCGACTGCCCTCCTACCATTGTTGAAGAACGTTTGTAACTAAGCTGTGAGGAATGAATGTCGGTATTATAAAGAGCAGAAGCCTGCTCCCAATCATTGATCTTGAAGTCCTGAGTATCCTAAGTCGGATGATGCGTGAGTCGGTATCCTGACTGCTGTATCGTATGTACCCAACACGAAGAATTTTTGACCGAGGAGTTTCTGTATCTCTTCTACACCTTCGTACATTACATTTTGAGCGTCACTAGGAACATTAAATCATAAGCAGATTAAGTATCGAGCTAGAGATATGAGCAAAATCCGAATCTAAGATATTTGTACCAAATTGAGGTCGCACTTCAGGCACGTGCACTGCCTCACTAACCTTTCGATCATTTGTTCCTTACTTGGTCCGCTAGATTGACCATAGTAGTGATAGTGTTGACGGAGGATCGCTTTTCCCCAAAGATCACATCGACAGCGGCAAGAAACCTATAACGGGATCACAATAACATTCCATAAATTTAGAATCAAGGAGAAATGAGACCCGGCCCAAGACGCCAGAGGCGTTCAGTATTTTACTCGGTACGTGGTTACAGTATAAGTCGACAAGATCTTCGGTACGTGTTGCGACACTGACTTGGAACTTTATTTGTGCGTACTAGACATTGACTAGTCCATTGTCTTGACAAGTGGGCAGTCAAGTATTGAGCGAGTCCATATCCTGGGTGCGAAATAAGCGAAACCTCCTGAGGCACAAAGAAAATATCTGTTCGGAGTATCTTGGAGCATGGAATATCGACACCAAAAGGTTGCAGAGCAAGGGGTCGAGGCTTGAAGCACCAGTTGAAGTGTGAAAGCCAGTTCTGTTGTTGTTCAGCGTGGAGCTTAAATATAACAATATAATAGATTAATATGGGTAGGGAGCGAGACCTCCGGCGACAGAAAAGAGCCCTGACCACATGCCACAAAACCCACACACAGCGTCATATCTATCATGGTAGAGTGAAACGCAACACAATTCTTATCAATGGTTCAAATGCTTAATCTGCGGCATCACGAGACAGCTTCCTTAATTATCCGGACAACAGTGTAAACTTCCTCATAGGTGTTGTACAAAGGCGCAGGTGGGATTCGACACACTGCCGGCTTTCGCTGATCTGCGACTACGCCACCACTTTTCAATCCTTGCCCGACCTTGTCCAGGAGCCCAGGCTTGAACAGCAAGCTGAGCTGGGCACCTCTTTCATTGGGATTGCAGGGTGTAATGATTTTGTATGCGGTTTCGCCATCGATCAGTGGTACATCTTGTAGAAGTAAGTGCTCTGCATAAGCTGTGAGCCGCAATGACTTCTCTCTGAGTGCCTGCATGGAGGTCTCGTTGAATATGGACAGCGAGGCGATCACACAACTTAGGTCGATAGCGGAAGGGTTCGAAATCTGATACCCAGCCGCGCCAGGGATGGGGATGAACTTGTTGTCCATATTGAATCGTACAGCACGATCTCCTCCATACCACCCAGTCAGTCGCTCTCGGTAGATTGGTCTGTTTGCACTCTCTGTGTCGTGGCCTGTCTCTGACTTGGAGTCGGCATACTCGACTTTGCCATGCCGCTCGTGCACAAAAAGCCCGCCAATGCTGCCAGGACCCGAGTTCAGGTACTTGTACGTACACCACACGGCAAAATCGACTCCCCAGTCGTGCAATTGTAGCGGTACGTTGCCAGCTGCATGTGCTAGGTCCCAACCGATGGGAATGCCATGCTTGTGCGCGTGCTCAGTGATCAATGGGATGTCGAGCATTTGCCCAGTGTAGTATTGGATGCCCGGAAGAACGATCAGCGCAAGTTGGTCGGCGTAAGCGTCAATGGTGGCTAGAAGCTCAGACGTGGAGAGGGTGTACTTGCCGTGGTCAGGGGTGACCAGGAGCATGGCTTCGTCTGGGTCGTAGCCGTGCCATTTGATCTGAGACTCGATGGTGTAATGATCGGATGGGAATGCGTGAAACTCTAACAAGACCTTATTACGAACAGCCGTGGGACGGTAGAAGCTTGCCATCATCAAGTGTAAGTTGACCGAGAGTGTGTTTTGAATCGAAACCTCACTCGGTACCGCGCCCACTAGAGGGGCACACAATTTAGATGCGGATTCAGCTAGATCCTGCCATGGAGCTAGCGGTGAGTCTGCAACAGGACGGAAATGGCCATCCACACATATTGTGGCCCAGGTGGACAACAGGTTCTGGACGTAAGCAGATGTCCTTTTTGGTTGAAGGCCGAGCGAATTGCCACAGAAGTATATGCCAGCATCCGATGCAGAGTCCGTCATCGGGGACGCTGATATCTCGGAAAGCGACTGCGCCCGGAGATTCGACTTGGAGGGGATAATGAATTCATTGCGGAAATGGCGTAGGGGACAGCAAGCGTCTAGAGAACGAGCATATTCAATGTTGTTGGCATTCGAAGGGAAATCAGCGATGCTCTTTCCAGCGGGTGACCTGGAGCATTGCTCATCTGTTCCATTGGTGATAATCTCTGGCGCCATTTTATTTCTGCTTTTAGATACCTGGTCAGGACTTGTGAGGTTGTGGTTAGTTCTAGGAATACACGGCGCGAAAGGAAAGTCCTTTTATCTAGGCCACTAAGGCACCGCTCGCGGGTTCTTCCATCGGAATTGCGCCTCCTTGACCGTAGTGGATCTTTAAACTTTCATTTCCAACGCTGAAGACTGGCTGGTGAAAGTGAGGTCGAACCCAAGTGCACGCAGACCCACATGGCACTCGAATGTTCCGGCGGATACGGGCCGACGGGCAGAGGAACCGCAGGGTCTGACGTTGCTAGAACAAAGCCACTTCAAGGCCTTGAAGTTATCGAATAATCACGGTGGGCCTGGAAACCGCACCAGCCCTCCATATCCTCCTCTTGTTAGCTAAAGCTATGCCGTGGACAGGCCCAGCTTGACCGCATAAGCTTGACTTGAGAACACCGGGCCGTTATTTACGGTGCTGCCGCTTAATGGACACCCTGCAACATGGTCGAGCAACTCCGTAATAGGGTCGTATGTTCGCCTCAACTGACAAGTGCAACTTCACCTTTTCCCCCAGGGCTATCAATCCGGCCGATACCACTCCGGTCCGCCTCCGTGCCGCCTTTCTCGGCACGTTGTGGAGGGCCAGCCTCGTGCAGGCAAATTTTGCGGGATTATCAGCACGAAGCTGGCTAGAGGGTTCGTTATGAGGTTAAATTGTCTCAAGCTTCAGAGCCGTCTTCTTTCTTCATCAATGGTCTAGTTATGATTTCTGCCATGCCAGCAAGGCCACTTGACGTGCTGGGGGATTATGGTCTTTCGGCACGCACTGGATTTCTGCCAGAAGAAGCGCCTCTGACTCGGCTGCCAGATGATTATTATGAACCATGGGAAGATTTGATCCAGAATCTTGCGCAGCTGGTTTCTAGCTACAAGATCCGTTCAAGAATCGACCAGTTACCCCTTCTCAAGACGTCGCGACTGAAGACGGAGGAAGAATGGCGTCGAGCATATGTAATAATGGGATGTTGTGTGCAAGCCTACATATGGGTAGGTGAAACGCCCTCGGATGTGCGTGAGCAAATGCAGATACCCTGTCCTGTGTGGCATCATGACTGTTGACTAAGGCTCAGAGTAGCGTTTGCCACCCCAGATCACAATTCCTCTTCTGGATGCTGCTTCTTACCTTGGGCTCGCTCCCATGAATACCTACGCCACGATCGTTCTTTGGAATTATGGATTGCTGCCTGGAGAGTCAGACCCAACGAACCCCTCCAATCTGCGAAGCACCAACACCCTGACAGGTACTCGGACTGAGGAGTGGTTTTATCTCATTTCTGTTACTCTCGAGGCCAGAGGGGGTCCCATCATCACGGAGCTTCTTGAGTGCATGTCTAGCGTCAGACAAGGCGATGATGCCGCGGTGGTGGCCTCACTGGAACGAACTGCGTGCCACATAGTGGCCGTAGGAGCTCTGTTGAACCGCATGTACGAGCATTGCGAGGCTCAGCCATTTTACTACGATGTTCGCCCGTTGCTGTCAGGAACCAAAGGCCACGCCTCTCTTGGGCTACCTAAAGGAGTCTTCTACGATGAGGGCGACGGCAAAGGATCGTGGCGACAGTATGCGGGCGGAAGTAATGCGCAAAGCTCATTGATCCAGTTCCTGGACGTTGCATTGTCGGTAAAGCATCATGCCACAGGCCAGGATGGAACTCTGCGGCGTCCCTCGCCTTCCAACAGGGGGTTCATCGAGGTGAGTTAGCATCTTGTTGACATTGCGCGGGTGGTGGCCTGCTAACAGGGGAGCAAGGAAATGCGGCAATATATGCCGGGTCGACACCGAGACTTTCTCTGCCATATGGAGAAGCAAGCACATATCCGAGAATACGCAATGAGTACCGAAGTTAGCGACCCCAGGGTTCGTGCCGCGTACATCGAAGCGGTGGCGGCGTTGACCCAGTTTCGCAATATCCATCTAAGGATTGTGGCCAGATATATCATTTCCCCATCGCGACAACCAGTGCCTGAGAACTCAAAATTGAAGGTCGGGTGGAACCTAGCCAAGACAGCTCCCAATCATAACGTAGGAGAAGAAGACGTAGCCAAGCTACAAGGCACAGGTGGTACCAAGTTGATGGCCTTTCTCAAACAAACCCGAGATGAGACTTCTATGGCAGCCAAATTTCCAGAAATCGCGAGTCGGTAATGCTCGTCCTGTGAACGTTTATAGAAGCCCGAAGCTGGGTTCACAAAAGACCTGTGAGCGGCGTATTTATCAATCAGATCAACAACCTTCATTGCATTGAGGCAACAACGAGCGAACCTTCAATCAAACAGCATGCCGATTTAGGGTTCGTGTATTCTTTTTCTGATCCGAGTGAATTCACTCTGGTTTCCGCAATGTTTCGCGCTTTAATTTCTTGTAATACGTGCTAGACTCATGGTATTGGACATATCCTCCAAGGAACTGCGGTCCACCCTTCGGGAGCATGAACCAAGCCAAACTCAACAAGGATCTTGGAGTACCGCAGTAGAGTACCACCAGTCGTCCATATTCGCAAAGTCTTGACCTTGCGCAAAGTAGCTGTGAGCTAAGACCGAGAAGCAATCGTCCATTAGTGGTTGCGGCTGCTGCTGTGAGACTGGGTTTGCTAATCGCATTGACGCTTGGTCAATATTCGGGACCAAATTATTGGCCATAGCTAAGGACACAGGCGTATCACCCGACACAGTCTGGGCAGACGCATTGAAATCCGTGGGTGTAGGAAGGAGGGTGTCATCAAGCACTTCAGAAAAGTTGAATGTCGGCCGATGCAAGGTTAGTGAAGGGCCAAAGTATGGATCCGATCCTGTAGGTAGTTCACTGATAAAACAGGATTCGATTATGGCCCAGAAGTGTGTTAGGTCGATAGCTACTCTTCTTCCAGAACCAATCGAGGCGCTGGAGGAATTATGGTACGAGGTGGCCACAACGTTTGCAAACTGTTCAACTTTACTTGCCTGTTAAATAATTTAGTTAGCTAGTCTGAAACAAGTGTCCATACTAAGATAGTAAAACGAAAGAGCAAGGTTCTTACCATTTCAGACACTCTTGGCCAGTAAGCACCGAGATTCTGGATGAAGTTGAGGCATTTGTCGAAGTTTTTCTGCTTGCTTGACCTCGTTTCAGCATCTTCCGCGTAGCTTTGTTGCAGGAAGATAGTAGCCACTACTGACACACAGTAAGCAATGTATGGGTCGGATAGCCGAAACGACGTTGCATTCACTTCGTCGATCAGACGAACAACCCACGCCGTGTGGTTTTTAATAAGGTCATCGGTTTGCCGGAGGAAGACTTCCGGGACCCCATCGGCTCCGAAATTGCGAAGTCGCAACGACAAGATCAAAGGGTGGTTTAAGAGACAGAGAATGGTGTGGTAGAGAAACTTCGTGAGAAGCCACGGGGACCAGAAGTGGCGAGCTTGTTGGAGCCGAGCAGGATCTTGGTCCCTAAACCTCGCCATGCGGTAACGATATTCGGGTGGACATTTCGCATCGAGCTCCATAAGTTGCGCAGTGATGGAAGAAAATTCAGAATTCTGTTCCCAGCACACAATCTCACGTCGCTGACTACGTCTCCTTGCGTACCGGGCCGTCCTGGACCACAGCGCACTCATCTGGACAGTGTAGGAGATAATTCCAGTGCCACTAACATTCACATCCGGCGTCACCTGCGAAGAACCTGTGGTTGGTCCAATGGGAAGATCTGGACTTTTGGGAAACTTGGGGGTGTAGTCACCTGTCAGGAAAGAGAAAGAGCCTGACCAGTTGCCATGGAGGTTTTTCAAAAGATTCAGGCTCCAGAAGCATCGCCGTCGCTCCTCATAAACATCTTCTGGCCAGGATCGATAATGCTCAGAGGCTAACCCTCCAGATTGAGCAAGCTCCATTGCCAGTGAGCTGAAGACGCCAGCTCTGGCAGTGTAGCCGTCATGAAATTCATTCAGGCTCAATATACACAGACATTGAATGGTAGAAACGTCCACAGGCCCATATGAGACTTTGTGCATCACCAGTTTCTGTGCCGCTGCGGCATATTGCCGTTTATCAACGTCAAGAATATTTATGCCAAGATCCCATCTGTCCTTGAAGCGCAGGGCACTTGCAACAATGGAAAGAAGAAGCTCGACATCCCAAGAGGCAAAAGAATCCCTCCAGTTTTGGGGGGAGAAAAGTGGTAAAGGTTGAAAATTGCAGAATTTCATGTACACATCCACCGCCGCCTCAACGACAGGCTTGGGCGGAAGGGGAGGAGTGTCTCTGTCTCCTCTTTCCTGTCGAACCGAGTCGCTCTGACCAATCGAGTCGCTTAATCCACCGTTGGCTGGAGATTCGGAAAGTGAGAGGTCATGGGTAGCATGTTGGTCTTGCGATTGGTGACGGAGGAGGTTCTGTATCTGTGCAAGTCCTGCCTCCAGAGCATTCAATCTAGCAGTCGTGGCATTGTCTGTGAAAAGTGCACTCTGAGAGAACCTAACACCCTCCTGATCTCGGGAGGGGGCAGCAATAGAGTCCTGCGATCCCCGCTCACGACCCCGGCTTCCAGATGAATAAGAGCAGTTATGTCCTAGACGAGCACAATGCGAGCAACGTGGCTTCTCTCCAGGACACCGAGATTTCTTGCGCCGACAAGGTTCGCATGCCTCAGTTGTTCGCTTTGGCGGCCGGCGAACTGCTGATGGATTGTCCATACTCGAGAGGTTCTTTCAGTATCATGCCCGGCGTCGAGATGACAATCTATCAAGATTGAATCCAGACTTGAGGTCAGGCAGCCAATTCAGGCGAGGGTGGCTTTGAACCGATCTTCAGTAGCACGTGATAGTGAGAATGCAAATCAAGCAATAGGATATGTAATCAATGAGGTTTCAAGTTCCGACTCGGTCAGAAACACAGCCAGAGACAATACGTTGGCCCGGGCGGACCGGAAACCTCCATTACTAGAAGAGTGAGAGAAGCCAATGTCTTGGCGTCAGTTCCCGCACGTGACTACGCAGCGACGCAGCACGTGACGCTCTGCATACAACTCCTCGAGACGCCGACTCCAGCCGTTAAAGACGGTGCCCATCTTGAACGTGGATCTAGCGTCGATAGGATTACGCATGGATCTTGCCTGCACACTCCGGCCACCCCAGATAGTGTTTCACAAGACCACAAACTTCATTTCGCCTGGTTCTCAGGAGTGGGCCGTTGCCGGCGGATGCGGGCCGACTTAATACTGCCACGGAGCTGTCTGTCAAGCTCCAGGTTCTGTAGACAGCACTAAATACTCAGACGGCGTACTCGGCAGCTACAGAGTGTTTTGCAGGATGAAAATCTGCAAGGATTTGTAGGATCTGAGGCCACCATCCATGGCTGGAAGAACGAGCAGACTTTGTAAAACTTGCACTGCGAGGGTCCTGTGTTAGAGACTTTTAAAAACTTGTGGTCTCATCCTCGTGGTAATGGAACTTTTGCAGCTGAGCGTCTATACTCGGTGTAATAATCACCCAATACCCTTGCATATTGTTATGCAACACTCAGTTCCTAGGCGATGTTTAGGAGCTAAACAGGATATATTGACGAGTCCGACCTTCCTCTTCCGGAGGGAGATCTCTATCTATTATATAGGCAAAAGAAGCGTTCCAAGGGAAGGCTTTCTCGCCGTCACACAGCGCGCCGCGTGGAGTCATCGGCCGCTCTCGGGCGGCGTTCTATCGGGCGGCGTTCTATCGGGCGACGCTCTAGACAGAGAGAAAGCCTCCTTGTGAAGTCCGAGAATATAGTCATATATGACTAGAAACAGTGAATTGATGGTGTTGCAAAAGTTGTAAGGAACGTGAGGGCGTCGGCGTTCCGCCGGAGGCGCTAAGGCGCTAGGCGTGAGTATTTGACTTGTAAAGACGGTCACTGACATGGCTCACAACTCAGCCTAGTTCAACACATATCCAAAGCCAAGTGACTCGCCCTTCTATTCATGGCCCACCGCCGCTATTCCGTGCTGGGCCAGGTCTAATTGTAGCATACTCCTCAGTCAGAAGTAGGCATAAAAGCGAAAGGGGTTGCTTTTTGGAACTGCTGTGTCATATCCCCGACTCTGTCAGTCCAGTTGACACCGACGAGCGGTAGCTGCATAGTTTGGCCCTTGTTGCTCAAATCTAGTTCCGAAAAGTCCACCCAAAAGAACATGCCGTCTGTCGCACTTTCGTAGTAGTATGTCAAGTCTTTGGTGTCAGCGTACGTTCTCCATAAGGTCGGCGTGATGTTCGGTGTGTCAATATTGATCGGCTCCATGGGCACACTGACGGCACGTATCATACCAGCAGTGGTCGCCAGTGCGCTGACGAGATCCCTTGACCCCGGACCCACGTCCACATAGTGTGCAAGACGTGCAAAGCGATCCGCCGGCCTGTCAGTGCCTGGGAGCGAGATATTTGCGATGGGTGCCCAGTACTGGTTAATGGCCAACTGTGAGTCATAGTCGGGTTCATTCGTCATCACATTAAACTGAGTGCCGTGATGGGTAACTAAGGTACCGTTCAACCACTCGAGGATGAGATTGTCGCCAGAAGCATCGCTCACGGCAACGTGCATCAGAGTGGGCACCCCAGGTATCAATGCAGCCGTACGGACCTGAAATGATGGCTCTCCGTCTTCGCCATACACAGCCTGCGCGGCTTCTGCCACCGTGGCGAAGTTATCCAAGAAATATTGTGGCCAGATTGCGATGGACATGCCAGGGATTGAAAGATTTCGTTTGCCGTAATCCCCATCGGCCAGATAGAGGAGATTGACGGTCAGTCCTTGACTATTCATACCGTCGGCTGTCGATATGTCGTATGCTGTGGTAACGACAGAGCCATACTTGCTAGTCCAGTGAAACGAGTTCGTCCCGGCTGACCCATTCCTCGCAAGACCTGCAGGGAACGCAAAGATGCTAGAATTTGTCGGCGTAAGCCAGTCCATAGATCGACCCACGACGATACGGTTGCCATCGTTTTCCCCACTATCATAGGTCACTCGAGAACAGCCGAGAGCTTCCCTGCCTGATAGCAGAAGGGCAAAAGCGATCGATGCGCCTAGGCGTGACCGACCCATGATTAAAGCCTGATGAAGAAGAATGGCTGGAACAAGAAGAATGTTTAGGGTTCGCAGAAGCATCCATTTGAGGGAGGCGGATAAATATATATATATATATATAACTTCTGCCTTGTCATGTGTCGCCGCTTTACTAATCGCCGAGCACTGAGACGAGCGGTGTCGTCGCCTTTCAAAGAAAAGGAGAGAAAAAACATGCGCAAGAGATCCTCCTCTGTATTCATCAGCGCATTGATCGATCGGAATATGGTCTGGAAACGCCACTAGAATCCCAGTTTTCATAGATCCAGATCGCACCCCATCTTTTTGAGCTCCGTGTTTTCGATAGATTTATGCGAAGACTCCGCTAGTTGGAATCTTGTTTTATTAGAAATATATGATGCAAGCCTCTTAGTTGGAGATAATATTCGCTAGATGCAAATTCCCTCCAGCTAAGTTCGTTAGCATCTCGGCCAGAGCCAAGAAATCTGGATCCCACGAGGTTCCCTGGACTACCATGATCGCCGCATGAGTCCGTGCATGTGAATAAGTTGGCCAGATCTGAACGCCGCAGAAGTTCTAGATCCCAAGCCTCTTCCTTCTGCTGAGTGAGCTTTGGGCACTTGATGGTGCCGAAAGACATGGTTACTACTCCACATTTCGAACAACTTTCTCCGCAGCTAGCTCTAATTTGATCATGGCTGTGTCCGGTTTTCTCTTTTATAGTAAATAGCCTTCAGCCAAGCTCGTCTTAAACTAGAGAAGTTTATCTTCACTAGGGAAGGTTATCTTACGTAGAGAACTGCTTTGGTCTCTTCGTCTGACCTTTTCCGGCATGACCTTGTAGGGAGGAACGCTAGCGACAACAAGGACTTCTTGACAAAATCTAAAGTCCTTGTCCCAAATTCCTGATCCTGTCTGGGTCCGCCGTGAATCCCATGGTTTCGCTTACAGTTTGCTGTTCCGGAAACAAACTGTTCTCGCTACGAGGTTTTCCGGGAAACACGCAAAGGTAGATTAATAGACGTTTCTTTCTTTCGACATTCAAGCAGAAACGTTCACACACCCCCCAGGCTCTGATCTGGAAATCCGTAAAATAACATGCGGATAAATATCAGTCAGCCCTTCCTGGCTACTATAGCTTTTGGGCTATATACCCATATCGCAGTAGCATTCGCGACACCCAGGCATTTACCTGTGGTCGACCTCGAATATGCTGTCCATCAAGCAACGCTCAGCGCAAGCAACAATCCTCCACCAGTAGATAATGATCACAACTAACAGAGAGAAAGGAGACCGGCAATTACTACAACTTCTCTAACATTCGCTATGGCGATGTCATGGACGGTGCAACTCGCTTTCAAGCTCCCAGGCCGCCTCAGACCAAAAATCGCACTTTGAATACCGGTCAAATCGCCACGCGTTGCCCTCAGACCCACCCTTTCTGGCTTGTCGATGGAACAGCGGTAGCGGAAGGGATACCAGCTGATCAGCTAGAACCTGTTCAATTCAACATCTCCCAGATCCCGCCTAAAAACCCCGAGGAAACTGAAGACTGCTTATTCTTAGACGTCATGGTGCCAACAAAAGCATTCTCTTCCTCAAACCCACGCCCCAATCCCACTGAAACTGGAGCGCCAGTCCTGGTTTGGATTGACGGCGGAGGCTTTGCAGCTGGCTACAAGCATGAGCAACCCCCAGCTGGTCTTGTGTCTCGATCTCAACTGGTCGACGACAAAGGGTTCATTTACGTGGCTATGAACTACCGTGTTGGACTCTTTGTAAGTGTGTACCAAGGACGCTCTAGTCGAAAGTGATCTCTCCAGTGGCTAATATCGATCGTGCAAGGGTTTCTTCCCAGCTGCAATAGCTGGCCAAGGCCAGTCAAATGTTGGACTTCTTGATCAACGCCTCGCATTGGACTGGGTTCAAAAATACATCCACCTGTTTGGAGGAGATCCCTCACGAGTCACCATAATGGGCGAGTCAGCTGGAGGCGGATCGGTCCTTCATCAGATCACTGCCTACGGAGGATCAGAGCCCGTTCCTTTCCAACAAGCTATTCTCCAGAGTCCTGGATTTCAGCCCAACGCAAACCCGGGTTTCCAGGAACAGCTCATCAATTATACCCTGACGAACGCTTCGGCGCTGACCAACAAGACTGTGGAGACGGTGGATGATCTCCGTAGCCTTTCGTTTGACGAGATCACACTGTTGAATAGCGTCATCATCGGCCGTTCGCCTTATGGCACATACACATTCGGCCCTGTCGTTGATGGCTCGTTTGTCCCCGAACTACCCGGGACCCTGATTGGGCAGGGTCGTTTCGCAACCTCGCTCAAGGGGTTACTGATGGGCACAAATTTCAACGAAGGAGTTCTGTTCGACTCACCGTTCCTTAGAAACGATAGCGACTACCGCGGAAATGTTCGGTTATTCTTCCCGAAAGCGACTGACGAAGTTGTTGATTATGTCGCGACTGTCCTCTATCCAAATGACTTGTCCGGCAAGTATAACTACACGACACAACCGCTCCGGGCAGCTATTACCACTGCAGAAGGCTGCTTCTTATGCAACACTAGATATCTTGCCAAAGCACTTCCGAATATTGTATTGACGCAGATCTACAAGTATCTATTCGCAGTACCTCCAGCGATACATGCCGATGACCTTGGGTATTCGTTCTACAACGGGAACGGTAGCCTTACGTGGGAAGGCTTTCCAGTCAAAGAAAAGACTGCCCTGACGCTGCAAGACTACATTGCTAGCTTTACCATTACAGGGTCTCCAAACAACGGTTCAGTCGCGAATTTACATCCTGTATTTCCGGCCTATGGAGACGACGCGTTGGTTCTTGTTCTGAACGAAACAAATTTGGGGGAGGTAATCATAGATGCGCAGGCTAATTCTCGTTGCGACTGGTGGCAGAAAGGCTTATATGTTTAGCTAACCAAACCTGTCCACGAAGTCTGTTATCCTAGATCTTTGATATTTTTGAAGGACCATGAATGAGTCCGGCTCAATTCCACGGAATAGGGCGAGTCTAATCGTTGATTGCTTTCACATCCAAATCAACTACTGGGAACAGACACTCTAGGGCATTTGAAAAGAGGCCTGCCTTAGGCACTATATCCATCGGCGCCAGTAAGCTATGATGTCCATGCGTGGTCAAAGCAAAAGCACTCCCTTGAGGAGTGGCGAGTTTTGCCTCGAATATTCATCTCACCTGTCGACAGGACGTCGACTGTTTTGTGGACAGATGCTAGCCCTTTACTTTTGGTGCTTTTTGTTTCATGATAAGGATTAACTCTCTTTTGGACGTCGAGCGCCTTGGGCCTCCAGTGCCCCATGGTGACTAGACGGTGTTTTGTGGGGGGTTCTTCATGAGTGGAGATGGGGGAACATGTGCCGTCCATCGTAGACTAGCCCTGGTTTAAGAATGCCCTGGTTTAAGAATGCCCTGGGTTGAGAACGGTAATGATCCTCGGCGTTCGTGCCCCATACTCCGATGCAAGACGAAGGCCCTTTCGAGGCTATTATACCAGAGGGTACCGCTGTCCACGGCAACATCCGCGGGAAATTCCTTCTGCATACTCGTTCAGCCCCGAACGACATCTACCGCTTCGAGCCGAGGTGACTCAGATGACAAAGGCCATAGTGCAGACAATACCGCAGAGCCCACGTCTGACTCTCATCAGGCTGTGGTGGAGTTTCGTAGTCCAGCAAGCATTGAGCAAACACGTGTGTCGTGCCGACACCAGCAGATTGTTAGTCTCACATGAGCCCAACTAACCAATATACCTGTTTGTCAAAGCTGCGGGTGCAGCCTCCGGTTCAGGTCTTTTCGCAACAGTATGAAACAGAGGGACTGAATACTCCATCTAAAAAAAGAACATACCCCTACTCTCCCCGGCTAATACAATACGCACTGACCATGGCTCACTAGTTTTGGTAAGTTGGTTAACGCACGGCCCCCGTTGCACATAGTCGGCCCAGAAGGAGAAGTAGATGTAAGATATTCCCTCGTATGGCACGACACTTTCTTAACCTTGATATTTGCTCATCACCATGTAGGGGTCACACATTACGAAGTGACATTTGTGTTTATTTCTTCTAGGTCTGCCAGTTGAGACTGCAATCACAAACAGAGTAGCGGCTCTAGGATTATCTCAGATAACACCAATCGCGGATTATACAGGCGTGTCTGTGCGCCAAATATCATGAACTCACCCGAGCTATTGGATCTTTAGACTTAGAGCAAAGTCAACCACAGCCTACAAGTACCAGTGGTCTCTCTACTGCTTGGGGACAGGTGAAAACGGCTGTTGTTGACTTTTTCCTGGATAGAAAAATTCAAGAATCGGCAGAAAGAATGTATATACTATTTTCTCTTTTGGCACTCCTACCTACAGTGATCCTATCGTCTCCAATCTGGAACCCGACGCCCGAGTCGCATTACGATGTCGTCGTTGTCGGTGGAGGACCGTCGGGACTGAGTGCGCTGAGTGGGCTGGCTCGAGTGCGACGCAAGGCGTTGTTGATCGACTCGGGTCAGTATCGGAATCTCCTAACAAGACACGTCCATGATGTGATTGGAAGTGACGGTGAGTCCCTTGCTGACCGTACTCGTCTCCATGATTGACGCTGAACACAAAATCTATCAGGAGTCACTCCGGCGTATTTTCGCTGGAATGCCCGCCAGCAGATTTCCCAGTATCCGACTGTGTCAATGACGAATGGCACAGTCACGCAGATCGCAAAGCTGAATTCCTCGACTTTCAGCATTGTCGATGCCGACGGCAATCACTACACCAGTCGCAAAGTTGTTGTTGCAACGGGCTTGAGAGACATTCTGCCTTCTACGCCGGGCATCGCCGAGAACTGGGCTCGCGGAATCTACTGGTGTCCTTGGTGTGACGGCTACGAGCACCGTGATCAGCCACTGGGCCTCCTGGGAGCGATAGACAAGATATTCGGCCTCGTGCTCGAGGTTGACACCCTGGATACCGACCTCATCGCTTTCACCAACGGTACGATGACTGCTGAAGGATTGCAGGTCCTCAATACTGCACAGCCCGATTGGGAGAATATCGTCAAGATCTACAACGTTAAGATCGACAACCGGACCATATCCACAATTGAGAGGATCCAAGACGGCGGCATAGTGAACAATATCGCCACCAAGACTGAATATGACAAGTTCCTAGTCCATTTCGACGACGGAACCACCGCGGAAAGGGGAGCATTCTTCACGGGCTGGCCGTCCGTACAGGCATCAAATGTCGGGACGGATCTGGGCATTGGGATGAAAGGTAACAAGTTATATAACAATATTACGACCATGGCGACCAATATACAGGGGGCCTATGCTGTTGGCGATGCCAATATGGACGGTAGCACGAATGTCCCACATGCGATGTGGAGCGGCAAGCGTGCTGCAGTTGATATACACCGTAAGTTGGGCATCTCTGCTGCCAGCGACCTTTCACTGACAGATATTCTCACAGTGGCAATGGCAGAGGAAGATTTTGAATCTGCAGTGATTGCAGCTGGGTTGAGCAAACGAGATGATGATCCAGAAAGCGATAGAGAACTGTTGCTCAGATATATCGGCGAGGAGTTCGAGAACCTGTGGAAGTTAGAGGCCACTAGCGAATATCTGAACTTCACGTAGTCAAGGACCTCATTTCCTTGCTTGGTGGCCGTAGTTGCTCCTTTGACCTACAGTCACCAAATTTACCCATGAAGAGAGGTGTGGCCATGACACCAGCTACGCCACAACAGTCCAGATTGATGAGGCCACGGCTCTGTGTCTCCAGACAACATAAAGAAGTACAAGTCATACTGCGTACTGAAAGGGTCAGAGGCGGCTGCGAAGAGCGCCAGACGAACAGGGTACAGTTAGGCTTCGGATTTAACCCTCGGATGAGCAAAGATGAAAAATTCCCCGTATGCACGCGTCACCGCATAACCACTGTGAATCGGTGCGTGTTCGATGCCCAAGAAGACCGCGATAGCTGTATCTTTCTTGCAGCGGCCGTGGCCAAGGTTCGGTCTACCCCAGTGCGTATAATGTATTGGTCGCACGACTCGAGGCTTGCCACACATCCTGTACCAGCCCCCAGAGGTGGTGGGGTAAGGGTTCGCAGTTGTGGGGAAGGAGGTGATGGACTCCGCCACCAGAGCGACCAGTTCTGGGGTTCTCCAACAAGGTGAACAGTGTAGACTTGCGAAACCAACATCCTGCCACATTGCCTCTCTTCAGGCCATTTGCATAAACCGGTGGGAAGCTAGGAATCTCGACTACGCCGGCAGCACCGGGTGCTGTGAACAAATCGAAATGGCGTTGAAGCACTTACCTCGGTCCATGAAAGCATACTTGCTTGAAGAATTTGGCCAACCGTATCGTCTGCGCGAAGTGCCGGTTCCCAAAATCGAGCACCCAGATGACATTCTCATTCGCGTCGAGGCAGGCTCATATTGTCATACGGATGCGGTGTTAGCTGCAGGTGCCATGCATCCACCATCCCTTCCACACATTGGATGTCACGAATTTGCTGGGACGGTGGTGTTGCTCGCGACAGGTAAAGAATCAAGTCATGGCCTTAGGGTCGGGGATCGTGTGGCAGTTTCCGGGCGTGGATATCACGTCTGTGAGCGGTGTCTTGAGTGTCAACATCCGTCCGGCCCAGATCCGGACGAACCAGGCTTCTCGGTGTACTGCCCGTACACCCATGGCGGCCTCGGAGTTCACGGACCTGGTGGATTCCAAGAGTATGCAATTGTCGACTCGAAGCAAGTAACATTGATTCCAGGCACGATGGCTGCCGTTCAGGTCGCACCGTTGATGTGTGCTGGACTGACAGTCTACGCCGCGCTAAGGAAGTGCAACCTCCAACCTGGGCAGCGGGTGGGCATTATCGGTTGCGGCGGCGGGCTTGGACACCTAGGCCTTCAGTTTGCTGCCAAAATGGGTTTCAAGACGACGGGCGCTGATGTTTCGCCGAAAGCCTTGGATCTCGCGAGGGGTTTAGAGACTGGAATTCAGATCATCGATGCGCTCACGGAGACTCCCGAGGATATTCGACGGTCAATGGGCAAAGAGGACAACAGAGAACACATATCAGAAATGGGCCTGGATGCTGTTTTGATATTGCCCGAGAGCCAGAAGTCCTTTGACTACGGGGTCAATCTCCTCCGCAATGGAGGACTCGCCGTCGTAGTATCCTTTCCGCCTGAAGGGTTCCATGTGTCGGCGGCAGATCTTGTTTTCCGGAGGATTAGCGTGACTGGCACGCTGATAGGCTCCAACAGAGCTCTGAAAGAGATGCTGGAATTTTGCGTTGAACACAAAGTGCAGGCGAAGATCAAGACATATCCTTTCTCTGCCGTGAATGAGCTGGTCGAGGATTACCATGCTGGAATACCTGGAAAGTTAGTAGTTGATATGCTCCAAAAGAAGTGGTGAGAATGCAAATCAGTGCTTCAGGAGCAAGGATAGACACTGTACATGGAGATTTGGTTGATGTTTATTGCTCCCCCAGGTACCTAAGATGGTAGTTGAATCTCGGTATCAGTCTGTACGAATACGAATACTAATACGGATACGGATACGGATAAGAGCTTGGCAGGCGCTTCCAGGCAAGTCTGTGTCCTGCGCCTGAAGCAACATAGAGTCTCTGCGCTACCTGTACTTACTGGTGCCCTGTAGTTATCGCCAGCTCACCACGACTGCAAGGAGACCAAGAACTCTCCAGGAATTATGCAAGTTGCCACCATGTCCACCGGCAACTCAGATCGGCCTGTCTGACGATACCGATGCCCTTGTCCTTCCGCTTGAATCGGTACGTTCGGAGCGGAGCAGACCGCATCTGGACAATACTACAAACAACAAGAAAGAGAAGGACATGGTAGATTATGAGATAACGAAACAATGCCATATCGGTTCAACAGGACGGTATCTTTCCAGTGTCATATTCCCGTAGAGCGCGAGTCTCCCAGTTCCGTGGAGCGTACCATGTTGGGCGAGCCACCGATACTATGCAATCTCCAAAGCGTTGGAGTCAGTTCTCCAAGTCTACCGTAGTGCATTGATGATGATGATGGTGGTGGTGGTGGTGGTGGTGATGATGATGTTGTCGCCCATCGTTGAATGCCAGGCCTGTATCAGGTACCAAGTGTTTCTTCCTACGTCGACTGTCTCAGCTGGTCCAGGATGTCCTTGGTTGGTGTTTCTGGCATGAAGGCTTGTACCGTCATCCACAATCACCACCACCAACTCGTCCAAGTGTCCATTCGTACCTAGAGATGCAGATCAAAGCCTCGCGGGCTCCAGCATGACGCAATTGCACAAGTTGTCTTTATGTCAAACCTGTTTCGCACCAGCAGCCAGTGCATTAGATGTATCATGTTGTCGCTGGCGAACCAAGGCACGGCCCATGCGGAACATCCGTCTGGTCAGTCTCGTATCTCTGGAGTTCTCGTTCTCGTAGGCAGCGAAGGGTCTCCATCTCGATCGTCCTGGTGCTTGTGATCGTTCTTCGCGCTACGAAGGCCAGCTCCACGCAGATCATGAAGCTTGATCGTTTCAAGCAATGACCAGCCCTGAACCCATGACGGCGCTCAGCCTCTGTCTCTCTCCCTCTACTAACGACGCTACCCGAAGTTAGTTGCCTCATCGACCAACTGCAACACCACGGCTGTCTGAAGACGCGGCGATATCGTCCAATCCATCAAAGCAGAAGGCTTTGAGGGTTACAATCCAGAGACCACGCAATGGACACTAGCAGTACCTTGCATGCGGCCTCTCCGTGATCCAGCATGACCCATAGCAGTGACACCAGACTAATGAGCAGCTGCTTCCACCCGCCTGACTGACTCTCGTAGGGTTCATGGCCCTGGAGAGGTTTGCACACCATCAAGGAAAGTGGATTTGAACATGTCACTGCCTGCGAGAACAGCGCGAGACATGGCGGTTTCCTGCTTCAGCAGCGACGGTGGCTGCGTTTCCATGTGCACAACTCGCCTCAACCCAATGCACAGCACAACAACTACTTAACGCCCTCACATCCCTCAAAATTCCCTCCATCACCTCTTGACCGGTCTATCTCTACTCACTACAGAACAGAACCCCTGGATCCAATCCTCACACACAGCTTCGCAATTCGCTCAAGATGCCTTCTGTCGCTCGCGTCCCCGTCCAACTCAACCCCCACTACAAACGAAACGGCCTCAAGTCCTACGTCTATCTGCTTAACAAGTACAAGTTCGTTCCCACACTGCGAGGCCCGTACTCTGCGACCCGGGGCCAGGCTCTTTTCAAACAGAGCGCTGACGGAACACAAGCCCAAGTGTAAGCTCTGAGACCTGATCAAGCCTTCCTGCTGCTAAACATCCGTCCAGCCCAGCTACTGATCAGCAGAACGACTCTCTCTACACTTGTCCTGTCAAAATCGGCACCCCGGCTCAGACTTTGAACCTGGTAAGTCGATCCATCCCTGGCCGCAGGTGTCTTAACACCACCGTAGGACTTCGACTCTGGATCATCGGACCTCTGGTGCTGGTCTACTGAGTTGCCACGAACCACTCTCTCCGCAGGCAAAGGCCATACCATCTTCGACCCTTCCAAGTCCTCAACATTCAAGAATCAGCCCCAGTCTACCTGGCAGATTCAGTACGGAGATCAGTCGTCGGCTTCGGGCACGGTCGGCACCGACAACATCCAAATCGGGAACATCACCGTCAAGGGTCAAGCAATCGAACTTGCCAACAAGCTGTCGTCCCAGTTCACAGAGGATGCCTCGTCAGATGGCCTTCTTGGTCTTGCGTTCGGCTCCATCAACACTGTGAAGCCAACTCCTGTCAAGACACCCGTCGAGAACATGATTGCCCAGGACGACATCCCCCAGAACGCTGAAGTCTTCACCTGCTACCTTGGATCCATCAAAGACCCCAATGAAGAGTCGTTTTGTATGTCTCTCACCACCCTTTCGTGGATCACTGTTCTAACAAAAACAGATACCTTTGGCGAGATCGATCAATCAGTTGTACCATCGGGTTCTCAGATTGCATACACCCCGGTCGACAATTCTCAGGGCTTCTGGATGTTTGACTCGACGTCTGCAAAGGTCAATGGCAAGACTATCCAGCTTTCTGGCAACAAGGCTATTGCCGACACCGGCACCACGCTTCTGCTCACATCCGACGAGGTGTGTGAGGCTGTCTACTCGGCAATCCCTGGTGCCAAGCAGGATAGCAGCCAGCAAGGCTGGGTGTTTCCTGCCAACACCGCCGAAGCAGACCTACCTACCGTCACCTTCATGGTTGGCAACACTCCGATCACAATCGAGAAGAAACACCTTGCTTTTGCGGGTGGTCTCGAAGGTAACATGGCGTATGGTGGGATTCAATCTCGAGGTGACCTGACATTTGATATTCTTGGAGACACTTTCTTGCAGAATGTCTACGCGTAAGCTGTGCCGTTTTCTATTGGGATATCCCGTACTGACTTTGACCAGCGTCTTTGACGTCGGAAACACTCAATTCGGCGTGGTGCAGCGAGCTCCACCAAGCACTAGCTAGGGTCGCTATGTGCTAGGGAGCTGCTGCTGTATGATGAAATTATTGAAGACTAGAAGATATCGATAGAGTGGGACGAAGGATATCGGCGTTTGGGACTTAGAGTTACCATTCGGAGCATAGTCAAGGTGGGCATCGACGAAAATGACGACGATATGATGAGACTTGACAACGGAGTGACATTCTTTTCTGTGATAATTATCATTGTCAGTAGCAGGCTCGCTAGGGGTGGACATTCCTTTCCACAATGATTGCCATTGACGGTAGTGAGACTTGCTACTCAAACACAATACGCACAAGCAGCTAATATCATCATAAAGCTTTTCCTAGTCATATTTGCCCGCCATCATAGCTCCCTGAGAAATCGATCCCACCAAGAAACCTTGATCACCTTTACTTAGTCCACCTCACAGTTCCATTCCTCCTCTCTACCGGTGTGAAATGCCGGTGACGGAGCCGCTCTCATTGAGCCATCTTCCTGGCGGCCTCCGCACTCCCGTGGCAACATCGACCTCATGATCGTTGGATTTACCACTGTCAACCACAGCGCGGATGAAGAAGCCGTTCTTGAAATTTTACTATATATCTGAGATTGACTGGTGAGGGGGGTGAGTTGAGGAACTTCATTTAGCCGCTAGAGACTATGTGCAGATGTGCTAACGCAGCCGGTCCCCAAGTCACAGCAATAAGTGACCGCTAATATAGGTCCTACAGACCTTCGTTGTAAGAACGAATTACAATGGAACTGCTCACTCCTATACTACTAAAGTGCGTATTCTTACGAGGATGGTTCGTATTGTCAGTGACATTTGTGGGCTGGTTGCAATTCTACATACAATTTATGCATTTCCGCGATTCCAAAGCCAAATTGCCATGGCTACCCCGGGGCAGCCAAGCATACTCGGTGTTCGACCTAGGCGTTCAGCACCTAAGCGGGCGCGGAATCAAGGATGACAAAATCTTGCGAAGAGAGGAAAACACATCCAATTCAATGAGCAGCTATCAAGGGAAAGCACCTTTCCAACCAACATACAATCATCACACTCAATCAATGCCTTATCCTCGCCCTGCGTAAGCAGACCACGCACAACATCCAAAATCTACAACTTCAGAGCAGCAAGGATAGGCCCTCCCATGCCTCCTTGCACCAAAGCAACCCTCTCAAAGCCATCTCTCCTAAATTGAGGAAGCGCGATAGACTCGATGCCGCCCTTCCACTCACCAATCTTGGCAATCTCCTTCACGACGTTGCGATGCGGGACCTTTTTGCCCTTGTTAGGGCCTTTCCCGACCTTGACCGTCTGCACCTCGGGGTCGTATGTGACGACCAAGACGTCGTACACCATGTCTGCCTCCGGGATCTCCGAGGCGAGTCTGAGCTCGTTTCCAATGCGATCGATACCGAGGGCCCAAGTAATGCCGTTCCGTTTCTCCATGGCCTGCGCGATGATGTTGTTGACCTCGTCCCGGGTCGAGCCGATGCCGTCGGACAAGCCGTCGACGACGATTTGCGGGGTGAAGAGGCCGTTGCGGCCCCATTTCGTGACGTACTGTCGCTGTCGCGCGTCCCACTGGGACGAGCCAAACGTGTCCTCCCACCCGCTCGACGGGTTCCAGTAGGTCACGTCGAAGGTGAGGAGCAAGAGGTTGGGGTTGTTCGTCGCGTCGTGGATCAGGGGCAGCGCCGGTGGGCAAGACTGGCATCCTTGCGACTGGAACAGCTCGACCACCGACAACGGCATGATCTCGACGAAGCACGCTTGCGTGTGCACGTGGCCCTGGTCGAGAGACATGACGCAGGCCAGAGGCACCTTGCGGCGCTTGAAGAGGTTGAAGAAGGACGCCATGTCTTGTGTTTGAGAAGTGTGTATTCGAGCACTGTTTTTATTCTGCGGCGAAGGTAAAGGTGAAGGTGGAGTTGAGATAGATATAGATATGGAGATGAAGAAAACCTGCTTGCTGTTGCTGACGCTCGCGAGAGGAAATGATAATGGAAAAGGGGAAATAGAACTGACTGTGTGCTATGGGCTCCAGATTCAGGACGTGGTCGACCGTCGCGTCCTATTTATCTTTCGAAAACGCCGTCTCTCGACATCTACCTTTACCTTTCAGCCCCCAAATGGTTTTGGAATCTGATTTCATAGCCAGGGCGGCTAGCTACGACTCTTCGAGGGAGCACAGCCTAGCACCGTGAGAGAAACGATGCCACGAAATTCTGCTGATCCATGTTGCCAAGGAGGTAGAGTACGGCGGCCGCAGGGGTAGTCTCTCTCTCAGACCGCTTCTTCAAAAGGACCGCCGGAAAAGCCTTGTTATTAGCTGGAACGTGCAAGTCTGCCCAGCCGCACGATTCATCATGACCTGGTAGCAGTGCCGTGCCAATCTGCGAGGTTCGTTGATGTGTGATTACGGAAACTTGTTGCTTTAGCCTGCCCGCGGAGCCCCCAATATCGAAGACTAGACCCGATTAGGACACATTGGACGAGCTGGCACGGCAGCTCTTCATTTCCAAGGATAGTGTTGACGAGGAGAATGATTTCATGATAGAACGATCCCAGGAAGGGGGACCCATATCAAACAGCGGTGGATGTAAAATCACACTTTAGCGCAGCAGCCCCCTTGGGATGGGTTAAGTTACTCTCCTGACCGGGAAATTCAAATTCATTCACGGAGTAGGTGTTCATTCATCGCATGATTTCATAATATTCAACGTCAACGTTCTGAAGAAAATGACGGAAAGAAAAGTGCTGTGCTCTCAGTCAACCAAATGCCCATAGGTAAGACCAGCTTGCGGTGGTCTGTATCGAGCCTTGTCCTCGGGGCCGACCACCAGCTCAAGGTGCCCGGTATGTGTTTCTCTCACGGAGATTTCTTCCCTCCAGGTCTTCGTTGTGCTTACTCCGGCGCAGGTATTTTGCAACCTCGACGATGGACTTGAGTTGATCGCCAAAGCGAGCAGTTCTGCTACAGTGGTCCAAGAACCGACCAAGCCCTCCCTCGCGAAAAGTACTTTGTACAAAATGAAGGCTGTGTGCGCCGTGGCGAGGGCAACATGGATTAGGAGGATCACAATTCCAAACTGCGCCGTCGCGGACCCCTGGTAGCGATACCCATATCCGAATCGAGCAAACTCGGGGTCAATACTGAGCCAATCGTTGACCTCTGCCGAAGTGGCATTCAACGATTCGTCCTGTCCACCCTTTGCGGATGAGACCACGAACCGCCCTACCAATCCGCCGGAAGAATCTGTTCTGTTCGTCAAGAACATCGCAGCTGAATAAGGATAGATGCCATTCCCAGCTATACGCGCGAGGCCATCTGTCATGACTCCAGCGAGCATGGTCGATATCACTGTTGCTCTGCTTCTTCTGGTCTCCTCTTCTGTGGCTGGGATGTAGTCGCTGCCGTTAACGTTGGCGACAAGAGGACACTTGAAGACGACGCCGGTCTGATTCGTGGGTGCAACGACACCTTCATCAAAGACTAGCTGGTTAAGCATTGCTTGTATTGCGGGTATGTTTCCTTCGCTGAAGGGTATGGGTTGGTTGATGGCGTCGGCGTACTGTTGATCGATAGTCATGTTACGGGTCGGGCTGTCTACGCTAGCAACCCGCGGTATGTCAAGACAGGTACTTGGCAGTTCGCCCTGTGTATAGTATGAAACCTGGTCACTCGTCCTTGGCTCATACCAAACATATACTGGCACCCATTGGGCCTGCAAGAGGTTAGCACTTTCTGAACGACGTCCTTCGGATACGAACGTGGGGAAGGGTAGTGGAACTGGGGGCTAAACACGTCTAGTGATACGAGAGAGTACGTACATAGATGCTGCAGGCATGGATTGCCGTTGCTTGCCTCGTCTCTGTCGTGCTCGCGTTTGTAAAATAGATCCAGGGAATACGAACTGCGGCCCCTAGAGTCGGGCTGTCGGGACCTGGGGGCATTTTAACCCACTGAACATCCGTTGCATTGTACGTCCCGTTGTATGGAAGCTGGAAGTCACGGTTCGAAAAAGTGGTGTTTGGCGTCAAGCTTGGAAACTTTACAGGTTTCCTATCTTCAACTTCTGTGGTAGTGAAGTAATTGAAACCATTGCACATGACTTCAACTCTGGGTGCAAAGATCTGGTTCTTCAGGGTGAGGCGTGGCCGTGCGACTTCAAGGCCTAGGCCATTGTAATTGTCTTGGGCAAATTGCCACCATTGCGTAAGTGCGCCTGTGATGAATGTGTTGAGCGACATGCCAGATGCTCTTCCGTCGAAATCGCTCTTGCAGGATTGAGTTGAGAGGACTCGCCGGGTATCACCTCGTACGTCGGGGATGGAGACGTTGGAACCAGTGGAAGAGTTGACGAAGAGAAGATTGCCTGCCCAACTATATAAATCACGGAAGTCACCCGCAGGGCAGATGTCTTGGACCTGGGTGGTCAAGGCAGCTTCCAAGCAGTCAACGCCCGAGTCTGCACTGTTGACACTCGAGGCTGTGACACGCTCAGGCCACAAAGCGGTGCTTTCGTTGAACACGTAATATGGCAGGACTTCGTTCTCGAATGGATGGTGAACAGGGAACCAATCCAAAGAGGGAATGATCGCAATAGCAGAGGATGGTCCCGAAAGGGTGGCCAGGATGGTGGCGAGCAGAGACAGAAGCCAGAAGCGCCAGTAGTGTGCTTTCGAGGTCCATGCGGACGTCCAGAAAGCCTTCGTGCGCAAGAAGTCGCCTGACCCGATGGAGAAGGCGTTCGTGAGGAGCCCCAGGGGAAGGCCGTGATTTCCAGTCAGATGAGCGTGCGCCACATGCAAGACAATGGTCCCCAGAGAAGCAACAAGCAGCAGCTCATGTAGCTTAGCCGCCAACTGAAGTGCATTCAAAGCACCGTCCTGGGTAATTCCAGGAAGAATCTGGACATTCGGAGCCATCAAATCCATCCAATAAACATTGCGAAAATTCAGTCCCACAACCACAGCGGTCACCGCGGTGGTGACAAGATGTGGAAGAAGTTTCGAAGAATTGGCCCAGAACCCTGTTCGAATTGCCTGCTTGGACTGTTCCGGTGTTTCTTGGGGAGTCGATATAGGATCTGATGGCGGCAATTCATTGCTAAAATCGAACTTCGTATACTCGAACTTGCGGTCATGGGCACTTGTGAAGCTGGTGACTGTATAGTTGCGCTTGGTTGCCGCATCGGAAGGGATCATGGAGTGCTCCGAGCCCAGCTCACCAGATCTTGATGCGCTGTTGAACAACATTGCATAGGACGAGTGACCGGACTGACGACGCCCTGCACCAAAGTAATCCATGGAGAAAACCAGTGACTTTGGCAAAAGCTTCCACCTACCAGAGGTGCGAGAGCCAAGTCCAAAGGCTATGGATATAAGAAATATCAACGGCTCTGATGTGGTTGAAATAGCACCCGCAACACGGAAACTTTCCGGTAAGGCCTAGATCTGAATGTATTTTGCGAGACAGTATCTGTTCCATCTGGACAAGGACCACGCTCTGTGGCCTCTACAAGTACATGTCAGCGATGAACTGACCAGATCAATGTCTGCCGGCCATAGATCAATGGAAGCGCAGCAGCTTTTCTCGACCCTCTTGTGGTCCGAAACCTGCTTTGCGATCCTTCACCCAAGGCCAAGGGACAGCCTATAGTAGGCCGCATTGCGAAGCAAGCTGTAGCACTGGCGGTAAGGCTGGTAACCTGTCAGGCTGATATACCAAGACTCTTGGGAGCAGAAAGCTGAATATGCAGGGCGCGTGTAAGCACTAAAGAAGGCCGGTGTGTTTCAGGGGTCGCGGGGGTTGCCCCATCAATCCCTGTAGAATAAAATGGTTAGTTCATCTCTATAAGAGTTGTCAAGGTGCAAAAGGGGGTAAGGAGTTCAATTTAGCAGCCAGGTGTTTTGCACTTTTTGTCACCAGGTTTCAGAAAAGACAAGGCGAGGTAACTTTTGATGAGGTACTTTGTGATGGAGTGTCTGTAACGACATCGCCCGGATAGCTCTCAGCCACAGCTTTTACGCAAAATTTTGGGGCCGAACCGCCACCCATACCAGATCTCTGACTGGAGTATGAATTGGTCCGCGGTGTCTGAGAAGCGAGGTCAATTGCCACCACAAATAGCTGGACCTATGTGATTCGCTATACGGAGTAAGGTCCCTCTCGACACCGTTCATGAGAACTTGCTTGTATGCAGTCGAAGTCCAACACATGCAAAGTGGTCCAGAGCCTTTTGTTCGGCACTGGAGATCCCAACTGGTTGTTTATGCAGTTGGTTCGTGATACACTGGGAGCCTTGCTATCGCATTCATCGCGGCTCAGGATATGTGGTTGGACATCCTTTGAATTCGGCTGACCTTGAGAAGGGACTTGGAGAATGTAACAGGAGGGACAAAAGCCAAATCAAGTGGAAGGTACGTCAAAATTCCTCATAGTCACCTAAACTATGGCCAGCCTCGTTGAACCGGAACAAGACCCGACGACTTCGCGAGTTGTTGCGTGTGGTGCTCAGGATATTCTGTCCGCAAGATAAAACCCATACCACAAAGTTGCCATCCAGGACAACAGATTCACCAAAGAAGATGCGCCGTGTAGTCTCGAAAATTGTTGGTTAAGTGCCTGCATCTCTTTACTATGCGGAGGCGCGTCGTAGCTTTTCTTCCCATCTCTCGTCTCTTGGTGCTTTCTCTCCCGCATACATTTCGTAGTTTCCGGCCCAATATACACCAGGTTGGCGGTTGCAGTAGCAAACATCGTCAAAAGAGGGGCAAGCACTCGAAAGCGGTTGACGGGGTCGAGGACACCAGATATACTCGAGGGTATCGTACTGATCGCAGTCCTTTCGGCTGGCAGAGTCAGGGCCAGGAGAATAGGAAGGGCAGTCTGCATTGAAAAGTATATGGGAAAGGTCGCTTGCTGCAGCTGTGAGAACTGCGGCCGAGGTAGATTTCTGAATGCGACTATGCCTCCAACAAAGCTCTGAAAGGTTGTAGTGCCTAGCAAGATGCCATAACTGAAGCCTTGTCAGTCGTGCCACGGATCGAATAGACAAAATGCGTCTGCACCCACCTGATTATGTGGTAGGGAGCAGCGGAGTAAATGAGGGAGCCCGCCATATCGAATGAGAGTCGGCTCCAAGATGTCGCAACGGTACCTCAACAGCTTCGTGAAGTGATGCTATTGTCTACTCGCACCCTCGAACTCTCTGCTGAAGATTCGTACACTTGAGCACGATCAACGGCGGTGACGACATGCCGCGGCTCACACATGATCTCACGTGATCACGCGTCACACCGCGACGTCCAGTTAATGACCTGAATGTACAGGCCAAGTGCGGGCTGCTGAGGCTGCGTCCAGAGAAGATGGCGTAGGGCAGATACAACAAGCGACCACTGCGAAATCACACCGACCTATCGATAGCGCACAGAGAATTGCTTGTGCAGAGGGACCGACATCCTACCCCTCTGCGGTATGCGGTACAAGGGAACGCCCAAAGACATCCAAGCCTCCAATTGCGACACTGAACCCAGCACATCGACGCAGCCATGGCTGAGAAAGAGGCGACGGTTTATCTCATAGATGTGTCACGGTCTATGAGCAAAAAGCACTCTGGTCGAAGCCAAACCGACCTTGATTGGGCTCTCCAATATGTCTGGGATAAGATCACGAATGCCGTCTTCACCGGGCGAAAGACTCTCATGATCGGTGTTATTGGTCTGGGAACTGATGGCACAAACAACGACATGGCGAGTCAGGACGACTCATACAAGCACATCAGTGTCCTACAGCCAATATCACAGATCCTGATGCCCGAACTACGAACGCTTCCAAAGCTCCTCAAGCCCAGCAAGACGGACGATCGTGATGTCCTCTCTGGTATTATTATTGCAGTCGATATGATGATGAAACACTGTAAACATCTGAAGTACAAGAAAAGAATTGTTGTCATCACAAATGCTACTGGACATATCGACGCTGATGATGTTGAGAGTACGGCAGAGCAATTTAAGAACCACGACATCGAATTGGTACTGCTCGGCATTGATTTTGACGACCCTGAATATGGCACAAAGGAAGAGGATAAATCTGCGACCAAGGCAGAGAACGAACGAACTTTACAGAAGCTGGTTGATCTCTCAGGCGGGATGTTTGGAACTATGCAAGAAGCTATTGATCAGCTCTCTCGGCCAGATATCAAGCCTATCCGCGCAACCCCCACCTATAGAGGGCAGCTAAGATTGGGCGATCCAGAGCATTATGACACGGCCTTGTCGATCGACGTCGAGAGATACTTCAAGGTCCAAACCAGACGGCCTCCGACAGCGAGCTCATTTGCAGTACGAGAAAACGTGGCGGACGATGATCAAGGGCTTCAGTCCGTACATAGCATATACAAGTACGCCGCAAAACTCGAAAACGGGGAAACAAAAGAACTCAGTCGTGAAGAGTTGGCGAAAGGATACGAATATGGTCGCACTGCGGTCGCAATCATGGAGTCCGAGCAGAATATTACGAAACTCGAGACATCAATGGGATACGATATCTTGGGCTTCATCCCGATGGAACACGTTGAACGATATATGCTTCTGGACAATTCCAACGTGATAGTTGCACAGAGAGGGAACGACAAGGCAGCTCTTGCTCTTTCGTCTCTAGTCCATGCACTTTTTGAATTAGGCTCTGTGGCTGTCGGCAGGCTTGTAAAAAAGGACATGCAGGATCCCATTTTAACGCTCCTATCGCCATTGGTCGACGCCGATCTTGAATGCTTAGTCGAGAATGTTCTCCCGTTCGCAGAAGATGTTCGATCGTATCGATTTCCGCCCTTGGACAAAGTACTCACAGTATCAGGCAAAGAATTGACCGAGCACCGCAACCTGCCGAACCAAAAATTGATGATGAGTATGAGTGACTTTGTCGACAACATGACCCTGATGAACGAGGACGAAGAGATGATGGCAATGGAAGACACGTTCTCGCCTGTTCTGCATAGGGTAGAAGGGGCAATCAAGTTTCGAGCCATCCATGGGTCCGACAAGTTCCCAGAGGAGCCCGAGATGTTCAAAACTTACCGCCAACAACCAGAAGAGCTTCAGGAACGGAGCAAAAAGGCTCTATCGAAACTGATCGAAGCCGCCGACGTTAAAAAGGTGCAACAACGAGCCAAAGGCCGACGACGATATCGTGATGCCGAGAAGCCAATCTCTGGATTGGACGTAAGCGAGCTTTTGCGCAAGGAGAAACGAGACCACATTTCCCCGGACAATGCGATCCCCGAGTTCACCCAAATGATAGAGACAGCGGACGATGAGGGTTACATCGCCACCATCGTGCAGCAGATGGCCACGATCTTGACGGACTGGATCCGCACCAGCTACGGCGAGAGGAACTATGGGAAAGTGGCTGAAGGTCTCGGCACCGTTCGCCAATGGATGCAAGAACTTGAAATGCCGGACTTGTACAACAATATGATCCAAGACTTGAAGGAGAAGATCCTCTCAAAACAGCTGGGCGGAGATCGGGCGTTGATGTGGTTTCAAGTCCGTAAAAACAAGCTCGGGCTGATCAGCACCGACGACTGCAGTTCCTCCCAGATCACGGTGGAAGCAGCCCGTTCTTTTCTGGATCCAAAATCTGGAACATGATATTATCGAATGCACTCACACTGCCGAGACTGCCTGTTATGATACCAAAAACTTGCGAACGCTATGATACCCCCCATGATGTAGAAACAGAGAACGAGCTAAAGAAACACACGCGCTTCCAAGTCTATGATATCTTCCCGATTCTGCGCTTAGCGATGTTCATCTTGCTTTGCACTCGATCAACATCCTCGTCAACCATTTTCAGCATCTCGTTCTGCACCTCGAGCTCCTGGTTGATGGCAATTCCCAGTTCCTTTTGTCTTTGCACAATCTTTCGAAGCTCTTCGACGTCCAAATCCTGCTCGGCCATTTTCTGCTTCTGCAGCTGCAACACACCCTGATTATCCAATTCCCTCGTCTCTGCCGTCTCCTTGCCGAGCACTCTCCCGCCAGATCTAGGCTTCGCCCCCATAAGACGATGCGTATCCTGGACCGACGCAACGGTCTGATCCAGGTTCGACTTGGTGACCATGGCGTTGAGCAGATTCTCGAGACCGTCCTTGTCCTTCTGTGCCGTGGCAATCAGGTCTCTTCTCCTTCTGATTTCACCTTCGCCGAGTTTCTGCCCTCCCCATCCTTCGGACGCCTTTTGTATGTTCGCCAGTCCCTCCTCCAGGGCTTTGATCATCGTGCCAGCCTTGACTAGGCTGCTCTTGGCCGCGGTGCCAGCTTCGTGCTGTTTCTGTGGTGTTGACGCCTGGTCCCGGTGCGTGAGACTCAGCCGTGCATCTTGTAACTGTGCCTTCAAATCTCTGTAGCAATCCAACCACAGCACCGGATCTGTGATCGGTGCCCCGCCTCCTCCGGGGCCTGTGATTACTGAATGTAGCGTGGAAGCCTTACTCGACGTTTGACTCGCGAGAGTGCTAGGCAGGTTGAGAAAGGATCTCCAGACACTTGTTGTGCGCCATCTTGAGTCGTCTATCTCGTTGATCGTCTTGAGATACGTTTCGAGCGCTTGGCGTCGCTCTTCGGTAAGCTGGGGATTCGAGACCGTTTTTGAGAACCACGACTTCGCAGGCAATGAGACGGGTGGCGGCGAACCGACTTGGTCGGTCAAGCCGGAGTGGAGGGACAGGAAATCGGAGTAGCGTTTCTGGACGGTGAATGATCTCAGGGGAAGGCGGAGGGTGATGTTGTAGGTGGTGTACGGTTTCGAGGTGCCCGAGATGGTAGTGTTGGGTATCGAGATCTCGACTTGTGGTGCCATGGCTGCTACGGTTGTGTGGACGGGAACATCAGAGACTCAAAATCAGCATGGTCGGCAATGTCCTCGATGGCTACGGGGCGTGAGCGGCTTTGGCGAAGATGCGTGGAACAGTTCGTGCTGTTGGGTTTTAGGAAAAGAGTCGCATGCGCCAGAGTGACGTCGCTTTGTTGATCCAGAATATAATTAATTCTGTGGCTGTGCCTGGAAGCAGCAGCGCCGCGATATCAAGTGGTCCTCAATCAACGTATTCCCTGTTTGGTCCCTGTTGCTCTGCCCTGTCGAATCTCTTCACAGTAACACGGGCGATGCACATCTCCCATACAAGTACTCGCTACGATCAAAAGATGACGGAAAGTGCAGTCCCAGCTTTTCCTTGACCGAACGCTTCTTCTCGAATGCCTTGGGCAATGTAGTTCTCTGTGACTTCAGAGTGCCACCATGGCATCGAAACCTCCATTACCTCCTCGAACACCGTCTGCCTTATCATCTTCCAGTGCGCTGTCTGAGGAAGATGCAGACACAGGTGCTCCTAGAGCAGGCTCTCAGTTCTTATCGCCCGACTCCTCTCTGCTGAAGAACTCGTTGTATCGTGGCGGCTTTCATGACCCACGAGCCTCGTCGACTCAATCACTCAGGCCTGCCGAGTCTGCTGGCAAGGGTCGACGCACCCTGCTCATCGTCTACATACATGGCTTCCTGGGCGACGAGACCAGCTTCAAGAGCTTTCCGGCCCACATCCATGGTTCACTGACTGAGCGTCTTAGAGATACGCATGTCGTCTACACTAAGATCTACCCTCGGTACAAGTCTAGGCGCAATATTTCCTTTGCGGCAAACGATTTCAGCAAGTGGTATGTGTAAGGCGAGGGTTCGCAGTACGACGACTGACATACTTCCAGGCTTGCTCCTCACGAGTCTGATAACACGGATGTCATTCTCGTTGGTCACAGTCTGGGCGGTATTCTTGCGGCCGAGGTCGTTCTGCTGCGCGCTGATGCCACAAGCAGCGAAGAGCAGTCTAAGCACCGCATCCTAGGACTTCTTGCTTTCGATGTGCCTTACCTCGGTATGCATCCAGGGGTAGTCGGGACAGGAATTGCCAGTATATTCCGAACCAGTCCGACCGCTGCAGAGGCAGCAGAAGAATCTTTGCCGTTGCCAGAACCTGCGAACCCTGACCCAACTTACAATCCCTCTTATCCAAACGATGTCCGCCTGGCTACCCGAAAGGGCAAACTCCAACGTGCTTGGTACTTCTGGAACAAGCATGCGGGAGAGGTCACGAAAGCTGCTGGCAAATATGTGTCTTCTCACCTCGAGTTTGGAGGTTGTCTTGCAGACTATGTAGGACTCAGAAAGCGTTATAGGTCGATAAGGGAGTTGGAAGATGTGAACGAGCTCGCCACGCCCCCAGGCCCACATGGCCAACAGAGGAGACGGGTAAGATTCGTCAACTATTATACCTCAAGCACAGGACCGGTCAAGTCGAAGCCAGAGTCACGAACGACGGCCGAAAATATGCTGGAACCTCCGGGTGAAGTCTCGCAGCCTGCCGATTCTGGTACCTCATCGAGGAGGAGTTCATCCCAGAACCTTCCTTTACCGTCTACCCCCAGCCCACGAATATCCTTAGAGGAACATCGCGATGGTGAGGTAGTCGCAAAAGACGTTCCCGATCTGGGAATCAATCCACACAGTACCGTGGTCGATGCACTCCCATCTATGGGTCACCTGGAGTCATTGCCGTCCTCGAGCGGACATGCCTCGATCCAAGATACTGACCAACGAGCTGTATGTGACGTGGGTGGAAAAGGGCTATCGACAGCGGATGACGATGCTGCCTCAGCTGCGAAGGACAAGGCTCCTGGAAATCAGAAAGAGAGGAGGTTTTGTGTGATTCCTTCTAGGAATTCAGACGGCAGAACCGATTCGACCTGGATCAAGGTACAAATGGATGGCATTGATGAGGTTCAGGCACATACCTCGATGTTCACGATGGGAGCCACATATATCGCGATGGTGGAAGATACTGTGAGGAGGATCGAGGACTGGGTTCAGGAAGATGCGTCCAGACGAATGATCCTCGCCGAGAGAGACAGCCCGACATGGGAATAGTATAGAAATATTGATGCCTCTCCTTCCAATCTCTAAAGCTACGAGCCGGTAGTCGGGGCCGACAGCAGAGCGACCCCGATCTGAGGCTACCTCAATGGGAGGATGTGAGGCTGCGAGGCTGCGAGGCTGAGGCTTTGGAAGATTCGCTCCCCCGCCTTAGACATTTTCGCAGCCCACTTTGATTTCTGCGCGCCCGTCTCATGATTCTCATGCGGTGACTCACTTGCACTCAATCAAAACCAAACCCTCGCTTCTAAACAACAAAAGTTTCTCAGACACCTTCATAACACTACAGTTCCGCTCGGAACCTCGTCAATATGTCGGAGACCTCTCTACCAACACATGCCAAAGACAACCCCAACGTGTCGGCGGACGGTGCCCCCTCCAAGAATGCATTAAAGAAGGCACAGAAGGAAGCCGAGAAGGCGGCAAAGAAGGCGGCGGCCAAAAAGGCAGACGAAGAAAAGAGAGCCGCACAGCAAGCCCAGGTTGCGTCTGAAGACACGGCGAAAGACAACTATGGCGCTCTGCCAGAAGATACCGTCCAGATCACACACCTGAAGAAACTGGGCCCCGAGGATGCTGACAAGGAAGTCACCGTTATAACCAGAGTTCACAACAGCAGAAGTCAGTCTGCGAAACTGGCCTTTCTCATGCTCAGACAGCAAGGCAAGACCATCCAGGCCGTCGTTGCTGCTAGCGGAGACGAGGTCTCGAGGCAAATGGTCAAATGGGCAACGAGCGTCAATATCAACTCTTTCGTGCGGGTTACAGGGCTCGTCAAGAAGCCAAATCCTCCTGTTGCATCAGCCTCGATCAGCGATCTCGAATTGCACGTCAAAAAGATCTACCTCATCTCCTCGGCCGCCGAAGTCATCCCCATGCAAGTCAAGGACGCCGAACGACCGCCCCCAGCTGTGGAACAAGAAGGACAAGTTGACGCTGAAGGAGCCCCGGTCGTCACACTCAAGACTCGACTCGACAACCGAGTGATCGATCTGCAGACGGAATGCAACCAGGCCATCTTCACCATTTCCAGCGCAGTTGAAGGGCTGTTTGAAGAGTACATGCGGAAGAGCGGATCGAGGAAATTCAACACTCCAAAATTGCTCGGTGCGGCCACGGAAGGCGGCAGCGGTGTGTTTGAAGTCAACAACTACTTCGGCAAGAGTGGTTTCTTAGCGCAGAGTCCTCAGCTGCACAAGCAGATGCTCATTGCCGGTGACTGCGAGAGTGTTTTCGAGATTGGACCAGTCTTTCGTGCCGAGAACAGCAACACGCATCGGCACTTGACAGAGGTGATAAATGCTATGGCCCGAACTCCTCCCTGGTTTGATTTGGGCTAACTTTGCATATCAATAGTTCACCGGTCTCGATTTCGAAATGGTCTTCGACCACCACTACCACGAAGTCCTCGATTTTGCGGAGAAGCTCATTGTGTTCATCGTCACGGAGCTAAAGTCCCGATACAAGGATGAAATTGCCGTGGTTCAGAAATATTTCCCCAAGGCCGGCGACTTCCACCTCAAGGACGGAAAGGCGTTGCGACTGAAATACTTTGACGGCATCAAACTGCTCAGGGACGCCGGTGTCGACACCACCGAGCAAGACAACTACGTGACTGATCTGACCACCGCCCAGGAGAAGAGGCTCGGCCAGATCATTCGCGAGAAGTACGACACTGATTTCTACGTGCTCGACGAATTCCCCATGTCTGTGCGACCCTTTTACACCAAGCCACACCCCAAGGACCCGAAACTGTCCAACTCGTACGACTTTTTCATGCGCGGCGAGGAAATCATGTCCGGCGCTCAACGTATAAACGATGCCAGCGAACTGGAAGCTTCGATGCGAAACAAGGGCGTCGATCCTGCTTCTGACGGTTTCTCAGACTACGTCAACGCTTTCAGACAAGGATGTCGACCACACGCCGGTGGTGGCTTGGGATTGAACCGTATCGTCATGTTCTTCTTGGGATTGGACAATGTTCGACAGGCCACGCCGTTCCCTCGTGATCCTCAACGATTGAGGCCTTGAGGTCCGTTATCTTGAACGGGTATCTATTTCTGGGAAAGGAAGAAAGAGGTTAAATTCGAGCGAAGCGACAAGGTACGCTACCGGCTAGTAGATAGACTTGTCGTAATTTGGCAATTGGGAGAAAATGCGATGCCATAGACAATCAGAACGAGATGACGAGTTGACAAGATTTTCCATACTCAATACGAGAGTGAGCAGCTTTTTGCCTGACGGGATAATGAGGGAATACATAAAAAACCGAACTAGTCCTTGATCGCATTCGCAACAGGCGTCGAGTCCTAATGATGTCTCGCACATTAGCGTGATGTGTTCCTTCCACAAGGAAGAACTAGGGGAATTTAATGCACGTGTGGGTTTTGTCGGACGCAAACCGCCATCGTAGCGAGGGGCGACCAACACCAGGGGAAAGAAACTAGAGGAGAAGAGAAGGGAAGAGACAACAGCGGTAGAGAAGAATCAGAGCACAGGAAAAAGTAGAGCGTAGAGAAGAAAAGAGCAAGAAGAAAGAAGGGGCAGAGCCCAGTAAACGGGGGTAGTTGGATGAGAGTAGAGGAACATACCACGTAAACCTGGTACAACTTGAACCTCAGAGCGCCCTCGTACTCGGCCATGACGGCCCTCGCGGCCCACTCGCAGGTCACGTCCTTGCCGTTCTTGAGGCCGTAGTCGACGGAGCCGTACAGCATGAGTTCGCCGCCGCCGCCGCCGCCGCTGCCGAAGGGGAAGATCTTGGTGAGGGTGTGCTTGCGGGTCTTGATGGGTCCGGACCACAGGCCGTGGCGGAGTGCGAGGATGCCGTCGTAGCCCTTTGTCTTCTTGGCGCCCATGGTGAAGTCGGCGTCCGGGAGGAAGGACTGGGCGTAGGCTTCGTGCGCCGACGGGTCGTCGGACACGGCGTAGAAGGTCTCGAAGAACGGCACGATGCGCGGGTCGACTTGGACGTCGGCCGGAGTGGCGCCGGTGTATGTCGACGGTGACATTTCTCTCTTGATGCCGTTGGCGCTGGTGTTATTGCTGCTACTGATACTGGACGATATAGACTTCCTGCCCCCGGCACGAGTGTACTCGGTAGAGACGCTGCGGTGCCGATCTAATGGGTCCCAAACACTGAAAACTTGACTGGGTTGCCGGTACCTGTGCGGGTAGGGGTAGGTGTATTTCAAACGTACGCACAGAGAAGGCGAGGACGTGGACGAGAGGCGCATCAAAAGAATACTTACTTCGTTCTGCGATTTCTTTTTTTCAAACCGTCATCGGGATCACAAAGCAGAGCAAGCGATGGAGTCTGCGATGCGGGGAAAAAAAAGAAGCCGGTGACCAAGGATTGGAGGGGAGCACGATAGAGAGTACATTATCCGAGGCCCGATGGATGGATGAAGAAGAAGAAGAAGAAGAAGTGGGAACGGATGCTGCACGACGAGGCTGAGGCCAATTCCCATCTTTCAATCACTTCAATTCCATTTCTTTTTTTTCCCTTTTTCAACACTGAAACTCTGAAACTAGTCAGGGCAGAGACAAATCTCTCCATTGCATTCTGGGGGTTCGCTCAACCGTCCATCTCGTAATACGTCCCTTTGCGACCAGGCACCGTAAACCCTCCGTCACACGTTGGCCGGGCCGTGGTCGATAATCGACCTGGGCTTCCTTGAACCTCAGCACTTTGAGGTCGTGGACGGGTGAATTCGGAATATGCTGGTGTCGGCGACATGGTACTTGTCGTTTCGTCAGCCGCCAATTCAGACTTGTGGCCGGACCACGCCGGGCTTCGCATGTCCAGGTCGGTATTGGCTGAAGTTGATTGCGGACGGGTCAAGTCAATCGCATTCGCATGCGCATTCGCAGACGGTGTGGATGGCTCTGCCTCCTTTTGCTCTTGTCTCCGCCTCCTGAATCTAAGTAGCGCGAAGCTGAGGAGGACGAGCAGAAAGATGGCACCTGCCGCTGACCCCAAGGCTATTCCAATCTTTCCACCTGTATCGAGACCAGCATTCGTCACTTTTGGGTCGTTTGTCGGGAAAAGTATCGCCGTCGAGTTGTTTGTGGTTGTTGTTGTTGTTGTTGTTGTTGTTGTCATCATCGACGACGAAACCACGTTCGAAGACTGACCGGTCCTCGACGCGCTAGCAGACACCGGAGGCAGTAGGGTTGTTGCTGAGACTTTGGAAGAAGAAGATGCGCTTACTGCCGATGGGACCGAGGTGAGTGCATGTTCAGACGCGTACGCTGCCACATCTTTCCAAGTCACACTCATCTGCAGCGACGCCGGTAGAGACATGATGTTGTTGAGAACAGACGCATCGGCGAAGGCGACTGTTCTCGATTCCAAAGCCGAAGGACACGCGCAGGGCGACGGGGTAGTGACGGTGCTTCCGCTGTCTTCGCAGGCGACCCATTGCTCAGAGGTGCCGTTGCAGTAAACGAGGCCTGCCCAGGTTTGATCTGTGATGATTTATCAGAGACCGCTAGCGATTTCAATGGCAGGACACGACCAACCTGAGAAGTCTCCCTTTACGGGGCACGCTTCGTCTTCGTAGTCTGGATCAGTACAACCGGCCAGATAGGTAACTCCATCTTTTGACTGTCAGGACACAAGGCTGCAGTGATATGTTCAAGGTTCTCCTCACATTGAGCGTTGTAGCAAGCATGCGACGAGAGGCACATATCACTGCTCTCGCAACAAGACTTGTGTCTGATGGCCGCATTCCCGCACGGGATAAACCTCGATGGCGCCTCGCTTCCACTGTTGTAGTAGCAGGTGCCGTTGGAGATGTCTGGATTGAAGCCCGCCATGGCGTGGAGGACGAGGGCTGCAGGGAGGACGAGATGGAGGACGAGATGGATGCTCGATTGAGCAAACATGGTGGAGGACGGGGATGGCGAATTCGTGTCACTGCGCAATCGACTTGGTGGGATTGGTCAAGTGTAGTGCAGGACGCGGTCATGAAGAACCAGGTAGACAGATAGTATCATACTCTACCAGTTAATGGTATTTCCTGTTCAACCAGCGTGGCCACTGGACTTGGGCGAGATGTTTGCCGCCTGTACCAAAGCAGCATCCAAGTCGTCGAGAGGTAGAAAGATTGGATACATGAGGTACAGAACCGCAGTTGTGTGACATCGGCCTGGATATATCAAGACACCCTGACTACCTACATTCTTCGCATGCCAGTCGGGTTTCAAACCACCCCAGACGCCTCGTCCCAGTTCGTGCGTAGGTCCAACAGGTCTCGCTGGCCGTAGACTTCGCCCACAACGGTAACGATCATGTCCAAGGTCATCTTGGTCAGACCGTCCATGTGTGAGCTTCCGCCTGCTTCTACAGTGCGAATCTCATCATCCGGCCCTTGGGTTACTTCCTCATGAGCATCGCCATCCTCAGACCAGAGAGACTCATCAAGAGCTGCTCCGTCCACCTGTTTCTGGAGAATTTGCAGTGCTCTCTGTGCCAGTGCTCGAAGCTCGCCAATGTCATCACTAGACAACTCTCCTCGATCTCTGCACTTCCCCAATATCGCCCAAGCCCAAGCTCCAATCCGGCCAGTCAGAGATCCATCCTTGCTGAACAGGAAATGATTTAATCTCATTCGAAGAAACTTCACCAACTCTAGAACTGTCTCCGCATCGAAACACGCAACCTGAACGGGGTGAGGGTCGCATGCTCGCATATGAGCATCCCATTGTGAACGGGCCTTCCGAGTTGAGGCTGGAAAAGAAATGAACTGTGAAGAAGCCAATTCCTCAATGCTGGATAATGGAGGGGTGCACCGCATCGTGGCTTGCACTAATCGGAATTGAGTAAGCAACGAGTCGTAATAGTACTGCTGAGCTCTAGGAAACGCCGTTGGGCTGGCGACGGAAGCCTTTGTGACGCCAGTGTATGCTCCATCGTAGTAATATCCCCCTTCTTCGGCTACTGTATGTATATCTGCTAGCTTCTCTTTCGGCGCCGCCAAGATGTGAGGAACGCCTTTGGCTTCGGACCTGGTACCTCGCAATTAGTGCGTGTCCAGGACAAGGCAAAGCTGACATCCATAGTCTCAGCGAGATAGAGGACGCAGTAGAATATGGACAACATACCGAACCATACGGAGGTAGTCGATTCCATCCGCAGCCGGGCCATAGAAGAGTTCGTCGTCCTCGCCACCTAAGCCTGGGAATGCCCCGACTTGCCCAGTATATTCGCCGACATGGGGAGTCTCGTCAAGGTCCTCGTCCGAGTCGTCCCAGTCATTGCGACCGTCTCTCGAGTCCTGGCGTTTCGGGGAGGGAAGGTCATCAGGCTCGGGAGAAGATGTATTACGTCGCTTTCGTGACATGGTGAGAGACTTTCAACCCATGGTATCACCCCGAGCGCCGCAAAAGGCCAGAGCGTCGCTGTTACTGACGGCGCAAAATGTTCTGGCGCAAGGATCGTGTTGTCGGGCCCTCAATCACGAAACTGCGACTGGGACAATTTTTGGTTCAAATGACGGCCATTTTTGAGGCTTTGACGCAGGCGGCATGTGCCAGTTCGTGTGCAGCAGGTGAAGACGGCGATAGAAACTCACTGTTGTATCCTACAAGATACAGGAATATCACTGTTTTCTACTGTGGTATTTATCTCACATCGTGTCCAACTCCACTAGAAGAAACATCTGACTCGTTCTGGGAAAGGCTGTCCAATCTCACATTATTCATAGTCTACCTATTCAGCGCTGCGCCGCTTTCAGGTAACAACCATTCCCAGACTCACGAACTGAGCAAACCGCCTCCTGTCTATCTCTTTCTTCAACATCATGATACACGTCGCCACGATCAAGGACTCGTCGAGGTATCGGTCAGCGTCCTTGTCCAGCACAAGCTGACCCCCGTTGCCTGCACTGCATCTCGACGACCCAGGAGTCCGGACTTCGTCGCTCCGCATCAATTGTGCAATAACCGTTCCCGCAGTTCCGTCGTTGTGTCTAGGAGACTCTTTCACAGAGAGCGTCAGAAGATTGACTTTCTTCCTCTGCGAGTCTCTTTTCTGTGCATAGCTCCATTCGTACAGACAGCCGTCTGGCATTGAGAATGTCACCGCACGGGAGGTCCATTTGCCGTGTATCTCCAAGGTGCCTTTTGCACAAGGACGCTGGTCGGGGTCTTGAAGAACGGTGATGATGGGTTCCCGGTTCGGACCGAAAAAGTAAGTTGTGCTGACCAGATCACCCAACGTCGGGTGACGGAGGACGGAGTTGCCAGAGCAGCTTTTGCCCCTGATCGATTGATATGCCAGTGTTCCGTCGTTGTAGTAAATAGGTATCTCAAGATCTGGAGAAGGCGTCGGCAATCTGAGCAGACCGATACCCTTGGCCGCTATGTAAAGTGTTCTTTCGGGCTGAACTGTAATACTCTCATACGAAGAGAGCGCCTCTTTAGACCTACGGACGGGAATGGCTAGATTGGGATGTTTAGCAGTGGCCCATAACGTTTCCTTGTCCGGAAGAGAGAGGTCGGAGGTATCGTCGGATAAGGATTTTGAATCGTAGTTATCTGGAGATAAACCCATGACGAGAAACAAGACTGATTGCTTGATGAGAAGAATGAAATTGTGCGACTTGACAATTGAATCTGGGCTGCCTTCGGCCAGCCTCTTTATGTGGCTTTGGAGCGAAGCATAGCGAGGCAGTGCTCAATCCATCCGTTCTTCGCGTCGTATTCGGAAAAGGTATAGATATAATAATTGCTGCAAACGGATTAGCTCGGGCTATGCTCTCCTCTAGTACCTAAAAAGCCCCCTCCATCTTACACGGAATCTCAAAATCCCATAGCTTCACTGTTCCAAGCACCAAACTCTAACATCAACCCCCTTCCCTTTTTCGACCATCAACCGCCATGTCTGTCGTCAACTGGAAAACCTCGCCCTTCGAGGTCTACATCGGACGGCACGTTCCCGACGGCCCCTCCAATGTAGCTCCCGAAGCCTGTATCTACGGCAACCCCTTCGTGCTGAACGACGTCGACGACCCTGTCGAGCGCGCCCAAGTCATCGGCGCGTACGAGAAGTGGCTTCTATCACCCGAGCAGCGCGGGCTGGTGGAGCGCGCCAAGAGAGAACTACCGGGGAAGGTACTGGGGTGTTGGTGTAAGCCCAAGAATTGCCATGGCGATGTGTTGTTGAGGGTGGCGATGGAGAGCGACGAGACGACGGAGAAGAAGAGGGTGGAGATGGGCGTGGTGTAGCTTTGTTCCTGTTGGAAAGGTCAGAGAATGTGATAGGTATGCTCATGGCGGAAGTTTCTAGGATGACCGAGCAGTTCGATCACCTTGGCAATAGAGTCGATCTTAATTCGCTGCCTAGAACGGAGCAGGCACGGGGCGGTCTTTCACTTGGGTTTGTACATCGATGCTCGGCGAAAAGGTCGGATGCCAGTACAGCCCCAGTGGGTACTTCTCCGAAAACTAGAATAAACCATCGGATTCGTATCCGTAACGAAATCCGCTTAGATCTAGAGAGGTCGAAATCCATGCACATTCGCCCGCGGCAGCAATATGTGCAACGCTGAAACACTGGTCTCAGGCCGACTTCGTGGCGAGGACTGTAGGTAAGTCCTTGATGTCAACCAATACACCTGGAGTGGCAGTGCCTTGTTCGGCCTCTCGGATCAGATTCACGATCCTCATGGCGTCAACTCTCAACGACCCAGTGTCGAAAGCTACCATCTGTATCTCGCTTTCATGGCACTGTCCTGGGCCAAGGGGGCCGACCCTCAGCTCGGCCGTCAAAGCCATAAGGTCAGTCTCCGGAGGAACCGTGTTTGAATGATGCATAGCATAAACCACGTTTTCATCCACAATTGCCTGTGCAATGTCCACGCCGTCTTCATTTTGTGTATGCCGTCTCTCGCTCGGATGGAAGGATGCCGTAGATGACTTTGGGGCGTGTCGTTTTGCCATTGACTGTGCTTGAGTCGTCTGTCTCTGCATTCGAGGCAAAGGTATAATGGTGATTTTTGCGACTTTCAAAGAGTTGTTGACGACTATGACTTTCCAGCTGAATGGCACGCCTACCTCAACCGCACCCTCAGGAGCAGTAAAAGAGATAGACAGGCCACTTCTCGCCAGGACATCCGAGGCTGGTCGGAGGCTCAACGCATTATCGATTGGCGGTAACGAATTGTCATTGCTAGTTACGGTAGGTAAACTTGTTGGTCGGTTAGGTCTCTGGATTGGCTGTGAAGGAGGGCCAAACGAGGGATTCAAGGCTTGGCTGAAATCCACATGCGTCGTCCACTCCATGTTAATCGTTGGACGGCATTCTTCACTTGAATGCACAGATAGTCGAACCCTGATGGACAGGATATCGATGTTGGGATTTACAAGAGATGTCCCGGGTGAATCGCTGGTACTCAAACCCTGTTGGAGTTTATGGATAATGGTGATGCAGTCTCCAGAATGGCACTGTATCGGTAAAAAGTCCACCATGATTGGTTCCACGCGGCCACTTTTGAGTGCAAGTTCGACGACCTCCACCGTGGCATCGATCTGTACGAAAGGAACTATCTCGATGTCTAGGAGAGCCATGTTAGTCGGCACAGGTGAGAGTGCATTGATTCTGTTATATCGAATGCGGGCCACGGCTGCCGGGACAGCCCTGTAACGTCGGGATGGAACGTGCTGGATGTGAAGCCGTGACTTGTGTGGTGCAGTAAGTGGAAGTACTCTCTCGAGCCTCGAAGCGGCTAGGTAAGGAGGATGTTGTTGGAAGCCTGGAATGAATCGCATCGGCTCCAGGATGTTGGCTTCGAGCGGTTGAAAGGGGGTGAGGTCGTCATCTTTCCGATTCTCGTCCTGCTGCTGAGGACTTATTGTGGCCGAGGGGATGAACACAATGCTTGGCTGAGGAAGGCGGAATCTAGGCCTATTCAGGGGCATCTGAATTTCCCATATCAAAGTCAATATTCGAGCATTGTCGCTTGATTGACTGGCGAGAACTAAAGGTTCGCTTTCCTGGATGCCTTCATACGAGGAGACGAGGTCCCTGGCTGGTGTCGATGGGGTGGCTGGCGGTTCATTGCTAATGGACTCATCGAGAGCCCAGGCGTCGACTTTGTATGACAGACGCGCCAGGAAAGCCTTCAACACATCTTCGTCGCAATGAGGCACTTGGAGGATTGCGAGTGTCCTCAGCTTTTCATCTAGTCTGCCATGAGTAAGACGACATTCAAGAACGGCACCCTTGGGGCTGCTCACCGAAGAACAAGGTGTCTCTTTCCTTGATGGTAACCAGGCGACCCGTATCATTTGTCGTCTCTGAGTAGGTTTCCAGCAACTCAGCAAGATCTGTGGTGGTGTCTTGTGGCACGACAACATCCAGCAAAGATGCTTTTAAAGCCTCTGGGTCCATGGCGCGCGAAACACCATGAGCGATTCTATGCCGCGTTTCAGCTCATTGGGCCTGACAAAGGACCAATTCCGACATGGATATCAGGACATTGCCATTGTACAGTATAGTCAGGAGAGTAGTTCACCGATCAGGAGGTCTGTACTTTGTATCTGTCCTCGGTGCACTTGCTGCGTCCCGCCAAGCGACCGTTACTTATGTAAGCAAATACCGATTTTCACTTCTCCGGCCCAGAGCCTTGCAATCACTCTCGTCTCTCAGTTGCGTGTTTCCTATGAAACCACAAGATCTCATCGTCTGATGCACGCGTGTAGAAGTGACACTGGGCACACTGACCTGCGACTATGAACAACCTTCCACCGACACCTGCGCAGTGGCAGGAGGCGCGTGCTCCTGATGGCCGTACCTACTACTACAATGCAGTAACGAAGGAGACGACATGGACGAAACCGATCGAAATCATGACGCCCCTAGAGAAGGCTCTCGCGTCTCAGCCATGGAAGGAATATTCCACCCCCGAAGGCCGGAAGTATTACTACAATCCCGAGTCGAAGCAGACTGTTTGGGAGATGCCTGCGGAATACCGAGAGGCACTCAATTCTGCTCAGCTTCCTCCCAAACCAGCGCAGCCCCCTCCAGCCTTCGTCGCAGGCGGCAGCACTGCGCTTACCTCCTACTCAGCCTCTCGCGACATCAGCACGCCGTTTGATTTAAGAGCGCGAAATGACGGCATCCAACTGCCAATCACAAAAGAGGTGGTGCCAGATTATTCTAGTTTCGAGGAGGCAGAAGCAGCCTTTATGAAATTGCTGCGCCGTGCCAATGTTCAGCCTGATTGGACATGGGAGCAGACGATGAAAGCGACTATCAAGGATCCTCAATATCGAGCGTTGAAAGACCCCAAGGACAGAAAGGCAGCATTTGAGAAATTTGCAGTCGAGGTTCGGCAACAAGAACGAGAAAAGGCCAAGGAGAGACTGGCTAAGCTACGCACAGATTTCAGCAACATGTTGAGAACGCATCCAGAGATTAAGCATTACAGCCGGTGGAAGACAATTCGGCCTATCATTGCAGGAGAAACTGTTTTTCGATCTACCGACAGCGAAGAAGAGCGCAAGCAGTTGTTCGAGGAATACATTGTCGAGCTCAAGAAACAGCATCTCGAGCGCCAAGCTGCGAACCGAAAGTCTGCGCTGGATGACCTCGTAGCCATACTCAAGGCTCTCGACCTGGAGCCATACACCAGGTGGTCTCAGGCACAGGAAATACTCGAGCAGAACGAAAGAATCAAAATCGATGAGAGATATAAACTTCTGAGTAAGTCAGATGTCTTGACGGTCTTTGAAAATCATATCAAATCACTGGAAAGAAGTTTCAATGATGCGCGTCAACAGCAGAAAGCCAGCCAAGCTCGGCGCGAACGACAAAACCGGGATAAATTCATTGAACTACTACAGAGCTTGCGAAGCCAAGGCAAGATCAAGGCCGGCACAAAATGGATGAACATACTGCCATCAATTGAGGACGACCCCAGGTATGTTGCAATGCTGGGGCAGGCAGGGTCAACACCGTTGGACTTGTTTTGGGATATCCTCGAAGAAGAGGAACGAGCTCTTCGTGGGCGAAGAAATGATGTCTATGATGTTTTGGAGGTAAGCTCTTCGTTTGTCCACTTTGGCGTCGGCATGCTAACGACACGCAGGACAAGCGCTATGAAGTTACACCAAAGACTTCCTTCGACGAGTTTCTTGATATCATGCATACTGATCGCAGGACAGCCAATATCGACCGAGACGCTCTTGAGCTCATATTCCAGCGTTTACATGAAAAGGTTATCAAGCGAAGTGAGGACGAAAAGCACGCTGCTGGTCGTCATCAACGTCACGCGGTCGATGCCCTCCGCTCGCGAATCAAACACCTTGACCCTCCCGTTCGCATCAACGATAGCTGGGAGATAGTCAAGCCTCGGGTGGAAAAGACTGCTGAATATCAAGCGCTCGAGAGCGATGACTTGCGGAAGGCTGCGTATGAGAAGGTTATCAAGCGCCTGAAAGAAAAGGAAGAAGATATAGAGAGGGACCGGGAGCGCAGACACTCAAGACGTGAAGAAGATCGTGACCGTCGCAACGGCCATCGCGGGGAAGTCAGACATGGACGACTGTCGAAATCACCTGAACCGGACGCCTATGAAGCCGACCGCCGCAAGGCCATGGCTGCCAGGGAGAAACAGTATCGCAAGACTAGCTCTCTAGGTTTGAGTCCGCCTCCCTCATCTTACCGTGAGCGTGACAGGCGCGAAAGGGATGAAAGGCACGGCCGTCTCGACCGTGACCGCACTCCACCCCCTCGTCACATGAGCACCTATGAACGCGAACGGCGCGATCGCGAGGAGGAAAGAGAGCGCCTGTATCGGTCCCGGGCGGATCCTCGTAGCAGTCGAGACGAATTGAACTATGGCGAGGAATCCAGAAGTGTGGCTGGAAGTGAGCGAAGACGGCGGCGAGGCGACGGTAGCGATGCCGAAAGCGTCGAAAGTGGCCGTCGAAGTGCGAAACGGTCTCGACGTGAGACTGTTACCCCTCGAGACAAAGCTAAGAGCAAAACACCCGAGCCTGTCAAGGCAGAACAAGAGGCCGAGCCGAGTGGCGTGCACTCCGGCAGCGAGGAGGGAGAGATAGAAGAAGACTAGACTTGCTGCGGACGGATGTGGTTTCAACAAGGTCAGTCTACCGTGGCATCATCCTTCTCCGCGGTGGCCATAATCTCAAGCTTGAGCTGAAGGGAAACCCAGTGGAAAGGGCCGAAATCTGTTCCTATTCGACCCCAGATGCTGTTGGGCAGATAATCTGCTTGGATTCGAGCTGCGATTTCTTCCAAAACTTTGGTTTCCTCGGTATGTAGCGTCCACTTACTGGTTCTAATTATCAATTGCAGCACTCTTTCACCTTGTCGTGTCTCAACCCCGACATCATATCGGTAGCAGGTGCGTATGATGCCTTTCCGGCCGTCTACTGTTGTTTTCTGGCGTTTTATTCAATTCATCTCTTTGGCAGCATATGCGCTGTGTTATCTGATGGCCATGTGCTGCCTTGTCGTGGCGATGTTTTATACCTACAGAAATTTTTGTCCTTGACGTGACGCGTACAATACACTAAGCCTTGTCGTTGAATGCCGTGGTATGTCGTCAATAAAGGTCTCCAAGCTGCTGGCAGCGCGGCCAGTGGCGCAATGGCAGTACAGAACCGTTTTTCGGATTGCTGCATGAGGCGGTTGTCGCTTTTGGCTGCGTTGTCGCTTCTGGATCTCTTATTCACATGATGATCTACTCAAGATAAGATCGCACCTCTCAGAGAAAAGTGAAAATCACCGCTGTCATTAGACGATGATCTTGATAACTCACTCCATTGTTTCGTCTTTGTAATATTGGTGAATATGACGGCCGTTCATATTCCGAAATTGCTGACTGTAGTATGTCCGATCTTGCTCGCATGTCAAAAAGAAAAAAACATTTAAGATACTTCAAACACCAAATCATGCTCATTACCTCTATGCCTCCGTTTCTGACGACGGGCTGTTGCATCTTCAGCGTCAATGACTTGTACGCATCTCGGCCATTGGACCTCTGCGTCCGGCCACCATTGTCATCATGGTGTTTCGTAAAATCGTGGTTTGCTCCTACAATTTTGCAGAGGGAGCAGATTTCAGATTTTTCAAGCGGCTCATTTGGGGATCGTATAGCGGTTCAGGCGTTACGGTAGCCTTTATCCGGTTTCCAAAGTACTCGACGTCAACAGTTGCGCCGTCTCTGACATCGCTGGGTAGCCAAGCATACGCGATAGGCTTGCGGACTGTATACCCGAAGGCTGCGCTCGTCACATAGCCGCATGCTCTGCCGTTGAGGAAAACTGGCTCCTTGCCCATCACCACCGACCGGCCGTCGTCGACCGTGAGACAGCGCAATCGTCGAGAAGGTGTCTTGGAAAGGCCTTCGATAGCGGCATGGCCAACATACCCTTTTTTATATGGATCAACTGCGAAGCCGAGGCCAGCTTCATATGGGTTGTGTTCGGTTGTCATGTCGGTGCCAAAGAAGCGGAATCCCTTCTCCATGCGCAAAGCATTGAAAGCGGTGCGTCCGGCCGCAACCAGCCCATGGGGCTGACCGGCCTTCCAGAGGAGATCCCAAAGTGCCAACCCATATTCAGCGCTGGTCCAAAGCTCCCAGCCAGGCTCTCCAACATATGACAGTCGGATTGCGGTGACAGGGATGCCGCCAACGTTGACTTTTTTGCAGCAGGAGTACCGGAGGCTCTTGAATTCGTCCGCAGTGACCTTACTGATCACATCGGAGGCACGTGGACCCCAGAGGCCTACGCCACAAGTAGCGCCAGTAATGTCTCGCACCTGTGTCCATTGAGAAGGACTCTTCTGAGACAGTCTCTTGGCTTCTCGGCTGAGATAGGCCAGGTCTACGGGAGTGTTGCAAGCAATCTGGAATAACTCTTCCTCGACCCTTGCCACGGTGAGCTCGCTTCGAACGCCGCCATGCTCGGTAAGAAGCAACGAATAACTCACAGACCCAGGAGCTTTCGAGACGTCGGTCGTGGTCATCCGCTGCAACAACTCAACCGCTCCAGGTCCCGATACTTCTAGTCGACGCAGAGGTGTCATGTCGTACAAAGCCACGGCTGTTCTCGTCTTCCATGCTTCAACTGCGGCAATGGGCGAATAGTGCTGGGAAGACCATGCGTCTCGCTCAACCGGCTGCCATTCCTTTGGCAGAGTTTTAAGCAAGGCGGCATTCGTGGCATACCAGAATGGACGTTCCCAAGCGCCTGATTCCAGAAAATAGGCCCCCAGTTCGGACTGGCGGGGGTAAAATGGACTGACTCGCAGGTTGCGTGGAGACAGCTTAGGGGCGAGGGGATGGATGATGTCGTAGACCTCGACAAAGTTCTGTTGCGATGTTTCTTGGATATACGCATGGGTGAGCTGTGCTTCGTCGAATCTTGAGAGTTCACAGTCTGTCAGATCGATTTGAGACTTGCCCGTTGTCAAGACTTCAGCAACTGCTCTCGCCACGCCCGCAGAGTGCGTTACCCAAACTGCTTCGGCGACCCAGAAGCCGTCTAACATTGGTGCCTCTCCCACCAGCGAGCCGCCATCCGGTGTAAAGGAGAAGATGCCATTGAATCCGTCGGCAATTTCGGTCTGCTGCAGAGCAGGTAAGATCTCTTGAGAATGTTTCCACGCTGGCTCAAAGTCCTTTGGTGTGAACTCCAGTCTGGACGGCATGTTCTTCTCGTCGACACGCTTAGGGGTAGCGCCCAACGATGCGGCAACAACAGGCATTGGACGATGTCCGTAGTACCCAATACCATACTGCTCTCCATGCTCGCGGTAGTACAAGTCTTGGTCCTGATATCGTAGAATGGGCAAAACTGCTCCGTTCGGTTGAGGTACACGACCAGCCTGGGCTGGGACTTTGGTTGTCTTCACGTATTGATGAGCCAGCGGGACCAGAGGTATCGTCAAGCCGACCATGGCTCCAACTTCAACGCCCCAGAATCCGGCACATGAAACCACTATATCAGCTGGGATTGTGCCGGTCTTAGTTGTCACGCCTGTGACGTGCCCGTGGGCTTGTTGGATGCCTGTAACTTCGGTGAGATCACGATATCGAACGCCGGCCTTTTGCGTCCGTTCGATGAGGACCTGAACGGCTCGAGCGGCCAATGCTAACCCGTCGCTGGGAATATACAGGCCGCCAAGTACCTTGTCGCGATTCAGATGCGGATATAATCTGAGGCACTCATCGGCGTCGATTAGTCGAGCGTCAACGCCCCATGAGTAGGCATAGCCTTGCTTCCGCTTGAGCTCCTCCATCCGTTCGTTTGTGGTGGCAATCTCAAGACCTCCGACTTGGTTGAAGCAGTCCAGAGACAGCAGCTTGTCGACGGTGTAGCGCGCGAACAGCGTCATGCTCTTTGACGGATTTGTCTGAAAGACCAAGCCGGGGGCATGCGAGGTCGAGCCACCAGGCATGTTCAGAGGGCCTTGCTCGACGACGGTGATGTCGGTCCATCCTCGCGAGACCAGCTCGTCGGCGAGGTTGGCTCCGACAATACCAGCGCCGATAATTACGACGCGTTTGTTGAGGGCTGCCATAGGTTTCTTCAAAGGTAGGGTAATTAGGGTACAAACCACTCCTCAAGAATTTTGTAGATTCATGTGTGTCAGGGGCAGATGAATTGGCAGGCTATAAAGAGAACACAGAGCAAGACACTTCGGGACTTCCAGCTCCCGCCAGTGGTCCATGGTCGTATGGATCTAGAAGCCTTTCCTGTTGCTAGTGTGTATCTGCATACCGTAGTCGTACGAGCACAGTCAGTACCCAGTTCATCGAGAAGGCGTCAAGACCCCGCAACGAATCGTGGCTTAACATTAAGAAATGGATTAGCGCACCCAGAATCGACATGGGTTCCATCTGGCATGAAGGGCGCGAGATAAGGAAGATCATGGGCCCTGGCTTGGGTGGAGGGTGATGTGCCCAGGGCTAGTGCTAGGGGGGTGCACGGAGGACACTTGCAAGTCGCAACTTTCCAAACCCCCTTCTGAATCTTTCTGCTCCTCTCCTGGGCGCCATGTTCCGAGCTCACTGCTCAGAAGGAACACTCACGCTGCCCTGGCTCCCCGTCTGGTATACCCTGGTCCCTGATAATCTACCGCCAGTTTCTGCGTGGACCCACAGCTCAGTCTCAATTGCAAGGGTTCTGCGAATGCTAAAGCCAACGTCATTGTCAAGTGGCGCCGGGGAGTATGAGTATGGAAAATAATCCCCTTTTAGGCACTTAACGTTTCTCCTCTTCCATCACATGTGCCATGGTTGTTCCCAAGTCTTATCGCACACTGCGACACCCTCCATCCGGCCCGATTTCCTGACGCGGTTTGATATCATGCTAACCCGCGAGGAGCTCCGTTCCGTGAAGCAACTGTGGCCGAACCCTGTGAAGAAGAGCAGACAACAGGCCACATGGTGCCCCCAGTGGTGTTGGGGACCAGATCAGCCGATGCCGTGAAACTTGTTGACTAACAAGAGGAAACTCTGATGGTGCTGGCTGACCTCGCCGCACAGTACGACCGACACTCTATTTCCCCTGGGACTGTGTGGAGGGGCACTCGCTGGTCGAGCCTGGGCTGCCGTGGCTTCATTCTACACCGCGCCAGACAGCCATACTGAATCAGAGTTTGGGTTTATCCCCAATAGCCGACGCTATCTCAACTCTCGCAGTGCTGATGATTGCTGTAGGGCACAGGCCCGAACAAACAATATTGTTCTAGGCCTCACAAACCTGCCTACTCTATGATGATTGGTGACACGTCTTATCAATGCAACATGGGACAAGCCGGCTGTGCGAATCCTTGATGACAACAAAGGGTCTGAATCATCACCTGGGTCTGAGTATGAGATTGTGGGTTCTGATCAGTGATCTCTGGAAAACAAGCTACTGGAGGCTAATCTAGGCGCTGAGGGTGTGATCCGAGACCTCAGCCCGCAATTCGTCGGAGCCAGAATGTCTTCTGCAATGCTATGGATGGCATCTCCGTGCTAGGTTAAGGTCTGAGTTTGAATTGATGTGAACTTTGGCCACTTCAGGTCAAAGGCCACTGCATCGTCACTCGGACACGAAACCCAGAACGGACCCCACTATGAATAACGCTGTGGCGGCATCGCTGCACTATTCGGAGACGGTGCTGGCGCGTCGAGCTTGGTGTACTCGTCGCTCGACAGGCCCTTATCTGCTTCTATGGAATTGATTGCCCCATGGGGCTTGACGGATGGCCATCAAGCTGATAAGAGCCAAGGGATAAACGCATTGTGGTACGATATATCTAACAAGCTTACCGTCAACATCAGGTCAGACATCATAGCTGTTGGAACAGTCCCTTGTCAGCTGATTACCATACTCCCTCATTACTCTCTATCTTGATGAATATGGCCCCGGCACTCCTGAACTACCTGGGCTTTGGCGGCAGTGCTGCTGCTGCTGAAGACGAGAAGAGCTCCGTCCGAGCCCTGCCTGCACCATGGTACACTTCCGAGGAGATGTACCAGCTCGAAAGACGAGCCATCTTTTCGAGACGATGGCTCCTCACCACACATCAAAACAGACTGAAGCAAGCTGGTGACTGGCTGCGTTATGAGATTGCTGGCTTCAATATTATCATCTCTAAAGACCGCCATGGAAATATCAACGCCTTTCACAACGTCTGCAGACATCGTGCCTACCCCGTCGTCGACGAGGAGAAGGGCACGTCAAAGATCTTCAGCTGCAGATACCATGGATGGTCGTACGGACTCGACGGCAAGCTCGCCAAAGCTCCCGGATACCAGGACCTCCCAAGCTTCGACAAGACCCAGAACGGTCTCTTCACCATTCACGTGCACATTGACATCAACGGCTTCATCTGGATCAATCTCGATGGCAAGGAGAAGCCCGAGGTGCCGTGGGAAGAAGATCTCGGGGGTGCCGACTCTCAAGAACGGCTTCGACAGTTCCAGTGGGACCAATACGAATTCGATCACGTCTGGGAGATTGACGCCGCATACAACTGGAAGATAGCAGCCGACAACTACAACGAATGCTATCACTGCAAAACAACTCATCCCGATATCCCCACCGTTGCAGACCTCGCATCCTACAGTGTCAATGTGCAACGTGCGTGGATTCAGCACAACGGCGCCACGACAGCCGAGCAGAGAGAGAGAGGATTGACTGTCTGCGCCACGTACTTTTGGCCTAATGCCTCATTTAATGTTTCGTAAGTACAAGAACAGCAACTCCATTTAGCTGTATGAACGATTAACTAACGGCGACGTGATGGATTACAGACCTCATTTCTTCTTCACGCAGCGCTTTGTCCCTCGCGGACCCAACAGGACTCTTGTCCGATACGAGGTGTTCCGCAACAAGAACTCGTCCGAGGAAGATTTCCAGCTGATCAACAACATTTACAAGCGCATCATGTCGGAAGACAAGGTTCTGTGCGACGCAGCACAGAAGAACATCAACACAGGTGTGTTCGTGAACGGCGAGATGCATCCCGTCATGGAAAAAGGTCCTCTTTACTTCCAGAAGCTTGTCCGCGAAGCTGTGACGGAACATCACAAGCGCGAGCAAGCTGCCAGAACCGAGATCTGGCCTGCCCGCCAGAATCTCCCCACCAGTGCTCTGGTGACCAAGAAGGACATCGACTTCTGCTCTGGTCTTGCCTGTTCCACCAACCAGGAAGGCCTGGTTTGGTAAATTCTTTCCCTGGAGCGAAATTGCACGGTATAGGTTTGTTTTTTCCGACGTTGACGAGACGACCAAACTTTCGAAGGTGTCATTTGGCACTTGTTTTAATGCATAGCCATAGGTTTTGGGGATTCTATTACCAACGACACCTGCAGAATCTTTTTTCTATCATCTATTATACAACGATCAAGACAGAGAGAAAAAGAGAGAGGCCTTGGCTCATCCCATCAAGTATCGACTTTTCTTCTATGCGCAATCAATGATGCGTGATGTATTCAGACTTAAGAGGCCACCGATTGGCTCCAAAAAGCGACAAAAGCTCTTCTGCAATGAAACCACTGCGACTGCCAGAAGCGACAACATTGCCTTGCTCTCGCCGCATGTAAGAAAGCAACAATGATCTCGATGAACCCACGCAGCAATTACCATCGAGAACCACGGACTCTTGCCTAGCGACTACATTCGACAGCAAGAATTGCAAAGTACTTGACCCAGCGACAGTAATTATACATACACCTCTCGCTCTCACGGGTGCCGTTGAACAAACGAGTATGTTGAATTCTACTAGCGCTGTAGAACACCGCAGCCCGACCAAAGCACCGTATCGATTGGAGAATGGCTACAAGCACCTACGAACACGACCGCCTGAATCTGGTAAACCGCCGAGCTTGCGCCTCCCTGAGGTACGAGTCCGCCTGGAATTTTGTTCTTCTGGCCTAGAGATGCATAGTGCTAGCCCCCCCGGCGCCTTCTATCAACGAGAAGAAGGCTTCGGTATCTTCAGAATTTCCCGAGTGCGATCCAACGAGGACGGTCGCTTCGCTTTGACGCAGCTACTACGGAGCCGAAGATACTTGACGCAACCATGATGATAAAGAAGACGAAGATGATGCACGTTGTGGACATAAATCATTGGTCTGAGCGAGTCTCACGGACTGATCGTGATAAGCTCGCGCGGTAAGCAAGCCAATCATCCGACCAGTCAGTCAGTCAACCCGGACTGTTATCAAGAATGATTACACGCTGCCACGTCAGGGCACATGGATTGATAGATCAGGTGAGGTTGCGGATATTACGATGTTACTTGTCCCAAGTGAGAAATCGGGCCTGGAAGATCAAATCAGCCCTTGCAACCAACTGCAGTTTGTCTGCCCAGTCACTATAAGCCCAAAAATGGGTTCGGATGCAGGTAGGTTCACTTCTGGACGAGGCTACAACAAACATTGGAGAATCGTCAACAGCCGCCTTGTGACATACGATGGGGACAAGGAGGGGCTGGCTGGTCGGTCTCGGGTAAGTAACTGATGATCTCAGCCACCCAAAGTCAAAAACGAAGGGGGGTCCTCGCCGAAACAATGTGTCTTGATAAGGCATACGCCCTGTGTCGGGAGTCTGGAGAACTGTGAAAGATAAGTGGGCGGGTGAACTCGAGCGACTGGCTGTCATCAGAGGAAAGCTACGATGGTAGCACGCAACTACCGAGTCGTTCGGAGTATCAACAAGATACTAGGAGACCAGGATGCGTTGTCTGAATCCGGGTATAATGACCGTCTATCGCGTTCCCCGCAATGACCCGGTTTTTCCGCCAGCGCCCAAGAAGCTCTGGCCACCATGTACGAGTGAGTACGGATCCCGGTAGGCACATCCATCCCAGCGAATGAGTTGGGTGAGTTGCGAAGGAAGAGTCTCTACGAGCTGGTAGGTATGCAGGGAGGGAGTTATCGTAGTCATCAAATCTGAGTGTGTGCCTTTGTCTGCTATACATTCTGCACTCTGTACGGATTGAAACCAGCACCGGCAATGTTATATGAATGAACTGGGAGCACTGGGTGTGTGATTCCTCCTCGTACGAGTGACACACCACGCACCCCCTGAACTGAAAACAGCTGTACAGTATGCTTAACCACGGATCCGTCCGTGGAGCGTAGTAGGTTGCCAACTAGTCTGTTACCCACCGTGCGTACGTCTGTTGTCGTTTCCGAGAATGGCATACTTTCACTGAGCATGAGACGGGCCTCCAGATCCAGATCCAGATCCATAATCCATAGTCCATACACACAGTACTACATAATTCAATCCATGCCAATAAAACACCACATGAACACGTCTCTCTTGGATTGAGAGCACAAACCAACCAGGCATCTACAGGCACGTCGTTTGGTGGTGGTGACCAGATTTCGTTACTCTTTACATAATTTATTCTACCTCGCACCTGTGTTTTTTTTTGTTCCTTTGCCCAAAACCCGAAAAGAGACCAACACTGTCCAAAGCTATTATAGATAATTGAAAAAATCACACCGTCACCGCCGCCGTCACAGCCCCAACCATGGCAGGCGACAAGTCATACCTCATCGTCGGTGCAGGCGTGTTCGGGGTGTCAACGGCATACCATCTGATCAAGAAATACCCGGATGCATCAGTAACCATCATTGACCGGGACGCGTACGACGCCTCATCCCGCGTGGCGGCGTCGTGGGACTGGAACAAGGTGGTGCGGGCCGACTACGACGACATCGTCTACTGCCGGCTGGCGCTCGAGGCGCAGGACGTGTTCCAGACCGAGGCGCTGTGGAAGCCGTACTTCCACCAGACGGGCATCTACTGGATGTGCCGGGACGACTACGCGCGGGACGTGGTGGACAACTACAAGAAGCTCGGGCGGCGGGCCGACCTGGCCGCGGTGCCCGTCGACGAGGCGCGGAAGCTGTACGGCGGCCTGTTCGAGGACGCCGACTACACGGGCGTCAAGGAGGTGCTGGTCAACAAAACGAGCGGCTGGGCGGCGGCCGGCGACTGCCTGATCGCCGTGACCAAGGAGGCCCTCAAGCTGGGCGTCAAGTACGTGACGGGCGAGGTGCAGACGGTGCTCCTGGGCACCGACGGCCAGGGCCAACGACGCTGTACCGGCGTCAGGACGACCCAGGGCGACGTGCTCACGGCGTCGCACGTCCTGCTGTGCACGGGCGCGTACACGCCGAAACTGCTCGAGCTGAGCGCGGCGAGCAGCGGACACGAGGATCTCTCCGCCGGCAAGCGCATCGTGGCCGGCGGCATCACGACGGGCATGACGACGCTCGCCGACGACGAGACCTACGCGCGCTTCGCCTCGATGCCCGTCGGCGTGCAAGGGTACACGGCCGAGCAAGGGCCCTTCATCGGCAGCCTGCCGCCCACCAAGGACAGGGAGCTCAAGTGGTGGGGACAGACCATCTTCAGAAACAACCGAGAAGTCCTGCCTGGTCGAGTGCTGTCTGCGCCGCCGCCCGAGCCCGACTACGCCCAGTGGAAGGTCTCGGGACGCCTGAAGGAGGACATCAACCATGCCAACCACGTCTTTTACGGCAAGAATGGAGCGAAGTGGAAGATGGAGAAACATCGAATTTGCTGGTAAGTACCTAAGCCGACACCCACACACATACACATACTCTCTATCTCTTTCTCTCCATTTCTCTCTCTCTGATCTTCGACGATAGGGACGCTTTCACCACCAGCTCCGACTTCATCATCTCCCCCCACGCCGCCGCAAAGGGCTTGTACGTCGCGACGTGCGGCAACTTCCACGGCTGGAAGTTCTTCCCCGTGCTCGGCAAGTACATAGTCCAGATGCTGGAGGGGACGCTGTCTCCCGAGCTCACGGAGAAGTGGGCCTGGGATCGAGAGAGGCCCGATCCTTCGGGCTTCGCAGATTATCCGAGGTGGGAGATGAAGGAGCTTATCGGGGCTTCGAGGCTGTAGTTGAGAGGAGGTGTGGCCCATTATTTCTATTGTTGCCGCTGCCGCTACCGCCGCCACCGGCTCGATCGCTTATTCCCTCGTCACAGGAGGACACAGCACACGGCACGGTGCAATGCAGGGTACGGTATTGGTATAATTGCACATATTCGTACGATACGACGTCGACACGATAGATACAGCATAGCAAGGACGGAGTACGGAGTATTTGAAATGTCAAGAGCGCGCTACTTGATCGATCAAGATGACGATCAGGTACAGATACAGGTACTTGCTCAATAGGTATCATACATGGCCCCTCATGGGCTTGCTGGCACTTGGAAAGTTGGTACTCGTACTGGAGGGAGGTACTCCTGCATGTATATGGAGGGTAAGGATCACGAGCAACGTACATTGTTTGAATGCCGTACCTCGACAGGAGTATGTATCTACTCTGTACAGTTTGATAGTCGGACTCACCTACACCTACAACTGGCATGTCGTCTTGATGCAGGATCGGGGCTCCTAACTACCTAGATGCTCATAGTCAATTCGTCACAAGAGAGGGAAGAGGTAGAAAAAAATAGACTGGACAAAGGCAATAGTGAGGCACCGAGTAAAATCTGTATTCCGTGAATGAGACCAAAGGAGTTCTAACTAGGCCATGATGAGTGACGGGTAGTAGTCAGTCACCGAGGAATCTAACCGAGCAGTAGAGTACTAGGCAAAGATATACCTCTATCTGTCTCTCTGTACCTGTGGCAGTCCTGGGCTTGAAGAGGAAGTGTTGTTCCGCTATTGTGCCAACATCGACAAAGGTTGCGGGTCTCATGCGTCTGCTTGACGAAATCCAAGGCGGTGATACGAGATCATGGTACCTCTGTTTGGCTTTTGGACATGTCGACTGACTGATTGATTGACTGCTTCGTCTCTACCTACATAGCTTGTTGGACCAGAGAACTCCATCGCTAATTTGGATATCATTTTGTGGTACGCCACATGCATTCATTCAACACGCAAACCGTGGCGTCGCTCGCAGATTGGAATAATTAACTGCCCGCCGTCCTAACCTGACACTACTCAAAATTCCATGGCGTCCCCTGCGTGGGAAGAAAGATTGAGCCGTGAATGGTCGGCAAGCACCTCCTCATCATCGTCGGTCTCACCGTCAACCTCGAAATCAAAATCTCCACGCTCGATTCTGCTGCACCTATCCAGAATCTGTTGATATTCCTTTCGTAGATCCTCCAACGTGACAATGACGCGCCGTCTCTTCTTGCTGGTCTCTGTGATCTCTTTGTTTTGCTTCGGAGCAAGTCGGTCTCTGCTTTCAGGTTCCACATCCGCCAGGATATACGCTTCTTCGGGAGCCACACAGGCCATCATGTTGATAAGAGACAGTAGTACGTGCCTCAACACGGTCGCCTGGGGATCGTGTCTCAATTTGCCAGATCGACGTACCAACTTGAGGCGATCGTAGAGAACAGCCACGGCACCGCGATAGTTTTTCTGAGCCACGCGTATTGCATATAGAATTCCAAGATAGTCAAAGCCCCCAACGGTGGTAGACCAACCAGTCCCAGCTGAAGTCTGCTTCTTCGCGAGGCCCGTCAAGTGTTGGTCGACATGACGCGCTAAACTCGGATACATGTTCCATGGAAGCGATTGTATCGTCTCGACTGCACTTTGGCCACTATAGATGGAGGAACGTGGGTTCAAGATGGCGTTAACAAGTAAGGCTACAGAGGATCTCTGCAGTGCTTGGTCTGTGAATTGTGCCAGTGCGTCATATGCACGTTGAATTCGGAATGACTTGAGTTCTGCATTGAATAGTCGAGAGAGTACTTCCGTCTTGAAGTTGGCCACAGGTTCCTTTTGGTCAGGCTGTAAGGCTTGTAGAGCTAGATGCGCAAATTTGGCAGATGCATCATACACGTGCGCAGCCTCGAACAAATTGGAGATGTGCTGTAGATAGAGCGGCATTCCATTGTTGAAACATTCTGCTTCGATGATCGACAACAGTCCGGCAGACATGGCCACAAGATGTCCAACCGCTTTGCCACATGCAAGTCCGTATGACGCTTTTTTGAAGCAGATTGCCGCCATTTGAAGCTCGCCTTTAGCCAACGCCAGTCTTCCCTTGACATAAGTCGCCCAAGGCGTGGAGGGTTGAAACTTCATGAAGTCTGTGGCTATATCGATTTCGCCCTGCTTTAGAAGATCGCACAACAGGTACACTACACCATCATCACTTTCGATGGTGTCTTTTCCTGACGCCCAGTCATCGATCTCAATCAACTGATCAGTAACCAAGTAGAGCTGGGGCTTGTCAACGGCCGGCTGTGGCCTGACTGCCTTGCCCAGAGTATCCTCAAATATGCTGACGAGTCTTTGGTCTTCTTGACTGGACGTAGACGGTCGACGGGCAGAATTAGGTAACCCATCAGTGCCGAGAACTTCTAGGGGGACGTATCGAAAACGGGTTGCCAGCCATAAGTTCCGTTCACACAGTTTGAGTAAGGGGGAAATGTGGTGGAACAGCTCCGAAGCATCAAATGAAGTCATCTTGACCTCCTCCTGGTTTAGCTCTCCTTCAACAAAAATGGCCAAGGCGAGGAGATCCGTCAGTAATTGACGCTGAGACGAGATGTAATCGCGGATGCCTGCTGAAAACAAATTGCTTCCAAATATTGTGTTCCTCAAAGCTGTCTTTGCTCTCTTGGTCTTCGTAGCCAAGAGTTCCAGAACACCCAGGAATAGTTCATTGTTCAACGACGACAGACCTCCAATCGCTTGAAGGTTGGCTTCGAGTTGTTCGAACACTTCATTAGAGATAGCCTCGCTGAAACCTATGTTGTCATAGATCTCAAATATCCTAGTGGGCGTAACATATTCCTCCCCGACAGACATGTCTTCCTCGATAGCGGCTGCCAGGTCGCAGTCTAGATCGGCGGCGAAGCTCTCCCGGAAGGTTTTGGCTGCGGCCATCAAGATTGCAAGGTTCTGGAACGGCTCGCCATCTTCCGCGCTGACCTTACGATGAGTCCACGCTTGAGCAGCCACATCCTCCAGATTGGGAATATCCTCGATTGCGTTCTGCTGCAACAATTCAACGATACTGCATTCCCTTATGGCACAGCATTTTCCTGCCATTGGAACCCACACCATGTCGCAGAACGTATCGTACGCCAATGCTAACGGAGCATTTCGACTCTCGTTAATGTTTTCAGCAATACGGTACAAGTTCCGCCATTGAGCATCTGTATCGGTAATGAAACGATCAAAGTCGAGGTCGGAATCTCCATACTTCCGAAGAGCCACCGTTGCTGCTACGATATTGCACATTCGTTGTCTTATCGTGCCCGCCTTTTGAGAAGCTGTCAATTTGACCGTCGTAGCCTCCTCAAACACAGACAGAGAAGTTTCGAGGACCATGTCCGTGTATCGTCCAGGGTAGAAAAAGAAATCCAGCCATTTTGAAGCAGGATCTTCTGGATCACCTCGGACCAAGTCGGGCGGCACATTTTTTGAGGAGGACGTCGCAGCACATTTGACCCAGTTGGCTTTCCACGAACTCGCAAGATTTCCAAAGTCAAAAGTGCAGCGGTAGAGTTGATGGTAGTTGTGATTTCGCCATAGAACCCACAGTCGGGCGGGTTGGAAGTCCGAGATGGGGTCAAGTTTGAAGCCGACCATCGACCAAATGGTGTTTCCTGAAGGATCTGGGTCAGGAGCACTCAAACGCTGATTGGGGTATCGGTCTTCCACAACGAGGTTCTCGGTAGCACCACCCTTGAGATCCCAGAACTTGAACTGTCCCCCATCTTGAGGGGTGTAGGTCAATAGAACAGGGTTCCTCTGAAGGGGCAGCTTGAAGATCTGAATGAATGCGTCCTCGGCAGGGTTGAGGTGAGTGCGATCGTTCGGGTCCCGAACAGCATCGAGAAGATCTTTCGTTGCAACAATCTTTCCGTCCAACAGATTCCAGACTCTCAGACTGTGATTTAAGCACACGGTGAACAGAAACTTGCTATCTGGCGAAGTGACCATAGCCTGAGCCGTCCTCGCATCCAGGGATGCCGCACCGTGTTCGATAGTTTGCAGGCCGCGGCGGCTGACCATGCCTCGTATCGAGGCACCCCAAGTCTTGTCATCGTAAATGTCATGTTTCCAATGTCCGTCTACTGAGCGTCGAGTGGATCGCTGGATCTTGCCGCTTGTAAAAGACAAAAACAACTCGAGGGGGCTGCTAGCCCAGACATGGTGAACAGCGTTGATATCTAGGGACGAACTGTCGAGGGGCCTGCACCAGTTGCCCAGGTTCTCATTCCGAAGGACATCGGCATCGCGGAAGGCGCTGGTCGGAAGTTGGAGGTGAAATAATTCGTTTTTGTTCGTGCATACAACAACGTGAAGGTCATCGCCAGTCTCAAGATCGGCAAATGCAACACCTCGAGGAATGATCGGGTCTTGTAGCTCAAATCTAAGGGTGTAATATGCCTCTTTCAAATCATTCTCACTGCGAGCTAGATCGGCGCATTGGATCTCCAGGGTCTTCCCGCTGTTTACCACCTTCCAATGAAACGTTCTTGGGTAGGACTTTGATTGTCGAAAGTAAATCGAACTTTGGGATGCGAGAACATGAGCGGAAAAGGACTTTTCATCCTTTGTTGAGGCATCGGCGTGGGAGGAGCGATTCACCGAGAACTTCGACTTGTTGTAGGAGCCGTTCTTTCTCGGGATTTGGAGACTGACGATTGAAGCTTGTGTCGCAGGCGTCACCTCGAAAGCGGTCTCGGTGTAGAGATTGAGCATGGTTGCATCTGCTGTGCGAGTAGCATCTGCTCTGATTGCTCGTTAGTATGGAGAAGGTGCATGGGGGAGGCCCATGTGGAAGGGGAGGCAAAAGTCTGCTGGGTTGGTTTTGATTGTCCGCATCGCATCGCAAGATGCTGCCGACGCGTGAAATGCGCGACAGGGGTGTATAATGCCAAGACGAGGCTAGTGAGGCTAGTTAAATGACTAAGCCATCATCAGCCTCAGGACTGTGGCTCAACGCTCTCGCCGCCTTGTTGGTCGTGTTGGTTGTTTGGTCGTTGGGCATGTTATACTCGAATCGCGTATCGTGCTTTTCTCTGCCTCAAAGCCAGCCCGACAGCCCAATTCAACTTCGCAATTCATAAACCCATCAGTCCATGCCTTTTGCCATCCAATCTTTCTTCGTGGTGAAGCAATTCTCAGCGCCTAGATCTCTTTGCTGGGCACACTTTCACGCTCTCCGAGTCCTTGTTCCTTTTCTCACGCATGTAGAACTTACCACCCCGCTTGACTTCTGCCTAAGATGAACAAATCCGACACGCCCCCGAACAGAATCTGGCCATTTCCGAAGCGCTCTCCCTCCTCCATGTACCACGCTGAAGTAGGCGAAGTGAGCCGATAAAGTTTGACTCCTCACGTTGTGGATCTGACCTGCCATACTGGACGACTGTTACAAGATTATAACACCAATGAGCGCAAATACCTTAATGACACTCAAATCCCCTCAAGAGTGACAGCTCTCGCAGAATGCATCTGGACAGGCCTGACCATCATTTGACTGTGGTTGCCAGGGAAGATGGTACATTCTAAAGCGTATGAGATCAATGCGGAGCAATGGCCAAAGTATTCAGGCATTAAGCTATTGGAGCTTGACACGGAGACACGTTTTCTTCACCTCGAGTAAACGGCCGAATCCAAATGTTTGCGTTACAGAATACAATATAACTGCTCCGCGATCTTCCTGAGCCTTGTGCTGTCTCATATTCATGTGGTGCCCCGGTACCAGCCACTGCGTTGAAGGAGATATTCCTTGATGGAGAATCTGTTCGGATCTGGCAAGATTGTACTCATTCCCCAAGACTATAAAATTCCTGAATTCAGGCACGAACAAGAATCAAGGTTTGCTTTTGCCTGTCCAGGACCTTGATTCTTGGAGCTAACAACGCTCTGAACGCTCTTGAGTTCTTCATCTCTATGTAAACACATTAGAGAACTTCAGAGGTAGTTTGGAGTCGTTTACAAGCAGGAGCCGGATCTGGGAGCCTGAATGAGCTATTCGTCAGGGTGATGGTACTCCCGTACCACATTCCCCGATCTGATCCAGATGTTGTGCAGTGCGTTTAGCCCGCAGCCACACGAGCTAGGGGAGTCCTCGTCACTCTTAAGCGCCAACGCATTTCGCGTTGTTTTCTCTTCGTACGGCACTCGAACCCGAAGTGGGCCATGCTATGACTGCAGCATCTAGTGCTCCTCAAGTCAGAGTAATCATTCCTAAACCGTCGTCAATATGATCCGGCTTCATGCACCCAGGTCATTCTCGCAGTGCCTTCACGCTTGGCGCGTTGATCAGGTGGTGCGTCGGTGCATTCGACGGTCCAGCGACCCAATTCACCATCCCTCTTTATGCGAAACACAAACTCGACAGTGTGCCATTGGCGACGATTCTTATCTCCAGCATCTTCCATCGCCGCACTGTTTTCCACGTGCGGATCGGGTTCGGTACAAGCTAGTCCTTTCGGCGTGACATTTTGTGAGTTTGTCTTTTCTTGAGACGTTTTTGATTTGCACCTGTTTGCCGTCATTCGCTGGGCATATTCTACACCTTTGTCTGTTTGATTGGCTCTTCTTGTACTTCTCCGGATCCGTCCAGGCGGCGTTTGGATGTCCCCACCCTCTTTTCTTCCAGATCTAACTTTTCGAGGCTTACGACCCAAGGTAGAATTTGGCTCGGGGTGTTCTGTGTCATAGACGTTGAGAGTGTGCTTGAATGGAGACACGTCGACTTTGAATTCGATCGACTGCCAAAGTTGGCGGTCTGGATGGTGGAGGTCAGCCTATTCGCAAGCTCCACTTTTTTGCGGCGAATGTTACCTTCATTGCGTTCATGATCGATCGTATAGTTATCCATCGTAATTTCCTTGAAGGTCCATAGATCGACAGAGATGCCAACGATGTTCTCTTCAATATTGAAGCTTCTGAACAACCTGCAAGGTTCAGGATCGGCTTCGTTCTCACCCTGCGGAATATGTTATTCGCTGAAACTTTGACGAAAGCATTGTCAAACATACCTTTTTCCAGAGGAGCTTTATACAATTCTCCACCAACAACTCACCAGTCACAGGATCTGGTTCCGGCGGCTCTTGTGGATGGCCTGGCAAATTTCGGTTCCAAACTTCATATTGAAGAAGACCAACACTACACCTATTTACGCGCCGAACTATAGACTTGTCCCTCCGAGAACAATACAAAGCTCCTTTGGCAAAAGCATAGTCACTGTATGACGGTCAGATGTTAGATAATTGGCTAGATAAACTACTCACTGGATTGAATAAGGGTATAGCTCTATTTTTGTCAGGGCGAGCTGAGCCGAAAGAGAGTGTAGTTTGTCCGCAAGGTATTTTCTGAGGTATTTGTTTGCGGAGAATCCGCCTGTCAGGATTACGGCCTGAGATGCGAAAACTGATTAGCTGATTTCAGAAACACCAATGCTGAGATCGCACTACTGACCTCTACACTTCCCACTTGAGATAAAGCGCACTTAATCTGGTATTCCAGAAGCCACCATATCCTTTCGAGTACCTTGTCGAAGATTTCGAGCAGGTGGTGTCTATGGGTTGTGAGCATTGTCTTCGAAACTGTATAGAAAGACCCTACTTCCGCATTCGAAGAAAATGTTCTTCGAAATCCTTGCTGGGATCATTTGGAAGGTTGACAAGCTGGAGGCGGAAATAGTCTTCCTCTCCAGTAAATCTGGCTTTCGTGCGTTTGTTGAACCAATTCAAGAGAAATGGTAAGCCGGATACTACTGTAGTTCTGTCGACCTCTGGTAGACTTGACAGCCTGGCTCTGACTTGCTCTTCAAAAGCTTCATCCAAATTCTCCGAGCCATATGGCGTCCCTGCCATAGATGAGTCACGAGAAGGGGGGTACAGTATACCTTTAATGTAGTCGGCTATGAACAACTTACCCTTGGTTGGAGTTATTTCTTGCAACACTCCCTCCGATAAGCTCTCCACGCGACACACGGTGACATCCTGGCAATTTGTCAACGCTTGATGGGCGAATAAGTGGAAACTTACTGTGGTTCCGCCTCCGCAGTCACATACGGCAACGACCATGTCAGCCTGTTCTGAATTAATAACTGAACTTTGTGCATAGCCGGGGTGCGTACCGTCATTTGCTTCTCGAAGTTCATGTCATCTAGCCTGAGATACGCTGCTGCTGCAACCGGTTCAGGAACAAACCGTATGTGTTCCTCAATTGTAATGTCGCATTCCCGTGCACCTTTCAGAATCGCATCAGACAGACGGTGAAGAGGTTTTTGAGTTAGCCAGGCAGCGGGGATACAACAGCTAAGATCCCAGATAGCGCGATCGGGACACCCCAGCGTCACTAATTCGCGTTTCCAGTCCCTTAGCAAAATCCGGAAAAAATCCGTGACCACATCGTCCACTGACTTTCCAGCAGGTAGTGTTCTGAGGAATTTCTTCCGCTGTTGCTCAAACTCAGGTCGATCGTCCAAGAAGATCTTCAGCCGTCGTACCATAGATGCACCAGAGTACCAGTCCCCGTTTTCTTCGTGCTGTTCTGCTTCGATCCCTATACTGACGTCGTTCTCCCCATACCGGATGCAGGTAGGTATCTCAGTCTCCGAGCGGTTCTTCGAATCTCCTGAAGCGGAACTGTATCTCCGAAAAGGTCTGATCTCCAGTCGTTTAAGAAAGGCAAGGCTGTGGGTTGTGCAAGATGCGACCCCAGAGGTGAAGGCTGTTCCCCAGTCCAGTCCAAGAATGATCCTGACTTCGCCAGTTGGATCCCTTTGAAATGGATCTTTTGGGCGTAACGGCAAATCCATGAGACTAGGGATCCTGATAGCGCTCTCTGAACTTCCCCTTTTTTTGGAGAGCAAATCCACCTCTGGCGTTACAAAAGACATCTGAGGCCTTATGAGTCCACTATTTGAAAGATCGAGATTGAGCACCACACTTCTGAGGAGATATTGATACTTTGTGGTTACCTCTCACTAATGCACTGGAACATGCAGGCTTGCTTTCCCGGATTACCGAAGGATCAGTTCATTGGCGGTGGGTGTTTGGACATGCGGCCAGGCAGGCAGAAATGCTTAAGTCTGCGGCGCCGAACAGGGGATGAAATATGCTATGTGCATTCATGGCCAATACCTCAGACTAGTCAAGCACCGCGATGAAACTTGCCAGCGCAGCAGCCGCTTGTCGCTAAGGCCCCAGGGCGCTGTTGCCTGGAAGCTGCATATTAAAAGTCGGTCACGTACGGAGTACTGGACGTTTGCTCCTCACCGGTCTAATTTGAGTGGCAATCATTGGTCGGGGCCAAATCGGCAACAAAGCACCGAAATCTGGCGCGTCCTTGACCTGTTCTGCTTGCATATCTCCTCTCTCAATTGCAGCTGTTAAAAGGGCTTTGACGCTCTAACAAACTAAACATTTTGGTGCAACTGAGTATAGTTGTACCCGAGGAAAGAACTATGGGCACAAGAGCCGGAGCACGATGGTCCAGGGAAGAAGTGTTTCAGCTTCTGTGCACGCTTAACGACAACATCGAGCATATCGCCCCTCAGACAGTCCCGACAGACGACAACCAAATGGAGATATTGATGAAGCGAGTAATCTCGGAAGCCTCAATGCTTTTGAGCAGGACTCTGCCATTTGACATCACTCCGTCGCGAGTTGAGAACAAGTTAAGTTCTCTGTGGGCAAATTTCGGCCCTCCGACTGGTTCCAAGCCACCTTATGCACTCTACCAATATGGGGCTTTCACGAAGACTCTACCAGGCTTAGAAGATCCTAAAAACGGATTTCCAGGTATGCTTAATGAAATGGCTGAATATCTGAAAACCCAGAAACCGTAAGGATTACAATACATTCTAGAACAGCGATCTGACATCAACTGCAGGCCTTCTAAGTCACTCCAGATTCCAATTTCACAAGTCCAAAGAAAATCTGAGAGAGTCGGTGTTCGAGACGATCATACTGATCCGATTGTCTGCAGGTGTGGGTTCAGTCACCATATCGCTTGCATCCACTGCGACTGCTGCTTCACCTGGCAGCATACCTTGTGCTATTACGATACTGGAGTTGACGATGAGCTTCCAGAGAAGCACATGTGCGATGAATGCCTCGGGGTCAGCACGATCCAAGACGACGGTAAGGAGTCTTACCTCGCATGGAATCTCACAAAGGCAGTCCGAGCGTTGAGATTAGAATCGCCCAAGATTGATAGCGGGAATCACTCGGAAGAGAAAACAGTCCTTGCAGAGTCTGAGCCTGGAAGTTATATTCTTGGCCCATTTGCCTGTCCTCGAGACGACGACTATTTCTGGGGTCCCATAAATAATGACATTAGAGCTACGATGGATGATGCGACATCAATGACTATCGAGATCGCATACTCCATGCTCGATACGGGCCTCAGTATTCGGAGAGTCAATAAAACGTTAGGCTCAGATGGCGGCGCGGCCCTTGGCAACATTCTTGAAGCTGATCGTCGAAGATTATGCCAGAACAAGCTTCGTACACTGATGTCGCAACCAACTCCCAAGGTAGGAAAGATTGTCAGAATATTGGCTGGATTAATTTCAGAAATGGTTGTGAATCTGACCTTTTACACATCTCGGAGCCGAGCTCCAAGTGTAGACGAGATTTTTCATAAGCTCTTGTTGAAGAAGATCATGGAACAAAGTAGGTCATACCAAAGCACAATTTCCTCACTTGCACAATGGCGGCAGATTCAGACATGACTGACTTGCAGTAGACGGTTTACAGACTTTGCGTGACCTGAGAAGAAATGGATTGTATTCTCTAATAGAGAAAACAAATAATCCCTTCCTGTGTTGTATCACAGAGCAAGCAACCTGTATGGCTGAGCAGGTCCTGAAAGTGCTCGATAGCATGATGCCCACAACAAGTCACGAACGACGCAGTGAAAGTGAGGCAAGGCAAACAGCGCTCAAACAGCTTTTCATCCTGATGCTCCGACTGAGAACTCATTTGGCCCTGTCCGAACGCTTGTACGAGTTGCGCCTTACACCTATCGATACGTCACTTGAAGGAGAGTCAATGGTCGACGAAATGGGTAACACAATCCAGCCTGAAAGCACAGTGGAAACTTGCTTGATGCCAGCTGTCATTGAATATGAACTGAAGAATGTAAATGTCCCCCTTGAGGATTTTCTGTTACTGTCCACAGGAGAAATCTTCTTGAAGGAGAGCCCAGAAAGCAAGCCAAAAGGACAAGTTGTGTCACCCGCGATCGTCCTGGTAGCTTCATAGAGTGCACTCTTTGGTCGAGAGCGTCATGAGCCGGCAAGAAAACAAGGAAGTCATGAAACCAATGATCTTTTTGAGCAACACTCCAAGTTCCTTCAAAAGTTCTCTGCCTCTCTACGTCAACTCGGTATGTCTACGTTCCGATTAATCGCGAACTAATGTAGAACAAATTTGGGGACTATGCTCGGAAACAATGAAACTGATAGAAGAAATTACTCCGCATAGGGTTCAAATATGCGTTCAAAACAAATCAACAAAGCAACTGCAAACCAGAGTGCTTTGTCATATCAGCAGGTTGACGCTGATTCTGTTTTAGCGGCTAGATATCAGACAAGCTGCTCATCTCTTGGAATGTTCTAAGCACCTACATAACCAACTGATCGGAGCGGCTTTGTGTGGTCACTACCCAAGGGATACAGGGTTCGAAATCCTACCGCCTTCTGATCCTCGAGAGAATTAGGGCACGAGGTGATAGTCAAGCTGCTGAAGGAGAATGGAGCAAAAGATTCTTCGTGAGTCTATTTATGAATTTTAATTCAACGCCAGTGTCAAGTGCTACGAATACATTCAAGGGTACTGCTATCCAAGAACCTCAGAAGAAGCCAGCGAAGAGGAAAATCCCGCTCATGCCAGCGCAACAGCCCCAACAGCCGGCGGCGTTTCACTATCCAACACCTTCTTGAAGTTTGGGTCCAAAGCCTTTGGGTCTTCTGTTGCTTCTCCAGGCGAAAATTCCTTGCAGAGGCCATCTGCAATCTTGACAGCAGCCTCTTTCTCTGAGAACAACTGTATCTGGTCTTCTACTAGCGTTTCATCTGCATCTTCTTCATTTGATCCTGCTCCCGCTTCCTCTTCATCGTGAGATTCAAGCTCCTCCACCACCTCCTCCTCCTCCCCCTCCTTCATACGGTTCTCTCCATTGTAGCCGAGAAGCTTGCTTTCGGACTCCCCTTGGCCCTCCTTTTCAGCATTCTGCCGACGCTGTATGATTGAAGCCAGAGTCTCCGCTGCTTCCTCGAGCTCGTCGATGTTCAAGGAAAGCAGGTCCTGCAGGATGACCATTACAAGTGGCGCTCGAGGATCAGAGAGCTGCTCGGCTTTACGTCCAGGGGAGGTAGATATGGCAGATAAGCCTGATATATTGACCGCAGGAGGGCCGGAGAAGCTGGGACGCGGAGAATTCGCCTCTGTGCTTGCGTCGGTGCTGGTATGGGTATTCGGCTGAGAATTTCCTTGGTCGGCTGTAACCAAGGATTCGGCTGGGCGGGACAGTGAGTCGATCTCGAGTTGAGATGAGGCACCAACGACCGTAGGGTTGGTGTCGGAGCCGGGACTCGTAGGTGTTGCAGTGGCTTCCTCGGTGCCAGCGCTTAAAGTTAGTATTTTCTCTTGCGATGAGATTGCGTTTGGTGGTAACGCCGAGGATTGAAGTGACGAAGGGAGTGGCTCCTGGCGTCGCACCTTCGGCATCCCTCCAGAATCTACCTTCGGTGTGTGTTCCAGTTCCACTGGATCCTCAGCGTCCGGTGCCTCCCCAACCAAAGAAGCCTCATAGTGGTCTAGCAGCGCTTTACCAGTAACCTTCTCCCCGTTTCTCTCCATCGTCTCCATAACTTTCCTCCAGTGATTTTTCAACGTCCCTTCCGAGCTATATGGCTCAGCCTTTATCATAAAATCCGCCCAGTTTCTAAGTACCTGCTCTGCTCTTTCTCTGGTAGTCTCGAACCACTCGATGTGAGGTTTCTGACACCTCGGGCAACACTTCTCCCAGCGCCATTCGTTAATCAACTCGTGGTGCGTGAGAGTCTCGGCACGCTGGGCATAAGGGACACAGTTCACCTCGAACAATAGGTTCGGAGTGTATCCACAACTTTCCGACCATCTATCGAGACGCTTCTGGACAGTGTCCGCGGTCCAGCCGATCTTGACATAGCCTGGAGAGGAATCCCGGGCGAAAATATAAAGCGAACCAGTCTCGAAGTCTCGTTTTTCAAGAGGATCGAGGAGTTTCCGGGAGACAGAGTGACCACGGAGGGGTTTTGTTATATGTATACGGAATTCGGACAGCGGGGACTGAGAAACAGATGTGGGTCCGACCGAGGTGGATCTTGCAGAGGTATTGACCTCAGGAGAACGAACATCGCGAGGTTGTGGTCGACTTCCTAAATCTAAAGATGCCATTTTGGTAGTGATTGGAGATCGCGGAGAGCCCTCTTGGTAAGGTGATAGGCTCGCACCAGTCACGGAAGGTGTTGCCTCGAGACCAAAAGACGTGGGATGATTCGCTTGATAGTGCAATGGGGTGTTAGTCGGGGCATAGTTCGTTGTAGGATGATCAGGAGTCGATGGAAACGGAGTGGAATAGGCAGGTTGGATAGAGACGCTGTTCCCAGGTGCTGGAGCAGAAGGTATTGTTGAGCTGTATCGGTATGTTTGTGAGCTCATTACAGGCGCGGAGGGTGCTGGAGCGACACCATAGGGCATGGGGGCATTGGCTTGATAGTAGAATGTCCCACCACCGGGAGCGTAATGTGTTGTAAGGTGATTGGGAGTCGACGGCAATGGAGTAGTGCTGGTTGCAGGTATGGGGATACTGCTCACAAGTGCCGGAACAGAAGGTGTTGGTGAGCTGTATGGATTCACTGCAGGTCCGGAGGGTGTTGTGCTGTCACCAAAAGACGTTGGGTAGGTGACTTGAGCGTATAATGTGCTCCCAGTGACAGGGTAGGATGCTGTACTTTGTCTAGGGATGGGAGGGACTGGAGGGGCATGATTGAATCGGCCGGCAGCATGAGTCCGGATCTCATCTTGCCATCGGAGTGCGAGTGGTGTCAAAAGATCAAAGTCTTCAATGCGCCTCCGATGACGCGCTTTACTCGTCATGCAGCAATTGCTCAAGACATAATCTTCAAGCAGATCGAGACTAGGAAGCCCATCCGAGGCTGCTGCAATGATAGCTCCACGGAGCGTGATGGCCTGCCCGATGTCGCTACACGGCCACTTGCATCTTGTCCCCTTTTGGGTGTAAAATATGCATTGGTCGTTACTTGACGGATCAAGATTGTAGAAGTTGATGAAGAAGGATACACCTGGGTGGTAAGCTGAGTGAGCCATTGCCGGTGATGATCAACAACGGCTTCTGGCTCCGTTCGCAGACGAGGACGAAGTACGAGTAGATGTAGTCCAAGCACCAGGCGGCGCGAAGAGACAGGAAGAACCATCTTGCTCTCAAATCGGAAATAGGTTTCAGACTGCGACTTGGTCCAGCGGCCATCACAGCAGGCTAAAAGGCATCAGAGCGAGGCAGAGTCGGTGATTTTGTCAGCTGAGGTGCAGTGTTGCTGCCAAAATAACACCACTAGTCCTGCAGTGCGGTTTCAAGTCTCGATAGTTCTTCTCTGCCCTGGTCCGGAATTATAGGCTGAGCGTTAACCATCCCCTACGTCGACATGGAATGAGTAAAACTAGTCAATGCCCACGCAATCCCAAGCGCCGAGGCGTTCTTTCAAACCTCAGGGGCATTTAGCTCAACTCGAATACTCCCAACACGTCGAGGCGGTCAATGTCTCGCTACCCCAAAGAAGACCGGTGGCCCCCCCCAAAAACCCTTTTTCTCTCTCGCGGTTCATCAAGTCGACTTGGTGAGCACGTTCCGACTATGACAAAGTAGAACGCAGTCATCAAGTCTCTATTATCGACAACTTTTTCGACACGGCCCAAAAAGTATATGTCTAGCTCGGCCGAGGTGATGATGGTTTTGATTGCCCGCACCGCAATGCAAGATGCGCGACGGGGCGTCAAATGCCAAGACGAGGCAGGCACTTCATACACCACGTGAAAGTCTCGCGCCCAAAATTCTAGGTATGTAGTCGGCTCAAATGCGCCTACAATGTTCTCCTCATGTTGGTACAGATACTTTTCAGATGCAGCTCATCAGCCAACGCCGTTCCCACTCTCAGCACCTCTCAAGTACTTTGGTCCCGCGGCAAACACTAGGCCCGAGTACCCCAAAAAGGACGGTTAAAGGTGGGGAGCCTTTTAAATGGTGGATTACTTTGCTCTCTACTCTTCTTCATGAAGTCCTCCGCTACGCTCAACCGAGTCATCGTCTTAATTGTTCCCTCGAACGAACCAGATGATCATAGAGTGGCCATTCGCGCACCTAAAATGCAGTTCCTCCCTTCCAAACGACAGCTGATAGATTATCTCTAGTCGATCAGCTTCGTTCAGATTCGACTTGGTGCACGGCTTGAGCCCTCCGTAGACATATAGTGATGTCTGACTTGCGCCTCTCCGTCTTGGACCTTGAGAAGGAACTCCAAGATATCTTGGTTCAGGCTTCCACACACCTTCTTGTACATCTCTGTCAACACGGTCACACCCCGGTTCTTGACGTCGTCGTCGGGCCCTCGACAACCGACAATGATCTTGTCGTGGGTGGCTGGTAGAACAAACTTGAGCTTGTGGTGGCCAAGCCAACGGTGGCAGAAGTAGCATGCAGGCTTGCTGCACCCAATGTACATGTCGCCATCCACGAATTCGTACCGATCCCGACTGAATCTGTCCGCAATCTGCAGTTCGGCATGGACCCTGGTGACAATTGATGGGCGAGAAGCCAGAGAGTCTCTGATCTCACCATTCAAGGGGTGGTCAAAATCAACAACAGCGTGAAGTGCCGATTTCATCTGCACGGGATGCGGATATGGGCTCTCTTTGCATATGGCCCATACAATCTCATACGGGCTCGTGAATCCTTGGCCAACCGACATCTCCCGAGTCTCCGGTGCACTGATTGGACGTATCCCAGATATCTTCCGGAGAGAGGGTACTTTGAGCATCCCGTCGACCACAGCATTTGTGGATGATCGCGTTGCTCCAACCCTGCCGATGTAATGGGCTAATTCTCTAAAGTCGTCATCTCGTTTCTTTGACCTTTTCCGGATCTCGTCGATATCTGCTCCTCGCATGGCGTGGCACCGGTCAACAAGGTCTGCCAATGTCATACTCGGAGGGGGTTCAGCGAGTTTCTTGAGCTTCGATCGAAGATCGCTCACTGAAGGATGTTAGTAACGGTTCTCCGAGCAACATGGCTGCGACACACCTCTTTCGCTAGGCATCTCTTGTCTCATCTGCATTCTACAGTTTCTTGCATACATTTTCAATTTCGAAATGTAAAAGTTGATGCGAGGAGTGCACCTGTCCACGACAAGGCGGAAAATCTCCTCGTGAACAGCTTTTGGCGGTCGGGATTCCAACTCCTTCAGTTTCTGCAGAATCCTCTCAGCGTAAGATATGGTCTCTTTATCCATGCCCTCGTTCGCTGCCAGCCAGAGAATGTTGCTGTGAAGAAGCTTTTGTAATGCGGCTGCAGTCACCGTTGCTCCTCCCTTATCAGTGTCACAGAGGTAGGCGAAAGAGCCCAAAAAGTCTCTGCGAGCTTCGCAAATAACGTCTCCCGATGGTTCCCGTTGTCTATGTGCATCTTTGAATCCAGCAAGGGCTTTGAACAGTGCCAACCTTGGGTACAACTTCGCGGCCACACTTTGAAACAGAGGCTCCCAGGTCGAAACCGAAGAGTCACTGGTTCCATTTTGCCCCATCGCACGAGGCCACCGCGGGGCTGTAGACACGGACATGTTTTGATGAAGGCTATCGCGTGGGCCGTTCAAATACTGTGGCGGTCTCTACCTGGCCCTGGGAGCTGGTCGATGGTTTTGAGACGCTGTCGTAGAGGTAATACTGACTGGAATTATTGCCGCACAATCTGGATCGAGGGGGGTGTCGCGATTGAGATGATACTGTCCTACAAGAACACATGGATTCATGGATTGCATGGACAAGGTCGCGGAGATGAGGCTGCGTCGGCCACAAGTTGCACCATAGGAGGCTGCCTACATGGTCAGGCTGCTATGCATACTGAATCCTGGACAGGCGGACAAGGGTCTTCATGGGTACCCAACGAGGTGTTTCCACGTGGCCGTGGTCCTTTGCGCCTAGGTGTGTATCCAACTATGGTGGTCGAATACCGGGCTCGGGCCATGATAGAAACCAGATCGATGCAGCTCTTCTGCTATGACGGTGACACTCGATTTCGCTAGTCCGTAGTTGTCATCTCAGAAGGTCCTACCTCAGATCGGAGCGTGATCATTGTCCATTAACCTACTCACATGGCGCTCTTGACCGTCGCCTGGCCGCTGCCAATTGGATCGCAATCATGAAACTCATAGAACCTGTTCATATTTTACCTGTCTAAACTCCGCGGTCCTCATGTCCCTTGGGTATACAATCAATTATAAATCACCACCAGTCGCCCTGGTCCTTCATGGCAGCCGCCACCTTGCTGAAGCCTGCAATGTTGCTGCCGGCGACCAAACTGGGGAACTCGCCCTCAGCAGGGGTGAGGTAGGTCTTTGCAGTCTCGAGACCATTCTGGAAGCAGTTCTCCATAATGTCCTTGAGCTTAGCGTCGACCTCCTCGGCGGTCCACTTGATGCGGGCCGAGTTCTGTGCCATTTCCAGACCCGACACTGCCACGCCGCCGGCGTTGGCGGCCTTGCCCGGAGCGTACCAGATAGCACTGCTCTTCTTGGACTTGCGGTCTGCCTCGAAGACGTCGATGGCTTCTTGCGTGCAACCCATGTTGCTGCCCTCGGCGATGAACTTGCAGCCGGCCTTGATCAGGCCCTCGGCCTCTTCCTTGGAGACTTCGTTTTGAGTGGCGCCGGGGAGAGCAACGTCGACCTGGCCCACGTGCAGCCACGGTCGGGCGCCGTCAATGTACTTGACCTTGCTGCTGAAGTCGGAGGTCTGGGCGACTTCGGCCAACTGCTTTCGTTCGACCTTGATCTGTGCGATGGTTTCGATCAGTCCGGCGTCGATGCCTGCCTCTGTGGTGGCGATGATGGCACCCTTGCTGTCACTGAGCGAGAGGACGGTGCCGCCGAGTTCGATGACCTTCAGGGCAGCATACTGGGCGACGTTGCCGGAGCCCGAGATGGCGACGCGTTTGCCGGCGAAAGATTCCTTGCCGCCGCTCGCATACTTGATCATGTGCTCGACGTACTGCGCGGGCTTGTCAACGTAATGTTCCCTCACGGAACCATGGCAAGATTCAGGGTAAATAAACTCACATATACCACACCGTAGCCAGTTGCTTCTGGTCGGATGAGAGAGCCTCCCCAGCTGCCTGGGAATTTTTGGTCAGTTTTGGGGTTGTCACGAACAAATGAGCTCTCCCAACGCTGAACTTACCTCCTTTGCCGGTCAAGACACCCTCCCACAGCTTCGTTTGCTTCTTGTACTGGCCAAACAACCAACCGATCTCGCGGCCGGACACGCCGATATCACCAGCTATTACACGCCTTGTTAGATTTGGAAGTTCCAGCCCAGCGGACGATCCAAGCCTTACCTGGGACGTCAGTGTCTGCGCCAATGTGTTTTCCAAGCTCGCTCATGAATGCACAGCAGAATTTTCGGATTTCATTGTCTGATTTGCCCTTGGGGTCAAAGTCTGCACCGCCCTTGCCACCACCCATGTTCAGGCCGGTCAAGGCATTCTTGAAGATCTGCTCGAAGCCCAGGAATTTCAGGACCGACAGGTTGACGGTGGGATGGAATCGGAGGCCTCCTTTGTAGGGGCCCAGGGCCGAGTTGAACTGCACTCGATAGCCGCGGTTGACTTGGACCTCGCCCTTATCGTCCTCCCACACTACTCGGAACTGGATGATGCGTTCGGGGATAGAGCAGACGGCGAGGGCCTTTTTGTACTCTGGGTTCTTCTGGAACAGGGTCGAGTTCTCGAGGGTCGAGACAAGCTCCTTGTAGGCTTGCTCGAACTCGGGTTCGGAGGGCAGGTTAGACATTGTGGCAGAGAGGTCTGGGAGACGGTACTAATAGGCAGGGTGCTGTCGACGACGAACGGGGGAGTGGTAGTAGAGAAGGATGGGAGTTTATGAAGGAAGAGAAACAGTGTAGTAGACAGTAAGGACAGAGGACAACAATCTAAGGTTCTCGAGGGCCAGATATACCAGTTTCCAAGAGGCGACAGAGGCAGAAGAAGAAGAAGCAAAAGAAAGTCTGGAATGATGGACAGGCGATCATTCGCTCATAGCACGAGTTAACGGGGGGGATTTTGAGTTGCTTCTGCCAGAAATCAAATCAATGACAACGGAGCATGGACCCGTCGATGCGATTCTTCCCGCGCTCATTCTCTCTCCTCCTCTCAGCTGTGCCTGGCTAGACAGACAGCCACCATCCAGCACCTGTCTAGCAGATCCGAGGAAGAATGAGTGAACTGAGTGTTGACGTAGAAGTATCAACAAAGTCTATGGCAATCAAAAACGCCAACCGAGCCTCGCAATTGGCTCGATAAGGACCCGAGATTTAGTTGGCGAAGATGGAGACGATTGCATAATGCCATGGCGAGGTTATCGACGACTCACTCGGTGACACCAGCTTGCAGGTAATTATTACTCGAGAACAACGAGATCTACTGGAAGAACTCCCTCTGCCTCGCGCGCCCTGCCACGAGTACTGTATGTATGAGGGTCTGTCTGGTAAGAAAGAGATGGGGATTCAACCACCATCCCATCCGATGTCGCTCCTCCACCACGACGAGTCCACCTCCTCGAATCCCACCAGCCGGCCAGCCTCACTGTCAAAAAAAGCAAGCCCCATGTCCCTGGCTAATAAAGGTCACTAAACTAAACTCAACATAGCGAGGGCTATAACTCGTAGAGTCGTAAGTGGACGACGGGCCTGCATACGGGAGGACCGTAGCCTGTAACTTTTTTTTTCCTTTCCCATCCAGCTCCGATAATTAATCGATCGTTCTTTTTTGTTGTCCAGCCCATCATCATTAAGCGAACCTCGTTTGATGATTGTATCAAAGAACAAACTTCACGGTGTGTGTGTGTGTGTGTGTGTGTGTGTGTGTGCGTGTGCTGGTGGACCAGCTGACCGTCAAGATTTTGCCTGATGCATCCAGTTACAGGTGGGTAGATGGTTTCTATAGAATTTCTTCATGGGATAAGTCCTTTTCCGACGTACTCTGCTAGCTTGCTTATCCTCTCACCACCAACCTCTGATCCCCATCGTTGCCCGTGATGCGAGTTGTGTCCTCCGCAGCACTAACCGGGGGAACTACATCGGCTACGGAGCACTGCTGATGGAATAATTTCTCAAGAGTCACCGGCTCCCGGAGTCTGTTGCATCTCTCCGGATGGACAGTCCCCCCAAGAATAACGACTCATATGCCCTGGACGAGTACTGTATACTCCATACTGCCTGAATACTGGCATTATGGAGTGTTTACATACAGTACCTCCCTGAAATGTTGGTGTTGGTGTTGGTGCTGCTACTCGTTAGGCGTCCTCCCTACGACCCTGTTCCGAACTGACTTGTTGACTCACATACCCCATCTAGTCTTTAAAGGCGTCTAGATACTAATACCCAGGTCTGAATACCCAGGTCTGAACTGCTGGCACTTCCTGGATCAAACAAAAAAAATAACCCTATTGCTCAACATATACCACCCGGCCTACCCTTCAAGGAGATACCTACTAGTTGGGTTCCTAGCCAGCCAGGTACGGGTAGGGTAGTCCATTGTTACTCGTTGCACCTCTGGAAGAAACAATAATTCTCCCCGACTTCGGCCCCGTTTTGCCTGTCGAACAAACAATTCCACACCGGCAAAGAAAAAAGTCTCGACCCAGGTCCAGGGCAAAAAGTCCAGTCACCTCCGTCAGTCCCCGATTCACCGCCGACGCCACCGCCACTAACTAACTACCACAACCCTGGCCACAAACGGAGCCCCCGGCAACACAACCACCGCCACGGTGTCGAGCCATGGTAGATCATCACCGACAAGAAGCATTATTCACCATCACGCCCGTACGGACGCCGGACCAAGTCAAGGAAGCCGTGACGTTATTCCGCGCGTACGCCGACAGCCTGGGATTCGACCTGGGCTTCCAGAACTTCGACGCCGAGATGGCCGGGATGCCAGGAAAATACTCCCCGCCGACAGGGGAGCTGTTGCTTGCTCGAAGCAACGACGACGGTCAAGCGATATTGGGCTGTGTCGGCTTGAGGCCCTTGCCATCGCCGTCACCGTCGTCGTCGTCGTCGTCGTCCGCTGATGCACATGCAGATGCAGATGCAAATATCAACAATGCCCATACCCATACCCACACCCACACCCATACGAGTACCAGTACTGGCGCTTTCACAACACAAATATGTGAGATGAAGCGACTGTATGTGACACCCTCGGGGCGAGGCATGGGTGTCGGCAAGGCGTTGGCGGCAGAGATCATCGCCGTCGCCCGTAGACTGGGTTATTCCGAGATGAGGCTGGACACTCTCTCCAGTATGGTCGCCGCGCTGGCCATGTATAGAGCTCTTGGATTCGAGGAAATTCCCGCCTACTATGATACGCCGCTTGAGGGGACTCACTTTCTGTCACTCGCATTGGAGACTACCTAAAGTAGCCTGTTGGGAGGTAGGTAGGTCTCGTCTAGTACTACCTCAGGCACCCGTGCTATTGTATGTAGGTGATAATAAAAAGAAACACCCCGTGCAACCAACCTGTACGAGTACCGACTAGCCACGGTAGAGTGTACACATGCTTCACACATGAGAAAGCTTCTTCAGATCACCCCCTCCCTCCGTCCCACCCGGCCCCGGAGCGCTCCGCCCACAAGGGGGGCCCCAATCGTCATCCATCTGTTTGTTGGACGGTTCGATCATTCCTGATATACAATAAGAAACCTTCCAAGACTTCGTGAATCCCTCCATCCTCCCTCCTTTTACTTCGTTATACTTCCACGCTTCTCTTCCCAATGCTTGACCGCATTCAGACCAGCCGTGATCTTCATCCCTAGACGTGCGTCAAGTTCGTATTTGTCCCAGTTTTTGGCCTTCTCCAGTTGTGCCTTGCAGTTCTGGACCAATCTGGCATCGTGCACCAAGTCAACTGCCGTTGATGTCTTCGACTCTTCTCCGTGGCTGACCATAGGCTCGGCGCCGTGTGAAGGCCGGTACCCGGTCCGCTGCATCCAGAGATTGACGGCCATCTCGTGATGTGCAGTAGGGGCGACCCAGTCGTCTCTGTTCTGACCCTTGAAGTCGTTGGGGCTACGGTTCAAGATCCACTCCTGCAACACTTCCTTGGACTCGTCGTGGCGGCGGAGGTTTCGCAGGATGACGGCTCGGAGGATGGCCAGGATCGCTTGTTCGTCGACGTCTTCTCGCTCCCACCGGGGCGACGACTCGGACCATGCGAGATTGTCCAACGACCGTTGGAGCCTGCGCTCGTCCATCTTCTTGTACCCTGCCCACAAAAAGATCATCTCGTCCAGAGGACTAACTCCTATCGCGTCGATAAAACTGCAATTGAACCTAGTCGCCCGTTCTTCCCACTTGGCCATCTTGCGCACGACGAACGCATCAAACGGCAGTTGCCTTCCCATCATTTTCTTTTTGCCGACTTTGGTCGGCGCCGTTCTGAAATACTCCTCGGCCAGTTTTGCATGTTCTGCCGCCTTCTCTTTTGTCAAAGTTTTGTCATATCGATACAAACTCAGATGTGCCGCTCCGGCAATGTAATAATAGAGTCCGCGGGACCAGGCGTTGAGATCGGCACAAGCAAGGAAAGATGATGCACACAGCTCGTAGCGGTGGGCATTCATGGCGCACAGGCTCTTCTCGAACATGTGGAGAGCTTCGATCTGCTTGAGCTGACTCTTCCCCGGACTCGAAAGGAGATCGAGAGCGTTGTCGAGCTGTCTATGTGAAGCTGCCATCCGGGCTTCCTCAACCAGCCACAAATGGCTCTGTGGATATCTTGTGCGCATTTCCTTCAGGAGAGTCTGGAGTCTCTGTCCAGGATAGCCTTCGACATCTTCGGGATCTGCAGGGTCCGAGTCGGAAACAATATCGCAAAAGCCAACCAATCCATTGTACCATCCAAAAAGAACCAAGCTGGCCATACCACCGTTGATGTTTGAGAATTTGCTAGCTTGCCATAACATGCGGATGCCTCGCTCCCGGTCACCCCGGAAGCCGATGATGTATAACAGCCTGCTGAATGCTGGCGGGATGATTGAGATGAGAAGGGACAATATGCCCGACATCAAGTTTGTGCCCGAATGAATGAAGACGTCGAGAGAGTTGGAGAATGTATCAGAGTCGGCATCTTCCGTAAGCATCCCGGTTGTTGCTGGAGGCGGAGGCTTCAGAACTCCTTCAGCATGCAACTCATCGGCATGATGGCTCAGGTTCATTCGCTCTATGTCGCGGTCGAGCTCTTCCATGTCCTCCGGTGCCCGAGTTACCTCTAAATGGCCAGTGTAGCCTTCTGTCACGGGGTTCTTCTCATGTATCACATCTGCTTCGTGAAATTCGTCTGCTTCGGGGTCGTCGCTAGCAATTGGACCGACAAGCTCAGCATTGCGGAGTCCAGAAGGGTGGGCAGGTTGGCGAGAAGCAGGCTGTTCTCCAGGTCTGTTGCCTTGCGTTGTATCTTTCCCAACCAAGTTGGACTGACTGGACTTTGCAGAAGTTGCAGAAGGCAAGCTCTCAAGAGATTGGTTTCTCGAGTTTCCTAGACTCTTCACTCCACGTGCTTTCATGTATGCCACTTCCATTTGCACAAGGCTGTCAAGTGTCATATACGCCTTTCTCAGTTTGTAAAACCCTCGTATGGACTCTGTCAGACTCTCGTTCAACACACCAACGACGGCAGACATGATCTGCGCCTCCGCCTGGCACAATGCAAACTCTGAGCCCTTCTCATATATGTTGGAGTTGAAAACCCGACTATCACGCTGCGCCTTGTGATAGCTCGTGGAAGCACTCGACTCGGCCTCTGCGAGAGTCTCGGATGCTTCCTTCATCACTTCCTGCTCGAAACCCAAAGTAGCCTTCATAAAAGCAAGCGTGCCTTGTGCGAGTCTGTGAAACGACGAGGTTCCCTCCGCAAGGTTCCTTTCTGCTCCGGCGATATCATCATTCAACACCAGCTCCACAGCTCGGAGCGCCGTCTCCAGATTCTGTGATTCCTCAAGTGAGTCCAGGCTCTGGGTAGATGCAGTAGCCGCAGCTCGGCCGCGATCGAGCCACCTGCCCACGCGATGCATGTCGTCCTTCTTCAGACGATCTAGGCCAGCTTTCCAACTGCCGCTGCTGAGGACGATGAAAGTCCGGCAGAAAACGCGGTTTTATTTTCCTCAAAAGGTAGAGCACATGTGTAAGGATTACAGATTGAGGCGCAGCACAGGCTACAACGTAAAAGAAGATACAGCTGGAGGCAGTCCTAACGGGATGAGACAGGAGAAAGAGAGGGAGAAGACAAGGGCAACCAAGAGGAAGCTGAGGGAGAGGCAGTATCTGCCCTCGGTGGAGTGAAATTGGGTCTTTGGAAGACAGAGACCTTTAAGACGAAAAGAACATCAGGAACGAGATCGTCATTCGAGACGACACCATGATCTCAATTGGGTCTTTTGGTGGTTCACCATCCCGGTGGAGGGCGGGACGGTGGACGCCTGGATACGAGTTGCTGCGTGCCTGTTTCGGAGCATTATTTCCCCGTCTTCCGGACCTCTTACAAGTGACTGGCTGAAGCGAGTTTGTAATGTGTATCTGTATATTCCACCATCGTCAACACTCCCGCGCCGTTTCCTGACCATCGGATCCCGTTCCTGTTCATAATCAAGTCGGATCAATTGCGACAGTCCGCTGTCAGCCCACAGACCGTCCCTCAACCACCTTTTCGGCAACCTTTTAAAAGACTCAGACATGTCGTCCTCCATGGCAAAGCTGCAGCCGACGCAGAAGAACGAGGCAGACCCGGCACAAACATCCAAAACTGCCACGAGCCAACCGCCCGCGATGCTGGAAGAGGATGATGAGTTTGAGGATTTCCCAGTCGAAGGTGCGGACCTTCCGTGTTTGTGCTGGTAGACTCGGGCATAACTGATTGGGAGCGCAGATTGGTCACAAGAGGACACCGAAGTACCTGGAGGAACGACACATCTGTGGGAGGAGAGCTGGGATGACGACGACGAAAATGAGGATTTCAGCAAACAGCTAAAGTAACGCTTCTCTTACATTTTCCAGAGCCTCGCCTAACATTCGCACAGGGAAGAACTGAAAAAGGTCGAGGCAACGAAGTCATGAAAACTGCGAAGGGGCGAGGGGAATTCCATTGCATGGCGTTCTGGGTTTTATAAGAGCTAGAAATCAATGGGTTCACGGCCATCTGTTTGATATCGACATGTCGAGAAGGTTAAAAAAATAATCATACACACAACGCTGTGTCATTTCGCTTTCAACGTAGGTGTGGTTTTTGTTCTAGAGACGCATCTTCCGCGGATTTCACCAAGGGAAATTCATTTTATCATGTTCGGGTCGCAATCTACTTGCTCGACAGAGCAACCACGCCAGGCAGGGCTTTGCCTTCCAGCAGCTCCAGACTGGCACCACCACCGGTCGAGACGTGGCTCAGCTTGTCTTCAACGCCATATTTGGCTGCGACAGTGGCCGTATCACCTCCACCGATGATGACGATCTTTCCACTCTGAGCAGCTGCCACTGCGGCGTCCATGGTCTTCTTGGTGCCGTTGGCGAACTTCTCAAACTCGAACACACCAGGTGGGCCGTTCCACAGGATTGTCTGAGCATCGTCGATAGCTTGCTTGTATAGCTTGATACTTTCCTCACCACAGTCAAGACCCATCCAGCCGTCAGGAACGCCCTCAGCATCGGTGGCGGTGCCCGTTTGAGCGTCTTTGTCAAACTTATCGGCGGTGATGTAGTCCACGGGTAAGATAATCTTGACGTTGTTCTTCTTTGCCTTTTCCACAAGCTCGGCACACTTCTCACTGCCAGCCTGGTCGAACAAGCTGTTTCCAATCTTGACGCCTTCGAGGGTCTTCTTGAAAGTGAATGCCATACCGCCACAGACGATCAAGCTATTGACCTTGTCCAGCAGGTTATCGATCAGCTGGATTTTGTCCGAAACTTTGGCACCACCGAGGATCGCCAGGAAGGGGCGCTTGGGGTTCTCGAGGGCCTGGGCGAAGTAATCGAGCTCCTTCTTCATCAGGAAGCCAGCAGCCTTTTGTGGTAGATCAACTCCGACCATAGAACTGTGGGCACGATGGGCAGTACCGAAGGCGTCGTTGACATAGATGTCCCCAAGAGCGGTCAAGCCCTTGCGGAACTTCTCGACGTCGGCCTTGTCAGCCTTGACCTTCTTGCCCTCTGCGTCCTTGCTGCTTCCCTCCTCTTCGGCATGGAAACGTAGATTTTCAAGCAAGATGACCTGACCGCCGCTCGCCTTGTTGACCGTCTCCTCTACCTCTGGTCCAACACAGTCGTCGGTGAAAATGACACTCTTTCCTAGCAGCTTTTCAAGCTCTGGCACAACAGGCTTGAGGCTATACTTTGGATTCTTCTTGCCGTCAGGACGACCGAGATGGGACATGAGGACGACAGCTTTGGCGCCATGCTCGACGGCGTATTGGATGGTAGGGAGGGCTCCAACAATTCTCTGGTTGTTTGTGACCTTCTTGTCCGCGTCGAGAGGGACGTTGAAGTCGACCTGGAATCATGTTAGCTATAGATTGTGCATGTCGTCAAATTGGGTCATACTCGGATCAGGACTCGCTTGCCCTGGAGGTCGCAATCAGTGATGGAGAGCTTGTTTGACAAAGACATTTTGCACGGTGGTTCTCAAGGTAGTAAGGATACTGGGGGGCTATGACGAGGAGGTGGGATATCAATCGAGCTCTTGTTTGAAGCCTTGGGAAAAGAAAATAAATATCCCGTAAACGGCCGGAGGGGCAGCACCGCGGGCGAGAATGGTGGTGCTGGCGGTTGCTTGGTGGGGGGTTGAAGCTGCCTCCGACACTGACGTCGCAGTTACTGTTGGGCAGTCGAGGCTGCTCGAAGGCTTCACAGGGCCTGTTTGCTTTTGGCTTTGCTTTCGCCGAGTTCAACAGAAGCGAGGGATGGATGGCTGCTGTTATTGGATACCTGTACTCGTAGATATATCACTGAGGCAAGTTTTTCCGTATTCCGGTGAGGTCGGTGGTACCTTGTCAGCATGAAGAGATCTATTCATCAGCACATTGCCTCCGGCACCAAGTTCTAGTTCTTGTGCCTTTTATATGAGCACCTTCACGAATTTTTCATAGGGAATGCAAGTGTGGCATGATCAGACGCTCCAATTGAGCCTATGTATCTGCGATGGTAGACTGGTTTGTATCGCATGATGCCTCTGGTCAGCATGGCGTTACTACCGTGTACGAATGGTAACGAGATCATTATCGAGCACCGGGGACATCAGAAGAATAGATACGACAGGTTGGTTCTACTATCCGTACCACTAGATAGATGGATGCATAGATCACCTCTACAGATGATGAAGATCATGATAGCAGATCGTCTTGCCCGGTTCTGAGTGGCAGGACGCCTTGGTCTCGCTGCTACAGGATGCTCTAACTAGCGATCTGCGAGGGGCAGCCTGGTGAGCCTGGTGAGCCTGGTGGCCTAGGCCTCTCTCTCTTCTCTCGCGCTCTATCGTACATGCATAGTCACCTACCACCCTCTTCGTCCTTGGATACTCCAGACCCCGGATCATCCTCGAGCCATCGACCAAAGTCCTGCCAGAATCCATGAAGGAATCATTCATACCGCCCCGAATACCCTGAACGCGCATCCGCCGTCTATCCCGCCTGAACAAGCGACGCAACTGTCCTCCGCGAACCGGGCTGGATCCTGGCGTCACCGACATCCACGCCCTGGCTATCATTGACCTCATAGCCCTTTCCCTCGAATTCCACCCATCTTAATCCTCCTCCTCCTCTTCAAAATGCTTGAACCGTCTCGAAAAAGGTTCCTGGCCTGGCTGAATAGTCAATACATCTATGGAAGGATTGTGAGTCGCTCCTGCGCCCCCGGCTCCTCTGGTCTGTCTTATCCTCTGGACACTGACACTGACATCTTCTCGCAGCCTCTGCTTCATACAATAATCCTATTTGTAGAGCTAGCCATGGCCGCCCGCCTGATTGCCAAGTTCAATTCCTACTATGCTCAGAAACCGGTTCTGACGACCATGATCACGAATGCCGTACGTTGAAGAAAGGCCCCCACCGTCGACACTTACTGATGAAGAGGACAGATTCTTGGTGGCATTGCAGACACGACCGCCCAGACAATAGCAGCCTTCCGAACGAGACAGGCCCTCCTGCCTACGAGCGATCCGAGATCCTTCATTTCTTCAGGTGTGGAATTAGAAGACCTCAATGAAAAGCCCGCAAGGTTGTCACCAGACCTGTCCCCCCGGCACACTGGTCCGCAACCGTTTGATTTCGAGCGATTGACAAGATTCATGTCCTATGGCTTCCTCATGACGCCGCTTCAATTCCTGTGGTTTGGACGGCTCACAAAATGGTTTCCTATCACGCCGAAAAGTGGAACAGTGCCTGCAATCAAACGGATGGCCGTGGACCAACTCATATTTGCTCCGTTCGGTCTGTCCTGCTTCTTCACGTTTATGACCGTGGCCGAAGGGGGTGGAAAGAGAGAAATCTCCAGGAAATTTCAAGATGTCTATCTGCCGACGCTGAGAGCAAATTGGATCCTCTGGCCTACTGTGCAACTAATCAACTTCCGGTTGATGCCTTTGCAGTTCCAGATTCCGTTCGTGAGTACGGTTGGAATCGCTTGGACAGCCTATCTGAGTTTGACGAATTCGAGCGAAGATGAAGTCCTTCAGCGCCAATGAACCGGAGTCGCATTGATTGCAGAGTTTGGGTTTGGTTGCACTTGAAGATTAGCATTGTTACCCCCAGCCAGGCATGGGAACGAGGTCGTTGGCGCCACGGGTTGGTTTGGTTCACGTCCATTTATATGATACCACAATAGACCATCATTACCATCTCTTATCGTGGACTACATTGTTCCATTTGAGACCTGGAATCTTTCATCGCCACCGAAATCATCGATCCTGAGTGACCCACGATATACGGGCTATGGCGCAAGAGTTACTGGATAGGGTGCATCTGGAGTTAGACCTCTGCTCGCTTTCTGTCTATCCATCATTACTGCTGTCAATTATTTATTGGCTTCCAGACCGTGCATCAAATCCATCTGTGACAGCGATGGCACCAAGCCCAGGCCGAATGATCGACTTGTTCCGCATAAGTAGTTGGACAAAAATGGTACCTTGGTAAAAAGTCTCGTCCCTTGCAGCCGATAAGAAGAAGCAAAGTCACTGCCCCACATCAATATTTTTTTTCCTCCGCTACGAAGAGTCACCGTCACCGACACCGATACCAACCTGTAGAGGTAGACTCGTCACCGCAAACCTCTCTCTGTCTTTCCAAGATTCATCTACTGCTTTAATCCGATTCCCGCCAACTTCTCCTATCGAACAACAACAAACATCTTCAGCCGAACCGGAGCAGCAGCAAACATGCCTGAGAAACAACGAGTCTGTCTCGCCTACAGCGGCGGTCTGGATACCTCATGCATCCTGGCCTGGCTGATCGAAAAGGGCTTCGAGGTCGTCTGCTTCCTGGCCAACATCGGCCAAGAAGAGGACTTTGACGCCGCGAGGGAAAAGGCCCTGAAGATCGGCGCCAAAGCGTTCTACTGCGTGGACGTCGTTGACGAGTTCGTCAAGGAGCTGTGTTTCCCGGCCATCCAGTGCAACGCCAGCTACGAGAACGTCTACCTGCTGGGAACATCTCTGGCTCGTCCTGTCATCGCTCGTGCACAAGTCGACGTGGCTCAAAAGGAGGGATGCCAATGGATCTCGCACGGTTGTACTGGGTAAGCTTTTCTCTCTTTCCCTTCGCCAAAAAGCCAGCCCTCTGTGCTACTTGTCACCGAGTCATGGGCTTTTACTTTTTGCCGCATTTCAATGGCTAATATACTCCTAAAGGAAAGGAAACGGTCAGTCCTCTTTGACCCGTGGACTACATCCCAAACAAGCACCACTAACGAAATCTAGACCAGGTTCGATTCGAACTGGCCTTTTATGCCCTTCAGGTGAGCAATAGTCCGAAAGCCCCCCGAAAGAGACCAAGATCCGAACAGCGTGTGCTGAGGGCTGGATTCGTCTGGATTCTTGATCTTGTTCCTATTCCTCTTCCTCGACGTCTGGTTCGTTTTCAATGCTTTTGACTAGATGACTGACAAAACCTCCAGCCTAAAATCCAAGTCATTGCGCCATGGCGCATTCCAGAATTCTACGAGCGATTCAAGGTATGTGTACAGTACATTGATTGACGACCGCCCGATCCTTGTGATGACTGTACGGTGGTGTACTGTACCTCACATGCTGACCTCGCTCTCTTTTTCGTCCAGGGTCGTAACGATCTCTTGGAATACGCAGCCCAGCAAGGCATCCCGGTCAGCCAGTCCAAGGCGAAGCCATGGTCCATGGACGAGAACCTGGCGCACTGCTCGTACGAAGCCGGCATCCTCGAAGACCCCAACACGGCTCCGCCGCAGGACCTCTGGAAACTGACTGCCGACCCCATCACCGCCGCCCCCAACGAGCCCGAGGATGTGGTCATCGAATTCGAAAAGGGTCTGCCCGTGTCCATCGACAGCCCCTCGACCGGCAAGAAGACCAGCCCGACCGAGCTCTTCCTCGCCGCCAACGCTCTGGCACGCAAGCACGGTGTCGGCCGTATCGACATTGTCGAGAACCGCTTCATCGGTCTCAAGTCCCGAGGATGCTACGAGACACCGTACGTGTATCTATCCGTCCATGTTTCCTGGTGTTTATAGGAACCTGCGGGTTGCAGTACGATCGATAAATTCTCTAAGCTGACTTTTCTTTTTTGTTATTAGTGGTCTCACGATTCTTCGCAACGCTCACATCGATCTGGAAGGTCTCACTCTCGACCGTGAAGTGCGCGCTCTTCGTGACCAGTTTGTGACCATCGGCTGGTCCCGTGTCCGTAAGTTGATTCTCTTTTTTTTTCCCCTCTGTGGTTCATTTGGTTTGTTTGGTTTCCGGGCTGACTCTCATCCCTTCCCCATAGTCTACAACGGCCTGTACTTTTCTCCTGAGCGAGAATTCCTCGAAGCGTCCATCAAGGAGTCGCAGAAGAGCGTCAACGGCCAGGTCCGTCTGAAGCTGTACAAAGGCAACTGCATCATCGTAGGCCGTAGCAGTGAGACCGAAAAGCTGTACGATGCAAGGTACGTTCCGGCAACTTCATTTCAATTCCTTTCCTTGCTTTCCTCCCTCGCTTTCCACTCTTTCCGTGAAGGCCGTTTGCCCCCCAATCAAGATCCGAAATCAGATTTTACTCACTCATCACGTGCGAAAACATAGTGAATCGTCCATGGACGAGATCGGCGACTTCGAGCCCTCCGAGACAGGAGGCTTCATCAAGGTCCAGGCCATCCGACTGAAGAAGTACGGACAGATGAAGGCCGAGAAGGGCGAGAGGCTGTAAGCCAACCACAAACAACACATACTCCTCGCCCACAAGACCTCGGCACTCGCAACAGAGTCATCGACAATCGAGATACACACCCAGAGCCAAATGCTCGCGTGCGTTGGATAGTGGGCTAATGGGATGTGCATGTGCGCGAAGCTGGGTGAGTGGGCGCGGTGCCTACATTATCTACATACCTATGTAGGTAGGCAGGAGGTACTCAGGGGCAACAGCAGAACCTTTCTTAGACTTTGGACACGAAAAAAAAGGGGTTCGGGTGTGAACATGGTCGATTCTCTCCCTCGATGAATCTTATCTAGGTACCTGAGGTAGGTAGGTGACTATCAAGGTTCCGGATAGAGAGAACCACCAGACTTATGAAAATGGGAACGAAAAAAAGAAAATGCAATTGAATTAATTACTGTACATTTAACGCGTATAACGTTATTATTACCCCATCTATAGGTACTACGTAAGTAGTTACTTTTTTTGGTCAACCTTCCTGCTCCAGCCATGAACCAAACTTATCCAGTCGACCGCCCTCTTCGTCGTCTTCGTCGTCGTCTCCAACGGACCTGTCGGTTGATTTCTTGAATTTCTCGTTACCGGTAGCGATGTACGCCTCGAGCTGCCGTTCGTCAAACCATCGACCGTTCATCAGCTGCCAGGAGGTTAGGAAGGAGATTATCAACCGTAGAGTGTGACAGCCTTACCCGAACACAAGCTGCCGCGGCTTCGGCGTTTGAGAACCGCACGCTGGCTATCCCCGCTGGCTCTTTGTCAAAGAGCACGACATTGGTGACCTCGCCTAGCTTGGAACATTCTTCACGGATGTCTTCTTTGATTTCTAGCATAGCCGCCGGATCCTCCTATGTGAATAATCACGTTAGACTTGAATTCTCTCATCTCGCGGGAACACCGCCGGGGTCTCGCGTGCTCTAACCTCTAGCTCTTCCAAAGTAAACATGTGCTTCAGAATCACAACCTTGTCCCATCTGGAGCTCGTGTCGGGGATCGCTTGGGGGTCGTCATCGTCCCAGTCGGTGAGTTTTCTGGCTCCAGTGTCAGTAGTGCCACATCCACATGCGGGTTTGCTAATAATGGGACGTCATCCTCACCCCATCATCTTCTGTGTTCTCTTAATGATCTTCTTCTGGTCCTTTTTGTTCGTCTTCGCAGGTGCCTCTTGCTGACTCTTGTATGAGAAGTCCGCAGCCTGGACCCTCATCTTCCCCATGGGGCCTTCAGTGCCCAGGCGGAAATCGGAGTCGTCCAACATCTGCACGGCTAGAGCTACAGACTCGGGTCGAAAGTATACAACGAGCGCGTCGCCCTTGAACTGTCCCTTGTCATCCTCGTACATTTTGATGCGCGGTTTTCCTGAATCTATCTCTTCCGCAATGACGCCGCATTTCGAAAACACGTGCTGGATCTCTTCCTGGTCTGCATCGAGGGGTATTGAAGTGACATAGACGGCCGTGTTGACTCGGGGTTTCTTAGATTTCTGACCTGCCTAGACGCGTATTGTCAGTTTCCACATAGCATGAACCTATTATGGGCACAAAAGAAAAAGGGCTTCCGAGGAGGAAAAAAGTACACACTCACTTCAGCGTCATTCGGCTGTTTTCGTTTCTTCTTTTGTGTCGTAGAAGCATTCTCGTCGACCCCTTCCACCCTATATATCTCGCCTTGTTGTTCCAACAGCGACTGATCCAGCTATACGAAGAAACGGTGTCCAGCACGTTAGAATGAGTCCTCTCAACTCCCAGGGAGCGCACGTTGTATATAGAACAGGTGGTAATGGTGGTGGTGGTGGTTCCTGGCGCAGAAAAAAAGGGTCCTTTGGAAAAACTCATGTTGTTATGCCTACCACAGGTATCCATCTTCTCAGGGCACTGTCCCATTCGAACTCGTTGCCCTCATCGGTCTCAAGGATGAACTTGCCATCGAGTTTGGAAAAGGACACTCGCGGATCAGCATCAAAGGAGGAGGGTGAACGTGGAAAGCCAGTCTGCAGCCCTTCGTCTGGTCGTTCATCGTCCACCATCTTGACACAAAAATATTGCTCGTGGCCTTGGAACTTGAACGACTTCTTCGAAGCGCAATGCGATGATGTAGCGATCAATAAATCGACCCAGGCAAATCTAACAAACTTGCCAAGAAATGCTTCAGCCTTGTCGCTTTACCTACTTTACGTAATCTTCAGCCTTGTCTGGCATTATCTTATGTTCAACTTGCGCGCCAGAATCTAATCATTTTTATGAAGTACTCTTGAGAAATACATTCTAAGCAACATCCTTGAGCTTGAATAACCGCAATGCGTTCTGCCTTCCAATTGCTTCCTTCTGTCCTTCGTCGAGTTTCAAGCCGTCAAACCACGTGCATGCGTCCTTGTAGCACTCGAACGGATAATCGGTTGCGAACATGATCCTGTCGGCGCCACCCAGCTCCTCGATGCAATATTTCAAAGTCGACGTTGAAAAGTGTCCCGAAGTGGTGATCCAGATGTTGTCGCGGAAGTAATCCCTGATGGTCTTCTTGCACGTCTCCTTCAGGCCAAGCGGTTTCTTCACATCCTCGAACCAGTGGTTGATGCGCCAGAGGTCGAAAGGTATATGCTCGCCCAGGTGGCCGATGATGATTTGAAGCTTGGGGTTCCTGTCAAACACGCCGTTGACGACCATACCCAGCAAGTGCAAGCTCACTCCTTGTGCGAAACTCAGAGGAGGGCCGACCAACCATTTCCGGTCCGCCCACAGTTTCTCGTACACGACGCCAGTCGGCTGTTTCGGGTGGAGATAGAAGGGGACGTCGAGCTCAACGCACGTCTGCCAGAACACGTCCCACTCGGGCTTGTCGTAAAATATCAGAGACTCTCCGTCCGGGCCGATCTGGATGTCGTTGACCAAGGCGCCCTTGAACCCGTATTGCTCGACGCATCTTCTCAGCTCCGCGGCCGCCTCGGCAGGGTCGTGCATCGAGAGCGTCGCGAATGAACCAAACCTGTCTGGCTTGTCCTTGATCTGCTCATAGATGTAGTCGTTGACCTGCCTCGCCAGCTCAATTGCTTTCTTGGGGTCGGCAATGTCCTGGATGCCCGGCGCCGTGTAGCTGAGAATGTGGTAGCCGACTCCGTACTCGTCAGCGTAACCTAGCCTGATCTTGCCGACATCGCTGATCTCGCGGACGTGCTTGTCTGCATCGACTGCAAAAAGACCTGCCCACCACTTTGCCTTTTCTGCGAAATCCGGCAGATTGAAGTGATCTTCCAACGTGATTTTGCCCAGCATTGTGAATGAGTCAGTGGCTGACACAGTATGTGATGGTAGGAATAGAAACTCAGTTGAATATCGAACTAGTATGGTCAGGGATAGAAACTTAGGTGAACATCAGAGGGTCTAGAGGGGGAAATGTGCCGTGTACTCCACGGTGCATTATATATGTATGCAGGTTTCATGGTCCTGGTGCCGCCCCAACCGACAAGTCGATGTCTCTCAGAGGTGCTCTAACCTATCCGAGATCTGGAATACCCTGCAGTCTTACCCGTACCGGCTCTGACCCCATTCATCGCACGCACGCCGTGGTCAAACCAGGGACCAGAAGAAGCAGTGGGGTGCGGATGCCGTAGCGGAGAGCGGAGTATGTGAACGACTGTGTTGGTGGGCGGCGGCCCGAGACATGCCCGGTTGTCGGGTATTGAACCACTTTGATACCACAAGTACGTCCAGGCGGCTAAGGGTTGGTCGCGCATTGTTGATCCGCGACATCCATCTTTCTTAACTTTACCGTTTCGTTCTGCCCTACAACTAACTACCTCTACCTCAGGCAGGTGCTTAATCACGCCCACATTCACGATCACAGATCTGATCAGTAAATCAAAAGATATCTAGCTCAGCTTCTTTTCGTCATGTTTCGTCAAGTATATGTACCCATCTCTGGAGACAAGCGAAACATGCTCCAGGGCTCGCTCGCCTCTCGTCAACCTCTTGCCTCTTTAGCTGCCAATGCTATCATAGACAACCTCAGCTGATGTGAGATGGCTGTAAACTTGTTGATATGAAAGTGCGACCATCTGTCCGTCATCTCTGTGGCCATCTTCTCAAACAGCACACACATTCCGGTGATTCTCCACAGCCTTGCGAGCTTCGCTTTGTCGCTAGGCCCAAGCATTTCTTGTAGATGTTCCTCGTGTATTCGCGCATATCCCAGCAGCATTGCCGCAATGCCAGCAGCAATCGGCGTCGCCACCGACGTTCCCGACTTGTGAAACTCCGCGCCTCTACCGATATAACCTGGTCCTCTCGACATATGGCAATTGTATATACTGGTACATGGATTTGTGTGCCAGTTGCTAACAAATTCATGTACCCCCGCATACCTCCGAATATTGTGCCAAGTATTGTGCCCTGATACGTGCCGCATTGGACCACTGACTTTTAGATTACCTAGAGATTGCATCCCGCCTGACAGTTTCTCTCGTGGTAAGCCTGCAGGACTGGTGAAACGGCTATTGGGAGTTCTGTAAGGGCCTGTTAGAATTTCTTTGAGTTTCTGGCTCAGTTTTCAAACGACATGTTCAATATTTCTGTCAGCACTGTACAGTACAGGCGGAAATAATAATTTGTGGTGGCATGCCAGTGGTGGTACATCAGGTCAGGGCAAGCGAGGGAGCAGGACGAAGAAGCGGTCTCTAGATGGGGACTAGCGCCGTAATTTCATTGTTTTGACCCTTCCCCGGCAAACTTGCCTTGCTGGCCGGCAGTATCAACCCCTCTCCTCAGGGATCATTGCAAGATTCGAGACCCTTTTACAGCTTATCTTTCGCATTCATTGAGCTATTATGTCCAAAAATATCGACCATCTAACTATAGGGGTGTATGACGACATCATCCTGCCATCTGTTCTAAGTGTGCGCCTACAAAATGAGATGCATGGTCGGGACGATGATTGGAGTGGAACGACTGATCCCGCTAAGCGGAGGAAAATTCAGAATCGCCTACATCAAAGGGCATGGAGTAAGTAAATCTATGGGTTACTATCCTAATTCCAGCCATGGTCTTTAACTCAACCTTGCAGGAAGGCGACAAATGATGCAGCGAAAGCTCGGCGTCGCGTCCAAAGACCCAGATGCGGAATCGGAGGGTGTGCGGCAGGGTAGTCGAGGCCCTGATACTTCGTGCTCAGAGACATCAGAGCCACCGATCGATCTATGGCTGTGCTTGGGTGACGTTGAGAAGACACAGAGGTCTCTCGCTCGTTTCGAGGATTATGCTTATTCGCGATTTCTGGAAGGGTCTCCGCGAACGGACCTCCTGCTGACGCTCATCAAATTCAACGTTTTCCGAGCGCTCATGGCAAATGATAAAACTCTTGGTTTTGTTAACCAGTGGCTTCAGGGTGAGGCTATCTCACCCTTTTTTCGCTCCCACGACGGAAAACAAGCAGCCGTCCCGACTTGTCCCGCAAACCTCAGGCCTACCAATTTGCAACTTACTGTTGAGCACCATCCATGGATCGATCTATTGCCCGATCCAAGGATGCGTAATAACATTCTACTACTAGGCGATGATTATGACGATGGACCACTTTGTCATGACGTCGTGGACAATCGTCACGGCAAACAATCGGAGAGCCTTATCGTCTGGGGTGATCCGTGTAACCCGGACAGCTGGGAGATCGGCGAAGATTTTTACAAAAAGTGGCCTTCGGTTGTGCAAGGCTGTCATCGTCTGTTCAAAGCAACGAACAACTGGAGGATTCGACGGGGCGAGCGGAAGCTCTTTCCGGATACTCTTTGTATTCCGAGATAACAGCGTCATGCAACTACTGTTGTTGTTCTGGTGGAAAAGCTCTTTCCACTCGTGACACAGCTTAGGACGTACGATCAGATAGACCACGCTCACAGACGGCCTCACAGATGGTCCTCATTTACCAACACATACCGGTATCTGGCCTTGCCCTTATCCATGTCAACTATCGCCTGATTTGCACTCTTCATCGGACGTTCTTCCACCCATGGCTTTACATTCTTCTCAGCTGCCAGCTGCAGCATTTCCCGAATTTCTCCTGGTGCGCCGATCATCGAGCCAGCAAGTCTTTTCCTTCCAATGATTAAACCAGGCGCCGGTACCTCAAACACCCCATCGTCAGGATTGCCAACCTGAACCAGAGTGCCGTCCCGTCTCAAGAGAGACAGGTAGCCGGCAATGGGCATCTAGATGGATTGGTTAATCTTTTGTGGTCTATAGTCCATGACCTCCAGAGCATACCTTGGACGAAGAGACGGTGGAGATGAGCAGGTCAAAGGAACCAGCAAACTCGGTGTTCCACTTTGGATGATCGTCTGTTGCAATGTAGCTGTCTGCTCCCATTCGGAGGGCATCTTCTTTCTTGCTCTTCTTGCGGGAAACGGCGACAACGCACTCTGCACCCAGTGCTTTTGCCCACAGAACGGCAAAATGCCCGAGACCCCCGAGGCCGATGACCCCGACCCGCTTACCCGGTGCACATCCGAAGTGCTTCAACGGCGAATATGTTGTGATGCCAGCGCAGAGCATTACTGCTGCCGAAGCAGAAGGAATGGCGTCGGGGATCTTGAATACAAAGTGGGACGGCGAGCGGTTGTACAATGCGTAACCCCCGTATGACTTGTCGCCATTCAGATGGAAGCTTCCGTATGTGCCAACGTGCCTGGCGCAGAAATGTTCATTACCTGACGCGCATTCGTCGCAATGGCCTTGCACACGACCCAAGCACGAATCACCTTGAGCGCCGACACCCACTCGGTCTCCCACCTTGATACCACCTTCAACTTTGCTGCCTACGCGGACGGCTCGACCAACAATCTCGTGGCCGACACAGCATGGATATGGGGTCGGGCCCTTGCGAATGGATTCAGCGTTCGCCAGAGTGGTTTATGGTTTTGGATCGAGGAGACTTACCCAGCCACTTCGGAGCACATGGAGGTCCGAGCCACAGATGCCGCTGTGTGTGATCTGAATGTCGACGTCTGTTTCTTCCCATGCCTTGGGCTCAAACTCTTGCCAGACCATTTTACCCTGGTCAGCAGTCTTGTCGAGGCCTAGCCATCCAACGAACTGGTAGTCGGTGGTGCCAGCCATGGTGTCTCGGTGCGTCGATGAACCGCCGGTATCTGAAGGCTTGGGTATGTCCTGGAGCTTGATTTATCCAGGAGAGGGCAGTGGAACATGCGCGGATGGTTGCTATTATAAATACCTAACGCTCCTCGCAAAGCAGATATGAAGCGGCATTAAATCATCTGCTCATCGGCAGTTATAGGTTCTACGTTAGTCCCTTCATGGCTTTGCTTGAGAAAGTTTGCGGACGTGACCTCTTCGGTTCCACCATGGGCCTTGGCATAAGCAATCTGCAGCCGGTGTACGAGTACTGTACCATCGCCCCATGTGATTTGCCATCCTCTCCCGGCAGTAGTGTCCGCAATCAACCAGCTCCTAAAAAGAATTGGCGTGCCATGCGCGCTGCCGAGTGACCCAAGCTTCGTCCCCACGACATTGCGTAGGCTTTGCACGCAAGACTACGGTCAAGGATTGATGGCCAAGAAGAGTCACACAGGCCTAATGTTGGTTAGACCCGCGCTAACCCTATATAGGCTAGACCGTATCACGTGCTGGGTATTGACTTGTTTTATTACAGCCTGTAAACTAGACCTTGCATACCTACCTACCTACCTAGGTACTCACAACCATGACTCCTTCAACGCCTCCTAGGCTTCATCGACTCACGCGGGACCAGCGACGAGATATCCTCCTCATGAGACGACTTGGTCATACCTATGCATATATTGCAGAGTTCCTAGGCGTCACTCAACGCGCAGTTGAATATTCTTGTCAACATGAACATCCCACCCCGCAACATCACAACTCACTGAACTCAGGAAGACCTCTTCGTCTATCTAAGGAGGAGATTGATTTAGTTGAGAACTATATCACTCAGTCCAAAGAGTCTCGACACATGACTTTGGCATAAGTTGCAGAGACTCTCTAGCCTAAGAGTGAAATAGGTGCAGAGTCGATCCGACACGCGCTTCTCATACGAGGCTATCGTCGTCATATTACGCTACAAAAGCCTTCTCTTTCACAGGTGAATCGATTAGCGCGTCTAGAATAGACTAGAAAATATATTTCTGTCACGGAGTGACCTTGGACAGGGTGAGATTGATGTGTATTCTTGTCAGAGCTATATACGAACAGTCTGTAAGCCCCAGGTAGGGTCAGCAGGAAGACGAGGACGTAGCTCAAGGAGCTACGTTCAGATGTAAACAGACAACAGAGATGCAGCCCAGCCCTGGCTAACCTACCTAATCAGTTAGCCCGAACCATACAGTGTACGGGCGTATGCCGGTCACAACCCATGCCACAACCAACACGGGAACCATGACAATTTCATGGACAAAAGAGTAATAGGAAAGTGTCTTATGGAGTGATGAGACATGGATAACACCTGGAAGACATCGACGAACTTGGGTTACTCGTCGAGATGATGAGGCACTAGATCCAATCTGTACAGTCGAGCGTCGACGATATAAACAAGGCTGAACATTTTGGGCCTACTTTTCAGGCAATCAACCAGGTCTATATCTATTCTGTGAGAAGGACTGGAGAACTATCAAGTCGGCACGATATAAACAGCGAATTATATCACTCATTGATGACTATTTATAACAAGCTATACAGAAAAGAGCTATATCACTTCTATTTGTACAGGATAATGCTCCAGCGCATGTAAGTAAGGAGGTAATGAAGGAGTTTTACGCGAGAAATATCACTCCTATTATATGGCCCGCCTACTCACCAGACCTTAACCCCGTTGAGACGATATAAAATGAGATGAAGGACTAGTTAGACCGCCACTGTCCAAGAGAACAACGCATCCCCTATGAGATGCTCCGCCAACGCATCACAGAGGCATGAAACGCAGTTGATGGGGGTAATCTGTTCCAACAGGCCGTTGATTCTACGCCTCAACGCTGTCAGGCTGTGATAGACGCCAATGGAGGTCATACCAAGTGGTAATGGCAATACCACTAGTAAAATAATAAGGCCCAATTAGGAATAGATCCTAGTTCCATTTGGCGCGGGTCTAACCAACATGAGGCCCTGTGTGAATGTATATTGTCCTGCCTCCCTCTCTTGCCGAGCCACGACAGCCTCGACAGGATATTTGTCCCTGATGTCAATCAAGGACTTTCGCACCACCACAATAGATTCTACAAATCGGATTCGTTGATACAAGCGCACCGCCAAACTCGACTTTGGCAATCCTACATAATGCCTCGGATGCAAATCTCACACGCCTCTCGCAGCGGGACACCCTCCGTCCACGGTAATAAAGCCATTGCGAATGCTTTCACCGGCAACGACGTGTACATTGACCCTGTCCTCGGCGCGGAAGGGATGTCGATTGCCAATGTCACTTTCACTCCAGGGGCTCGGACGCACTGGCACACACATGAAAAGGGTCAAATTCTAAGAGTGGTCACCGGCGCGGGTTGGGTATGTGATTTTGGCAGTCAACCGGTCAAGATCAATGTTGGAGATGTTATCTGGTGCCCGCCTGGCACCAAGCATTGGCATGGAGCAGACAACGACAGCTACATGTGTCACCAGGCGACCTCCTTTGGCGGGGTCACCTGGGAAGAAGAGGTCGGGGATCAGGAATATGCAAAGAAAGCGGCGTGAGAATACCCGGGACACGTCTGCAGAGCCAACTTACCAGTTTCATCCGAAAGCGATTCGGTATGGCTTCACGAATCATTGACAGTAGACCCAATTCGAGGCTCCGTATTGTGTCCAATAGGCCAAATTTTAGTGGCGTGTTGTCGCCACAATAAGTCAGGTCCGTGAACAAACAGCACAGATAATTCCCCTCGATGCCTCTTTTCCAGGCCCCCACCTGCTACTCGCTCCCGATATCTGGGAAATTTTCGCGGGTAAGAGGCCGCCACAGTTCAGCTCGTTAGACTTGCGCTAATGCAGACTGCTTACGGTGGCACCGATCTTTTATTACCAGGAACCCAAATGCTCCTTCCGTTCCCGTCTCGGCCCCTGTCTTGGCGTCATGCGGGGGGAGCTTCGGTTGATACCTTATATGTTGCCTAATTTCGACGACTTCACAAAGAGACCTTCAGCACGTTGTATGGCATTTGTGACCTTTCGACTATGTCGTTCTTCAGCCCGCCTCCAAAGCCCGATAATCCGTTGGCATACCACCGCATCCTCTCCCCCACAGCATCCGTCAAAGTCTCTCCCTTATGTCTAGGTGGCATCAGCATTGGGAGCTCATGGAGCGAGATGTTCGGTAAAAACGAAAACGCCGACTCTCTGCTTGATGCCTTCTATGCTCTAGGGGGCAATTTCATTGACACGTCCAACACCTATAATGGCGAGGACTCGGAACGGTTGATCGGTGAGTGGATGGAGAAGAGAGGAAACAGAGACCAGATGGTCGTTGCGACCAAGTACTCGGCTGGCTACAAGGCGTACCAGAGGAAAGAACTGCCGTTGCAGAGTAACTACACGGGCAATTCGGCGAAAAGCATGCATATCTCTGTGCGAGACAGCTTGGCAAAGCTAAGGACAGATTACATTGACATCCTCTACGTCCACTGGTGAGGTTTTCAGGATATGACAGCAGATGACCAATTCGACTGACGATTCCAGGTGGGACTTTGCAACATCAGTGGAAGAAGTCATGACGCATCTTCACGCCTACGTCATGGCGAAGCAAGTATTGTACCTCGGGGTGTCTGATACTCCAGCCTGGGTGTGTGTCAAGGCAAATGCGTGTACGCTGCGGATCTCTCGATGCTCTCGCTTCGTCCCTGGCACCACACTGACTCGGTGCTACAGATGCGCGAAGCCACGGCCTCACACCGTTTTCTGTGTACCAAGGTCGATGGAATGCTGCGTACAGGGACATGGAAGCCGAGATCATCCCCATGTGCGAAGACCAAGGCATGGCAATCGTTCCCTGGGCTTCCCTCGGCGGAGGCCAATTGATGTCCACGCAAGAACGGGAGGCAAAAATGAAGGACCCAGATGCTCATAAAGGGTACGGCTTCCGCGAAGCGGATATCAAGGTGTCCACAGCACTGGAGAAGGTCGCAGAATCCAAGAAAACCACGACCCAGGCTGTAGTAAGTACTCACTTGTATCCCCAGTCTTCGGTGAACTGTGTGTGTTGACTGCGCAACGCCAAGGCACTCTCCTACTTGCTCCACCAGTCGACTTATGTCTGTCCAATCGTGGGGGTCCAGACTGTTGAACATGTCAAGGCATTACCAGAGGCATTGCGGATCGGCCTTTCGAAAGAGGACGTGGAAGCGATTCAGGACGCCGGAGACTACCAAGCCCCGTTCCCCATGAGTTTCCTGTTCCAGTGGACTGGAGAAGAAAAGTACCATCTGGGCCTTACCCCTGCAGATAACACTCAATATCAGATGGCAGCCTGGATCCAGGCTCCACGGAAACAACCTGTATGTGAAATCACAGCTCAGTGTAGGTGACCAGCTAACAGATAAGCAGTCATACCAGCCGTGGGAAGGACTGTAAGCGGATTATAACGAAAGCAGTCACGTTGCACCACGGGTGTCAAATTCAACAGCACAGCGGTTCGTTCCAGAAAAAAGGACAATCATGTAGGACATCGACTACCAGATCTTGTTTACTCGACCAGCGGGCATCTTTTTGAGGCGGACCTGTACTGCGACTAAATGTCTAAGGGACGGCTATCGCGAGACCGGCTGTGTCTGGCATTAATCAACATCGCACGGCTTTTAATTCCACTTCCCGCATTACCATGGGACGCAGGAGGCTGGGGTGAGGATTAAGGCGAACGGATAAGACTACGACTGTGGTGTCCAGGATCTCTCATGGACAATTGTCTCATCGTTGACATCGAACAGCTCGTTTGGTATCTCGCTCTTCTCTTTGGTGTCGGAGTCGCTCTTCCGTTCCCTTCTTGGTAAATCGTCTTCCGCAAAAGCATGGGTGATTAATGACTTAGATTATTGTCAGAGAGCTTGATTCTGGGAACTTTCATGATGCTGTAGAGGTGAACGTCTCCCCCTGAAACTCAATCTAGCTGCTCACATATCTCTTGCATACCACTCGCAAAAGCAGTTTTTCGTACCTAGTTTTGCTCGATGCCCTAGTAGACCGAATGAAGTTGGGTACCAACTTAGATAAATATCTCAACGTTCGGTGTCTATGGGTTTCGATGCCTCGGTTCCTGTACATAATTATAACTGCACTCTCTCACTTCCACGCTTTCTGTGGTTCATCTTAGAAGCTGGAGACTGCGTAGATAAATGCTGAAGAATCTAACATTTCCAGGTTTCGCCAACATTGATCGTAGACTGTTGAATTAGGAGGATGGATGGTGTCGCTGCCAACGGGTGTGGGGACCTCGCAGCAGTTCCGTGGAGGTGTTGTGATATGAGGCTCAACCAACTATCATGACATTCACGAAAGTCTCATGGAATCATTCAGCATGCTTGGAAATTGTAGGAAAGCTTCTATTTCGTCACTTCGATGTATATATACTTCCACCTCCTTAGGAAGTAGAAAAGTACAAGTTTCTTTCAACCGATGGTGTCAAATACATTCCTGGCTCAAAATCGGTCAAGGGATCCATAACCACGTGTCCCGTGATGTGTTTGTATACTTGCCGATACTCGATGTCGAAGACTTGCTCTCCGACACCTTGCGCCTCGGCTTCGTAGCGCAGCTTCCGCCATACCTCCAGCTCACATTTTAGGTCGCCGATAAAGCCTTACAGTCCCATCGCCACTGCGAACTTCCCCAATGGAATCGTTCCTTTGAGGTCGAGGCGAAAATTGTGCTCTTGCAATGTTGTAAATCGGCCATCAAAGCAGATCTTGATGCCGGTGATCAGATAACCTTCATTTCGCCCTTCTTTGAAAATTCAAGTGTGCTCGGCGAATAATGCTTTGCGGATCTCTTCGTCGGCTTTCAGTCTGTGGAACACTTTTTGGTGGTCGGTGAGAGTAGAAGTGCGAACTTCTGTGCTCTTAGTCGTATTTTCGGAAGTATTTCCATGCTTTGTGGTAAAGCTAAGGAGATTTTTCAGACGCGCCTGGAGATTGCTCCCATCAACTTCACGGCTCATAATACTAACACCCTATTCGACCAAGTGATCAACCTCAATATCTCCCAATAAGCTTGTCGCCACGGGTGTCTTGGAGACTCGTGGACGATATGGATACGCAACAATGAGACCCAGTAAACTCTGACTGTCCTGTACTGACAAACGCGTGAGCAGGGGGAGGAATGTGCGCGCCGCCTTGGGATTGAGCATAGTTGGTTTGTGGGACGCTGTGGATCCCTCACCTGAACCTGACTATGGAAAGTCTTTCTATCAAGAACGAGATCGAGCAGCTGGGACCAAATCGACCTGACTTCCCTTGGAGATCTCTTCCTCAAGGTTGTTTTTAGAAATCACTCGGCATCAGAGCTCGTCAGTGAATTCATGCGTATTTGTCTCTTGTTGTAGAATGAAACCGGTAGTATTGCAAGATCAGACGATAATAAGTGCGAGAGGTCCAAAAACCACATGAGTTTGCATATACGAGGCCGCCACCGTTGAAGCTAGACCTCGTCAAACTCCATGTCGCTGGCCTCGTATGACGGTGTGCTCGTTCAATCACGAGCACGCTGACGTGGCGGTAGGACAACACGCACGCCGAGATAACTATTGGCCACATCAAGGGCTCTGGCGTGATGCTGGTAACACGTGTGGGGCAACGTCACAATCAACTGAGTGCCTACAATTCCTTGGAGAGAGTGTGAGGGTACTTTCGTATTTTGCATGGATAGGCAACAAAACTTAACGGAATGACTGCCTGGTGCTGAGGGGACCTGAGTTAGCGAGGATGAATTGTTGGCTTGCTGAAGGTCACATGGATGCCCGTCATCTCATGATCCTTGATTGGAACAACCACTAGTCCAAGTATTGCTGAGACAGTGCCATCAAGAGAATGATCAGGCTGATGGCGTGCGACCGTGATGGTGTCTTGCGCATAGGAATTCCTCCTGTTGGAACACTGTGGCTGCCGTGAAAACGCATATCCTGGCAACGAACTTTTCCTATCATCCAAACACATCGATCTGCCTGGCTGATATCTTACAATGTCCCGATGATTCCACCGAGCCACTGAGCAGTGTTGCAGAAGCCCAACTGAAGTCCACCGCAAGCCACTTCGACTACGACAATGAGCTTAGTAACCAGAGTGGCAAGCCTCTTCGTGGCAGTGTCTGGGCGAATTTCCTCCAACAAGCCAGTGCGAAAATCGGCGGCGGCCTGGGAGAGGAGTTGCTAATTGGGGGTGTTGAAGTGCCTTTGCGGGTTAAGGAATAACGCCACAAAGCAGCGTCGGTTCCTGGCATCCTCACGGGTCATTTTACCCGAGCTAATCACGTAGTCACATTTCACTCCCCTCCGTCTGGATTCTGGAAGAGGGTTTTCGATTATCCCTTTCTCTCCTCTCTCTACATGTTCAGTGCATCACAGGTCGAGACTATAGCAAGTCATGCAATAAGTCATGCAAGGAGGAAGCCTTTTACTATATAGATTGCTAGCAACTTGATTCTCCCTCACATCACAGGATATAGGACTTGTATATCATCAGGATGGGCGCAGGAATAGGTAGGTGAGAACCCTGTTGTGCATAATACAGAGGAGGGGGAGGAGGATGGGGGAGATATATTACAGACTAATCGGGCCTAGCGCCTTGGCGTTGTGTGTTTTACAGACCCATCACCCTATCGCCGACAGGGATTTCCTATTCCGTCCTCTGTAATTTCATGCTTAGGGGCTTTCACAAATTCTACCTCTTGAGTCGATCGTCTATCCCTCTCTACACAGCGAGTCTGTCCAGAACTCCATTTCCCAGGTGCTGACCTCGAACCCAGCCGAGATATTACGCTGCCTTTGCCTGTGCCTGTGTCCGTGTTCGTGCCTCTGGTAGCGGATCCGGAATCTCGACGTACCAAGAAAGATCGCTATCCTCCTGCATCTCCCATTCCGTAAAGCCATTTCCCATGAATCGAAAGGGGTTGGGACTGTTGTAGGCAATCTCATAGTCTTCGGCACGAATTTCGCTGATCAAGCGATGAAAAAGCACTGCGCTTCCACCAAACAAGGCGGTGACTCGGCCATTCACTCTGCCTCTCTTGTACCAGCTACTACAAGATCCAGTCCACACCAGCGTTTTGTGGATCTCGTCGCCGTACTTCACAAATGCATCCACCGCTGACGCTTTGGGTGCGACATACTTGATGTCTTCAGTGGCGATCTTCTTGATCATCTTGACAAAGTAGTCGCCGGTCCAGTTCAGAGACTCAACCAGCGAGCCGTGACCTCCTAGGCAGTTTGGACCCATCATCATGAAATAATTGGGGAACCCATCTGTGGCGACTGAGAGGTATGACTCTGGCTCTTTGGCCCATTTGTCCGCGAGATTGACACCATTCTGGCCGATCATGGAGAATTTCGGGACGTGGGAGACGTCGAACCCTGTCGCACACACGACTGTTCGAGGGTGATTAGCCTTGATTCAGCCGTACGGTATGAGACAGAGCAGGGTAACCTACCGACATCGCATTCAAACTCCTCGCCGTCTGCGGTGACAACACCCTTCTCGGTAATCCTGGTAATGGGACTCGATGTCAGTGAGCAGTTGGGCTCCATAAACGACTCGAGGTAGCCAGGACCAGGTGTGACCCGGCGACAGCCCAGCTCCCATTTTGGTATTAATTGCTCGCACAAGACGGGGTCATGGTTCAGCTTCTCAGACATTTGTGCTGTGGCAAGTCGCATCACTTCATCGTTGCGCTCTCCTTTGATGAACTACATTTTCGGTCAGCATCAAGTCCACACCAGCAGTAGAATTCTGCATGGTGTCTTACCAGCCGGAATGCCTTGTTTGTACGTGAAATAATTCCTTTGCGATATTGTCGATGCTGCTCGGGATCCTGATACCGTCTCTTCTCCTCTTCGGTATATGCTGGATTCAGGTCATCGGTGTCTCTGCCCAGGTGCTTGGAAGCTGGCACTCGGTAGTACACCCAGGCAGGGCCTCTGATGAAGTTCTTGACGGTGGTGCCGGGGAGTTTCTGCATCTGAGGCACAATCTGGATGCCCGAAGAGCCGTTACCAATCACCGCTATGCGTTTGTTGGAATAGTCAAAGCTATGGTCCCAGTCGGCCGAATGTGTCACATGGCCTTTGAAGTCGGAAAGACCAGGGATCTTGGGCCACGCCGGGTTCCTATCACATGGAATCAGTGGATCCATCCAACGAGCGACTTGAAATTGATCCCAAGAAAGACATACACTAAGACACCCTGACCCGAGATGAGGATTTCACAAAACTCATCCCGTTGTCTGCCATTGTGCTCAACAGTCACCTTCCACTGGCCAGAAGTTTCTTGCCACTCAGCCGCAATGACCCTGGTATTGAGATGAAGATCACGGTCAAGATTCCACTTCTTGACCGTGTGCTTGATATATTCCTCAATAGCAGCTCCACTGGCGTAAAAACGCTCCCAGTCTGGATTGGGGTCAAAAGGAAAGGCCTGTTCGTCGTCAGAGCTTATGTCAACCCGAGGCACTTGGCAGACTCACATAAATATGTGAAGGCACATCGCATTGGACGCCAGGATAAGTGTTGACAAGCCAGGTCCCCCCAACGTCTGCTCGTGCTTCAAAGATCTTGTGATCGATGATGTCCTGAAGCTCAGGAAAGCGATGCTGGAACTTATGTGCGACCAGCAAGCCAGAGAATCCAGCTCCAATGGTTATGACCCGGAGCTTCCTTGGGGTGTAGGCAAAGTCGGTGTTGAGCGGAATGGCATGTTCGCTAAAATCCTCCTTGATCGCAGCGTCACGAACCCCCAGCTTCCCATTGACGAGCGTGAAATGGGATAGGGACTCGGGAAGGTTCTTTGCGTCCAGGTTATACACGGCTGGTACCTCGCCGTCGGTGACTGGCGGTGTGACTTGTCCGGTAATGTCGAGAAAGGGCGCCATTGCTTCACCCAGCCAAGTTTACAATGCTGTATTGATCTGATCGTGGTCTGGCTCTACAGGGCTTGTAACTCACATCCAACAATTGAGGCTATCGGGATTGAGCCAGATATAACCCAAGCGATGTTTAGCGTCCGAGTACCACATCAGGCGATATGCTCAGCCCTCACTACAACAAGTTCCCAATCTCCGGCAAGTCGAAAAGCGGGCTCCTTGTCTCCTCAAGAAACCTCGGCCAGCCAAGGTAGCTCAGTGGAATGCTGATGGTCCAGACAGACTCGTGGCCGACATACTCTGGATCAGACATTGCAGAGATCCGCAGCCGCAGAGGACGCATTTGCCACTACCGACACCTACCGACACCCTCACACTCTGATGCTCCAGTAGTTACCGAACGGCGGTTTTGTCTTTCGGCATCCCTACTTGAGCATACCGGCACCGGCTGTATCAATACACGCCAATACAGCCGACGGCCCCCATGCCTCGGCGCAAACCAAGTGGAGGGTGTGGGATCGATCACTTGTGCTAAACTGATCACCTGCAGCGTCAAAATATTTTGTAACCGGACGCGTAGATCTTCGGCATGTCAGAACAGAGGTTCGCAATAGATTCTAGACAGAGATACATGAGTCGATGGTGGGAGGAGTGAGCTTGGCAACCAGGCTCTGAGGTGCTTTGAGATTAGTGTTTTGCAGGTGAGGTACCGTACCAAAGGAGGAGGTTCCGGGGGTGCTTGTAGAAGCAAAGTCTAGGCCTTCTAGGCGCCCTCCTCGCCTAGAAGAATCTTTCGCCTGCTTCCAAGGGCCTCTTGAGCGATCTCCCCCGCCCAAACCCCTCTTCCCCCCTCCTCCCCAGCCCAGCACGCTATTACAGTCTATCCCAGGCCCCTCGAACGATCTACGCAGGCCACGAACAACCCCAGGCACCTAAATTAGTTAGTTAGTCATCTGCTAAACCCTTAACCGAGGTACCCAAGACCACCACCCATTCTTTCAACTACACCAACTTCGCTAACAAGGTCCTCGCCAGCATCACACATTACGCCGTTACCAAGTCGCTGCATCCCCGTGGCACTGAACGGAACCAAGATCGCGAAAGATCCTATGTCCGCAACAGGAACTCAATGGCTTCAGTTCTCGGCGCCACGAGCGAAGAGGAAGCGCGCAGAATTAGCGTGTGAAACGTGTCATTCGAAGAAGGTCAATTGGCGAGCTTATGCGAAATATGAGTCTCTGGACTGACAAAGACGTGCTAGATTCGCTGTGACCTCCAAGCGCGTACCCTGCATGGAGGTGCCGATTGCTCCAATTGTATCTCATCTGGTAAAGCATGTCGGTATGTTTTCAAGCGCCTTGGGAACAACGGTTGCGCGCCATGAGCTCTAATAACGCTCGTCGATCACAGAGTGCGCATACCAAAGCGGGACAAGCTCCGCCAGGCTCCAGGAAATGAACTTCTGCAGCCCTTGACTCCTCCTCCGGGCGATGGGAGTGGAAATCGACACGCCGTCAATGATGCCGGCAACCCTTCGACCGAAAATGAGACCGATATCGAGGTACCCCCCTCACTGAATCACGCGAGCAATGCCCAAGTATACCAGGCACGGCCTTCCTTCACCAGCTTTGGCCAACCAACCATTGAAAGTCCGACCGAACGACACGCCGGGAGAGAATCGGTTGTGTCCAACAATGCGTCACAAGACTGGCGAGCGTCTGAGAACGGATCAGTCCGCCATCTTGTCGATACCGGCTATTTGCAGGTCTACGGCCCAGAAAACGACCACGACGCCAGGAGCCAAGCTGTCTCAGCTAGGAAGCAGCCAGACTTCCTCGGTGTGTCGCAACCAGACCTCCAGCAGAGCTTTGCAGAGACCTACTCTAAGTATTGTTACCCATGGTGCCCAGTGTTAGATAGAGCGACGCTGTTCAGTGATTTGGCACGCTCTCCACTCTTAGATAACGCGCTGGCACTCGTCGGCAGTCACATCCAGCCTCCAATGATTCCTCATGCAGGCCCGGCGTCGTACTATGACTGCGCCCGCCGGAGATTCTACGACGACGAGGAACCTGATCTTCTCACCTCCTTGATAGCCGTCTCCTTGTTCTACTGGTGGTCGCCGAGACCTCCGTCTGTCGTGCACAGGCATTCGTCGTGGTGGTGGACGTCGGTGGTGATCAAACATGCTCAGCAGGCGGGCTGGCATCGTGAATCCGAACGACGCTCCAGCAATGAAGTCAGGTTGCGGAGGAGGATATGGTGGACGGCATTCGTGAGTCAATCGGAGCGAGGAGCCGCCATGTTCCAGTCCCCGCTAACTGTTCCATGTAGGCCCGAGAGCGGCTGACTGCCATCTGCCAGGGCAAGCCATGTGTCATCGACGTAGAGGACTGCAACATCGCCGAGCCAACTCTCGATGACTTCCCTGAGCTCGAAGATAAGACAGACGCGGAGATATTCATACACTGGGTACGTCTTTGCGCCATCATCGGACGTGTCGCCAAGTATCTGTCACGTTCATCAAACGGCTCGCCAGCGTCTTTTCCCTCACACTTGGCTCGGGAGTTGATCGACTGGATTCGTTCGTTACCGCCGCATCTACAACTGCCAATTGGTATGGGCCACACAACAAACTTCAACCGGCACGTGCACCAGTTGCATCTGCCGTACTTGACAATCATCATTGTTCTCTATCTCAAGAGAAATTCCTCTCAACCTATCCCCCAGGCGCTCCCTCCAGCCATAATGGCTGCCACTTGTCTGGCGCGCATCCTGAAGGATATCCTCATCAGAAGTGGCACTAGAGGGCTCATGGGCATAACGTGTTGGTATTGCGGTATGGGGTTCATTCCGCTGTTACAAGCTGCAAGAACTGAACACCTGAGGCCTGGCGCCGATGCCGACATCGACATCCTCACCCTCGCCGTTAAAGAACTGAAAAAAATGTGGGCCACCGCTAATGTCTTTGAGCAAGGATTTGCTCGGCTTCGTGAGAGCTTCCGCGCACAAGCGCCCATCGAGAGCTCTGGTCAGCCCAATTCGCTACCCTCTGAAGGTGAGGAGGATTTGCTGCACGGCGGCATAGACTGGATCGACTACTTTCCCTTTGTAACGACGCAGACAAGTCCGGTGGTAGGGAAGCTCTTGGCGCAAAAGAGCATGGACTTGTTCTTGTTTCCTGATCTGGACGATTCGTCCATGTTGCACTTCCAAGACCTCTTTGAGGGTCTGGACAGTTGGACAGACCCGAAGCTGTTCATGTGATCCTGGCTTACAGTTTGGCGTCGTGGCTCTCAACCACACAGAACGAAACCAGGCGGTCGGACCATTGGTCCGCTAGGTGTGAACCCAACTTCCCATAGCTTCAGATTCTGGCCCCTGCGACCCTTCGCCTCTCTCGTTCCTGGTCACGCAAGAGGCGCCTCAAGATCTTGCCTGAGGGAGATTTGGGGATGGTGTCGACAAACTCGATGCCGCCTGTGATCCACTTGTAACGAGCCTTACCATCCTCCACGTACTGCTGGATTTCACGGGCAAGGGCCGTGTCGGAAACGTTTCGAGTGAGGGCTGGCTGGGACTTGACGATGTAGGCTTTCGGACTCTCGCAGCCATCTTGGTCGACGATCGATATAACAGCGCAATCTGCTACTGCGGGGTGGTTGAGGAGAAACGCTTCCAGCTCCGCCGGAGCGACCTGAAACCCCTGCAAGTCACGGAGTCAGAAACTATGATCTGGTCTTGTGAATTTGATCTTACACGTACCTTGACTTTTATCAACTCTTTGATTCGATCGACGATCCAAAGATGCTCGTTCCCACTGTTTGGAGCTCTTCGAAATTCTCCTTTGTCGCCGGTTCGCAAGAAGCGCCCTTCGGGGAGGTCGACGAACGTCTCACTTGTCGCAATCTGGTTTTTGAGGTACCCAAGCACGACGGCGGGTGATTTGACGAGAATCTCACCCGCTCTATCGTGCTCGGTGATCGCCTCCCCTGACTCGGTGTCGATCAACTTGACCTCACATCCTGGAAGCAGGCACCCAGACGATCCAGGCCAGATGTCACGGTGACTGGTAGATGTGACGACGGTGCAGCTTTCGGTCAACCCGTAAGCTTGTCGAATCTTCCACCTGGGGTATCGGTCGAGCAATGCGTCGGCAATCTCTTTCGCCAAGGGAGCCGCGCCCGAGAAGATCTGGCGGACCGAGCTCAGATCATGTCTCTTCAGCAGGCCCTCGTTGTTCGCCATTGTTATGGCGATCGGTGGGACCAGGTACAGCGTGTTGATTCGGAATCTGACTATTGCATTCAGATAGCTTTTCAGCTCAAACTTGGGCAAGATGATGACCTGATCACCCCGCCATGTTGAAGCGTGAGCGATGATGACGAGGCCGTAGATATGTGACTGGGGCAAGAGACCGAGACCCACATCGCGATAGTCAGGACTGATGGCATCCCGACTCGCTTTCTCATACAGACACGTCTGCATTGTGTTGGCAATGACATTGCGATGCGAGATCATTACTGCTTTCTGTTCGCAACAACACCTGGTTAGTTGCGACTTGGAAGTGAACGCGCGGGTCCATGAAGTCGTCAAACCCACCGGAAGCCCCGAAGTTCCACTTGAATAGCACAAAAAGGCTGTCTGACGAGAGCCCTGGCCCCTCTCCCACCGGATCGGTTCGAGCTCAGGGAGAAGCCTCCCTGCCTCTATCAACTGAGACAGTGTCTTGTGTGTGCTCGGCGTCGGCTTTTGCCCTGGCACATCGCAGAGAAAGATCCGGTCTCGAGGCAGACCTGCCAGACTAGCGGCCTTGAGTGCTATCGAGTAAAGCGGCTCGACGGTGAAGAGGGCCTTGCAGCCGGAAAACTCTAACTGATGTCGTAACTCTTCGACCGAATATGCTGCGTTTGCCGGAGATGAGACGCCGTTGATACGATGGATCGCCCAGTTCAAGGTCATAATATCTATCTTGACGTTGAGGAGACGATCAGCTTCCAGCGAGGCGCAGCGATTGGGTAAATCGTTGAGCTGAAGTGACCGATGACTTACTGTGTTTGTGGCAAACACTCCCACCACCTTGTCATACTCGGTACCCCCGTTCACGTTCCACCCAAATTCGTGCGCCAAAGATCGAGCAAGGTATTCGACACGCACTTTCTGTTCTTTTGCCGAAATACTTTTGCCTGTGATGCCGCAGGTGTACGGGTCGAGCGACTTGGAGACGGGGCATCTACCATATCGCTCATCGAACATGAAGTCACACAGTGGCAATGTGTCCGGCACCTCTGGGAGTGGAGGGGTGAAAGCAGGGGAACTGAATACCATCTTGGAGGTACAGACAGCTGGGAATCAAAAGCAGGATAAGAGTTGGATACTGCAACAAGGACTGTATGATGGCGGATATCCATGTATATATTTGAGGATATTGCCAAAAAAAAAGAGACAGAAACATGATAACCGTGCAATACGCCAAACATCGGCATCCAGCTGGACAGCTCTTGTTTGCCATGCATGCCATGCTTGCGACCCACACATTCACCTGAGTACCTTCGGCTTTCTGTTGTATATGCACAAGACCGGATACTACCCGCAGTGAACAACGACTTCCACCGAGGTGCCTAGACAAGACGAGACGGAGACTCCCAGAGGCTCTTGATGCCGGCCCCGGGTCGAAATGCAGAAAACCGTCTCCACCTTTTAAGCCGGGACGAATCGGTATTGCTGCGTACGTGCCTTCGGCATATCCAAAGCCCAGCGCAACTATAGTTTGCCGCTCTTCAATCGGGCATACCCAGTGTGAGAGATGTGCATTGATCGTTGTTCCATCCCGCCATATTTCCCAAGCTAGCTTCCGGCTAAACTCTCGACAGGATTGGCGTGTGAGCAAAACAGCCCTGGACGACGACAACGGACTAAGCCTTGGTCTTCCGGGATATTCTACCTATCCTTGATCAATAGGTTGCTGGGAATACTGGCACGTTACAGGGCATCGACGGCACGGCTGATCGATATCCTCATCTATCCGTCGGGCCTTGCCCTACGCCTTCGTCGACAGACGGAGAACATTGTCAAGTCGCGAGACTCAACGGAGTCCCCAGGCCCAGCCTCTGTCCTTCTCGCGCGACTCTGCCATGGCAGATTTCACAGATTACGGGATCCCGAGCACTGAGTGGGTCGCCATTGCAGCGGATCTCCCTTCCTTCGACAAGAGTGTTTCTCTCGAGAGCCTCAAGGCCAGCACGAATCGCGGGAGAGAAGAAGCTGCTCGTAAGGACCTTGCACCGATCGCTTCACAAGTGGTGCTCACGAACCACACCATCCCTGCTCGAGACGGTCATGCCATTGAAGCCCGGACCTACCGACCATCGTCGGCGCCCGCAGAGATTCAATTGCCCGTGTACATTCACTTTCACGGCGGAGGATTCTTCTTCGGCACGCTCGACTCGGAGGACGCCATCTGCGCGCGGATAGCCATCAACACGGGGGTGGCGGTCTTGAACGTCAACTACCGCCACACACCAGAGTATGGCTATCCCACGGCCTGGAACGACGCCGAAGACGCCCTGGACTGGACCAAGGCGCACGCGGCGGAGATTGGTGTCCGACCAGACCGCATCGTCGTCGGCGGGATATCGGCCGGAGCGTGGCTTTCCGCGGCGCTCACCATGAAGCGGTCTGGAGCTCAAAGTCGAAGTCAAGCCCTCGGCGGCGAGCGTGTCGACATCGTTGGACAGGTCCTCATGATCCCTGCGCTCGCGTACGCAGGCCAACAGTGCGACCACGGGTCTCGAACGGCATTGCTGAAGAGTCCCGAGGTGTCCTCGTACAAGCAGAACGAGTTCGCGCCCATCTTGCCCGTGGAGCGGATCAACCAGTTCAATTCTCTCTTGAGGGTCGCGGATCCCGACCCCGAGGATCGAAGGCTCAACCCGGGTAATGCGCGCCCGGAGGAGGTGAAACTTCTCCCGCCGACCACGCTCGGCGTCGCAGGCCATGATCCGCTGAGGGACGAGGGGCTGCTGTTTGGAAAGATGTTGGCCGACAACGGGTGAGTGAGTGTGCATGGCGTGCCTTGGTTTCCACACCCCCCCCCCCGGGACATGGATTGAGCTGACCCCATCCACAGCGTGCCTACGAACATCCACGTCTTCAAGGGAGTGCCTCATGGCTTTCGACGGTTTGGAGACAAGCTCTCGGCGTCGGCGGCGTGGGACCAGGTCATGGAGGAGGGCATCGCATGGAGTCTGAGCAGGCCATCGGCGTCTGGAGTCTTCAATGTCCAAGAGCATTGACACTATCCTTGTCCTTACTAGGACTGCCACGGCCAGGGCTACTAACTAGTAATCTTGAGAGGTGGCCTCACCTATTCTGTATGCAAAACAAGTAGTTCTGTCTGTGAGTATGAATATGAGTACGAATGTACACAACGGAAAGCCAACCCAAGCACTCAGAATTCCGTAACACCTCGAGGGCCAAAGCAAGAATATGCATGCTCCTAAGACTATGTCTTGTCATACTGTATTCTGTGACCGTCTAATCACCTACAGTAGTCTCGTCAGGATCCTGGCTCGCGTAAACTGGTGCACATGCTTGAATGCTGACGCGGCGCTATCGTCGTTCGCCCAACGTGGGCACCGACTCACTCACGACAAGCTCAAATCACTATACTTCCGGCTGGCCACGTCGGCAGCCTGTTTCCGATAGCCCGGCGCCGGGCCCCAATACCTCGCAATGATCCTCTTCTGCTTGTGCTTGAGGTTCTTGTTGATGCCCGTCATCCACGAGTCGACCTCGTTTGCCAGCATGCCTTCAGCACACTTGTGGACGTGCTCGGTCCACTCGTCCACCTTCTCGGGCACGGCCTCGACGCGCGTGATGCCATTCTGGGCGCAGTACCTGATACAGTCCGAGACCCAGTCGACCGCGAACTCGATGCTGCGCGGGATGTTGCCGAACATCTGATGTGGGCCCAGGATCATCATCATGTTCGGGAACCCGTGCACGAACAGGCCCAGCTGTGTCCGCGGCCCTTCGGACCAGACCTCCTCAATCGACTCGCCGTGCGTGCCGCGGAAGTCGACGGCGGTAAAGGCGCCAGTAACGGCGTCGAAGCCCGTCGCGTAGATGAGAACGTCCAGCTCGACTTGGTGCCCACTCGTCAACCTGATCCCGGTCTCGGTGATGCGCTCAATGCGATCCTCGTGGATATCGATCAGATCCACGTTCGGTCGGTTATACGCCTCAAAGTAGAATGTCTCGAGGGGCACACGGCGCGTGCCGAAGCCGTGATTCTTGGGGATCAGCTTCTCCGCCGTCTCGGGGTCATGCACGCGTTGTCGGATCTTGTTGGCGATGAAATCGCTAAAGGCCGCATTGGCCGCGCGATCAGTGTTGATGTCGCCAAAGTTGCTCAGCCACTTCTTGAACCCGGGCTGTGCGTACAGATCCTCCCAGAACTGCAGTCGCTCCGTTTCTGGCACGTCGAACGTCCGTCTGTTGTCCGCGGCGTGCACGAAGCACGAGTACGACTCGTTGCACAGTCGGAAGATCTCGGGGTACCGACTCCTGATCCGGTCCATCTCCTCCGGGCTGATCTTTGCATTGTGGAGAGGCGCCGACCAGTTCGGGGTCCGTTGAAACACAGTGAGATGGCCCACGGTCTTGACGATTTCTTGGATCGTTTGGATCCCTGTGGCGCCGGTGCCGATGATGCCCACGCGCTTGCCTTCCAGCGAGACATTGTCCGGCCACCGCGCCGTGTGCATCGAGACTCCCTTGAAATCCTTGACGCCGGGGATCTCGGGGTACGTGGGCTCATTCAGGAGCCCCATGGCAGTGATGAGGAAGCGCGAGGTATACTCTTTGCCTTCGGTGTCTGTGAGCAGCCAGGAGCGGGATGCCTCCTGGAAACGGGCGGACTTGACGCGGGTGTTGAATTGCATATCGCGCTCGAGGTCGAACTTGGTCGCGAGGAACTGGCAGTATTTCAGCGTCTCTGACGCGGGCGCAAAGTGTTCGGTCCAGCTCCATTCGTCCAGAACCTCTTGCGAGAATGAGAAGTTGTACGACCAACTTTCAGAGTCAAATCTTGCGCCCGGGTAACGATTCCTAGATCGAGGGCACATCAATATCCATGGTGCCTCTTGGAAGGAAAGTCCAGGGAGAGCGGTTCGCCGGGAATCTTCTTACCAGAACCAAGTGCCCCCGACTCCGCTGCCCGCCTCGAGTACTCTTGCCCGGAGGCCATATTGCCTCATTTTATAAGTTGAGTAGATGCCGCTGAGTCCGGCGCCAATGATGAGAACATCATAGTCGAGATTGTCATTCGACTGTGCTGTGGAAAATTCGCCGGCGTCTCCCATGGTGACTGCGGGCCTTTGGCTTATGAAGCACCCTTCTTGTCGGCCTTGGATGGTCCAAATTGAAGGATTTGACTCTTGCAGATACTGTGGATGTGATGGCGCGAGGAGTGTCTGCCTGTTCATTTGTTCAGACAGAGCTTTTGATAACCTCGGATCCTTGTATATGAGGAATGCATTTTACCTTTCTCCATTCCCCACGACTCACCATGCCTTAGCCAGCACTTCCGAGAGGCTAACGTAGTCAGAGACCTTCGGCAGAGCAGAAAGGGAATACCGGCTGGGCACATTGGGGTCCCCACGGCCAACCCAAGCACAGGCCGTCATGGTCCAGTTTACCCCGGCACGCGATTCGTGCTAAGGAGTGAGTGGCCTTTACCGGCCGAGCCTCCGACCGCAAGATTCCTGAGAGTGGAATCGAATCCAAGTGAATCCTAAGGATGAGACGTATGGCAGCAAGAGTTGTGACTTGTCAGGCGGACACAATTTCACAACTTAATCCGTGACTTTTTGTAGCTGATTTGAAGGTTAGAAGCCTCGCAAGCAAATTGTGTTCTTCGAGCTCAGGTACTCAATCCACCATCATTACCAGCCTGAACAAAAGTCTGCTCAACATGCCTATCCCTCGATACACTTACAATGGTCCGGTCGACCACACCGTGGTGCCAGACAGGTCAAAGGTCAAAGGGAAGTCCGTCATCGTGACAGGCGGTGCAAATGGCATGGGTGAAGCTATGGTGCGAGCCTTTGCAGCTGCAGGAGCCTTCGTCACTTTTGGAGACCTTCAGCCACGAGGAAGGGAGCTAGAAGAAGAATTGAATGCCGATGGAGAGAAAGTGGCCTTTGTCAAGTGCGATATTCGCAACTGGGACGACCAGATCCGCATGTTTGAGACGGCCAGGAAGAAGAGCCCCAGCAACAGCGTCGATATCGTGATTGCAAATGCCGGCATCAGTCGAAGCTCGGGGGATAGTCTATGGAACCTGGACGGTGAGATCCTCCCCAAGACAGATTGTTGCACTTGTCGGCCAAGATGCCAGTCATCCACGCGAGATTCGAGACGGTCTCTGGCCTGGGTGCCTGACGGTGCTACGACAATCAGACTGATCGTGAGCAGATCCAAATGGAGAACCAACAAAGCCCGACCTCAACATCATCCGAGTGAACATTGACGGCACGCTCTACACGTGGAAATTGGCAGTCCACTACTTCCGTCAACAGCCTGAAACCGAGGATCGGGATCGATGTTTCATCATCACGGGCAGCATGGTCGCCTGGATTGACTCGCCGGTAAGGATAAGGGCGAGATGTCTCACGGAGAAACCTGAGAGCTAACCGTTTGGGCACCTTAGGGCAATTGGGAGTACACTGCCACCAAATACGCGCTCCGTGGATTCATGCGTACGGCGCGTCGGTCCAGCTGGGAGCAGGGCATCAGAATCAGCTACGTCGCGCCGTGCTGGATCAAGAGCGCCATCCGGACGAAAGAGTACGAGTCGTGGCTCATCGAGCACGGCATCGAGTTTGGGGAGCAGGAGGATTGCGCCGGTTGCATGATGAGGATCGCCTGTGACAACAGCATCAACGGTCAGTCTTCTACAAACCCGTGCTGTGCACACGGATCTACTCGAACCGGTCCAATCGCTAACTAGTTGCTTGACGCCGCCAGGCCACTCGTTGATGATCGTACCGCGATCGAAAGCCAAAGAGGGCTTTATGGACGTCGGTAAGGATGACTATACTGAGGAGGGATACTTCAAAACCACCCAGGAGACGCAGCTGGTCATCATCGAGGACAGGTGGGTCGACGGCTACAAAGTAAGGGTCTATAAAGCAGACTGATATGACCCCGAGCTAAACCATCAACAAGGCTCAAGGTAGACGAGGGTGACGATCATAGCACTCCGGTCAGCATTCTCGAGCTTGCACTCGGTAGCGAACTGGATGTGCATTGTTAAAACCCACATTGCCCATAGGCCGTGAGAGATAGTTTCGCATGACCATGAGCTATGGAGCCAGAGCAGCTTCATGAACGCTTTGTCACGCACTCTTCTACAAAGCCCCCGGCTCGAGCATAAGCTCACCATTGTCTTCACTGTGCATCTGTGTCCGTAGTATAGGCGTCGCGGCTCCACTACCCCTAATGTGGTCCCCGTTGACCCAATCGGCTGCCATTTTTGAGGCGCCGAGGAGTGTCTGATGGGTCGGTCAACTCTAACCGAAGCCCAATCGTGAATTTCGGAGGTGACTTTTGCTGCTCCATCATCTGCAGACACTCATAAACACAAAAGGATAGCAGACAACAGTTAGCAACGACACGCCTAGAACACCACCACCACTCACCACTGAACAGGGAGGGCTGAGATGGCTTCCGCTATTCCCCAGACGATGCATGCGTGGCGAAAACACAGAGGAAACAATGATCCTGTAAGCCGTCAATTAACCCATGACTTCTTGAAGACAAGTCCTGAGTCTCCCGGGCTAGGTATGGGAGGAAGTCCCAGTGCCATCAACACCCACAACTGGGTTCCTGTGCAAGATGTTGGCCTCTGGTGGTAAGTGTTTTGTCTGTCTCGCACCGAGGACATGGCCTAGCAGTCCATCCTGATGCTCTGGATGGGCAGTTTGCCATAGTGATCACAGCCTCCTGACCAACGATAATCAACGACCGTGGTTCCAGGAGAAGTACACACTGGTGAGAAGAGCTCAGCCACTCAGCAGAGGCAACGCTGACCGGATGAACTCCAGGGCCACGAAGGGTGCGGCGAGATTGTGAGCATTGGCAAGGAAGCGAAAGGCAAGGGATTTGACATCGTGAGTTGTCTGGTCATATATTTTCGTCGAAGAGACTTGCCCTCGACACTCTCGGGGGCGAGTACTCGCGGACACCCAAGATCTAACACTAGATGCATCCATAGGGTGACAAGATCGCCCTTCTCGCAGTCCCGGGGTGTGGAAAAGACTCGTGCCTGGAATGTTCGCGAGATCTAGCTCAACTCTGCCAGGCTGCCCACCACTCTGGAATTGGACAGGATGGCTTCTATGCTCCTTATGCGGCAATCGACCTTCGAGGCGCGGTCCATCTACCGGACGGAGTCCACCCCAACGTCGCGGCGGTGGCCACAGACGCAGTCACGACGGCATATCACGCAATCACCCGGCGAGGAGAAGTCAAATCCAGCGAGACGGTGTTCCTCTTCGGCCTTGGAGGTCTGGGGTTCAACGCTCTACAGATCATCAAGCACATCGGAGCTCGAGTCATTGTTTCTGACCTTCGACAGGAGCGACTGGATGAGGCGGCGAAGCTAGGCATCCCCCGAAGCGATCTCGTGCCGGTCGGGGCGTCTGTGCAGGAGTTTGTCCAGGAGAATGGGTTGGAGAACAAGATCGATACTGTGTTGGACTTTGTCGGGACGCACCAGACATTTGAGGATGCTCAACGTATCGGTACTCGGCCCTTCTTCAAATCTTCTTGCTCAAGCGGGGGGACGACCAGTGAGCAAAAACTAACAAGGTCACAGTTCGTCTGGCCGGGAAAATGGTCTGCATTGGCACGCTGAACCTCGAAAACACCGTCCACATGAAGATAGGGATCCGGAAACGACTCTCTATCATTTTCTCGTATGGAGGTCAACTTCGAGACCTAAAGGATGTCCTCGACCTGATCGCCAGGAAGGCCATAGAGCCACAGGTCGAGCCAGGACGGCTGCAGGATTTTCCCACTGTGCTCCAGGATCTGTGTGACGGGAGAATCAAGGCCCGCGTGGCTCTTGTACACGAGTGAGGGTGCGGAAAGCCATCCATTTCGTCTATAGCATACAAGAAGCATTCAAATCTTCCCATCCTCCAAGACCTTTCCCCTGAATGTCCACTGTCAGACTCAGTTTGATCCTCCATTCACACTCGCACTCTTGGGCAGTCCGATCCCAACAGCGGCTGTAGCGCCAGCGTCTACCGGTAGAACCACGCCTGTCATCCACCTGGCGTGCGGACCGGCAAGGAACACCACCGCACATGCGCAATCCCACCCTGTGCCTTCGGTGCCCAGTAGACTTCGTTTTTGACGTGCCTCGCGTGCCTCTTGGCTCATGCCCCCAGCGTACATCATGGGTGTGTAAAGCATCTAAAATGAGGTGAGATTCGGTCCAAGACAACAACAAAACGGGCGTCGTTGACAGGTAGCTAGGAGAGGAGGGATAAGACACTCGGACACTCACCCCAGGGCAGACACAGTTGACCCGGATCCCGTCCTCGGCGTGGTGCGCCGCCATCGCTCTGGTCATGTTGACCACGGCGCCTTTGCTCGTGGGATAAAGCAGATGCGGCGTACCTCCCTTGAGGCCGGCGACGCTGCCCATGTTGACGATGGACCCTTTGATCTCGCTGCCCTCGTTGCGGCGCATGGCAGGAACGGCAAACTTGGCCATCAAGACCATGCTCGAGACGTTGACTTCGAGCCCCTTCGCCCAAGCCACCATGTCGACCTCGACCGCCGTGCCTGGTGCGCCGCCAATGCCGACGTTGTTGACGAGGATGTCCAGCCGGCCAAAGGCGGCCATGGCTGTCTCGACGACGCGGCGACATTCTGCCTCCGTGGTGACGTCGGCCTGGACGACCAGGACCTTTCCTCGTCCCGGCTCCGAATTGACCATCTCGACTGTCCTGGAGGCCCATTCCTTGTTGAGATCGACACATACCACGTTGCACCCGTCACTCGCCAGCAGAATCGAGATTGCTCTTCCGTTACCTATGCCGTCGCCTACACATCCTGCGCCTGTGACGATGGCGACCTTGCCTGTCAAGGAGCGTGATGGTGGAATGTGACTGATCTCCACTGACATGGTGTTCTCAAGCTTGTCAAGTCTTCCGCTTGCCGTGATCTTGTCGATTTAGCTGAGATGACCTAGAGTCCGTAGTCTGTGTTGCGTGGACTGTTCTCGGCGTCACAGCCTTGTTTGCAACCCTGGATGCTAGACGGTACGACGGTCGAGTTGTGATTAGTCAAGAGACAGCCTTGCCGCATTGTGTGGGAGATGGACTGAGTGGAATGCCAGATATCAGCTCTAACTAGCTCTCTGCGTCTTCCGGGGCCCGGATCGTGACCCGGGGTATACGCCGTTTGCTGAGGACGTGGCAGCCCAATCGGCTTGGGACGGCCCTGGCTTCGTGGCAGATCTTGGACAATGCCGGATTCGGTTGTGGGCTCTCCTATCCCGGGAACAGATTCAAGCATTGGGTAGCAGAATATGGGACTGAGCAGGTCCGAAGAGAGTAGTTTGAACGGAGCCGGGTATGAGGACTATCCCCTTTGAGATACCGTCCACGCAGGGTCTACCATCTAGGATGTCTGCAAAGGCTATATTCGAGTGGCACTGTGTGCGAGGTCACGATGAAGCCAGCCCAATGAGCTCAAAGCGACTACGATACGTACTGGACATGTCTTTCCTGGCTATACGACCAAAAGTCTACGAAAGGACCCCCTGCGACTTCCAGTATGGCTCCATGTCGCGGAAAAAGGCCCATTTCAACGACTTGCCCCAGCCCTTTTCCTTCCACGCATTCAAACTTTTGGGAAAGTGGTCGACACCGTCTCTGACTGTGGAGTCATGCGCGATGACGACAAAGATGTTCTCATCACAGTCGAGTTCCTGGAGGTGACCCATAGTCTTCGTAGCCAGGGGTATGTCGTGTCCGAAAGTCATGTCGTACAGCGTGTCTGTAGGTTTCCTACCACGGGACTTCTGTAGATCGTCCCATGCCGATCCTGGACAGAAGGGAATCTCGCTCGCCAGCGACCTGCATGGGTGAGGTGTGATCTCTGTTGGAACTGGGAGGTGTTGTGAAGGACGAAAAATGCCAGCGTAGTGACAGATGTCGCCTCCCATCAGGATGAATGTGTCGGCGGTGGTTCTGGCCAAACCACACAGGTGGCCGATGGCGTGGCCGGGGCTGTCGAGCAAGAAGAATGAGCCGTCACCGAAATAATCATGTGCCGGGAACTGGCCTATACGGAATGCATCTGGTCCATCGAACCTGATCTCGCGCAGGGTTCGTCCACTGCGACATGTCCCCCAAACGGCAAGGCGTTAGCCACCAGACGAGACATGTCGGCCACACGCGCAAACGGATAGAAGGACGAGCTCTTACCTGTAATCGCTTTCTCGGATGGGAGACTGGGGGTTGGCAGGATACCCGGGCAGCATGGCACCAGGGAAGCCTTGTCCGACGATCAGGTCGGTGGTTGGAGGGAAGCTCGACGGGTCGCCAATATGGTCCCAGTGCCAGTGGCTGTTGATGTGGTCAGTGTCAGGACGCGGCATGAAGGTGTAGACAGCTGCAGCCCAGATACCTCCAGATGACTGCCTCGACTTGTGCCGCAACAATGCCGTTTTCCTCCAGGATGTCGACCACATTCTTCTCTACCTGGATGCTGTATTTGGTTGTTGGAAGATAGTCGGCTATCGACTTTGAATAGTTCTGATAGTCTTTCCGTATGCCCAGGTCCCAGACCAGTTTCCTTCCAGACGGATGCTCGACGAGAAATGTCAGAGATGGTGATGATCTGAATGTCTCCAAGCCAGGCACCGGAGGCGCCATGAACCTGTTGAGAATGGCTGGGCCAAAGTTGACTGGATTGATCAAAGACACCTTCACCACCACCTCGCCTGAAGGGATGTTCAGCCTTGGGCGTTGCGAGACCATGGCCATGGATTCAACGATCTTGTCGCTGACAATGCCACCGGCGCCCAGCAACACAGCATATCAATTGCGAACACCTCAATCCTCGCTCCCGCATTTGCATTCTTTCAGTACCTCTCCGGAATCGGGCCTTTGGCTTTCTGGGGAAATTATGGCTGGAGCAAAGACCGGGGAGCCAAGATGGCTAAGGCCATAAACGGCATGCCGAGTAACCGAGCGCACCATTTCGCCCGGCAGAAGGCAGAGTTTGACGGACAAGGCAGAGAGAACCAGCGACGAACTGCTGTCGGGACGACGCCTCATTCCTGGGCACTGACGCTGCGCGTCCTTTAACTGAACCGCGCAGAGGTACCTGCTGGTTGAAGGCCCACCCATGGACAGCTTTGTATCGACCAATACAACGATACCGGCATGGCGTTAGCTAGCTACCCTTCGCGCTGCCGGTGAACCGACCCCAGAGCTGCTCAGAATCTGCTCCAGACTCCTGGAGAGACGTCGGATGTTGGCACTGTAAAACCCGGGGTCAGAGAGAGTGGGTGTATCAGAGCAAGACGGTCTGGCCAAGGAGGAGGAACATGTTTGGGACTGTGCAGGGGATAAAAAGCCAGCTCGCGTCCGACTCGATTGCACGGCAAGACCTGCATCAACCTGGGGCATTGATTTCCACGTTCCCCGAATCATCCCTCACTGTACTCGTGTCGCAAAGATGACCGAGTCCATCAAGCCAGAGATCAACCTCTCCGAGTACGAGAAGAACGACGGCAACCACACCCTTGCCCCCGATGAGGAGAATGGCCTCAGGCAGATTGACACCGTCCACGACGACGAGGCCATGAAGGTCCTCGCCACCTACCACGGCGACAACACCTGGGAACCTCTGGAGGAGAGAAAGCTTCGAAGCAAGATCGACTGGAAGCTGCTCCCTGTCCTCTGCGGCACGTATGGACTCTTGTACTATGTACGATAACCCCCAGTCGGTCTCTTGCCGTCTCTCGAGACGTGGATCTTGTTTTCAAATGCTAAACTCTGCTTCCTCACAGGACAAGGCAATGCTCGGACAAGCAGTATGTTCTTGATATCTCTACTGCCCACGGGGATGCATCGAATGCTCACAGACGTTGCAGGCTCTCTTCGGATTGCGAACAGAACTCGAACTCACCGGCAACCGCTATTCATTCGCGTCGGCAATCTTCTACCTGGGCTTCATTGTGGGCGCCTATCCGGCCATGTACCTCGCGCAGCGGTGGCCCATCGAGCGCGTCGCCTCCGCCATCACCACAGTCTGGGGCGTCACTCTCATCACCACGCCAGCCTGCACCAACTTCCAAGGTCTGTACGCGCAAAGATTCTTCCTGGGGCTTACCGAGGCCGGCATCTCTCCCATGTTCATGATGATCGTTGGGTCCTGGTACAAGAAGGACGAGCAGGCTCTGCGAATGGGTGTTTGGTACTGCTGCACGGGATACGTATCGATCTTTGTGAGTTCATCCCCTCCCACGCCATGTCCTGGCAAAGCGCACGTCGGGCGCTGACTTGGGACCCCAGTCTCCGCTGATCAATTACGGCCTCGGCCATATCACCGGCAGCCTCGAGCCATGGAAATACATGTACTTTTTCTCCGGCGCCATAACGATTCTCTGGGGCATCGCCGTTTACTTCATCCTGCCTCCGGACCCGATCCGGGCCAAGGGCCTGAATGAACGCGAGCGATACATTGCCGTGGCCCGGATGCGGTCGAACAACTCGGGGGTGCGCAACACGCACTTCAAAAAGGAACAGGTCTACGAATTGGCCCTCGACATCAAGTTCTGGATCTGCTTCGCCATTGCCTTCCTCTGCATGATTGCCAATGGCCCCATCTCGACCTTCCTCCCCATTGTCATCAACGGGTTCGGGTTCAGTCTCTTGAACTCCCTTCTCCTTCTTATGCCTGCCGGGTTCTACGCCGGTACCATGCAGCTTGTCTTCCCGTACTTGGCCTACAAGTACAAAAATCTACGGTCGTACTTGGTCTTTATTGCGCAGATGGGAACCACACTGGCGGCGTTGCTTCTGTGGCTCTTGCCCCGTGGGGCCACCGGGGCCCTACTCTTCGCATGCTACATTCTGCCCTCTGTGGGAGCGGGCTACGCCGTCCTGATGGGCCTTCAACTCGCCAACACGGCCGGCTATACGAAGCGGTCTCTGGCGTCGTCAGGCCTGTACATCGGCTACTGTCTCGGTGAGTCACGACGCTGGACAATCTCGAGTTTCGAGTTTGTCCCTTTCCCCTGAATACCTCGCTCACTTATCCTCCTCTCTCTCTCTCTCAACAGGCAATTTCGTCGGCCCACTCGTGTACAGGCCTCAAGATGCTCCGCGGTATGAGCACGGGTTCATCATCGTGGTCATCACCGCCATCATCGCCGGTGTGTTGGGTTTGGTGTACCGCTTCATCTGCGTCTGGGAGAACAAACGACGCGACCGGTCCGGTACGCTCGAGGGATTCGAGCACGCCTACGAGGACGACTTGACTGACAAGACGGTGAGTTACCCTTACTCTGCTCTCTGTTCTCACGCGTTTGTACCACCTCGGGTGGCTTGCAGCAGTGTGGGAACTTTGCTAATCTTTCTCCGTTTCTTCACAGAACCCGCAATTCCGATATATTTTGTAGTCTTGGTGCCACGTGCGAACTGGGTTTTGGTTTTGGAATAGGGTAATAGGCGGCTGAGATGGGCAGTGCCGCCAGTATCGAGTGCGTGCAGCTCATTAATGCTCAGTCCACGCCGTCATGGCTCTTGTCAATAGCGGTTGACTGTCTTCTATGGGCCTGTTGAGCAGCAACAGTAGAAACTGGGATGAAGTCAATATGTCGTGTATTACAAGACGTCCGCGCCACCAACATACGGTCCAGCAGCGTCACGCCTATCTTTGGTTTGGGGGAGCTCGCTGATACACCACTGCACAAGCATCTATTGTACATCGGACGGACCTCATGTATAGTCTATGAATGTGTCTGAGCCACTCATGGTGTTCCGCTTGCATGCATGCATGCATGCTTGACAACCACCCTACCCAGCCCGCTGGCCGAAATGTGAGAAGAGCCTTTCTTACCTTTAAAGACCAACCCAATTGTTGCAAAATAAAATCGCGAATGACAAGTGAAGGGGTTCGTCGGGGTATGATGAGGATGATGATGATGATGTGCAATCGTTCTCGTACCGATTTCTTGTTGGAAAAAAGGGTCTCCTGCTGATATACGGCAGGTACCTCGAGGAAATAAATATCAGAGGTGTTCAGAACCTCACCTGTGTTTGTGAATAGAACCGACGAAACGGAGATGGCTCGTGATGTGGCAGCCCGCGGCGCAGTTATAACTAGTACCGCACAGTCAGTAGTCGGTGGATGGACGGGGTCTTTTCAAGACATCGTTCTGCCACCCCTTCCTGTGCTGAACCCGGGTGCCTGCTTATTAGCCTCACTGACCAACTTAGCCTATGCGGGACGATTTGGGCAGCAATCTCTGGAAAGTCTACAGCTTCCTCTGGGTGGGATATTCAGTACCACTGTACCAGAAAATAATACTTCCATCCGAATTGTTTAATCCCACCCTTCACATATTGCAAGTTAGGGTCGGGACGTCGTTGGAGACGCCAAGTGACGTGAAGTGACAGGTCTATTTCTGGGTCATCGAAACCCGGGGAGGCAGAGTAGACTAACTAACAAAAGCCACCAAATCGGAGCGAGCAATGGGACAAACAAAGACGACGCATTACGAAGTTTCTTATTTTTCTTCTAAAATCATATTCAAAGGGTATCTCAATGCCTATTAGTTTTTGCGATCTAACTTCTTCTTCTTCCGTCTTCAATACGAACAGAGACGGTAGCAGGGTCAAGGGGTAAGTAAGCAAAATCAGCCCCTCCTTCTGGCGCGCCCAAGAAAACTCGCCATCTAAGCTGGGTAATGTACAAAGAATGCGCGTTTATGGGCTGGTAGGAGCCGCGGTCGTGGACGCTGGCTCGGCGGGCTTCTCCTCGCGGATGTCATCCGAGCTGGGGGTGTCCTTGTGGGTGGGCACGGTGGCATGCTCGACACCGTGGACCACATCCCGGGCGACCTCGACGTAGTCGTAGGCGAATTCACCGACTTCGATCTCGTCCATGCCCATAATCTCCTCCTGCTCCGAGGCACGAAGATGGAGGCCTGGGATCAGGTTGATCACAAAGAGGATGATGCAGCTGAGAACGAACGAGTATGCCATACCAGTGACGCCGTCGCACAGCTGGTAGGCGAGTTGGATGTAGTGGTGGTTGATCCAGCCGCCGTCGATCACGGACGAGCCGTCGAGAGCGGCAATGTAGTCGGCGGCAAACAGACCGGTCAGGAGATCTCCGACCAGACCGCCAATGCCGTGAATGGCGAAGATGTCAAGGGCGTCGTCAATGTGGAGAAGGAACTTGAGCTTGGTGCCGTAGTTGCATGCGATTGCACCGACAACGCCAAAGATGACCGAGGCCCAAGCAGGCACGAAACCACTGCCAGGAGTGATGGCGACCAAACCGGCAATGACACCGCTGCAGAAGCCAACGGTAGACCACTTGCGTTCCAGGCGATAATCGAGAATGCACCAGGTGAGACCACCGACACTGGCTGCAAGATTGGTGACAACCGCGGCCATGACGGCTCGGAGGTTGGCGGACAGGGCGGAGCCAGCGTTGAAGCCGAACCATCTGCAAACTGTTAGTAACAAGTTCTAAGAGTTCTAAGCAACCCTTTTTTTTTTCAAACACATACCCAACCCACAGGAACACAGTTCCAATGACGATTTGAGTGACGTTGTGAGGACGGTAGTTGAGCTCGTGGGTTCCGTGGCCACGACGCTTGCCCAGCATCAGGGAATAAGCGAGGGCAGCGGCACCAGATGAAATGTGGACGGGAGTGCCACCGGCGAAATCGAGACCACCCATCTTGAAAACCCATCCGGCACCGTTCCAGGTCCAGCAGGCAATCGGGTCGTAGACGACGGTGGACCAGACGAAAGAGAAGACCATTGCGGGAGCGAGTCGACCACGCTCAGCCGCCGCGCCAATGGCCAGGGCAACCGTGATGGCCGCGAACATGCCCTGATACACAGCGAACAAAAGATCGGGAATTTTGCTGGAGCCGACTGAAGGTGCACCGAGGACGTTTCGGAAGCCGAAGTTTTCCATGTCGCCGAGGAATTTGCCGGCAGTGTGAGAGAAGGCGAGTGTATAGCCCCAGAAGAACCATTGGAAGGAGATCAAGCCCGTAGCCGCGATCGAAAGCCAGATAAGCGAAAGTGCAGACTTGCGTCTGGCGAGACCAGAGTAGAAGAAACTAAAGAAATGCAGGTCAGCACGGGCATGCAGCCGCAAGGAGAAGGAGGGCATTTACCCGACGCCGGGAATCATGAGCAAGACCAAGGCGGTCGAAGTGATCATCCAGGCAATGTCACCGGCATTGTAGTAGAGATTGAGGTTCTCGGTGAGAGAGTCACCGCCGGTCATGGAGGTGCCATTGTACACCTCGAGCGGGACGTAGGGCAGCGAGTCGAGGCTGTCGGACATGTTGGCGGTCTGGTGTAGTCCTGAGTTGGGTGTCTGTCCAAGGGGCAACTGTGATCAGTCCAAGTCGCGACACAACTCGCGATGGAAAGGCGAAACGGTGTGAGGGAAGAAAGGGACTGGGACTGGGACCGAAACAGGGAACGGAGTGGAAGAAGTAGTCCGGAGAGCATCGGGCAGGGCTATGAATATATCATGAGAAGCACGAAGAAAGGTGTTTGAGGAGGAATCCACCGTTCCCACTACCGCCCGCTAATTGCTCTTTCGGACGGAGGCTTGAGCTAGGCTGACTCCATAGTACAGACCCGAGACGCGACGGCGGTAGGGGTAGCCTCAATAGCCTATAGGAGACCCTGGTCCGTGGCACTGATAGCGTGGGATTTGGCGAGATGCGCAACTTCGGTGGGCCGTGGTCAGACGTTCTTCGGATTCCCAACACCACCAGGGCGCACAGGGGAGAGTGAGATGGCCGAATGGATCGCGATGGAGCACATCTGAAGCGAGGGTTACACGCCCGGAAGAGGTGGACGAGTCTCGTTGCCGACTAGCCCGCAGCATCGATCGGGCTTCCTCGGTGTCCCTGGATGCTTCCCTGCTAAGCTGTTTCGCATCCGTACGACGACGACAAGCAGCAACGAGGCTCGGTTTCCCCAGCGGCCTTCCCGCCTCAACCGGGTCCAGGTCGATGGCGCTGGCAGTGGCATTGACCCCGTGGGCGTCCCGGGAGATGGTGTTGTTTTTGCTCGTCCAAGGCTCGGTATGGCGCTGCAGATCGCGTGGTGTGCTGCAACTTTGTATTTGCTTCTTGAGATTGACAACGCCTCGGCGCCACATAATGCGACTCACGAGGATGAATCCGGCGCCTTGAAGATGCCAAGAGGCCCTGATAAGCATGTGGGCTGCCATTGGCCGCCGGCGCGGGTGCCAAGCAACGGATTGAGCCTCAAATTGGATCCTGCGGGAAGATCCACTGATAAGCGTTCCATAGACAGACTGTTGCTTATTATTGTTACTATTACAACCACGACTGAGGCACTGTGCGCAGTTACAGACCATGCGAGGATGCGAGGGCGCGAGGACGAAAGTGTCCATGATAGCCGTCGACTCAACTCTCCTCGCTCACTCATACTCGGGACGATTCGAGACAAGGGCACCAACGCACCACATCTCCATACGACAATGGCCACCTCGTGGCAATTGACAGCACGGTCCATGGGTCTGATCTGGCCTTTCTCACTGTCCTCCGCTTCCCGGTACAAACTCTACAGTATGGATACCCTGAGGAATCCTCCCGGGCACCAGGCTGACATGACTGTACTCGGACGGAGCATCAAAGTCCATCCATCATCCATCTGCCGGTGACCTGATGGCAACGGCAGTCCTGTGTGTGTAACCCTTGGCGTGCCGCCAGGCCATCGTTCTCTTCACGTCCGCATCCCGCATTCGCAGTCGTTCTGTGCCATCTCAATCTTCGACGTCTTGGCTTCGCGTCTTGCAACAGGCCATTCGTTCATGGGCTTGGGTCTAAATCCCCCGGACTGCGCGCGATCGCTTAGAGGCCACGATGAAGTCTTGCCTTCTCTCAGGAGACGGTTGGCCGCACACCACCATCAAGGCCAGTCTGCCGAGTACCCGGTCAAAGGCTGTTCGCGACCTCAATATTGCAGAACAGACCTCCTCAGATTGGTTACTTGGCTCCTTGGCTGCCTTGCTGCTTCAAGAGAAGATGAGAAGAAGAGTCGAGGAGACGTGCGTAGCCAATATCGACCCACTCAAAAATCCGTTCTGTCCCGTTGCCCAGGACTGATGCCGTCCAGCCATATGATTCGTCCGCCCGCTCGATAACAGTCAATTCGAAAAGTCATGGCAACTCCCAGGGAAATGTATTTGCGAATCTTTTGACAGTCCCAGACGTGTATCGCGCGCCACGATGAGGCACTTTTTTTTCGGAATGGTTAGTGCACGCCTCCACCAGTATCAGTCAAGCCACGTCGAATCTATTTTCGACGCCGAGGACCAGGAATTGCCCAGACTTTCATACAGGTCTAGTTAGAGCTCGGAGAAGATGAGCTGTTCCGGACGCTTGGTGCACGTTGGAGCTCCGCATATGTACTGTAGCATGTGGTCCATATCACACCCTGCGAGGCAAGGCTGTCGTTGTGTCCCGACACGGACGAGGCTCTCCGTGATATCTGGTCGTCCTTATGGTCTACGGAGACAATATTCCGGGACTGGGTAGGATGCAGACGGAGCTTTGGACGAGAGGCCCTACGGGTTTCTGGCATGGCATCATCGAACTCCGGATCGAAACTCCAGGCTCTGTGCGTACTCGTTCTAGTGCTGAGTAGAGAGAATGCATGAAACATCATCGACCCGAAGAACAGCCTGTTCGCTGGCGGATGATGTGCTTGGACGAGGCAAATGTGAATTCTATAGCTATTGGCCATCTGCACACATAAAGCAGGGATACGGACGGATGATCAACGTCGTGAGACTCCGTCATTTAAATGGGCGTACGAACGTGATCCCAATATTCAGATGAACTCACGTTGCACGAGTGTGTAACTGGGCGATTGTATGTTAGTATACAAGGCAGAGATGAATACCTCCCTCGGTATCTTGGTCGCGTCCTTATAGCTCATCCTCTCCCAAGCATCACCGATCACCAAAGCCCCATCTCAGTCCAACTCCACCGTTCCAAGTTTTGGAGTGGCTTGGAACTGGGACAAAGGCGCCCTTGGGAAGATCATCCGGCCATCTCGGACCAAACACCCTGCAATCACTGTTCGAATTCCTCCTCAGACCTGCCACCAGCAATCTTGGAACGCATGTACTGTACGAGTATTTGGTGAAGGTGGCATTTGGGGGTTGTGGCGCTCGAGGCCCAAAGGAGTTGGCGGTGTCGGAACAACTGTCGTATGCCAGACACTCGTAGATCTATCTATCCTTTTCTCGCCTGTTTAATGGCCTGACCCGTCACTTGTTGCGATTTTTTGGCAATCCAGGCCCAGAGCGAGGGATGTGATCAAACTACTTGTATCGCCATGCACACCCAAGGCCATGGGCTGGCAACTAGTCAGCCTCTGTATCAGCCACAGGCGCTGTCGGCGTCTCCAACTGCGGCGGGCGAGACGCCAGTAATGCTGCCTCTCCAAGCCACCCCAACTCGACCTGCTACTAATCTCGCCTCGCGCACTGGTGCTCGTCTCTCCAAAGGCGAAGAGCAACGCATCGAAGAAGGTCGATTGCCCCCTGTCATGGAGCACGAAGAGATGCCTGCGATGCATCGTGGCAGCGCAGCGTCGTCGTCTGGTTCCTCGGATGAGGATCTTAGCAACACCGCCGCCTCCTCCTCCACAGTCTATGGGTATCCGCCCTCCACCTACGATGCTTCCGATAACGCGGGAAATTTTACGACTACTCCTACCTCCTCTGTCTCAGCCTATACTCCCTCGAGTGGCTTCTCGAGTCTATCGTCGTGGAATTCATATGGAACCCGGCCTCGCGGAGGCAGCGGCTCACTCAACGCGGCCAGCATGGACAGGACCTTTTCCGCCGTCGATCCACAAACTGCGGCCGCAGACCTGCGTGGCGTAAGACCAACCGGGCCTCTCAGGACACCCTCGAATACCTATGCTCCTCCACGACGGCCGCCGCAATTGTCGGCGCTCAATTCAAAGCGCATGCATTCGTCAAGTACGATGAGACCCTCCAGAAGAGACCCCAATGCCCAATACAAGGCGCAAGAGAAAGCATACGTACAGCGTATGAGACAACAGCCTCAAGACTGGTTGGAGAGCGACCCTCGGACGCCCAGCATTGGCTATAGCACAGACGATGAGACTGATGATGAATCCCCATCCACCGAGCACCCTTTCGATGATCCCTATGACCCTGAAACATTGATGTTCTTGGGTAACGAGGACAACCTACAGCCCTCCGAGGAAGAACTACAAAATCCGCAGAACAGAGAACGTCTGGAGTGGCATTCAATGCTGGCTTCAGTACTCAAGGGCGATGTGGTCAAGCAGGAAAAGCAACGGTTGATCGGGACGACGGAACAAAAAACAAGGACAGAAATCGGCTCGGAGATCTGGATAGGCGCCCGAGCAAAATACTATGGACGGCCGCTCCTGATGCAGAAGAAGCTTATCGAAGAGAGTCGAAAGGACCTTGCTCCGGTCATTGAAAGCATCATCGCCTTTGAGATCAAAGGTGAAACAGTGGTGGGAAAGTCTCCCCTGGAGCAGGTTGAGGAAGCGGTCTCCAAGATCGAAAAGTGTGAATGGCTCTATTCGTCGAGAAGGGAGTTGGAAACCGCTCAGACCCGGGCTGCCTCTGAGGCTTTCCAGGAAAGTTGCGACGCCATTGTCTCCTGGCACAATATCACTCAATCAATCAATACCGAGCTTGCAGTGCTTCAGGCCTGGGTCGGCAACCCAGAACTCGACTTCAGCAAACAGAAACGACGGTCAAGTCACGATGGCGAACTTTCGGATGAGTCCTCCTTCGTGGACCGCATCCTCAAGGAGGATGGTCTGAAGTCTCTGCAAGGTGAGAAGAGCATGTTCAAGGGAATTGGTCAAGTCATCAACAAAGCCAAGAGCACTCTGATTGAGAATGCCGAAGCTTTTGCAGCGCGCCATCTACCTCCGTACATCGAAGAACTCTTGACCCTGATCAATTTTCCCTCGAGATTGATACAGGAAATCATCCGCATGCGTTTATCTTATGCCAGGAAGATGAAGGAGTCGGCTCAGCAGTCCGTGATGATCATCGATCAGATGATCTCGCAATTTCAGATCCTGATGCGCCTTGCTTGTCTGATCAAGCAGCAGTACCTCGCCATTTCGCATCCGCAGCCTGGGTGGGATTTGCCTCCATGTATTGACGAGTCGTTCGACTCGGTGATCGTGGACGCTCTGAAGTTCTACTTCAAGATGCTTAACTGGAAACTCGGTGCCAACAAGAACACTTTCCGGGAAGCCGAAATTCTTGAACAGGAATGGGGCTTCTCAAACGAAATAGGTCGCCAACTCGAAGGCGGAGACATCGAAGTCGCAGAACAATTCAGCTCTTTGACTGCCAAGTCGTTGCTTCGGCTTACAGCTTCCTTTGAGCGTGAACTACGCTCGAAGCCTGACGAAAGTGCTCTAGATATGGAGAAGCGGTACAAGACTATCCTGGACTCGGTCCGTGTGCGGCAAAGGAAACTGTTTCGGTTTTCACGGATTCTGCGCCAACGCTTCGAAAATGCCACCGAGTTCAATCTGGGCATGGACGCAGAGCAACTACAAAACTTTTGTGAATCGTTGACCATGTCTGACCACATTCTTCTGGATGTCGGTCCTAGCAGTCCGAAAGGGGTTTATTTTCTAGCATCTCCTTCGCTCTGGGGCAGGCCCAAGGAGATCCAGTCCATCTTGGGAACGTCTTTCCATGCTGACGATGCGCCGGAAGATCCTTCCAACCCCTACATTTTGGTGATCCATCCAGAAGATCCCATCGTCTGGGAGGGCCAAAGAATGGACGTCGACGTTCTCGAACTCCCCAACGATGTCCGACTCGGACGGCTCCGACTCGTGGCTGACGGTTCGTCTCTGCGACTGCAAGGTGCTAGAATGGAATTTGCGAACGCTGTTGGCCATGATCTAGATGTTGTCATCGAACAAAGAGCCAACCTCTCAAGAGTCAACCAGGAATTGGGCAAGATCAAGAAGACGACCTTCAAGCTATCAAATACCATCATGGAAAGCGTCGAGGTGATTCGATCCCAAAATGGTGGCATTGCAAGCCCTGAACTGGTCCAGTCGTGCTTCGCTTTCGCGACCGAGTTTGGAAAACGCTCCCTCACTTACATGGACGCCAACCGTCGAATGATGAACAACTTGAAGCTGACCAGGTTGGCTTTGGATTGGATCAGCTTCATCTGCGATGATTGTGACGCCGCTGACCGAAAAACGTTCAAGTGGGCCGTGGTGGCATTGGAATTCGCCATGGCGATGACTCGGGGCCGAAATGTGTTGGATATCAGCGAAGAAGACTACAGAAGGATCCGAGTTAAGGTGGCAGGTTGCATGTCTGTCCTCATCTCCCATTTCGACATCATGGGTGCGAGGTCTACGTTGGCAGCACAGCAAGAGAAGTCAAGGATGGAGGCGCTGTCTGGAATAAACAAACGGCTTGACTTTAACAAGCTCAGAAACGACGAAGACTGCCGCCAGGAGATGACGGAGCTGAGAGTGTCACAACTCTGCGCCATCGACCAAGCTCGCGAAGAACGCGGCACGAAAACGTCGCTCGGCCGTGTTTTGGAAGGATCAAATGAGGCAGATCGATCCCTCACATTCCTGTCCTCTTCCGCCACCAACATCACCATGAGATGGCAACAAGGACAGTTCGTTGGCGGCGGCACATTTGGCTCTGTATACGCTGCCCTTAACCTCGACACCGGTACCTTGATGGCCGTCAAGGAGATTCGATTGCAAGATCCCCAGCTCATTCCTACCATCGTGAAGCAGATTGGCGACGAAATGGGCGTCTTGGCTGTCCTGGATCATCCCAACATTGTGTCGTACTACGGTATTGAGGTGCATCGAGACAAAGTCTATATCTTCATGGAGTACTGTTCAGGTGGCTCGGTAGCTGGTCTTCTCGAGCATGGCCGCATTGAGGACGAGACTGTGATTATGGTCTATGCCTTGCAAATGCTTGAGGGGTTGGCGTATTTGCATTCAGCTCACATTGTGCATCGCGACATCAAGCCCGAAAACGTACTACTCGACCACAACGGAGTTATCAAATATGTTGACTTTGGAGCGGCCAAGATCATCGCCCGACAAGGCCAGACGTTGATGGCTGCGGAACCGCCAAAACGTATGGCAGCCGAAGGGCCTCATATGGCCAACAACGGACCCGCGGCACGACAGCCGCAGAAAACCATGACGGGAACTCCCATGTACATGTCACCGGAAGTGATTCGAGGAGATGGACCGGCGACGTCGCGATTCTCTGGGGCGGCCGACATCTGGTCGCTTGGTTGTGTCATTCTTGAGATGGCTACAGGTCGTCGACCTTGGTCAACACTCGATAATGAGTGGGCGATCATGTACAACATTGCTCAGGGCAACCCGCCTCAACTGCCGACAGAAGACCAGCTCAGCCCAAGCGGCATTGACTTTTTGAAGAAGTGCTTCGAACGTGACCCCGCCAAGCGAAGTTCGGCGGCCGAACTGCTACAGCATTCATGGATTGTGGAAATCCGTAAGTTGGTGGTGGATGAACCGGATGTCCAGACCCCGAGGAGCGATTCTAGTGGAGGCGTATCTCTACCAAGTCGACACAATTCTAGTGTAATGTGAAGGTTGGATGATGAATTTGGCACGTATAGGACAGGCATATGGACATAGGCATCTTGAGCCGAGTAATGAGATTGATTCCTGCCACATCGTACGAGGATGGTCCAAAGATGTCCGGACAAAGGACACAAGGTAAGGTTGATGCCTATGTTACCTCGCTGCGAGGAGCAATGTAAGCTGCCTCTGGCTGGTGGTGTCGTGTGTCGTGTGTCGTATTCCATCGTACTCCGTATACGACGAACCTTAAGGTGAGACTCGGTTCCCGGGGCAAAATCCCATTCCGGTCTCTCATTCCGCTCGCACTCCGTGTCTGTGCTCCGTGAGTGAAGTCGACGTGCCGGGGCTTTCTGTCTCCTGAGGCAAGTCAATCTGCTTCTCGTATTACTGTCTGTCAGAGATGCAGAACCACAGGACATTCCTTTTCCACATTGCACTATTACTCGGTGCCTAGAGCCAATATTCACTCTCCGTCCCCCCTACGAACCACCATCATAATCCGTCCACTATTTTTAGGGCTCCCCTCGTTTAACAGACTCACCAGAATCGCTGCGAGCAAGTCGCTTCTCCAACGACCATTTCTTTCCCTCCGCTCCTTGGGACGCATGATGCTTGAGACCCCAAGTCGTCGTCATGGCCGGTGATAGACACAGCCAGTCCGATCCTTTTTCCGACACAGCCGCCATTCAAGACGAACGCGAGGCCATCGTCGAGTCGACGTTGGGCGTAGGCCGAAATGCCACGCTCACACTCGGGACCGACGCCGTGATTGTTCTGGGTACGTGTGGAAAGGCAACGGGATCACCTGCTGCCTATTAAGTGTGCTTGTCTCGGGACTTTGCTTGACTGACTCGAATATTGCAAATGCAGACGACGGGCTTCGTGGAAACTCGGGCTTCGATTGTTTTGGATTGTTCAAAAGTGAGTTGCCTGGGTAGTCGGGCGCAGGACGTTGTATCGAGTCTCAACTTTGATTACAAGCACGAGAAATCTCCCAACGCACATACAAACCCATATATGTACTGACTACCACGTCCCAGGAACGACAAATACCCACTCGATACCCTACTTCAACGTGCTCTGGGCTGAACTGGTCAAGGGCGAATTGACCATCCAATATGCCAAACCCACGTCCAAATCCTCCTCCTCCTCCAACAACAACAACACCCCCGTCCGCGTCGCATACATAAATTACACCATCGAAAGTACAACGGCGGTAGAAGAGCGGGCGCTGCGGTGGATAGAACGGCTGCTACAGCGGGCGTACGGGAAGGCGCAGCGCAAGAAGAGGATCAAATTGCTGATCAACCCGTTTGGTGGCGCAGGCAAGGCGGCCAAGATCTACGCAAAGGCGATTGAGCCGATCTTTGCGGCTGCCCGGTGCGAACTGGACGTCGAGCGCACGACGCACACGGGCCACGCGGTCGAGATCTGCGAGAAGCTGGACATCAACGCCTTCGACGTCGTGGCGAGCGCTTCTGGCGACGGGCTACCGCACGAATGCATCAACGGGCTCGCGAGGAAATCCAACGCGGCGGAGGCGCTGAGGAAAGTTGCCGTGGTGCAGCTGCCGTGTGGCACGGGGAACGCCATGTCGTGGAACCTCACCGGCACCGGGGAACCCAGCACCGCGGCACTGGGCATCGTCAAGGGCATCAGGACACCCATGGACCTGGCCAGCGTGACACAGGGATCCACCAGGACACTTTCTTTCTTGTCGCAGTCGCTGGGCATCGTGGCCGAGAGCGACCTGGGCACGGAGAACATTCGATGGATGGGCGATGCGAGGTTCACGTATGGCTTCCTGGTGAGGCTGATCGGGAAGACGGTGTACCCGATCGAGTTGGCAGTCAAGACCGAGATCGAAGAAAAGGACGACATTCGACGGCACTACGCAGAGCACATGGCCGCCGCTCGACGGAGGAATCAAGCGGGGATCGCCCTTTCGCGTGACGACCTGGACGGGCCGCTGGACACGTCGACGGGACTGGGTCTGCCTCCGTTAAAGTACGGCACGGTCGACGACCCTCTACCGGGCAGCGACGAGGGATGGACACCCATGACGTCGTATCCCAACATGGGCAACTTCTACTGTGGAAACATGGCCATGATGGCCGCCGACGCGCCGTTCTTCTCGGCCTCGCTGCCCTGCGACGGCCTGTTGGACCTGATCACGATCGACGGCGACATTCCGCGGACGACAGCGGTTGGTCTCATGTTGTCTGTGCCCAAGGGGACGTTGTTCGACCAGGAGTGCGTTCGGTATCGAAAGGTGTCGGCGATCCGCGTCGTGCCCAAGTTCGGCAACATGGCCAAACGGTCGGAGAACGAGGCGCGGCAGAACAAAATGGGCCAGCTGCTCGATCGTATGGGCGTGTCGGGGAACGGACGCAACGCCTCTCGTGACGGCGGCTATTTCAGCGTCGACGGCGAGAAGCTTCCGTTTCAGCCGTTCCAGGTCGAGATACACAAGGGCCTCGGGACCGTGTTGAGCAAGAACGTCGGCATGTATGAGTGTATGGGGCCCAAAGGGTGGGAGGATGTCGTAGTTGGTACGAATGGGACTGTGTGAGTCAGGGTTGATTACGACGTCGAGGAGAGGGAGGGGAGAGGTGAGGTGAGGTGATACAAAATCATTTGTGTACATTTTTTTGGTATTTGAACGTGATTCGGAAGCTTTGATGGTGAGTGAGAAACGTTGTGTTGTTTCAATCAACACTGACCAACCTCGCCGCCTGAGCTTTATACCCCCGGATTATATGGTTTTTAAACAACAGAAGAGGGAACCAACAACTACAACAACACCAAACGCATTCTATAGCATTTCGAAGCATTTTGACAAGGAAAGGGGTCATTTGGACTTATTTTGGCTGGGATATTTGTTTGGAAGAGTGGCTGTATATACTCTGGTTCCATCATATTTGACTTCTACCTATACGCGTGATGGTTTTTTTCTCTCGTGTTTTTCACATTTATTGTTTTGTTACACTCATTTCATTCAAGGGATGGTTCAGGCAATAGGTCTGATAAGAGTCTACACACTTGGAATACAAGTCGTTGATTGATCGGAACGGGCGGATGTATCTATCGACGCAAAGGATCTTTCGGAGAAGCTTCCGCGACTCCATCGACGTCAAAGACTGAATGAATATAGCACAGAGTACTCGGTACACACACGGAGATATTTCCTACCCTACGAAGGACAGTCACAGTGACGGTAAACACACTCACAGTCGACTTCTCCCTCGACACTGGTCGGTAGTCGGTAGTCGGTCGGTACACTGCACTGCAACACATAACAACAGCAACACAATACGTCTCACGCCCACCACCTACCTACCTGCAGGGACTTACTTAGCTGGGGGTTTTCCCACTACATACGACCACATTACTACGAAGTACGTAAGTGCGTGTCTCGATAGTCCTGCGTCCCAAGCGAAACCAACTTCCGACTTCACCTTCACCTTTAACTTCAACATACCACCACCACCACCACCATGTCCAGCGACCTGCTCCGACGTCTCGACGCGCTCGTCGACTCCGCCGCATCGTCCCTCCCGCCGCAGGCCCAGGCGTACCTCACGCGCACGAACCTGCAGTCGTTTCTGCGCATCGTGGTCATCGTGGCCACGTACCTCCTCTTCCGACCGCACCTGGAGACGCTGTTTCGCAAAATCACCGGGACGCCGGACAAGAGGCAGGAAGAGATCAAGGCGCGGATAGAGTTCCTACAACAGCAACAGCAGCAGGAAGCGGCGGCCATGTTCGGCGGGAAGATCCCCGTGCTCAACAAGGAGGGTAAGATCCTGAAGCTGGTGACGCCCGAGGAGGCGGAGACGTTGAAGAGGCAAGGTGCGGCCGTGGATGGGCCCACGGGTAGTACGGGTACAGGCACAGGCACAGGCACAAGCGCAAACGGCCCTACTTCTGCCGGTGGTAATGGTGGGAAGCCAAAGAAGAAGGCAAAGACCAAGAAGAAGGCATGAGCAACGACAAGAACAACGAACAACTTCAACGGTGCACACTTCTGCCACGCGACAACTGTACACACTCTCCTACGCTTCAACAGTACACACTTTTGCTATGCAACGACGACGCACTATCACACTTCACTCTCCACGCTGGGCCGTGCCGTGCTGTGCTCTGCTGTGCTGGGGTAAATGGAGAATATTCGCAACTACCCAGTTCAGCGGCAGAGGGTGTGTGTGTGTGTGTGTGTGTGTGTGTCATCTAATGGCCAAGCGAAGAGATCACGCTACTCGTTGCTTTCTGTTGAGATGGGCTGTGGTCCTCTGTACAGCCAACCGATAATCGGGGATCTGAAGCCTACAATTCGAACCGACGAGCTCGATCATTTTTTTTTCTTTTCGCGCAAGGATCCTTTCGAGAGAGGGAGAGAGGGAGAGAGGGGGAGGGAGGGAGGGAGAGAGGGAGAGAGATAGAATGTCGCTGGGATGGGGGGGAAAAAAAAGGGTGGCCTCGATGCACGAGACCGAAGCATATTTGAACGCTTTAAACTCGATACGGACACTACACATATATTGTATCCTATTCATCAATCAGAGCCAGAGAGTACGAAACGGCAAACGCTGGCACTGAAGTGAGATGAGATGCGATGAGATTCATGTCTTTTCACAACTCTGGCCTCACTCTTTTAGTCAGTCAGTCAGGATTCATGAAAACCCATACTACATTACTAGTTAGGTAGATGCCGTGCCTGAAAGTGTCGATACTATACGGCACCTCGAACGTACATTTCACGCCTCGTCGTGGTACATGTTAAAGATGTTGTGTACCCAGGTACGCACGGGTGAGTTATACGGGGGTAAATCGGTCTCTATACCTAGGTACGTTACTCTTCATTGTTACAAGACGAAGACCTGTACATACATAGGCTATATATATATACCTCTCAGGTAGGACCGAGGGTCCTTTTCTTCCTTTCTTTTTTTCCTCAGTACAACCTCCTCAACTCGTCACCCCAAGCTCTGGCCTCCTCGACGCTCACTTGGACGTTGTCCTCCATGAGCCCGCCTTCTCTCAAGACGGTCTCGAGCTCGCCGTCACCGAGGGCCAACAGCCCCTGCTCGACCATTTCCCCGTCCACGACGCGGAACGGCTCGTCTTTCTCCGCGACCTCCGTCTTCCACGCCCGGAACTTGGTCCAGGGCATGTACCCCGGCGCCTGGACCCGGCCGGCCAGCGCCGACTGCAACAGCAACAGCACGTTGACGTAGGCTGGGTTGATGGTCGCGAGCATGTAAATCGCCCCTTCGACCGTCGCCAGAAACGCGCGGGGCGTGACGAGGGGACCCGTCCGAGGTGTCACCTTCGGATCCAAGCCGGCCGTGTCGGCTGCTGCTGAGGCTGAGGCTGAGTTGCTGTTACCATTACTGTTGTTACCGTTGTTGTTATTATTCTCGCTGTTCGCTTTGCCCTTCTGTTGCTGAGCAGGTGCCGGTGTCGATGAGATTGGAACAATCTTGTTGACCACCTCGCCCAGTCGGAATTCACCCGTCACTTCGAGGCGTCGACGGGAGTTGTCTCCTTCGGTATCCTGCAACCCCTGGCCCTGACGGAGTGTTATCAGATTTCCTTCCATGTCTGCCACGACCCATTCGTTCTCCGCAATCACTGCCGTCGCCGAGGACCACAGGGTGGCAAAGTGTCTTCCCGTTTCGCGAAGACTGTACTCAAAGTTGTCGGGGTTTGGAGGAATGACTTGCAGAATGGAAAGCGACTTCATCAAATCTGCCACCGCGATCTGAGCAGGTGCATCCTGCGTGGCGGGTGTCACGGCCAGTGATAGCGGGTTCGTCGACGTACGGTATGTGGCTAACTTGGATAGCTCCAGCAAACTACCACCTCTGCTAGAAGATGGTACGAGGCCATAAAGGACCACCTATTTTTGAAACGACAAGTCAGCGGACACCGACAGCGGACACAGAAACACCAGCACCAGCAACACTTACAGTTTTCACCAGACCTGCCACAATCTTGCCATCGCACATGGCTAGACTGCGGCAAGCTCCCTTGAGATTGATCTGAGTGACCAATTTCAACTTCTTTTCCTTGTTGACCTCATACACAATGATTCGTCCCCTCATGACGTCCTCACCGCCCAGGCCATCTTCTTCGAGTATACTCGTGCCGACGACAAACATCTCGCCCAGACTCGTGTCTTCGGTGTCGAAGCTGCCAGTCGAGACGATACACTCGACCAACTCTCGATCCTGCAACTCCATCGAGTCCAACTCGCGGAAACTTACTTCATCCGCAATCTTGACCGCCGAGAGCAGCGCTTCCGTTCCGCTTTCCATAATTCTGCGAACACAGCCCATTGCAAACAGCTTAGCATTGGCGTCGTATGTGAGACAGCGTACCGTCTCTCCGATAGGCAGAGTCTGCAATTGGGTCGTCCGTTCTCTTCCTATCATCGCTAGTTTGAGTTCGTTTGGCGTTGCAATCGCAATAGCGCCAGGGTATGCCTCACTATTGAAATCGCACACTCTTGACGCACTCTCGGCGTTGACTGCCGAGTACACTATGCGTCCCTCTGAGCTGTAAATGAGTGATGGTTGCTCGCAAGACGCGAAAACATTCGATAACCCCGATCCAGATCCAGGATCTTTCAGGAGTTGTTTGAAAAAAGCAGGCTCCGTTCCAAGGAGTATCCTCGTCATACCAGAAAGCGAATTCCTGCCAGTGTCGAAGGAATATGTCAATACAGTGCCGTCTGCCATGGCGACGAACAATGTCGGCGACGCCTCGCGAAGGACGTTTGCAACAAGTAACGAACGCGGGATGTCCTTCCCAGGCGTTCCTACACTCTGAGTGTGCAGGACTTCGAGGGAATGGAGGTCAAGTACGGCAACAGTCGCTGTCTGCCAGAAGGACACAATACACACGTTGCACTGAGAGTCAGGCACGGTGACGCTAGCTATTTGTGAATCAAGCGGGAGCGTCCTTGACACTGTCGGTTTCGAGTCGCTGTTTGCCGAATGGAAGACGTGTAACGTATGGCCACCCTCGACCACAAGCAGGTGCACTGAATTTGCACATGCAGCCGTGATCTTTGCCGCCGCATCCCGAGGTTTCCAGTCGAGCGTAAGCATGCCAGACTCGAGATCTGTGATCCGTAGTCCGCCCTCGCAGACCTGTGCGAGTTTGCGGTCAGGTAGATTTGTCGCGAAAAGGGTTGGTTGTGTAAAGTCCAGATGTTGGAATTCGTCCACTTCCTCGACTGCGGCTTCGGCATCGAACTTGAAGATCCTCGTTTCTGTCACGAAAGAAACAAGAAGAGTATCGTGTATATCGCTCTCACCGGTTGAACTCAAGCCCCATAGATCTGTGACATGAGCCAATTCACCAATTGTCCCGAGTTCCTCTAACCCAACGCCACTCCGAACACTGCGTATTGTGCCATCCTGCCATGCGCCAGATGCTGCCACAATCCGTGCTTGGCCAGAAGAGAATTCAAGCGACTGAGAACCTTCTGCGCCACGGCCGAGATCCATGATTGTAAAGTCTAGAATGGGAGCAATATTAGGGAAAGTTTGCACAACTCGTACTCCACCTTCCTCGATATGCACCACCTGTGAGTCACCCGAGTGAGAACCGACAAAGACGTATCCTTCATCCAGATAGACGAGACACGCAGCCTTTGAAGCCTCGCCAACAGGATCCAGCCGCCAAGAGGAGACTTCAAAATCGCTCACTTCGATCATCAGGAAGAACAGCCGGCCAAAGTCGTCTGCTAGCAGGAATCTCTGCTCATCGATCTTCGTCCAACACGTCCATATCGTCGCGTTATCGTCCAACGGCTGTGTGATGACATTGTTCATGTCGCGATCAACATAACGGATTGCATGATCTCCGAGGATGAGAAACCCTGCATAAGGGGCGGCGACGGGTATTAGATGGCTGACTCCTTTGTCCAGCTGGTCGCCATTCAGTTCAGCAACGGTTTCCAGATCAGCAGTCGCTTGTTCGCCGCCGGGATAGTATTTGAGTTCTCGAATCTTCAATTGTGGGTTCTCCTGGTTGTCCTCCCACAGTATCGCCAATTTCGGGTTTTCCTTACTGTCAGGGTCGGTTTCCAAAAAGGCAGACGATCTAGTCAACAGCTCTTCGATCCTGACTTGAACTGGCTCCCCCAGTCTTCCAACTGTATTCGAAGCACTCTCCCTCTTCACTCGTTTGGTGGAGGGCTGCACAAAGGGCAGCACGGTGACCACGCCATCGTACAGTTCCAGGGTCATGAATCGTCCTGTTGGGTCAATGTGGCACCTGTCCAGTTCTCTTGAGTCCCGGAGAACTTTATCTGCCAGGTCAACATAGCTCTGCTCGGTGTGTAGCTGCTTCGTTGTGGAATCCCATGAACACGTGAAATACTGATAGCGATCGGTGCCGACGAAGAGGTGGTCTGTTCTAGAGGAGCACGGCCTGAATTTCTCGAGAATTGTGATGTATCCGTAGACGGTCTTTGCATGCAGCAGGGTGAGGCCTTCGGCTCCCTGCTCGTAGATCTCTAGGCGGTTGGCCTTCCTAGATCACTAGTCAGTTCATGAACCTGCGATGAGCCCGGCCGTTATACTGACGCGATGACCAGAGTGTCCACGTTCGGCTCGAGGAAATTGAGCTTGATCGCATGCCTCACACCGCTCGGCCGGTGGATTGGAACAACGTAGGACATGTCGACGCCTTCAACAACGCGATCTCGTTCAAGCAGCAGACAGTCCTCCGCATTATCTGCTCATGACGTTCTAGCGAGCGGCGTCACGTATGCCTGCGGTCTTGAGAACACCAACACCCTAGCATCCCAAGGCAATCATTAAATGGATCGAGGCAGAATTCGAGTCGTTGTGGCTCTCCAAGTGAGCAAGCAGGTCGCAGCACGATGAGCGTATTTGGTCATCACTATGTGAATGTGGGGAATTGAAATGCGGTTTCGTTGCCATTATCTCCGATACGGACTGACTGACTGTACGCACAAATTTCGAGATATCTCGAAGTCAGACGCGATTTGCTTTCTCGCAGTTTATCCATATCATTGATGCACGACTACGGAGAAGTGCTGACTGTGTCCTCGGGACGTCTATTCCTTCCCACCAAGCCATCGATACACGACTGAGAAATCCTTTCCCTTGTGTGCTTTCTCTGTCTCGTCGTAGACCTCCTTCGCCGTCTGCGCGAGCACCAGTTTCGCGCCGGCTTCTGACGCTGCTGAGATGGCAAGGCGCAAGTCCTTGTTCATGAGGCTGACTCCAAAGCCTCCTGCGTAATCCTTACTTGCGGGAGCTGTCTCAATCACACCCGGGACTGGGTTGTTGATTTCGCTAGGCCAGCTTCTCCCTGTCGCCGAGTTCAGGAGATCAGCCAGTGCCTTGCCTTCAATCCCCCACTTCAATCCCAGGTTCATTGCCTCGGCACAGGCAATGTTGTTGATAGCCAATGCGTAGTTGTTGGCTAGCTTGCCGCTGAGGCCGGTGCCTTGAGGTCCCATGTGCCAGACCTTCCGTCCCATGAGAAGTAACACTTCGGTCACCTTGGGCATGTCCTCCTTTTCGGCTCCCACCATGAAGGTCAAAGTGCCAGCACTGGCTCCTACCACACCGCCTGACATGGGGGCGTCCACGAATTTGGCCCCTGCCTTGTCTTGTACCAGTTTTGCAACAGCTCGCGAGGTCGTGGGGTCGATGGTTGAGCAGTCCACGAAGAGTCTGGAGCTCTGAGTAGGCGCAGCGGGCAGGGCTGATGCTAACACTTCCTCAAAAACCCCTTTCACGTGTCGAGGTTCTGGCAGAGCGGAAACAATGGTATCCTAACAATGACAAAAGTCAGAAGAATTCCAAGGAAGCTTCTGACATGACAAAAAGAGATCTTCAAGGACCATTTTTCAGAGGATTGGCTTTAGTTTTGGGAATCATGGAAAGGACGACCAAGAGGAAGTCCCCAACTTAGATCATAGATAGAACAATAGGCTCATCATGTAAAGTTGCAGAAAAAGAAACGGATTGTCCACATACGGCATTCTCGACCACTTCTCGGGGACTCTTTGCAATTGTGACCCCAGCGGGCACCGCCTCTTGCGTAAATCTGTCCAACGATGCTTGGTTGACATCGAACACCGTCAGAGTGTCACCTTGTGGCATTTTCGCTCGGAGGTTCTTTGCCATGGGATATCCTAGGGGAAAAAATTAGTATCATCGTCGTCGAGGGAGGATTCTCGCGTACCCATGGCACCCAGTCCGATAAACCCCCAAGACGCATCTCTGCTTGCAGAGCACGAGAAGTGCCTCGTGGCTGATGAAAGTCGTGAGGTAGTCCGCTTGAAAGCGGTCGACACCAGAATCGCACTCATCTCTGCTGTGCACGCCTCCAGCGGTACATTTTCATGAACGCAGCGAGCGCAGCATGTAGAAGATAGTCGAGACTCGGACACGGTGCGGAGTGTTGCCCGAGGTACGGATCGAGCGTACACACGCTACACCGGTGGCCGGCCTGCACAAAGCTCGGGGAAAAGCTGGAGCTGTGGGAGTGAGAATTGTGAGATCCGAGAGGAGAACGCAGCAAGAGTCAAGGCCACAGGGGAGGCCGAAGGGACCGAAGGGACCGAAGCTAGCCTCCACCAGCCGAGGCTCAACCTTGGCATGGCCTTTGTACGGAGCTGCCTCAGATCCCCCTAAGCTACAGTGGTGAACGCGGTACTTCAGAGGCCGGGGTGAAGTCCACTGTCCAGGCACGTACATACATCGAGACTCGCAATCACAGAAGAATTATAGAATGGCTGATGCAATGGTGCTTCAAGGTGCAAGCTGAGAGCAGCATCCCTCCTCTTTCTGGTCTCACACTATTAGCAACATCTGAGGACAGCGCCCTCCCTATGGAAGCATAGCAAAAGTTCAAAGTAGCTCTGAAAGGAAAAACAAAAGAGCCCTTGTCGCAAAAGAGGTGCACAAGAAATGAAATACACGCTAAAGCAATTCCACCTATTGTCGGCGACGCGACTTGCCCTTCCCTTTCCCACTGCCCTCGGAGCCTGGACTGGATGAGGGTGTCAATGCTGGGAAGTCATCTTCCATGGCCTTCCTGCTTCGTTCCTCTGCGAGGCTGAGCTGCAACGCAAATTCCAGATCCTCATCCTCATTACTGGCTGCAGCACCCACTTTGCTACTGCCTGCTTGAGTGTTGCGGGATGGCGTGCCGTGCTTGGACCCTTTGGCGTATCGAATAGGGATGTCAAACTCTGCTGTGGGAGGAGACCAAGGATCAGGTGTGCTGTCGAGTAGACTCAGACGGATGGCCTCGTCAAGATCATCGTCAACCACACCGCTGTTGTGCGCTGTTGTCGAGTTCGGCGAAGCATAGGAGCTTGAACGTTCACTGGCCTTTCTCTTCATTTGGTCGTTTGAGAAGGCTTCCTCGCTGAGCAAAGTGGCATACGCGAGTATTTCCTCTTCACTTGCACCTTCCCCGAGTAGATTTGTGCCGAAACGGCCACTCAAACGTTCGTCTTCCTTGAGCCTTGCCACTTTCTCCCTCTCCATTTCGAGCCTTTCATTGCTGATATAGTCTTTGAGGAGGCCCCGACCAGTTGCACTGACCTTTTGGCTGGCTGGCGTAGAATTGCTACCCCTTTCAGAGCGGCGTCGAAGCTGACCACGTTTGCGACTTTTGTATGCATCGGCTGCAGTAGAGCTGTATGACCAGTAGCGCAGATATGCCCCCAAGGAGACCATTCCGCGTAGAACGGTGGGATCTGGGTCTAGTACAATCGCGCCGGCAGCATAATAATTGTTGCCAACTCCTTGAATAGACGCTTCTGCCTGAGCGATGCGTCGCCTTGCCCGATCGGAGAAACGAGAATTCAAAGTTCTGATCGCCTCGTTGCTAGATGCAAGTGGGTCCCAAGCCTGTACCAAACCATCATTTCCTCCATGCACCACATACAGAGACGTCATCGCCAGTGATGCAATCTGTGGACTCTTCGTGTAGATGACCCTAATTGGCGGGATAGTGTTGGCGACCTCGGGGTTAGAAGCGATGGTGGCACGCATATTCCATAGCATCACGATGCCAGACATCGTGCCGATCCCAAAAAGTCGGGCACGATGACCAGGAATCTCCGCAGCTGAGCCGGCCGTCTGCATATGGGCCATTGGAGAAGCGATAGGCGATGAAGTATTCGAGCCTCCTGACATCCCTAGGAGAGGGTCTTCATTGACAGTGAGCGTTGCAAAGTCCGAATCATCAGACGCAACTGCGCAAATGCTGATGTTTCGATGGTCGGCAAGAGACATGTGTGAAATATGCCAATCTTCCCGGAACCTCGCATCCGCAAGGTCATCTTGACTGGATGTGCGTGATCTCGGCATGCTTGACGAAGCAGGAGAAGCACGAGATTGTAGCTGGGAAGTAAGCCCGCTGCCAAAGATGGAAGAACGAGCTGTCGTTGATGGAATGGTTGGCCACTTTTCGGCGTCGAAATCGACGGCCACTTTCGTCTTACATCGAGTATATCGGCGAATTGCCGCTGAGCGTCCGGCATCCATTCCACGCTCAACCACAATGATTGATTCACCGCCTCCATGGTGGTCATCGCCACCAAAGTCGACGACGATCGTACGTCGCATGTCCCAACCTTCACAGATGCTTTGATAGTGTTTGGGCTTGTGAAGTAGAAAGCGCTCGACTTCCTTCGTCTCGGCAATGATCTGTTCTTGACTCAACCCGCATCGATCGCTTGAGGTCCGAGGCGTGTAGCTGCCGTCCACTTGAGCAGTGCCGAAAGGGTCGGCTTTCGCCTTTCGTCTCGTGGATTCTACCAGTGCCCATTCCACGCTCCTTCCGGTCTGCCAGGCCAGACGATCGATATCGGAAGGCGACAGCCTACCAGAAGATTCTGGTCTCACCAGAGAATCCGAAAGATAGAACACCTCGCCAAGCGCATTGAGAACAACGGCCCAGATTCGGTGAGAATTGACCCTCCGAGGCGAAACTTTCTCGTCAATGCAGATTTGAACGATGGGAACCCCCGGGCAAAGCACCCACTTCGCGGTAGGCTCACCCTTGTCCATGCGACGATCGTGCACAGGGTTGACGCCAAGGGCATAGGCAGCAAGTACGCCATTTGAGAATCCCGCGAGGAATCCGAACATCCCGTTAGTGACCCCAAGGAGCGACTCGGATTTGGCAATATAGACTGAGCAGACAGCGCACCCGATCATGCTCACTTCAGGAATTCCGTAAGCGTGGTTCGCAGATGAAGCGATGGGCACAAAACGACCACGTTGTTCGCTCGTCGAGGTGTAGTAAAGCCGTCCACCAGGGCAAGCTTCTCCGTACAATTTGCCATATGGCTGGCTAATGTCCATGACATTCCCCATGCCAACCACATTTCCAGAACCTAAACCGTACGGCAGCTCGCCAGGGAATTGATCAGCAAAATGCTTAAAGCCTTCAAAGTCCGTCAAGCCCCATGCGCCTGGTTTTCCGGTGCTTGGCTCACTTGTAGACACTCCACCCTGTTCGACAGCACCGTGCATGAAGAGGGGCTGTTTCTTGTTCAACCCTGTGCCAAAAGTAGCATGGATATGGCTGACTGGATAGTATAGACCGGACGGGTACGTGGTGACAGCTGCAGCGGAAGCACTACCTGCATGACGAGACGCGCTAGACCGAGAAATCGCCTCAAGGGCAGGCCTTCCTCTTCCCAAGGAACGAAGTAAGCGCGTGCGCAGAATGTACTCACTTCTCCAGGACGCGAGTGCTGACAGTCGCGTAAAAGATCTTCGCTGGGCTCTGTCTGTGTCCGAGGTAGAGTCTCGAGCGGCTTTGACGAGACTAGCATCAAGTGCATCGGCTCCTGGAAAGAATCGGGCAAACGCAATACGCCAAGCGGGAGGAGTGGTGACAAGTCTATGGAATCGTTGTGAAACCAGGCTCATTGAGGAGAGTGTCTCGGGCGGCAGATGCGAGAGAATGTGGGTTAAAACCTCTACGCGTTGTTAGATAGAGCAGAAGAATGGAAGTATCGTGCCACACCATTTGGAAAACTTTCAATGGACACGCTCTGAGTCTTATCCTTCGGGGATGGAATGACCTGGAAAATCAAGCCCCGGGTGGGTTTGCGATGCGATGCTTGTGCTTTCTCATATTCGTCGATGCGACTGCCAGGGGAACTACTATCAGAAGAATCGTTCCGACTGCTTATCCGCCCGGCGTCAAATGGCCGACCTCGCTGAGTATCGCCAGAGCTGAGAGAGACGCTATCGATGTCGTCCGAGATGCTCGACGACACTCCGGGGCTGCTTCCGTGAAGCATGCCGCCAGAGGCCGGCTGATCATTGACTGCTTGTCCATATTGTGTAGAGGGCGACGAAGATCGAGGCTGGTCTACTAAAGTCGCGTTTTGGGAGACTTCGGGACAGGCAGGTGGCATAAAAGGTTGAGTAAGTAGGTGGAAAAGGACTTTGAGACTGAGCCAATCGATGGGTCAGTCTGGGAAGGCAAGTGTGGTGGTAGATCGAGAGCGATCGCGCGTGTCTGATGGTCGTCGTAGCAGAGGAAAGGAAGGGAAGATGACGGGTCTCTATTTGCAGGAAAAGAATGAGATGAGGCCATAGCGAGATTCGATATGCGTAGGTGCAAGCCAGTCTGCACTAGTCCCAAAGAAGAACAGCCTTGTTGGAGCCTGCTTAGTCATCTCATCACTTCGCGTCTACACGAGTTTCTACCAGGTAAGGAAAAGGGACCCAAGAAGCATACACAACTAATACTTCCATGAGAGCGTCGTGGCGGACTTGCAATACGCAGACACCATAATCTGATCCAGATCTATTCGGCATTCACCTTCTGCACTTTCTTGGGTCAATTCTTGCACTCTCAGTGCTGTCCACTCATTTGCTTCCACTGTGTTAATGGCGTTTTGCCGTCATCGTCAGGCAGGCAGCAAACACGCTAAACCCAAGTTCGGCGCTCAATGAACCAGGTGTAGGTGCTTTGTGTTTCGCCTCGCTCTGATAGTTGTTGAGATTCTCCTTCTTCTATCCTTCAAAGCGTGGAGGAGAGATGGCGGACACAATCAGGATCCTGGTGGCAACGGACAACCATGTGGGCGCCCATGAGCGAGATCCCATAAGGGGTGACGACTCTTGGAAGACGTTCCATGAAATCATGTGTCTGGCCAAAGAACGCGATGTCGATATGGTTCTACTGGCAGGAGACTTGTTTCACGAGAACAAGCCATCTCGAAAGTCCATGTACAATGTCATGCGCTCCCTACGGCTCAACTGTTTAGGCGACAAACCGTGTGAGCTGGAAATGCTCAGCGACGAATCCGAACACTTCGACGAAACCTTCGACCATGTCAACTACGAAGACCAAAACATCAACGTTGCCATTCCCGTATTCTCGATTCACGGCAACCATGATGATCCAACTGGGGACGGCCACTATGCAGCGTTAGACCTGCTTGCTGTTTCGGGCTTGATCAATTACTACGGCAAGACACCGCAAAGCGATAATATCGTGGTCAAGCCAGTACTCATCCAGAAAGGACGCACCAAGCTTGCCCTCTACGGCTTGTCCAATGTTCGAGATGAACGATTATACCGCACATTTCGGGATCACAAAGTCCAGTTCCACCGTCCAAGCACACAGATGGGGGACTGGTACAACTTGATCTGTGTGCATCAAAACCATCACGCCCACACTGAGACCTCATATCTTCCTGAGAACTTCTTACCAGACTTCCTCGACTTGGTCATTTGGGGCCACGAACATGAATGCCTGATTGACCCACGTGAAAATCACGAGATGAATTTTCAAGTCATGCAACCAGGTTCATCTATCGCCACCTCTCTGATACCGGGCGAAGCTGTTCCAAAGCACGTCGCCATCCTGTCCATAACCGGCCGGGAGATGAAAAGCGAGCCCATTCGTCTCACCACAGTACGACCGTTTGTGTACAAGGACTTGACTTTGAAGACTGACAAAGAAGCCGTCAAAATAGCCAAGAGCAAAGAAGACCACCGTATCCAGCTTACGCAGTACCTCATCAAGGTTGTCGATGGTCTGATTGCACAAGCCAAACAAGAATGGCAAGACGCTCAAAGTGAGCGCGAGGTCTATCCTGACGAAGAAGAGGAATGCCCATTGCCATTGATCCGTCTTCGTCTTGAAACGAGCTCCGCGGATGGTATAGGGAAATTCCAGATCGAAAATGCGGCGCGCTTCTCGCACAGATTCATCGACAAGGTCGCCAACACTCAAGACGTGGTTTCGTTCCATGTGAAGAAGAAAAATGCAGCAGCACGCGCAGCGCGCGACGAAGCAGCCGAGAAGGAAATTCTTGAAAAGTTCCAGGGCATTGACAGCGTCAAGGTCGAACAGCTCGTCCACGAATTCCTGGATGCTCAATCACTCACGATTCTGCCACAGAACCAGTTCGGAGACGTGGTCAGCCAGTACATCGCCAAGGATGACAAGCACGCCATGGAACTTTTCGTGAACGACAGTCTTGCAACACAAATCAGGAGCCTTGTCAAAATACAGACGGAGGCTAACGAGAATGCTGACGAGGACGACCTCGCCGAGCAAATCAAGGAACAACGTGCGAGGATGGAGCAGCTGTTCACGGAAGGTCTCCTCAAATCCTCGACTGTTAAAGCGAAATACAAGCCTGCACCGGAAGATTGGGATGCCGACATATACGGGCCGTGGGAGGATCAGCCTGCTGCTCGGATTCTTGATGACGACGAATCCCACGACCAAAGCAGCAACGATGGAGAGGAGGGAGAGGGCACGCCGGCGCCACGAGCAACGGCAACAAGAGGACGTGGCCGCGGACGTGGGGGCCGAGGTGCGTCAACGGTCACAAGAGGGAAACGTGCGCCAGCTAAAAAGCCCACCACGACGACAAGGGGCAAGAAGAGGGCAGTTTTGGAGGATGACGATGACGATGAAGAGGGGGAAGATGTCGTTATGCTCGAGGACGATGACGATGAGGTAGAAGAAGCAGGCGACGATGACGAGGACTCGCAGGCACTCTTCATCCCTGAGAAGCGGAGAAACGGGACCGCCTCCTCCAGCAGTGCGAGGACCCGTACCACGGTGGGCGCGGGCGCGGGCGCGAGCGCGAGTACAAGGGGGAGAAAAGCTGCGTCGCCTGTGAAGAAGACACCCGCACGCACCGCTCTGTCGAGAACCGCAAAGCAGAGCACTTTGAATTTCACAGCATCCCAGAACAGCATCCTGGGCAATGGGAGAAGCTCTGGCACCCGAGGACAGAGTGTCGACATAGAGGATGACGATGACGACGATGATGCGTTCGAGGCAATGCCTGCCTCGAAGGCTCCGTCCAGGAGGAAGCGGTAAACATCAACACGATACCCCCTAGAATTGCGTCTGGAACAGCACATGCGACCGAGCAATGTACGATACAGTCGTAAGAAGCTACCGACTTCTCATTGCATTGTAATATCAATGCTTTTAAGGGGATGATAACATAATTAAACCCATCACTTAGCCAGCTCTTCGGTATTAAAATAATCAACTCAACGAAAATGATATGCAGGCACGCTTCGTTCATTCGTTCACTATGTGACCTTGATCACTGGCGAACCATGTATCCGTCTGATTTGGTCTGCAGTTTCCTCTAGTTTCAAGTGATCTTCCTGTTGGGTTGTTGTCTCCTTCTCACTTCTTCGCCTCACCCTTTGGACCCGTAGGAGCAGGCGCGGGTGCAGCAGTTGTAGCCGCTGGGGAAGCCTGAGCAGTCTCGCCCGTGCTAGAAGAGGCATTAGCACCGGCAGCACTTCCTTTCTTCCCACCGCGTCCAGATCTATTCCCCTGTCTTCCGCCTTGACCACCAGCACGTGCGTTCCCTCTCCCCGAGCTAGCAGAGTTGTTTCCCCTTCCGCCACGATTGCCGCCAGTGCCACCTCGTGGCGCACCTCGTGGTGCTGTAGGAGGCGTCGCTGTGCTTGGTGTGGCTCCCGACGCTGACTGATCCGATACGCTGGCATCAGCGGCCGTCGGATGGTTCTGTGGTTGAGATGCATTTTTACCCGTGCTTGTACTTGTGCTTGCCACAGCCGAGCTCGATTTGGACGAATCACCAGGCTTCGATGGAGTAGTCGCGGAAGGAGTTCCAGCTCGAGTTAGGCCATTCGCATTTGGATTTGTAGTAGGGGCTCCTTTCGTAGCATTTGCATTTGCAGCGCCTTTGTCATTGGCTGATTGACCACGCTTCGCATAAGGACTCTTGTTCTCCAGCACGACCACTTGTCCATTGGCGACCTTGACCGGACTTGCGGCCATTGCCTTTTTCAGCCCATCTGTGTCACTAAAGTCAATGTATCCAAGGCCCTTTTTCTTGTCTATTTCGCACTTTACAATCGATCCAAACTCACTGAACGCCGCCTGAAGAAGCTCCTCGGTGATGCCCTGTGAGGGATTGGCATGCTTCAAGAATGCAGACTTCGCGTTTGCCGAAGGTTGAGCGGCTTGCTTTGCGGGTCTTGGTGTTGACGTGGAGGATGCTTTGGGGGCAGCAGCACTCGGTGTACGTGATGCTCGTGGCCCAGTGGGCGCTGCTGGAGTCGGAGTTGAGGTTCTTTGTGCGGTCTGTTTTTGTTCAGCAGGTGGCGCCGGCTTTTGAACCGATGTCGAGGCGCTTCGTTTGGCTGGAGATGTCACAGACTCGGCTTCTGTGTTTGGGGGAGAGGTCGCAGCCTTTGGGGCCCGTTGACTCTTGTTGTCTTTCGGAAGCAGGCCTAGGTCACGTTGGAGCATGCGTGCCGCGGCGCTTGCGTGTGATCTTTCCCGCTCGCGCTTCGCTGGACTCGCTTGCGCCGGGGCCGGGGGGGCTGGAGGTGTCTCTTTGGTAGACTGTTTACCGTCGCTTTTCGGGGACCCCTGGTTCTGTTGCTGCTTGCTTTGTATGGAAGCCATGGATTTGTTAATTGCTTTGACTGCGTCTTCCGTAGCCTTCTGAACCCGCTGTTTCTCCTCGGCAGGTGCAGCCTTGCCCTTAATAATGACAGTTGACCGAGGAGTCTCAGGCTTGGATGGCTTGACATCTTGTTTTTCGCGCGCCTTTGCAGCAGCTTTGGCTTGGTTGGCTTCCTTTTCTTTTGCCTTGTTTGCCTTTTTCTCCTTGATATACTGGACAAGAGGAGTGGTTGATACTTTGTCTTGTTTGGAATCACTAGGTTCGGTCCCATTTGCGCCTGATTTGGTGATAGGCTCGGTCAAGCTCTGCAGGAAGTCTATAAATTCCTGGTCCTGGTCGATTGTGCCTTGCCTTGCATCGTTTCTGTTGCGGCCGCTGGGAACTTTGTTGAAAGGTGCGAATTCCAGGGATGGCGGTCCAAGCAAACAGGGGTCTTTCGTAGTATTTCTGGCATCTTGAAAAGTTAAACCTTTGATTTGCGTAGATAACAGTTCGAGCAATGACTGTTCTTTGACTTTGATGTATGCTCTCGCAGGTCGTGAGGGCTTAGCTGGGCTGGGACTCAAGTCAGCATAAAGAAAGGCAAGCCAGAGAATCATCATACTCCTTTGAGACTTTGCCGTCTTTGAAAGCTGCCCAATCTACCTTTCCTGAACCTGCTTTCCATTCGTCCCCAATGACGCTCCAGAATTCAGTTTCAGTAAGTCCAGGTGGGAGTCGCCTGATGACTAGTCTGAGTTTCGGAGCTGGAGTTCTTGATGACGCCTTCGCATTGGACTGACCCGCTGCGTTCTTCCTAGTTGCAGCGTTCACAGGAAGAACACCGCCGGACCGTGCTTTTGACTGGCCTGACATTGCGGCTTTGTGGGAGTTGCTGTGGTTATTATGATGGCGAAGTGAGTGTTGAAATGTTCAGTTTTCTTCTCACTGGCACCTCAGCCGTGATTCATGTAATTGTCACTGTGATCGGCGACATCGTCAATAGGCAACAGTGAGCAGTAGACAACGAGAGTGAATCGTGTGTAGTGAATGTTGTAGTGAAGAGTTGAGTTGAGTAGAACGCCAACATCTCCCACTCGTGTCGGCTTCGGATTTTCTTTCTTCCGACAACCCACCGACCCTGATCACGTTTCTGCTCCTCAACGACGTGCGCCGCAATGGCATCGACTGAGCCAACAAGAGCCTCCTCCACCACCACCACAGACTCCTCCTCCGCCGTTCCCTCTCCCGCCTTGAACCAGGTGGCTACTGCAGAGGCATTCCCGGGCTTCAACGAAGACCGCTCTGAGGCTCCGGCCTCTCAACCGCTCTCGCTTCCCCCTTCTCCTCCCCGGCGCCGGTCGCGCCAAGTGACCAATCTCGACCGCGCTGTGTTTCTCGGCCTCCCAAAGGCGAGAGTCTTCAGCTACGTCGACTACGTCAAGTGCCTCCGAACCCCTCCCTTCCTCCCTCCCCTCTCCCAGTCCCATAGACAGGACTCAGAGGCGTCAATCTTGACCTCCTTCAATCTCGACACCACAATCTCCTCTCCTGACCTCGAGACTGCGCCATGGGCTCAGTCAATGTCCCGGTCCCAGGACCAGCGCGTCTGAAGCGCTCTGCTGGACCAGATGAGTGGCTCGAAGCAGCAAAAAACTGCAAATATCTCTCAGAATACCACATGAAACAACTCTGTGAGATCGTCAAAGAGTACATGATGGAAGAGTCAAATATTCAACCTGTTTCTACCCCAGTCACCATCTGTGGTGATATTCATGGGCAATTCTACGATCTCTTAGAGCTCTTCAGAGTAGCAGGAGGCATGCCAAATGAATCAGCACCCCAAACCCCCGTCACACCTGCAAACATCATCACATCCGCCGACATCGAGCCACCCACTACCATTACAAATCCGAAACTCAAGAAGAGACTGAAACTTGGCGGTGCAGAACACCCAGACACGCAAAGTGAAAAGAGCAGCGAGATCAGTGATGCTGAAGAGATACCCTCATCACAACAGTCGGAAGTGGAAGACGAACGATCAGAGTCAGGAAATGTCATTTCACAGCGACAAAACGCAAATTTCATATTCCTCGGAGATTACGTCGATCGTGGATATTTTTCTCTTGAAACCCTCACCTTGCTCTTATGTCTGAAGGCTAAATACCCCGAAAAGATCACATTAGTCCGTGGAAATCACGAGAGTCGTCAAATCACTCAGGTGTATGGCTTCTATGAAGAATGCGTGCAGAAATATGGAAACACTTCAGTATGGAAGGCATGTTGTCAGGTATTCGACTTCATGACACTCGGGGCCATAGTTGACGGCAAAGTCCTATGTGTTCATGGAGGCTTGTCGCCAGAAATTCGCACCCTCGACCAAGTCAGAGTCGTTGCTCGAGCCCAAGAGATTCCTCATGAGGGTGCCTTCTGCGACTTGGTGTGGTCAGATCCAGAAGATGTGGAAACCTGGGCAGTATCTCCACGTGGCGCTGGTTGGCTCTTTGGAGACCGGGTTAGCCAGGAATTCTGCCACGTCAATGGACTCAACCTTATCGCCAGAGCACATCAATTGGTCAATGAAGGATACAAGTATCACTTCAAGAGTCAAGATGTGGTCACAGTCTGGAGTGCACCAAATTACTGCTACAGGTGTGGTAACCTTGCTTCAGTCTGCGAGATTGGTGAAGACATGAAGCCCACCTTCAAGTTGTTTAGTGCGGTGAAAGATGAGCTACGACACGTTCCGCCTTCGAGAGGTGGCCGCAACGAATACTTCTTGTAAAATGGAGCAAGGAATCTCCGAAGATTGCTAGAAGAATGATACTGCTTGGGATCAATGAGCTTAGAACTTTGCGCCACATCAGAACCGCACACTTTTCGGTATAGCGATGGCGTGTATGGGAAGAACATCGCAGGTGGCACAGTGTACATTATTGGAACGGCTAGGGATAGAGCTAGCGATGACATGAAGCACGAAATGCTAATGAGATGATAATCCTGGAACCGTTGTTTCTCTAAGCTTTTTTCTCTCCGGAGTTGGTGCCTCCTCCCCGTCGCCTGGAGTCCTGTTTTTACGCTTGCTGTTGGTGAGTGCGGAGAGCAATCAAGGACCACTGCGTGCTCCGTATATCAATGTAGATATTACCCCAATTTCCAGTCGAGCAGCATTTGGGGGCATCCTACTTTCATGGTTTCTGAGGGCCATGAAAAGAACACCAGTGCTGCTCTTCTCTTGCAGCAGAAGTGCTCGCCTCAATCTGGTCGACATCCGCAATGGCACTTTTTATAAAGAGCATCCTGCTCATACACCCCCCTCCGTAAACCCACCTCTTTTCCCCAACTTGTCAATCAATGTCCCAGCCGTCGTTCCCCAGGACAAAGGGAAGACTCCAGTGAAGAATGAAACCCACTGGGCGGTCATTGGAACTTCCGCATGCACGACTTTCCTGGAGATCTTGAGAGGCTCACACCTGTGCTTTCCCCCCGAAGCAAGAACCTATCCCTACCTGGCCTCGGGCTACATCGACGACACCAAAGACCACCAGCTTCGTATTCCTTCGCGGGCTATACAATATGTCGGGTTCAATGATGGACAGGGACAGGCGCAAAAGGGGGGGATAACAGGGGCCTATCTAAGTGCGCGTTATGAAAGTCGGCGAGAAGAGACGGATTGGTCGTTGTTGCAATATCTAAAAGGCGAGACCGAGTTAAATCCCAGTCAACCAGCGAAAGAGAAGCGCGTCGATGAGAAAACGCTTAAGAAGGCAATAAAGGATTTGCGGTTGCAGAATCTGCTCGACATGCCAGTGAGCAATCTGAGCAATGGCCAAACGAGACGAGCGAAAATCGCAAAAGCGTTGCTCAAGAAACCCAAGCTGTTGCTCCTCGATGAACCGTTCATGGGACTTGATCCTCCAACCTTGGTCGGTCTTTCCAAGATGCTCTTGGAGCTGAGTCGGCGAGCGGATCCAATCATTCTCCTGGGGTTGCGGCCCCAAGATCCCATCCCAGCATGGGTCTCTCGGCTTGCGGTATTGGGACAGGACCATACTGTCTCCCTGATAGGGTTGAAAAAGAACGTCTTACACAGTCTACGGCGCTGGCAAGATCTGGTTTCGACCCTGTCCTCTGGAAGATCCTCCGAGGAGGCGAGCAACGATGAGGATGCAAGGAGAATTGTCAAGGAGTTTGGTCATCCGCCATCTGGCATAGGCATGAAACTCACTGCAGAGGGCATTACGCCATTTAAGGAGTTCTCGTCGGAAATCTCACCCACGGCCGAACTGTCGTGGCGCAAAGCTATGAGCAGACGACCAGGAAAAGGGGAACAGGACGATCGGCTCGTCGATCTACTCCTACGAATGTCGGAAAAGAGTATTCCACAGGCTACGACGACTGTCTCGCCTCCAGCTTCTGTCGACCCTTCTCACACTTCTTCGTCTCATTCTCCTTCCTCTGCATCGAGGGAGCTTGGTTCTCCCCTCATCGACCTCCAAGCTGTGACTGTCAAGTACGGATCCAAGGTCGTTTTGGGTCATGGGGGTGGCCTCACATACACCATCAAACAAGGAACACGTCTTGCGCTGCTTGGTCCCAACGGATCAGGAAAGACGACTCTACTCTCCTTGCTGACCTCAGACCATCCCCAATCATACAGTCTCCCCATCCAATTCTTTGGACGTTCACGCCTCCCATCTCCCGGTGTGCCTGGACTCTCGCTATGGGAGATTCAAGCACGGATTGGGCATTCAGCCCCTGAAGTGCACGCCTTCTTCCCGAAATATTTGTCCGTCAGACGGGTTCTTGAATCCGCCTGGGCGGACACATACGCAGGCAAGCCGACACTTACCCCGGAAAGAGAAAGCAAAGTCAATGCTTTCCTCACATTCTGGCAGCCGGAACTACGTCAGGACCGGCCCGCGGCCGACGCCGACAACAGCTTAAACTGGGCAAACGATAAACATACTCACGCATTCGGCACGCTCCCATTCAGCGCACAACGACTCCTCCTGTTGCTCCGTGCAATCATCAAGGAACCCGACATTGTGGTTCTGGATGAGGCGTTTTCTGGTCTGTCCGCCGAAACGAGAGACAAGACCATGGAGTTTCTCGAGCATGGCTTGAAGACTCCGGAGTTCAAGGGCCTGAAACCCACTCAAGCTCTCGTTGTAGTCTCACATGTCAAGGAAGAGATACCTCCGGTAGTGGATGAGTGGCTCCGTCTTCCTGGGGAGGATGAGGTCGTGGAATCTGGACGTGGCGTGGAGGGAGGTCGCACGGAGAGAGGATATATCAGGACAAACGAAGGCTGGATGAAGGTTTGGGGCCTCGGCAGATAACTCGCACCACGGACTTCTTGACGGTGCTTGCGAAATATCCTTCGGGTAATTAATGAAGAAAACAAGAATTGTGCCTCAGCATCATTTACCTTATTCCAGTCGCACCCGAAACCGCCCTCAACCTTCTGCCCTACAGAACATGCTAAGGCATGAGTGGGTTGCACTTCGCCCGATAGGCAATAGTGTATGGCCAAGTACTCTTCAATCATCAGCAAGATAATCTGGTTATGGCATTTCAAATACGGTATCATTTATTGTAAAGACCCCTTGGGTAAATCTTTGCCATCATGAAAAACAGCTTTTGGTATTATTTGACTGTCGTTCATCAACCCAAGATGATCAACTCCCTCCTCTTCGGCAGGGGGTCCCACTGCTTGCTGTTGATCATGTGCACCCCTTCCCGTCGCGCAACCCGCCCATGCCACGACACCCGCATCACGCACACTCTGTCTCGAGCGTATTCGCGGGATTCGCTTCCACCGCTGTAGTTGTACGTCGTGCGGAAGAGGTTGGCGACGGCGAATAGCGAATGATCCTTGCGCTCATTTTCAGGTTTTTGGATCGTCGCCAGGTCCGCTGCGCCGGAGGATTCTGCGGTGCCGAAGGTGGAGTTTTCGCCTGCCAGCTCCTTGAACTTCAACAACGGGTGTCGCGGGTTGTCTGCGTCCAGGATCTCGTATGATTCCATCCAAGTGTGTCTCCCAGCTTGTCGAGAAGAAACGAGGCGGACCTCAACACGATCTGCCACGTCTGCATAGAAGAGGAGATGGTTCAAATTGATTTCGACGTCCTTGATGTCTGAAATCGAAAGCGTGAGCCGAGGGTCGTCTCGCAGTTTCCTCCATTCGCGGTCTGCACCGTTTGTCAGGTAAGAGCGCACGTCGGAATCCTCGTGACATCCACTGCCGGAGAGGTCGGAGAAGCGCTTTTGGGTGACTGTGTGCAGCTGAACAGTAATAAGATGCGCCGGGTCGTCGGTCTGCTGGGCTACACGTCTGTAACAGACTATTGCCGGAAACGTTGTGGAAGCAACTTCCGTGAATGATATCGGACCCTTCCAAGCCATCCATGACCAGCTCGGCACGGGACAATCATTTCGACGGCAGAGGAGCTGCTTTCTGGGGTCGTGTCTGCTCCAGCATAAGTATTCTTCGAACCTTTTGACGGGGATTCCTTTGTGGAAGTCTTTAGCCAAACCTGTCATGATTCCCTGAAAAGCGTTCTCAATGTCGCTGTTGAAGCTAAGGGTTCGTGTTGCGTAGGCCTTTGCCAGAGCCGCGAAGTTCTGCTCAAACATGAATGGATTTTCAATGTGGAAGATGTTGGCCGCGTGCTGTGGTTTTGAGTGATGAGCCTTGCGCGTCTGCCCTTCTGGCTGGGTCCGAGCCCATTCAAGTCGCAAATGTAGCGGCTCTTCAGACGTTCGCTCCAGTGCAAGGTCCTCGAATCGGTCGCAACTTTGACACCGCCAAATGACCTGGTCCTCCAGGAAAAATAGGCATCGTAGCGAGAGCACCTGTTCTTGAAGAGTCCAACCTCGCGTGGACCAAGGGCAGCTTAACGCAATTCCGCTTCGAGTGACGAGCGGTTGTCGTGTGGCAGTATAGAGCCAGAGGTCAGGCTGAATTTGGGCCGACCTTTGAATTGTGCGCTCGTAACTGATACCTGGAAGTCCCTGGTCTGCCGTTCCCTCCCCTGCAGCAATGATAGTCAAGTCGGCCCGCGTGTATATCTGATACATGTGAGAAATGTCGGCAGCTTTTTGGGAGGCGTCGTCTTGCGTCACGCAGAGCACATCGCACCACAAAAATCGATACCCGAGCTCTCTGGTGACTTTCATGGCATCCTCAACCGTCCTCGATGCATTTCTGATACCTCCGTCCTGATGCAAAGCCTTTGAATTCTCTCGATGGAGCCCTAGCGGCTGTTTATTTGTGCCCCAGACATAGGAGAGAGCCACATAGCGGTAGCAGTACAGTTCACTGGATGGAGCGGACACAAGGCAACGTCGTTGGACATCAATGAACCTGATTTGGTAAGGCTCTCCTTGTTTCATGCTGATAGTGACAGAGCTCAGCAACCTTGGTTTGTCGCAGATGCTTTGGTGCTCTTGACAACACTGCGTAAGCCAGGATCGGATCAATGCCATATCGCAGCTCTGAGGCCGATATCTCGCTAGGATAGAACTATCCCGTTTTGGTGATACCACTTCAGCGCCGGCGTGTAATTCAAAATCGAAATCTTGAGCGGCTTCGCTGGACTCAGATCGCCTCGTTTTTGCACTCCCTTGAAATGTCACTCGCATTCGAGATATTTGCACGGCTCTTCGTATAGTATTTGTTCCTCCGACCCCGTTGTATCGCTCATAGCCGTAAGCGGTTCCAACAGCGCTGACGTAGACCTTACAGTGGGTGTGGGCCGGGTCAGCAGGGTGCCACGAGACGACGGCTTTCCACAGCAGGCCACATAGAGAACACCGGTCTGACCTAGCTTCTATCTCTTTTAGGGTTCCAATCCGGAAGCAGGCGTCCTCTGCCTCCTTGAACGCATTCTCCAAGCTTGCGTAAGGCCGGCCATGTGGCGTCAATTGTCGAGGACGGAGGGCATCAAGAGGCAACTTCGTACAGTTGGGGCACAACGGCATGGCACCTCGAGGCTTTGATAGTGTCGCAGCACCCGCATCCGTCTGCATCTTAGGAGGAAAAGGCCAGGCAATGGTCGCGCAGGCCGTTGGTCTTCACCCACCGTCCTTGTCGTGCTTGAAATTGTGGTCTGCTCGTTCCCGGATACGAACTTGAGCTACACCGACGTTGAGACTGAGAGAGTCCGAATAGCCTTCATCTCTTCGCCATGCGGGGAGCAGTTGTGACCTCGTATTCAAGCCTTAGCCCTACAATCTGGCCGTGTAAACGTGTCCACGACGTCCCGCACCATGAAGCTGGGCGGTATAGCTGTGGTGCAAGCTAGGAACACACATTGTCCTGTCACTTTCGATTCTCTTTCGATGTATATAACCAGAACCGTACGGTATTAGAGGTACCGGCATAATATCCGCTCCTTGATGATTCGTAATTGAATCAGGCGGACTATTACAGACTTAGGAAAGTCCACACCACCTACATCCTTAGCGTTTCGTGAGAGAAAGGTACAATGTGCCAGCAAAGGGGAGGGGGTGGTTTTGGGGCACGACTGTATCTCACGCTTCTGTGCCTACAGTAAGCACTCCAGATCAGAGGATCCCACGGCGGCTGATGAGCCTCGTTGGCAGCACTCTTCTTCGAGCGTGATCTACATGTCGGCGCCCTCGCGTCTTGAGGTAATTATTTTTATTTTTTTGCATTGTTCATGCAACGCTAGAGTATTGTGCGTCTGTGGGAAAGCCTCGTCCGGACCCCCCTGGAGCAAAGTACCTCCTGGGTACGCTCGGGCCTTGTATGGCAGTTGAATTCGCGGGCCATTTCAGCCCGTTTACGCCGCAACGGACCAAGCATCCATTCTTAATTGCGCGCTATGATTATTCACCCCTCGATCAAACAGTGTAGGTCGCTTATCGATACAGCGGCGTCGGTGTTGATACGCCCAATGCCAATACCCCGCCACGAACAACAAAACTGGTGCGTTGCTTACGCTGGGACGACGGGGCAAAAAAGCGATATCGCGTAGTGTACGAAGTAAGGACTCTAAGGAGTACGGATACTTCGTTGTCATCTAGCTATACCTAGGTCCACCTGGGGCCCTTTAGTCAGACTGTCGCACAGATTGTAGCGTCGGGATATTGACCGATAGCCGACACGACAGACGAGTACGGGTAAGGCAACGGATCCCAGCACCGATCAATCTTGAGAGGGAGACACACACACACACACAGAGAGAGAGAGAGAGAGGCCGTCATCGTCTGCTCTCGTCCCTGAGCATGAGCTTTGATACGTCACCGTGTCAAGATGACCCAGAATTAATTTTTTATTGCTCCCAATACGCCGTCACCGTTCTGCACCATAGGCCGAACTAGCTGGTGGGCTTCGTTGGATTGTGCCTATTTCCCCTCTGACAACTCCGTCGTCATGTCGCAAAAAGAAGAACAAAGCCCCGCGTGCCCTGTGTGTGAGAGAGTGTGTGCTCGCTCTGCTGCAACGTCGGCGACTGTTCTTCCACCTATATCTGGATAAATCGCACACGATTCCTTTTTCTTTCTTTCCTCCATACCTAGGTTGTCTTCCTTTGCTTACCAGAGGAACAAGGCTTGACAGAACGAATACAACTGCAATAGCAAAGCCAGCCCCTCCTTTGGCAAAAAAAAAAACACCATCATCATGGGTTACCCAGACAAGTTCGAAGGTTTCATGATCTCAGACCAGAAGAAGTGGACTGAATTCAAGAAGCAAGAGGTGAGCTCGCATTGAAGTCCAAGCCGGCGCCCGTCTCTCCGTCTCTCCAGCATCATACTGACTTCCACCATTCAGTTTACTCCCAAGAAGTTTGGTGACCACGATATCGACATCAAGATCGAGTGCTGCGGTGTCTGCGGCTCAGATGTTCACAGCATCAATGGCGGTTGGGGCGAGGTCCCTCTACCCATCTGTGTCGGGCATGAAATCGTCGGCCACGCCATCAAGGTCGGCGATGCAGTCAAGACGGTCAAGGTTGGGGACCGTGTCGGTGTCGGTGCTCAAATCTCAGCCTGCCTCGAGTGCCAGAACTGCAAAAGCGACAACGAGAACTACTGCCCTCACATGGTTGACACTTACGGAGCCCCCTACGGCGACGTGATCTCCCAGGGTGGCTATGCCTCTCACATCCGAAGCCACGAATACTTTACATTCCCCATCCCTGACGAGATTCCCTCTCACCTGGCCGCACCTATGTTGTGCGCTGGCCTGACCACATACTCACCATTGGTGCGGGCAGGAGTTGGACCGGGCAAGAAGGTCGCGATTGTTGGGCTGGGTGGTCTGGGACACTTCGGCGTCATCTGGGCCAACGCCTTGGGTGCCGAGGTCACAGTCATCTCACACTCACCGAGCAAGAAAGAAGATGCGCTGAAGCTGGGCGCGAAGCACTTCGTCGTCAACGACAAGGAAGGATGGGAGAAGCCATACGAGTTTACCTTCGACTTCATTCTTAACACGGCCGACATGACCCACACCTTTGACATCAGCCAGTACCTGTCGATGTGCAAGGTCAACGCACCCTTCCATCAAGTCGGTCTTCCGGACGAGGCGCTCCCAGCCATCAAACCACAGATGTTCATGAGCAACGGCAGCTCGATCGGCGCCAGCCACATCGGCAACAGACCTGAGTGCTTGGCCATGCTCAAGCTGGCGGCAGAGAAGAAACTGTTCCCTATGGTGGAGACCATACCCATTTCCGAGGAGGGCTGCAAAGAGGCTGTGACGAGGGTGTCCAATAACAAGGTCCGTTACAGGTTCACTTTGACCGACTACGACAAGGCTTTCGGCCCTCGAAACTGAGCGATGGATGTACGCATGGGGCAGATAGAGAAGTCCGAAAAGGTCAGCATGACGGATGATGGGATGGTCAACTACGGGTAGACAATAAGACTCCGAGACCGAACAGACCAGCACACTTGGACATATCTACTGTACAGTACGTTGTCTGTTTGCAGACCAGTCTCGGTATGCCCACTAGGATTGCCGATCGCGAGACTTACGTGGACTTGTTCCAACCGAACCACCAGGGCGCTTGCTGTGATACGAACTGACCTGTCAACTGCGGCATGTCGTTCAAAGTCTTTTCTCCGCATTGGCGAGACAGGGGTTCCTATCCTATTGTACCTAGGTATGCAGGGCGCAACAATAGATAGGTTTCTAGCTCTAGGAGAGATGGGCGATGTTGTAGGCACAATTGGCGCGCTCCGTGTCCGCCGCCCGTAAGTAGTCTGGAGTGGTGTATCTATCTGAATTCACCTGCCCAAAGCATCGAAGGGTTCAGTCACTTGCACTTTGGTGCAGGTGAAGGGTGGCTGAGATGCTCTGTTTACTGGCCAACCAGTTCCAGGCGGCCGCCATGATCCTTCGCGACCGGCAATCCACCCAGTGGTTGGGATCGTTTGCTTCTCGAAGGAGGGAAGCTCCTGAGCCGTGTTCTAGCTAGGAATGCTGGTGCGTGGACAAGGATGCCGCGCTAGCCCTGCAGCTGGTGGACGCGTCCGCCTATCCTCTTTAGTAGGATCTTTGTGCAGCTTTTTGAGTTTGGTGATAACGCCGGGCTGCGTGATGTTCTCGGATCTGCCAGTGTTTAGCGGGAGCCGCACCAGCCCGATCGAGCGCCCGTCAATTCACCCTACTCCATAGGCACAGGGAGGGAGCACAACCCGCAGCGAAAAGCTTGAACCATCTAATGAAATGAAAGGCCTTCAAAAGAAGCCAATTCGCGCTAAGCAAACGATCAGTCCTCATGAAAGAAGGTGAGAGGTTGGCTGACTGCTGCACCCTACGCAGTGGGATTTCGCGTCAGAAAGAGTCACCAGCCTCTGCTACTCCATATGCAAATCACTAACTAACAGGAGGAGTCCAGTTAATCGAAATTCCCAGCGAGCGGGTGCATCGCCGGGCGGTTGATCGTCCTTCTCTGGGCACCACTAAAAGCTCCCACAGACGCCGTGCTCACCCTATCACCGGCCGCTGATCCATGGATTCGCAGGCTAGAGATGATGGGCCCCCCCCGGCCTAGGGAGCCTTACCGAGAACAAACAACCCGGCGCCTGCAAGCCTGCATCTGCCTCTCTCCAGCGTCCCACCCTGGCGGGCAGTTTGTTGGGGGCTCCCAGGCTCCAGTCCAGGCTACGATGCGCCTAGGGCTGTTGTCCTGCACTGAGAATGGGCATGACGGCGCCTCTGCGACCCCCGAACCCCGGCCGCCAGACTACAATCGTCCATCATGCTCGACACGCCCTGGGCCTCCTCCACACCCTCATATCCTCCCGTGCCTCTGCAAACGCCACGCTCAAAAAGAGCTCTCATCGACGTTGGCCCGTCGTCATTCCGGCCGCAGCCACCAACCTCCTGGCAGGGCCTGCTCCATCGAGTCCACTTTTCGCATATCATCATTTCTCCTACCTTGCAAACGTCCGATGTGAACTTCCTGCCTCTCAGGCTCTCCCTGGTGACCAGCTTGCCATCTCACGACCCGGCGCGACCTAGCCTCTCATCTCTCTGTCCGCGACATCCTGAGCCTACGCGTTCATCTCATCCACAGACCTGGCTTCCATGGGCAGCGTTACCCGAAGCTGAATGCCGCCCTGCAATGCGATGAACATGCGCGCAGAGAGACGGCACCACCGGCGTCGATAACCGTACACGACCCAAACTTGGACTGATTGTGGGACGCCGCACGCCGTTGCCCTCGGCTCGCAACATGGACAGTGGTTTGAAACGATTATGGACGCGACGGAAGACCAAAGGTCGGGAGATCCGACACGGGGCGGAAGCAGGCAGCCTCAGAAAGAGCCAAAGCACCGATTTGGTTGTCCTGTCTACATACGAAAGACGCGGACGGTACACGCCGAGTGGCCAGGTTGGTCACGGCCTGTCTCCGATCACCACCACCAGCAGCTCGGTCGAACCTGTGTCAGGAGACAAAACACAGCCGATGCTGCTTGGTATGTCAAGACCAGTACCTTCGCCATCAATCCCCGGCACCTCTGAGAGCGGAAGTCTTATGAGCGCAGTCAATCGCGCGGCTGCAGACGCTGGAGCCAAAGCAGAGCAAGAATACCATCAATCCACAGACTCCTCTTCAAGAGGCCAACGCCAGCAAAAGGTTCCTCGGTACATCGACATATTTTCGCTTTCCAAGGCCAATGACACCAACCCAATGCCTGGATACAACGAAGATGTTGCCGAGAGAAACTTGGACTTGAGCCGCGTGGCACTGGAGGGCACCCACAGGCAACTCCCTCCGTCATCAAAGTATGCCGAAGAAGTTGCAGCTCGCAATGCTTATCCGCCGCTGCGCGCGAAAAAGACCGTGAATGCCCCCTTCCCCAGCTCTCAGCAGCACTTTGATGAGAGCGCTCCGTCAGATCTATCTAGAGATCTCTCCAGCAAAGTGAGTGACTACCTTTCAGGATCTGCAGGGCAGCCGGACCATTCAGAATGGTCGAGATTGCAGCTCTTGTCAGCGTTGCAGGATCAGCATTCTCGTCAATCAAACGAAACTTCCTGGCAACCACGATCGCCGACGCGTGAGTGGCCAACCCTCGTCCAAGCATCTCCTGGCCCTCTGCTTGCACATCATGTCCACTATGCCAAAGACTTCAACGAGAACCTAGGCGATAGGACGATTGCAGCAAGATCCACAGGCCACCCCAGTCGACTAGACCAAATTGAAGCTCTCCGCAGCTATCAACTTTCAGCAGCAGAATTGATGCAGGCGAGTCGACCAGCGACTTCGCGACCGGCTACTGCGTTGTCTATGGCTGCTGGTACGCGACGCAACGAGCATCCTCTTCGCTCGCACTCGAGCATGAGCAACACGTCGGTAAAGCGGGCTATCAACTTGCCTCATCGCACCATCATGGATCTGACCGGCACTGATTCTGACATCTTTTCCGAGGAGCCTAGCGAGTCAGCCTACAGTTCAGCACCTGTTGTTGGACAGGAGAAATTCGAGACAATGCGGCCGGTGTATGGTAACACATTAGCCAATCCACCCTTCAAATCGGATAGAGGCGATTTAAGGACAAGTTCCAGCTTGCCTACTGAGGAGCACGGGCGTATGCCCGAAGCACTCTCGCAAAATCAATCCCCTGCCCCCTCGGTTTCGGAATTTACTGTACGCTCTACACCAACGAAAGTTCCCACAAACAGCGAACTTTCCTCCATCAGTACTTCGGCGTCATCGGCCGCCCACACCGGCATCCTAATTCAACCAAAGGAAACAACTGGTGTTTCTGGTTCGAACAAGGCCCACACGTTCGCGCACGAATTGCCCGTCCCGTATCCGCCCGTGGAGCAGGCGACCAGTGGTTCGCGGGACCTTCCCACAGACAGCAGCCATATTGCAGGGACGAGGCACAATACTGAGCCCAGAAAGCAGACACAGCAAGAGATCCATGATAAAGCTGCAGAAGTCGATATCTTGAGGACTGCTGAAGACGACACGCCGCAAGATGCCATCGACACCAAGTCGGATTGTCCCGGAGCAGGGTTTGCAACACAGTCCCTCACGGAGGAAGTATCGCCTCCACAGGCGCATACTCAAACGCTCCCGGGAAGAGTTCCACCGGTTGATTTTGTTGAACCCGGCAAAAGCTGGGGAGTGCAATCACGAGATTTTGCAGATGCCTTTTCTAAACCTGGCCTTACGAGTGTCCCTGAAGACACCGAATCAAGTGGCAGCAGTAGAGCCCAACACACGAGAACTTCTCGATATAGGTCTGCAAGCCATGACCCAAATACCGGAAGGGCAACATTGAATGGAGCCGATCCAGTTAAATTTTCACTGTATCACTCTACTTTCAACGAGCACGAGTTTGCCCAGAAACAAGCCGACGCACGTGCAGCGCTCATTAGGCTGCAGGAAAGTCTCAACGAGAACTTCCTCACGCATCCCTCGCTTGCTGCGCAATCATCGAAGCCTGCAGCGTCAAAACATTCATTCTCCTACAGCGATGGAAAGCCAGTGGCTCCGTCAACAATTTTCGCTCAGGTCAGAGACTCTCCACCCATCCCAGCGAAAACAAGATTCTCGGCTGACATGGCGACCGAGGTGGATAGATTTGAGAGGCCAGTGCCGAGATCGTATCATAGTCTGACCACTGTACCGGATTTTCACGAGAGTCGTCGCAATGGCCACGCGGTTGGTGTCGACGGACGAAAGAAGAGCAAACAAAGCAACAATGTGACGTTCGACGGCCCTGGCCCTTCGATTGTCGACCAGGAACAAGATGTGAAAACTCCACTTCCCATGCCACCACCTCTACATATGAACGGTCGTCGACTCCAGCAACTGGACAAAAAACCTGTCCCACCGAGTCCTGGCGAGGTGTCTCTTTCCAGTTTCCCACTTCCGGTCTCCTCGCCGAGAACAACCATGTCCTCGGAAACGACGCGAGCTGATTCGACGGACCCGGTCATGAGCACCACCGGCCAGTACAGAGCCCATTCACAGCAAAGTAGCGATGATAGCCGTGTGCTGAGACGGCCGACGAGTCAACGGAGCCAGGCCAGCAGCACGTCGGTATTTATTCCTTACCACATGATTCCAGACCGGTCGAGTAGCATTCGAGATCGATCTGTCAAGGAGGAATATTGAATGATCACGCCAGTAATTTATATACACATGATGACCATCATTTTTTTTTTGTCAATCTGTCGGTCGGTGCGGAGGTACTTTTGTGGATTGACATCGATCCTTGCGCTCTTGTGTTTTGGCAAGCGTCAGCGAAAAAAGAAGAAGAGATTTTCAAGGATGGGTGCGTGTGAGCGAAAGTGCACAGTTTTGGTTGTTTTTCCCTTCACCTTGTACATTTTGGTTAAATTTTGTTTTGGACACGAAAAGTTGAAGGAAAAGCCCAGCTTACTATCTGCCCCCAAAGTTTAGGTAGGATGCATATAACGATGTGATGAAGATGAATTACTAGTTAGGTACTATTCGTAGGTAATACAGTGCCACCCTGGTCTTAGGCGTTCTGTTCAAGGTATAGGTCACCCGTCTCTCTAACCTGCGCTTCTCAGAATTCGTTTAGTATATACCTGGCGTGTGTGTGTGTGTGTGTGTGTGTGAAGTGAGTGGTGGTTTGTCCATTCCAAATTTCATGTTCGTATTCATGTTCACATTGACAGTCACATTCATGTTGTGCCCGTCGTCGATCCCTCGGTCATCTTCACTTGAGAAAGGTCGTTAATTCATTCCGTCAACCATCATCTCTCGACACTCTTCATCTGGCCATCACCGTCATCGTCATCGTCATCGTCATCAACCTCCTCCTCGTATCCCTCTTTCACTTTGCCTCATCGTCACCAGCAAACCTTCGTCCCTCTTTCACTTTGCCCTCGTCATCTCAAGTTCGAATCTTCAGGGTGCAACAAACAAATACTCCAGTTCGGCATGCACGGCGGTTTCCCCGCGGCCCCGCGACTCTGCTGCCTCTCCCACTCGGCCCAGCGTCCTCGCATGTCCCTGCGCTCCCGGTGGTCGACGGCGTGGTCGGTCCAGGTGGATTCGCCGCGGCCGTCGGTCTGCAGGGGGCCCAGCCACCGGTACACGGCGACGACGAGCCACACTTGTCTCCGGCCCGACGCGTCGGGGGACAGGGATTCGCGAGCCTGGAACATGAACTGCGTCTTGCAGCCTCGCGTGTAGCATGACCCTTTACACTTGCTGCCACCGCCGCCGTTCCCGCCGCCCCCGCCGACGCCGCGTCGAAACCTGCCGCCGCTGGTGTTGTTGTTGGTGTTGAAGTTGTAGTTGTAGCTGTAGTTGTTGCCGTTGCCGTCCCAGTCGATGAGGTCGATCGCGTCACGTTTCTTCCAATCACTTATACACGGGGGACCCCTCACGCCGACGGGGAGCCGTTGGGTGTTGATGCACGCCCTGCAGAACTTACTGAGGATGTAAGGGTCGCCCAGCTTCATGTGGGGGCAGAGGCGGAAGTCGATGGCGGCCAACGCGTCGGACACGTCCTTCGCCGAAAACACTTCCTTGTACGTGCCGCTGCCGCCCGAGGTGCGGTCGCGCAGCGTGTGGCGTGAGTGGTTGTGCGGCGACGGCGACGGCGCCTGGAGGAGCGCGATTTTGGTGACCAGGAGCGACTGCGCCTTGGGACTCTCGAGGTCCATCAGCGATGTCCCTTTCTCCGGACGCTCGGCGACGGAGCGCGTGCGGATGAAGTTGCGGCACCGCGAGCACGGGTCGAGCGTCTCGACGCGGAACGGCGCCTCGACGCCCGCCTTGACGCTGCGGATCGTCTTGGAGTAGCCGAGCGTGCGGTGCGCGCAGAGCCAGATCGTGCGGCAGTCGCGTGACGTCGGGGGCTGCGACAGCTCCGACGACGGGAACGTCGTCTTGATGTGCAGCTCCTGGCACTTGCTGCACACGAGCCGGTCGAGGTCCGCGGGGTCTTGGTCGCGTTCCGTCATGCACAGAAACTCGAAGAGGTCTTTGCCCTTGAGCACGAACGACGGGAGCGTGTACAGGTGGAAAAACCGGGAACAGGTGTGGCGGAGCGCCACCTCGCTGCTGGGCGTCAGGTACGGTTGTAGAAACATCAACAGTTCGGTCGGCAACGACAAGAAGCCGGACTCGACGTTGTTGAAGACTGTTCGTTCAGAATATTGTGTGCCCGCCACCGACGACGGCCTTCGGAGCCGCGGCGGTCGTTCGATGAATTCCGTGTCCGCTGAGAATGCGAGTTTGGACACGAGGTTCTCGTCGGATGGGCTCAGAGACAAAGCCGTCGTGGGCCATGATGGGTCGATGCGGAAGCGGTGGTCTCCGGCGTCGTCGTTGTCGTTGTCGTTGTCGCTGTCGTGAGTTGGTTTGATGCCTGGGCCACCTGCGGACTTGGAGCGCGATAGCTTCCTCCGGACTTTCTCGAGGATTGGCATGGTATTGGCGTTGGGCAGAAGCAATTGAAGCAAGGGCCAAGCTACGTAGATCCGATGATGGGGCTTTGGTGGTGTAGAGCTTGATGCGTGCACACCCAAGAACCCTAGTACGAGGATGTAGTAGTGGTGGCTTGGGGACAATACAAGAGGAGGAGCGCGTTCAACAGCTTCTTCGGATCGCTGAGGATATCATTATCTCCTGACGTCGTTACCGTAATCAACAAGACCCATATATCGGGCTATCTTATCTTTGAGGACTGTAATGGAGCATCAAGAATGGATAAAACCATAAAAACAAACACCCGAGCACCGTAAAGTGTGATAAGAAACAAAAACAAACGGTACCCTCGTCATATGGTCATGAAATTGCGACTGAACTTTGTTTCGCCACATTCGGGTGTGATTCATCCGTTCATACATATCGATCAAACCTTCCTTGGACATCTATTAGTTCTTGTAGGAGTTGCGAAGGAGGGGGAGGACAATAGGTGGTGGCAGTGGTATTTCCAGCCGAGGAGGGGTCTGCAAAGTAGTACCCGGCACAGCCTGCGAAGCTAACAAATCATCGAAGTTATGTGACAGCGAGCGGGCCATGAGCTCCGTGTCCGGAGGGGGAGAGCCTGATGGGTCCAGGCTTAATTGCTGGCTAACCGAGGCTTCGATGGGGGTCGAGATTTGGTGATTCCGTCCAGATACACGTGGAGAATGGTAAGACGGTCTCTGGTCATGATATTTCCAAATCTCTCTGCCCATCTGGGTGCTTTCTGTTCCTTGCTTGCTTGAGCGAATGGCCGGTCGATACACAACCATGTAGCTTTGACCTGAGCCATCACTTCAGGGGTTTTGGTGATCGTTGGGAGAAAATCCGCCGGTTCGAATGCTACCACTCGAGGCTTCATATTGCTTGCGCTAGCACTCGTCCAAATCGTATTTTTTATATAGTACAAAGGATCTCATCAATTGCTGCTTGCATGGCAACAACCGTGGAATCATCTACCTCTCCGAATCTATTCTCATGATGGGTGGCTGAGATTTTGATTTCAGAATTGCGCAGAGGCCGCAGGGCCATCATCCCAGAAAGTTGAATTCGTCTCATAGACATCGTCGGTCAGACAGCCATTGATGACAGCATTCCAATCCGGCAAGAATGGTATTTCTGGCATTGACAGATCCAGAGGTGAAAAGAGATTTTGGCTGGGACCAGTAATGAACTCTTGAGATGACTCGGGAACGACAGTGGTTTCATCCATTGTGGCTGTCTTACCCGTCATGGCCGTATCTATGAGTGACTGGCTGGTTTTTATGCAATCCGGACCACTGTTGGACGTTTGAATTCTGTCATCATCTGAAGTGGACATAGAAGCCTGAGTACGTTGGTGTCTCGCCGATAGAGCTTGATAGCGGAGCACGTTGATATACCTCCAGATGCTCTGGTGGCCGTAATCACCATCAAGGCCCCCCGAGTGACTATCATGAAGACTCATTGCCCGAGAGAAGACCTCTTCAACCAATGCTGAGGCAGGTCCTGTCTCGATTCCGGGGGGACTGCTAGAAAGACAGCGAAGAACGTAGGCAATGGCGTACCACGGCGTATAGATGTTGAAGAACCATTTGAATCTGGATCCGAAGTCTCCATTCGATAAAACTTGATTACTCTCCAGGTCCTCACAGGCTAATTTGAAGGACTGCTGGAAAACATCAGGAGTCGGGTCTCCCTGCGACCCTTTTTGCTTTCTCAAGCTGATCTCCTCGCGCAGTCGCAGCACGAACTCCATCTTCTTATAGCCAGTGGTCCCATGCTGAGCTGCGAGTCGTCCTAGAGGAGTGCCTGATTCCGAATACTTAGCATAGAGATATTGACTACGCTGCTGGATGATCTTCCGCTTCTCTGTGATATCAAGGTAAGCATCTAAAGAATGCTGCCCGTGCGTATCAAGTACGGGATGTAGCAGCCGGCACGACTCAGTTTGGATCAGAAAGAAAGACATTTCTGTCCAGCCAGCCGACTCTGTTGGAAAGTGCGTCATATCTGGATAGATTTGATTGTCGTTCACATTCAAAGGTAGCCGGAGTTCTCGGTTTGTGACATCAACGGTGGGTGGAGATCCCTGATCTTCTGGCGAGCGAGATTCAAGGACACAGAGATGCCACCAGAGGCGAAGACGCATTTCTGTCTCAAAGGGGCTCAGGCGGAGAGAGGCACCATCTCGGTGCAGGCCAATGGATTGTGCGAGCCGAATGGCAAGCCCAACGAGAACCCAAACTTTGCGGCCAACTTCGTTGGCTCGTAAACAGGTCTGGACGAGCACGCAGTCAGCTAGAGAAAGACAGGAGAAAGACACCGGGTTAAGGTGCATCGAACAATGCAAGATCCGGCCCCAGTACTCACTGCGTAAATCGCTAGAGCTTGCAATGCAGCTAGCTCTGGTCGATCCATCAAATCTGGTACCACGAGAAGTTGGTCCAGGCAGAGCTTGTAGCGGTTCAACAGCGCCAGCTTCTCGCAGGGCAATTCAAGGGGCTCATGATCATCATCATGGCAAAGTGCCGTGATGGCGGCATAATAGATGGCAAAAGTTAACGCCACTTTTGAAGGTTGGGCAGATCTGGGGTCCAATATGGTTGCGACAATCGTAGACTGAATAGTAGGTATATGCAACAACTTGACCACCGGATCGACCGAGTTGATGTATACATTCCATAGTCGAAGTGCAAGATGGGCATCAGGATAGAATTCGAGCACATCCGAGCCCATGACTGAAGGGGCACAAGCTCCTGGTTGCGACTGAAGTGTAGTGTGAGCTACTGTACTCCTTCGATGATGTGGACCTTCTGTTGCCGGGCCAGATGTTTGAGGAGTCCTGATGTTTGTTCCCTGGTACATGCTAATTGTTAGCCTCGGCCCTCTGTATAGATGTGTGGATAGACGGGATAAAAGATTGCCACCGTGAGCAGAAAACAAAACTGACATCTTTTGGTATCCTTTCGACGTCCGGACTGTTTTCATGCCCGACAACTTGTTCATCATTCAACAACAGCTCCCAGGTCAACTTGCAAGGGCGTTTCTCCGATAGAAGCTCGTTTGCGGTTCCAAATGTAGTGGCAGTTGTACTCGGATGAGCCTGGGAGTGAGCCTGTGGCCGGTCGCCAATTCCATTAGTACCAAGATTAGTCACCGCAGATGCTGTACTGTGGCGAGGAGTGTCAGTCAACCGTGACAGCAAAACCTCTAGTCTTTCTAGTCGGTTGGATATGGTCTGCAGAGAGGGAGTTTTTCGTTCAGGATCCGTTGACTTTGTGGGATATACGCAGGATATGCCGCATTTCGAACAGTTGGTGCAAGGCACTCCGCGGTCACACCGGACCTTGCGCTGGTGACAAGCTCGACAGGAACGGGCGCCTTGTTTCTGGCTCTGGAGCGACGAACTCTGGTATGGAGGCGCCATGCGGGCATTGGGCGGAATACCTGAGAGTTCAGAATGTCAACGTGTAGATGATCCATCGACATGGGAGGCCCGTCATGTTGTTCGCTGGCCTCGGAGCCTCGTCGACCGTGAGCCCATTTAAAGGTCTACGAAATCACGCCAACGTCTTAATTCCGGCGTTCTCGGCGCCGCTGCGTCCGAAAGAGCCAATCACAGTTGAGAATTTCTCACTCTAGTATCTCTAGGTGGATAGTTTGCGACAGCCCACGGCCGATGTAGCATACAAGTACACGTAGTACAAATGACCATGCTCGCAAGTATATATAGAGAGAGACAGAGAGAGAGAGAGAGAGATCAGAGAACACCAGTTACCCTTAAAACTCGTTGATATCCTCATATCTTAATTTGCGAAGTTTATTTGACCCCTGACCGATCAACAGCATTCACGTACTGGATCCTTCCTCGTCATGTCGAATATCAAAATCAGGGATGCCGTCGACGAAGAGGGCGGCTCAGATTCAAGTTATAATCTAGGGGCCGAGGACCATAAGCCCCAAAAAGCTATCAGTGCGCAGAACTGGAGTACAGGGACAAAGCTCTACCATACCACTATCCCGTGCTCCTTGGCCTTTTTGATGTACGTCTTGGACAATTCGAGAATCAGACCATGTCATATACTTTTGCTGACCATTCATCATCGGCTGAAGCACATTCTCCTCTTCTGTCACATCACCTGCTACCTCCACACTTATGACCGAGTTCAATGTCAACCGCACGCAAGCTCTGCTCCCAGGAACTGTATACATGGTGGGCCTCGCATTTGGCCCACTGATCATGGCCCCTCTGTCAGAATTTGTCGGTCGTCGTTGGCTATACATCGTAACCTCATCAAGTATAGTTGCTTTCGCAGCAGGCTCTGGAGCTGCACAAACTTTCGCCACCCTTTTGAGCTGCCGGTTTCTCTGTGGGTTGTTGGGATCAGCTGGAATTGCTATTGGTGCAGGAACAATCCTTGATCTATGGGGGATAGCGGAGGCCGGAGGGTTGGCAAGGCTCCTCTTCATTCTGGGCCCATTCCTGGGACCTACCATGGGCCCGCTGGTAGGGGCATATGTCATGCACGATCATCATGGCGATTGGAGATGGACTCAGTGGGTGGTGGCCTTGATTGGAGCGCCCATCTGGATTTTGGTCCTTTTCATGAAGGAGACTTCTGGTGCCCGGATCCAACACCGTGCTAAACACCCTGGTCGTTTCGGCATTGTGGGACTGGCCTTGTCAACCCTCAAAGAATCAACGCTCCGCTCGACGAGAATACTTACAACCGAGGCCATTGCAATCTCCTTGACGCTGTACACAGGATATGGATATGCAGTGGTGTTCAGCTTTTTCGCAAGTGCCGCTTATGTCTTTACTCTCGACTATGACTTCAACAGTCGACAGGTCGGCCTCTCTTTGATGAGCGTGGTTATTGGTTACTTCGTTGCTGCTGTCGTGCACATCATAGTTCAGAAGACACTTTATGCTCGAGCTATTCAGCAAGCACCGAACGGCATTCCGGCCCCAGAACATAGACTGTACACTGCTATGGCTGGAAGCATTTTCTTGCCCATCGGACTGTTCTGGTGCGTTCGAGACCTCCCTGCAAAGCGCTGAGTTCGGGTCTCAACGTGAGGCTAACCTTGCTTTTCTGGCATTTTTAGGTACTCTTGGGAGGCTCATCGAGGCGGCCATTGGGCTGCAGTTGTGGCCAGCGGGATTCCTTTTGGTTTTGGTACCTTTGTTATCTTCGTAAGTGTTCTTTTCCACCGCGAAGAGCCGGTCATTGTTGACCGTAGTCTGTTTCTCCAAGCTGTCCTCAATAAGCTACCTTATTGAGTCATATGGGGCTGGCGCCGCTGCATCAGGTAAGTTGCTATCGGGTTAATTCAAAAATCATCTTTGAGGCTGACTTCAAATCAGCCGTCGCTGCAAATGGCACTTTTCGATACCTTCTCGGAGCTGTCTTCCCTTTGTTCACCATTCAGATGTACGAAAAACTGCATGTGCATTGGGCAGGAAGTGTGTTTGCCTTTTTGTCTCTGGCTCTGCTCCCTATTCCTTGGATACTCTTCAGATATGGCCATATCCTTCGGAAGAAGAGTCGTTTCATAGCATCCGCATGACTAGTGGAGCAGAAGGTCAGAGGACGAAGCTGCCGTAGCAATTTCAGCTTGTATTGAGAGCAGAGACTGTGACGGAAATGATGCAAAGGATTAGATAAAGACCAGCAATTGCCGGCGATATGTATTTCTCTTTTGCTTGTTGACGAAGCGAAGGGCGACCTAGAAGGATAGAGCAGCGGATGTGGTAGAGTGGCGCAAGTTGGTTGGAAAAAGCGGCGAGCAGTTGGGTCCACTTTTGGCCTAGTGCCAAATCGAGAAATGCCGTCGACTTTTCTGCGTTTCCGAGATTCTTCGATGCTTCGATTCCGTGCAAAAGTCCATGACGTCGTGACCGCACGAGCCTTCCAGGTTGCAACGTTCAAAATTCCAAACAAAGCGGGCCCAATGTTCAATATGGGCGTCTTTCAGGATCTCTGTAAGTCCCAGCTGCAAGGCTCGACGCCGCTGCTGGATGCTGTAGGATCAGAACTCGGATGATCTCTTTGCTTGTGCAGGCGCGAAATGTACTGAGTGCCCAACGCCTCCATCTTCTTCGTCCGCCTCTCTACCAACACGCCGCGTCCTTACCCCTGGCCACCATGGCCAAACGCAAGAGGTCTGCTGTAGCCTCTCAAGAGGGCTCGGTCCCTCCTCCCGTGACGTTGCCTGCGAATGTGACCTCTGTAGCCCGGGGCATAGTTCCTCCTACACCTGTTCGTCGCACGAGCTCGCGAAGAGCCTCCACCCAGGTCGCCCCAGCCGACATCGACACAAATCCTCTGACGAATGGGTTGATCAGGGATGGTAAAGACGCTCTGCGAGCATCTCCAGATGCTGAGGAGCCAAGCAAAGCAAGGAGAAGGAAGAAAACAACTGCCCCAACCCAGTTGAATACGGAGATGGACGAAACAGATGTTCGGAGACAACTGCCCTCGTCGAAACCTTCCACGTCTCTGAGAAACCCCCCCAAGCAAAACGATGGTTTAGATAGAGGAGACACCGAAGGCGCGGAGGACGACGACGACGACGTCGCAGACCCCGAGGAACTCAAGGAAGCCATCATGCGACCGCCACCTGTCAACAGTGCTTACTTGCCTTTACCATGGAAGGGCCGGTTAGGTTATGCTTGTCTAAACACCTACCTCCGAGCCTCTAATCCACCAGTTTTCTCGTCAAGAACGTGCCGCATTGCTTCCATCCTTGAACACCGTCACCCATTAAAGGACCCTTCTCAACCGGAGCACGCCACCAAAAACCGACCAGACAAAGATCAGCCAGCAGACATAGCTCGCGGCCAAGCATATGTCGAAGCACTCGGGCTGGCTAACGCCAAAGACATCTCTAAAATGCTTCGGTGGAACGACAGATACGGCATCAAGTTCATGCGACTGTCATCCGAAATGTTTCCTTTTGCCAGCCACGATGTATATGGGTACAAGCTCGCGCCATTCGCCTCGGAAGCATTGGCAGAAGCTGGTCGTGTGGCAACCGAACTAGGCCACCGCCTAACGACACACCCCGGACAATTCACGCAACTTGGCTCACCTCGAAAGGAGGTTATCACCGCGTCTTTCCGCGATCTCGAATATCATTGCGAACTGCTTGATCTGCTAAAGTTGCCAGAACAACAAGACCGCGACGCCGTCATGATCCTTCATATGGGTGGCATCTTTGGTGACAAAGCTGCAACTATCGAGAGATTCAAGGACAACTACAAAAAGCTTCCTCAGAAGGTCAAGGATCGTCTGGTCCTCGAAAACGACGATGTCTGCTACAGCGTACACGACCTTCTTCCGGTCTGCGAGGAGCTTAATATCCCACTTGTCCTCGACTATCACCACCATAACATCGTTTTCGATGCAGACAAGATCCGCGAAGGAACGCTAGATATCATGGCCATGTATCCTCGGATCAAAGCTACGTGGACCCGAAAAGGTATCACGCAGAAGATGCACTATTCAGAACCGACGCCATCGGCGATTACAGCAAGACAGCGGCGCAAACACAATCCCCGTGTTGCGACACTGCCGCCATGTGAACCTGACATGGACCTGATGATTGAAGCCAAGGACAAAGAACAAGCTGTGTTTGAGCTCATGCGTACATTCAAGGTACCGGGCTTTGACACGTTTAACGACATCATCCCACACGTGCGCAACGACGAGAACAGACCTTGGAAACCAGCGAAGAAAGCCAAGAAGACTCTCAAGAAAAGAAAGTCCAAGTCTGCAGAAGGTGAAATCGACGATGAACCTGAAGATGCGGATGCAGAGTCCGAGCCACAGGCGCCGCCCGTCATTCCAGACGAGGAAGTCGGCATGGGTGGGCCCGAACGCCGTGTCTACTGGCCGCCAGGCATGGAAGAGTGGCTGCGTCCAAAGAAGCGAGAAGTCAAACCTCGTGACCCCGAGAGGGCCAAGACGACGGCAGAGCGCGCTGCAGCGCGTAGGGCAGAGAAGGCGGCATGGCAGGCTGCACAAGAGGCTGGAAATGCCGCCACAGCCGTGGCTGCTGCGGCAAGAGTAGGAGGTGGTGGTTCTGTTCCCGCGTCCGAGGTTGCAGAAGCGGATACCACGAGTGTTGACCTAGAAAAGACAAGGTCCGTCTATACCGTCGTGAAGGGGAAGAAACCTGCGCGGGCCCCTCGTGCTGCTCCTTCTGCTGCCCCCACCGGGAAAAGGCTCAAGAAGAGCGCAAAGTCCGTTCCTACACCTACCCCGAGCGAGAGCGATTTGTCCGAGTTGAGCGACGATGACGGCGACGATGGCCGTGGAGACGATATCGACATGCCTGATTTGACCGATGCTGAGGAAGACGTTGCTGCTGCGCCGGTGCGGAAAGGGAAGCAGAGAGTAGCCCCAACGCGGACGACGAGTGGGAGGAGCGCAAAAAGGAAACCTGTGAATTATGCCGAGGGCAATGATGAGGAGGAAGAGTGAAACCAACGATCGAGCGTATGCAGAAAGAACCGTAGAGGCATTAAATAAGATTGGAATGTCCAGAAGCATCCGTCGTCATCTAGCGTTCTCAGAATGTCTGCTGTTGAAGCATGACTTGGTACTTCTGTTCGTGCGTGCCCATATTACTTACTCCCTTTTGTATCACCTCACAGCAGAGGGTCCATATCGTCCTGGTATACATTGGTCTCGTCATAAGAAGCTCGCGAAACTCTTCGCGTTTGTCGGCTTTTGCGCTTCCGCAACCGCATGGCTGTTACATAAGTTCACATCAATCGTCGTTATTTTGGTCGCCCTTTGCCTTGTCGTGGTATCGTGTTCTTTTCAGTTACTAGTCGTATCCATCATCCTTCATACATCATTCCCCCATCCCTCTTGCCATAAACCGCCGTCGTAAATTCAAATTTTGAAGTCAAATTCAAGAAAGGCTCAATCTCCCTTGCGTCTCCATGATCCACGCCACCATATCCTCCCACCAGGGCTTCCTCTGCGACAGAGGAACATGGTCCGTGTCGGTAGGATCGTCTTCGATCCCGGCCTCATCGAGCCAGAGCCAGAGTTTCTCCGTCACATGCCACACTGGCGGGTCATTCCCTCGCGGCCCCATGAGCAAAGGACAGAATTGCCCTTCAACGACAGCACGGTGTTCGGGCTCAATTGCGACGAACCCTGCGATCGCAAGGCCGTACAGCGAGTCCTGGGCCGTGTAGAGCGGCCCGTCCAATGGAAGGTAGTCCGTCCACCGGATGAGGGTGCGGAGTCTACTCTGAACATCGGGGTGGCGCCGTGGCTTCCGAAGCAGTCGGCACAGGATGTAGATCTGGGCGGCCAGCACGTAAGAGTCGGCGTTCAGGGCGACACTCAGAGCGTCGGTGCAGACTTTCCCATTTTCGTCCAGATTTGCTTCGCAGGCTTCGCCGAGCGCGTCTGCAGTCACGTAGGGATGCGGGACAAGGTCCGACCACTGTTGGAAATTAGTCAGTGACTGCAAGATGATTTCTCCCGCTTTCTGGAATGGAACAGAGTCAGGGCTTTCTCGCAGCAGCGAGCAAAGACGGGTGATTTGGGTGAAAATATGCAGGATCTTGGCAGAACAGCCGGCCAGACCCGTCACTCGTCTCACATCTGTCTCGTTGCCCTCCAGGAGCCAACTGTAGGCATGGTCGTCGGTTTCTGGCTTCAGGGGTGCACAAGTGTCGCTGAGAATGAGACTTTTCATTTGATAGTGACTCATGACGTAGCGATTGTTGGTGCTTTGGACATTAATGGGGTGCTTGTATCGATAGCCCGGATCTGACTTGTCAAGAAGATACTTGACTGCCAGGTCGCCTTGATACCATTTCGGCATCCTCTTGGTAGACTCTCTCGTCTCCCAGTTGACGATATCCTCGTGGTTGAGAAGAGACAGTGCCATCAAGAGAGGTTCCTCCTTGCCAGGCTCATAATTCTCTGCTTTGTTGAGCTCCTCGCTCAGCAATGCTACAGCACGCCTGTGGTGGAAACTCGCCCATTCTTTGAGTTTCTCGGACGGAGCATAATCGAGCACATAGCCCGCGGCACATGAGAGCATAGCATGCCTGACACAAGCAGACTTTTCGGCAATGGCGGGTACTCCAGTCAGCCAGACATTGGAGGCAGGCAAGAGGGTTCGTCCCGCACAATACGCAACAACGTCTAAGTTTCGTTAGATCACCATCGGCGCCATGGGAGTGCCAACGTACAGAACTTGAACAGTCTCAGATCCATCGCATTGAGACGTAGACCTCGGCCAAAATCAGAGGGAAGGAGGAGAACTTCGCTGACCTTGGATTTCATCTGGTCATTGTACTCCTGCCGATACTTGGCAAGGACTTCTTTGGTACTCGAAGGCATGTTCGGATCGCTGAACTGCAAATGAAACTTGACCAGACCATTGACTCGTACCTGGGTCGGGATCTTGACGGGATCAAAGATCGACGTGAGACGAGGATGCTCCGACAGTTGCAATGAATCATGGGTTATAAAGGGGTTGACAAGAGAGAGCTTGACAACTCTGTCCTCTGGAGACGGCAACGAAGGAGAAGATCCGGGAAGGAGCTCGTCGAGAAGGCTCGATCCCTGACTGCCATCCGAAAACGAATGAAGCTCGTCTGGACTGCTGTCAGAGCCACTACCCAGCACAGATCTGACGGCATACTGACCAGAGCCGCTATCGTCTCGTTTCCTCTTGCGAGAAGTGGTAGCGGGTGCGGAACCGGACATCTGACCGTCCTCGTCCAGAACGGTGAACAGCCGCGCTGTTTCCCAGAAGTCATCTTTGTCGAAGCGGTGCTGTTCAAGCAAGGTCTGCGCAAGTGAGTCGTTGGACAGACTGTTGCGCCTGGGTCTCTTGACAGGAGAAAACGGAGCCATTTTGTCACTAGCTTGTGGGCTGGTTGAGTCGGCGAAGTCTCCTGAGGTCGGGCGGGCTTTGTGGGCTCTGGCTGAGGTTAAAAGGACTCCGGATTCGCAGCGGGCCGAAGTGGGGGCAGGAGACGGGCCGCCCCTGCTGGGAACGCGCGGATACTATGGATGGGCGACTTGGTACTTTAGTAACGGGGACGAACGACACCTTGTTCGCACTGCCAACGAGCGCAGCGTCAAGGCAACCACCACAGTCATCGCTGAGACAGAATACGAGTTGATGCCCAATGGATACGAAGAGGCTCGGTGATCGCCTGCCTCGTTACGGGTGAGTCCGGGGCGACCGTTACCTCGACAGCCTGACACAGGGTCAAAGTGAGGGGCTGCAGAACAAGACACCATTGAATCGACCTTCAGCCCTCTGGTCTTCGCCTCACTACCAAGTTCCAACAAGGTCACAGTACGCCTGGCGTCCTCGGATTGCGTGTATCCTAGTCTTCTCCAATGGGCGACCCGGGTCTGAAGGACTGGACCCCAAGCTTGGTACCGTGAGGCCTCGCATACCATGGGCACCTGTCTTGGGGCTGGGAGGCCTGCAGGAGTATATTGGGCTGCACAGCTCGTGGAGATCGTACTCTGCAGGCTTTGCCAGACAAAAGCTCTGTCCTGCCCTCCGCATCACTCCTTCGCCTCGTTGAGTGTAGCCTTCTTTTCTCCTCTCTCTTTTCTCTCTCCCAAGTCCCTCCGATGCCACAGCTCGTCGTTGTGGTGTCTACCCACACCGTGCTTCTCCCCCGACAGCATGTCTGAGGACAAGCTTCGCCGGACTGTTTCCCACGCGTCCAACAGTCCCAAAACAACTGCGAACAACATTTCCGAACTCGGTGCTGCTGTACAGTTGCAGCTTCTGAAAGCTCTTGCTGAGGCCAAGTCAGCAAGCCAGAGCCATGTTTCCCCCGACGTTGTCTCACACGCCCACTTAGACGCGGCAACTGCAGATTTGTTCTGGAGCAGTTCTGAGTCTGACCCATGCAGCTGTCTACTTGAAGCCCTCGGCACCTTTCTCACTCAGGTGATTGGGGTGCTGTCTCAAGTAGCGGTTTCTCTGACCAACGGTCCGCACATTTCCGACTACATCGAAAGCTATATAAAAAGTGTGACCAAAGATGATGACTTCTCAGACACATCGGTCGTGACATTTCTTCATCAAAAGCATCACTTATTGCAGTATGGATTGTAGACCATTTTGGATCAACATGTGCGCTGATGATCCCCAGAGTCTTGTCAACCGAGCTCGCCAAGGTCAGCAATCGCTGTGAAGAAATTTGGTTAAACCGGCCATTACAGCAACCAGAGTGGAATCTGCCCTTCCATCAAGCGTCAAAAATTCAGACTCCCGCCGGATCAGTTTCCCATTCCGCCCTCAGCTACCAATCCCCACGCCAAGTAGCCATGTCGGACGCATATACGCCCGCTGGTGCTGGAACACCAGTGCATTACTCCAGTGGCTCGAAGGAGTTGTTGTCCAGGGGCAAAGGGAAGCATGTCTGCCCCTATGGGTACCGGTGCGACAAAGGTGGCCTCCGCGATGACAGGACGTTGGTAGTGTTTGAGCGCAACTCGGCTTTCAGGTGAGCAATGTTGACCTGAAGTTATTTCGTCCCTTCTTCTTCCATTGCTTCGCTTTTGCTATCACAAAATACTTGGATACTGTCATACTGATGCTCATTCATGGCAGAGCCCACATGGCTAAACATGAGAAGAAATACAAGTGTAATATCCCAGGCTGCACCAATACGACTGGATTCGCCAGGGTTGATCAGCTCGAGCGTCACCAGCAGAATGTAAGACATCAAGTGGCAAGATGACGACGGGTTGTGAAGGACTCCTGATCGCGGCTAGCGGGTCTCCAGTCCAACAGTCTACTGTACGACTTGGATTTCAACCGCTCAAAGGCATCCGTAATGGCCTGAAGTGAGGATGGCTGATCGGTCAGATGAAGCGACACACTCCAAGTCTTGGGAGACATTGAACAGACCAATAATGCATCTTTCCTTCAACGTCTGTCAAACAGCGTTTCCAAGCAGGTTTGGTGAAATGGCCAAGTAGGCGGCAATGTAGTGAGCGCGTATTCACTATGCAATCAGCCTCACCATTCGAGTGACACGGGATGTTCTCAGCTTGCAATTGGCACGATACCTGCCCATGCAAAGAACTTCGGTCGCGAGTTCGTGCCGGACCGGAACCCTCCGTGCTTCTCGTATTGCTGATGCGGGATGTGTCCAATTGAGCTGTCCTGTCTCAGGTGCAACGTCCACCTTTAGCACCGGGGAAGCTCCCTATCCCTGCTTGTTTTCTCCTTCTCTGACATGGATTCGGAGCTAATCTCTCTCTTGGCGACCATCGCCCTTACTTGAAGTGGTTTTGGCGTTGTTTTCTCCAAACAGAAAGCCATATCAAATTCCCTGGCCTCGCACCGAGCAAATGATCAAGATGTTCAGACACTCGTTTCCTGTCCTGTAAGGCGTCGCAAATGGACTGCGGGGTGAGAGATTCAGCAAGGCATGGTCAAGCAGGATGCCTCGACAGTTCCGAAAGCGAGCTAGGCTGTGACGTTGGTAGACGACGACTTGGGTGTGGACGCAGAGGTATATATAGCTGAGGCTACGCAGACATCAACATGAAGGGAAGCTCGTTCTTACCAAGCCTTCTGATCCTACTCCGGCTACAGACCTGCCTTTGCTACACAGCCTTGTGCTGAAGCCCAAGAAAGCATCAAGAATCAGGTTACGCTACTTCAAGCTTGCTACTTTGAATGACTGATTGGCTGCGTGCCTCAGAACACTCTGCGGACGTTTCCTGACGACTCCAAGGCCAAAGACTTGTCTCCCATCAAGATGCAGCACTGTGGACTGGAGATCAGACACAACCGGCACAAGGATGGCCAAATCATATTCGTCACAGGGAGAGACATGAGACATCAAGACGAAGACTTCTCCTCTATCATCCTCACTGCACAGCAACCGAAACCCAGAGACGCACTTTGGCAGCTGCACCTCCATGTCCATTGCTCGGGGCCGAGATGCCATCATGCACAGGGGAACACTGCCTCAGCAGCGCCTCCTATCTCCGACGTGACATCTGCGCGCTCTAGCAGGCAACAGAGCAGGTACAGCACGTCGGCGGCGTTGCTTGAGAAGCACACGTCTTCCTCCCTAGGGCCGCGACGGTCCAAGGACAGTACTAGAAGATCTCGTCGTGAGGACTTCTTGAGCAATGTCTCCGAGGACTTCACCTACAACATGAACCGCTTCATCCACGACCATGATCACTTCATGTATGGCCATCCTAGGCCACGTGCGGGCCCTGCAACAACTACATATACCTCAGACACTGTCATTCTCGGGCAATCCAGGCGAGCTCCAGAATTGTCGGCTCGGGAGGGAGCCACTGCGCACGAGATTCTTCTCGAGGCTGGTACTTGGACCAATGACTGGTCTACATCTGCATTAGGCATTGCGGCGGCAAGTGAAGGTTGAGCATCGCTAGATTGATGAGCAATCGAGGACTTGGTGGGGTGTATACAGCTGGGGTGTGAGTGTTGGGGAGACTTAACAATCTTAACAATTTGAAGATTGGAAGTTCTGCCGACCTTGAAGGGTGGTATGGGACATTCAGCTAGTGCATGGGCTACGTATCAGAGCTTGCTCGAGGAACGCTGCCTTGCAAGATACCACGGGTTTAGGACGGTCGGAGTTCAGGAAGCCATCGACAGTTCAACACCACTTTACAGGACTGTCAAATGGGATAATTCAACATAGGTATTCGAGGCCTTTGTAGGTGAACGTTGTGCTTTGAAATGAGTCCTCGGTCAAGGTCGTATACCGTCAGCATAGCGTAGAGTAGTGGGTGCGACAAGCTGCTCGTAGCTAGCTTAGTGTTGGTTGAGAGGCAGGCAGGGGTTGACAGTTGATTCGAGCATTCGAGGCATCGTGGGTTGAACCCGTAGCCACGAGTTGGGGTTGTTCTTCCCTGGTCACCCTGACTCCGGGCCCCGTACTGCGGAGGAGAAGCGGGGGCCGAAGCCAGGACTGGCTCGAGGATATTCCTATACCCTGCTAGGCGAGCCTCGTCTTTGTACTTTGAGCGTCCCCCCTGGGCGGCGATGGATTCTGGCTAGCCAGGTGCGACACGTCAGCAACCCGGATATGCGTGGTCTCTATCTCTGATCAGCTCGATACGAGGAGAAAACAAGGCTCATGGAGGTCGGGGAGACACGGGCGGGCGATCTGCTGCTGCGTCACCAGCTCGTAATGGCAGGTGACGGGGATTCACCGACGAGAGTCCTCGTTCTCGCGCCGGAGCAGGGTGAATGCGACCCTTGGGGTCCTTCACGTCTGCAGAGCGTGTCACTGGCTTTCGGGGGTCGGGCGAGGTGATTGGCGGCGCCCTTGCAGAGGAGATTCAAACGAGAGAAGATGAGAAAACAACGCTTGTGAGCCGAGCCAATCGTTCCCGACGCCCTTGTCGCCCACTTCGTTTTGCGAGATATATCAGGGCGATCCAGAGGCTCGCTGTACACCCTCTATTGTCCAGCCATGTCGGGCGCCGCCGCGGAGACGATGCCCCAGGACTCGATCATCATCGTGGGCGCCGGCGTCTTTGGTGCCTCAACCGCCCTTCACCTTTCCCGTCGGTATCCCTCATACAGTATAGCCGTGTTCGATTGTTCGCCGTTTCCATCGCCCAGAGCTGCGTCGACGGATATCAACAAGATCGTGCGCGCAGCGTATTCAGACCTCGACTACTGCCGTCTGGCGGCGAGGAGTCACGACATCTGGCGGAATGATCGACTTTTGAGCAAGTTCTACCATGAGGCTGGGATGCTGTCGATCCGACCCTACAAGGGCGGAGCAGCAGCCATGTTGGAAAACTTCAAGCGCTTGGGCATCAACAAAGACGCCAAGATCGTGACACCAGATCAAGTCCAGACCATGTTCAACGGCGTCTTCAAGCACGCCGACTTCAACAAGGTCGAAGAGTTCCTGTGGGAGCCTAACGCCGGCTGGGCAGAAGCAGCTAACGCCCTTGAGGCCACCGTGCAAGCGGCGGTTGACAACGGCGTATCATACGTGTCCAAGGCCGTCTCTAAACTGCTGATTGCTGATCAAGGTTGTCAAGGTGTCGAGCTCACTGACGGCTCGAAACACTATGCGAATAAGGTTTTGCTGTGTGCCGGTGCCGCCACTGCTCGAATCCTCGCCGAGAGCGCGCCTCAAGACCCTGGTCTGCACGCCGGGCCGCGCTTCGTGGCAGGCGCCATCATAGAGGCAAAGGTGAAACTGACCTCAGAGCAGTTGGAAAAATACAAAGCTACGCCCGCTGTATTGTGGGATGCGGACCCTGCTCGAGGTAAGTCACCGAGCTGCCCAAGTTGAAGCCATCGACTAAAGCACCGTGGCTCAGGGGAGACCATGCCTCCGACACCAGATGGCTATCTGAAGTTCATTCGGGACATCCCACTTGCCAATAAGCTGTTTCATCCTGCCTCGCAGACATACATCTCCGTCGCACCCGAGAGTGCTGAGGGTGCCGAGTGGACTGCACCGGAGAATCTCCCCAAGGTCCTGAGGGACGAGATGACGACGGTGATTGCGGGGATTTTCGGTCCTGAGGCAGCACGAGAATTGGTCCCCCAGCACTTGCGACTCTGCTGGTGAGTACTTCAGAAGTCTTTGCTCGAAATATCATTCGTGAGGGCTCGTGATTCTAAGACTGTCAACCCCCATAGGGAACCCTTGGCTCCGGACGAAGGCTGGTTTGTTACGCCCCATCCACGATGTGTGAATTTATACATAGCAACAGCTGGGTCGGGCCACGCCTGGAAATTCCTACCAGTTTTGGGCGAGTTCACTGTGCGCATGATGCTGGATCCAAAGGGGTGGGAAGACGACGAGTTTGCCAAGTCATGGGCATGGGATAGGGAGCTTGTGGACAGCCCAGATGAGGATGTGATACCACGAAGACAGCTTGCCGACATGCGATAGCAATTTAAACAAGTCGTCGGCTCTGCGTGTATCTATTTCCACGCGATGTCAACCAAGGGAGGAGGGAAGCTTTCGACACAGCCTCGTCACGTTATCACGTGCGCATTGGGCCCACATCAACAAGGCTGAGCACAAATAGTGTGTTTTGCTTTTGCTGCTCCAGAATCATCACACCACCTCACAACTCACTCACCAGTAATCTTCATGAAACTTCCTCATAAAGAGGAAATCGGCTCCGAGAAGTTTAAACTCCTCCATGTCCTTTCTTGGGTGGATGACGCCGGAATATTTCGATGACGATGCCCTCTTTCGACAACTGCAAAGCTTCGATCAGTCACAAGCTAAGCTCCTGTCATCGCCGGTTAGTGAGTCGGTCGCCCAGGTGAGGCACCTTTGATGTTCGGTTTCCTGGGTCTGTGAGCCTAGAATTCCAGGCCACCGGCTATTTGACAGGGCGCGATGACTGCTGCTTGGGCTCCGATTTGACCAAGTCTCCGGGCCGCAACACCAACGGCAACCTTCGCTCAGACCATTATCGGGCACCATCTCAAAACACCTCAACTTTGTATCCAGACCAACATAATAATAATTGTGAACGAGCTTCTTCCACGGTCACCTCACATACCAGCGCAGTTGTGCTGTCAAAAAAACGATGAGCATAAGGAACATGCCTGGCCATAGCGCCCTTTGGTGGGTTTGTTGATATCGACCGAAAACAGAAATGAAAGCTTCATTCATATCGCAGAAGCTCACCGATGTCTGCTTTTTGCCTTTAACGAGCTTTCTATATCTTTTGTCCTCTACAAGAACAGTTTTCAGGAGAGATATATTCCCACTGTCTTGTAGTACTCATCTATTACTTTGAAAGATCACCTTTTTCCCCTACTCCCTGAGTCTACTGATACCACAAACTGAACAACTCTCCCCGTCTCCCTCCTCCCCCTTCTTCCATCTCTCAAACACAAGCGAACCATGGCACCGTCTCTAGGTTCAACACTCGTCCTCTCCTCCTTACTAACATGCCTCCCCCTTCTTACTAACGCGCACATGCAAATGAGTTGGCCCTATCCTCTCAGGAGCCCTCTGGACCCGGACGTTCCATACTACGACAAGGACTATTCCATGACTTCACCCCTGCTGGCTGACGGATCCGACTTCTCGTGCAAACATTACCAGTTTAGCGATACGTACGACCAGGCGAATGTGATCAAGGCCACGTACTATGCCGGAAACACGTACAACATGAGCATTGCCGGAACGGCGGTTCACAACGGCGGGTCCTGCCAACTGTCGCTGTCTTATGACAATGGAGAAACCTTCAAAGTCATCAAGTCAATGATCGGAGGGTGTCCCATTACGTTGACGTACGACTTCACCATCCCCAGCTTCGCCCCGGTCTCAGACTCGGTCTTGCTCTCTTGGTCCTGGTTCAACCTTGCCGGCAACAGGGAGATGTATCAGAACTGTGCCCGCGTCAGGATTGCCAGCAACCCAAGTCAGAAATACCGACGGGGCCTGTGGACGAGACAGTCGTCAATGTCGGAGCTCCCGGACATGTTTGTGTGTAACGTGGACAATGGCTGTACGACCATCGAAGGGAGTGAAGTGGTCTTTCCAGATCCCGGGAACGATGTTGTCTACGGTCAGGATCTCGTTGCTGCAAACCCTGGACCTGGATTCACGACTTCGGGAGTTTCTTCTTCGACAACCAGCGCTGCTGGATCTGGATCTGGAGCCTCCGCGACGACATCGACATCTTCTAACACTGGTACTAGTTCTCCGGCTTCTGTGGTTGCTTCGACTACGACCTCGGCGGTTTACGTTTCCAGCACCGACACTGTTTCCTCCTCTACGTCGACCGCATCTGCCACCCAGATCTCTGTTACCACCCCGGCCCAATTTTACACCACATCGAATGCGAGTACTCTGGAACCGACGACATCAACTCCTCCATACCCTTTCTCGAATGGAACGACGACATCGACTGGTTTCTTCCTATCTGGAACTGGACTCCCTTCTACTACCGGTTTTCTAATTGTAGTTACAGGTGGCCCCGTCTCATTTTCCGCAACGAGCGCTTCTTCAAGTTCAAGCTCCAGCCTCAGCTCTGCTTCCAGCTCTGGTTCTAGCTCTACTCTCAGTTCCAGCACCAGCTCCAGTACTAGCTCCAGCAGCTCTAGCACCAGCTCCAGCACCAGCACCAGCAGCGACTCAAGCTCAAGCGCAAGTGCATTCACGACAACTAGTGGAAGCACCTCCACAATGAGCACTATCGGTCCGATCTCAACATCGTCATCGACATTCTCTTCTGTACCCAGCAGCTCATCTTCATCGGTTGATAGCACTTCATCTTCAAGTAGCGTCGGTCCGATCTCAACATCGTCATCGACATTTTCCTCCACGCCCACCAGCTCCTCTTTATCGACGATCAGCAGCACTATCACCTCAACACTCTCGAGTTCGAGTTCGAGTCCGAGTTTGTCCTCGTCTACATCAACGTCGTCTTACATTACTATCATCGAGACGACAAGTAGTACGACTTCAGCTTCATCCACTTCGTCCTCGAGCTCTTCGCTGAGTTCAGGATCCACGCAGAGTACTACCACTTCTGGCGTCAGTAGTACCACCACTACGATTCCATCCTCGACGACGTCGCTCTCGTTTACGGCCACGACAACGCCAGTTTCTTCTTCGTCATCATCGTCGTCGTCGTCGTCGTCATCTTCAAATCTAGTTTCAACAACTCCCTCGACCTCGACGGCGTCGTCTACGGTCATCACGACTACAATTCCATCGTCGACGACATCGGTTTCTTCCACGATCATCACGACCACGCCAGTGTCTTCAACAACGACAACTACAACGACACTACTTTCGACCACGACGACGTCATTTACAGTTATCACCGTCACGTCCACGACCACAACAACGCCCGTTTCTTCGTCTTCGTCTTCGTCTTCGTCTTCCTCGTCTTCAACAAGTTCAGTTTCAACAACACTTGCGACCTCGACGACCTCGACGGCGACGACGACGTCTGCGTCTACGTCTGCAACGGGATCAGCTCAACCGACGGCCTGCACGCCGGGCACGTTCTCGTGCAACTCGATCTCGACATTCTCCCAGTGCGTGTCCACGAGCTCCACGACGACGACTTACGTCTACATGGGTTCCGTGGCCGCCGGAATGCAGTGCGTCGATGGGTCCATCATACGCGAGAACGCCGGCCCGTGCACGCCCAACGGTCAGATCTTCTGCAACGGCACCAACGCCTTCTACATGTGCGACCAGGGTGGGTTGATCGACATGGGTCCCGTCGCAGCAGGGACGGCTTGTAGAGATGGAGTTATCGGGTTTGCTTAGCCCTCCATTGCTCGTCTAAATCTTCCCTGTTGACGACGACGACGACGACGACGAAGAGGGGCAAGAGGAGCAGGAGGATCAACCACAAATACGATAATACGACTACAACTAAAAGATTACGACCTACGACTACTGGTACGACCTACGACTGCGACCGGCGACCGGCGACCGGCGAATAACGAATCCGGCCACGATCAACGACCAACGACCAACGACCAACGACCACGAATACGATTTGACTTTGACTAACGACCAGCGAGAGACACAGCATGACACACTAAGGGGCATCAGGACACTGGACCCTGGTATCCTTCGACCCCTTGACGTTGACATTTGACATTGAAATTTGAAATTTGAAAAATTGAAAAATTAGAAAATTGAGACTTTCAGAACGCATGAGATAGGGAGTAAGGAGTACAGTACGGTTACAATATACCCATCCCCGTTCACCCCCAGAGGGGGGGGGGGGGGGGGGGGGGGGAGCGCACGCTCCAAAGACGAAGAAAGTTTTATGGATTGTCATCGTCAACATCAGCATCATCATCATCATCATCATCATCATCATCATCATCACCAGCGTCAGCATTACCATCGGCATCGGCATCGGCATCATACGGCATTGGGGACGGAATTGGAAAAGGAAATGGAAAAGGAAATGGAAATGGAAATGGAAATGGAAATGGAAACGGAACGGATAATGAAATTGGTAGAGGGGAAAAAAAAAATTGGGTGTGTCATGGTTATGTGTGTGCATTTGCTACGGGCGCAGCGGGCATGCATGCGACTCCATCTGTTCTTCTGTCTTTGTGTTCCTATATCTCTATGGTACCATGGTGTGTCATGGAACCAGGAGTCTTCAAATACGGAGTTGATTTTTGGGGGGGAAAGAAACTTGCCTTTGCGGATATGTATACCTACTAATACTATAAACGATGTAGTATAACCCCCCCCCCCCTTGTCCTTACAACCTAGGTACTGGTACTGGTGGGACTTCATTAATTAATACACTACATTCCAATTCAATTCGGTTCAACAACATCCTTATCATCGTCATCTTCCGGCTATTCCTATCCTTTATATTCAGATACTCAAAGGGACCCGATTCTCGAAACTTTCCTTCTGTCAACTCCTACATCTACGATTGACAAAAACACCAATAGTCTGTTCTTGTTGCTCATAAGATACGCGCCATGGCCATAGCCATAACTGCTACAAACATCCAGTGCTATGTTGTGGTAAGCTATGGTATGCTATGGTACGCCAATCTTCGCTGTCTCCTCCCTCATACGGTCCAGGTCCCATCTTTCTCATCTCATCTCTCTTTGCCTGTCCAACTTCAAACCATCAGGCAAATATCCACTTCTTCAAGTGTCATGCCAAAAAAGAAAGCTGTATGCACAAACGGGGGTATCATAGAATCAAACAAGGGTAAGCAGAACATGCCACCAAAACGAAATCAACTTCATCAGTCGAGTAAAATTATGATTTGCGAACATGAACAATGGGCGCCGTCTTCGTCGATGCCGGGGCCGTTTGAGGACGCATTTTTTTGAGGGCTTGCGACGTGAAGAGGGATTGTTTGCGTTCGTGATATTACTGGTATTATCGAGGTACTGTATGCCTCTTTGGACTTTTCTCTCAGTCGGTCGACAACCGTCAAACCTAAAACTCCGGTGCTAACTGCATGTCGTCGTAAAACACAGCATGATGGCAACATATCGTCCTTCATGCTGGAGGGAGGCCTTCGCCGCCTTCTGTGCCAGTGTCGCCCTCTACTGTCTTCTTCCATGCCTCCGGCAGGCACACACACACCAACGGAAAGGCTTTAATATCTCCCGATGATGTGGGTGATTCTTCTCGGTTTGTGGAGCCGTTGGAGACACCACTGTCTCGCTGCACCTTATGCTTGCCGTCGTAGTCCTCGGCTCGGTCGTTGATCCGGACTCCAGTCGCCCAGCCGTCGTCCCAAATTCCAACCACTTTCAGCATGTCACCCCTTTCAAGCTCAAATTCGTCACCAGCGCGAGGTTGATAGGCCCACAGCACAGAAACCTTGTCGCCGGGATGAATGTCGTCATTGGAATAGTAATCCTTGAAGAAGGGTAATTGCTCAGATTGACCACTAGCCACACCTTCAGGCGACGAGAAATCAGGGGAACTGCCGGTTTGTGAATCGCTACCGGGAGATCCATCATGCTTGACTGCGACGAGTCCCTTCCCGTGGGATTCTGGGCTGCCGCCATAGACATCGGTGTGCGACGTGTAGTTGTTGCGTGGTCCTATCACGGGTGCCTGGTCGTCTTGTAGCGCCGACATGCGAGCAACTCGGCCACCGGGCAGAACTTCGTAGCCTGGTTGGGTCATGGGTTGTTGGTACGATGACGAGCCTGGGCCACCTTTCCTGTGCGGTGATGGTTGATTGAGGAGACTGCCTGCGGTGCTCTGGTTCCGTCTGCGGCGCAAACAGATGACCGCAAGCGCAATGAGCCCGCAAAGGAGCAGGAATCCCACAACTGATCCAACAACGATGCCGGCAATAGCACCGCCACTAAGACCATCACTGTGGGACCCAGCAGAGGCGGCAGCAGGGGCGGCAGCAGACGCGCTTGCGCTGCTGGTTGGCGAAGAGGTGGGACTCGTTGTAGAGGAGAGCAGACCGGATATTGTCGAGAATACGGGAAGAGTGACATCCTCACAACGGCCTTGGGCATTGGAGGTGAAGCAGCACGAATCGGTACCATTCTCGGTGCTTGATCGACAGAAGTTGCACAGACCCATCAAGTTGTCGCCGAATCCACAATTGTTGGGTTCGTTCGTTTCGCCTGAGATGCAGCTGCCGCTAATAGAGTTGGCTGGCAAGGCGCAATTGGTGAAGTCTGCTCTGAGTTCGTCCGCATAGTCACTATTCCGACCCCTACACAAGCTGCTCGAAACGATCTCTTCCTCGCTCAGAGCGAATTCGGCGCAAGAGTCGGCGCACAACGGGCTCGAGTCGGTGGTGGACAGGCCGCAAGCCTGCTTCGAGTTTTGTATAATGCCATTGCATATGAAACTCCGTGTATATCTCGCATAGTACGAGGTGGTGTTAGACAGGGTGACGTTGTCGCAACCAAAGATGTTGACATATTTGGTCTGAACATACTGCTGGGAAACATATTGGTTTAGTTGCGTATCGAAGTCTTCTACCGTTTTAACATAGGTAAGGAAAGGACTATCGCGGTTAGAACATCCTCAAGTCAGCAGAGATTCCACGCGACTCACTAGAGATTGACTAAATCCGAGTCTGTAGAAATCGAAGAGGCATTGAACGCACGACAGGCTTGGGAACTGGCCAACGATATGCAACTTTGCGCATACACCGAAGGTGCCAGCAAGGCCAATGCGCCCAACGCGAGGTATTTCGACATGCCTGCCGGAAATTCAGAGAGTCGGACCAGTCGTATGGTGCAGTGTTGCAATCAATTATTGGTTTCCAATCCAGATATGCTCAAGGTATCCAACTTTCCCAAGCTCATGCTGAACTCATCCTCCTCCCAGCCCTGGACTTTTGTGCGCTCACGATCTGGCTGCCAGGCAAGACCGCGGACGTGTAGATGGAGATGGTCAGGGTCTTTCAGGGTCGGGAAGCTTTGACCTGTCGGGTCAGTGCGTGAGAGCGACAGGACGGAGGACTGGGCTCTGAAAAGGAGCGAATTGAGAGAGCAAAAGAGCGTGAGTCAAGTAAACGAGCGACTGAAGGTGCAAAGGCCCTTGGGTTGTGACGAATGGGATCGTAACAACAAAGGATGAGCTTCCAAAGAAGTGAAAGGAGCAGCAGATCGCAGAGAGGATGAAAGAGAGCGCGATTGGGACGAGGAAGACAACGCAGCTGCAGTGTAGAGTCTCGTATGGAGTGGATAGAGGGTGTAAGGTGTGTGGAGGTGGCAGGTGCCGTTCCAGCACGACCGGAGGACAGAAGCCAGCACCCTTATCCCTGTCGACCTGATCCCTAACCTAGCTTCCTACTTGTATTGTACTATAGCTTGACGGAGTCCTGCCACTCCTGTGCTGGGCGATTCTAAAATCAAGCTACGCCGTATCATGTCTAGAGATAATAAACAGCAGCTCGTCGGCCCGGTGAACAAGCCCATCGAGCCACAGCAAGAGCCAGAATATGGAGATCGACAGCAGCGGTGGCCACCAAACTTTCAGGTGGCTTTTTGGTGGCTTTTAGGTGGCTGCCAGTGGCGTCGGGGACGGTCTCTCAGCACCCTCTAGCCGCTGAGCCATCGCCTAAAGCGCCTAAACCACCCCGAAACAGCGCCCGGAGAGCCTGGAGCATCACCAGCCATGGGAATTAGTAGGCCCCCTAAGCCCAAGCGCGGGAGCTAACCTCAGCGCTATGCCTCTTCCTCTCACTCTGCAATCTCTTCTCTCGCTTCACCCTCGACGGTCCCTGCTTCACAGTCTCTTTGTTTCCATTTCTGAAACACGACGGCGAGATTTGTCCCTATGGATAAGGATCTTGTACCCTTGTCTGATACTACAGTATCTTCTCTGTCTTGTACGGACATTCACGAAACGAGATTCATTTACTGGTGACAACCCTTCGAGTTCGAGTCCGACCGAGTCCTCGAGTCGGCCATGATGCATCCTCGCGTCTCCCTGCGCCCGCCACCCGCCATGATGGAATCTTCTCTCCAGTCTTCCGGACTTCCACCATGAACTGTACAGTCGTACCGATGCCTATCCGTACTACACTATTCTGAACTCTCCCGCCCGTCACCCTCGGTTTGAGACGGTGTGAGACTGCGGTTTGGTGATGTAGGTGGAGATTCTACTGGGTGGGAGATTGCATGGCTCGAAGCTACAACGCGCCAATATGGCGCTATCCTGGTCCATTTCTGAGATTGTCCAAGCGACCATTCATCTCTCTTTCTCGCTTCTGACTGAAGGTCGTCTCTCGCCTAAAAGGCTACTAGATCGACCACTCATCTTTTCTCCGACGCCATCTGCGCGCCATACTCTGTGCAAAGTCAACACCAGGGCCCATGCTCTTCAAGTTCAAGATCGTCCTCAGGCGGCGTCATCCCGGCTTAGACGTCTTTTTCCCCCTCCAACAACCGTCACTTGCGAACGTTCTGCGAGCCTTTTAGGTCCTCGTACGACTCTTTCTTGTGCCACCGTACAGATGCGAACGCAGCGGATCGTCAACGTTTTGCCCTGTTCAGGGTTTGGGTTCAAGCGAACTGCATCATGCAATGCAGAATCGATGTCACAGGCTGCAGATGAAAATGCAGGTACTCACTAGCTCGAACTTGAATACTTTTACTGCCCTACTTCTGGGCGTATCGCGTCGAATGGTGGCTGACGATTGATGTGTGCATTGTTCTGGAGAATACACTTTCCAAAGACCTTACATCGACAAAACCTTCCTTGCATACCATACCTTCAACCGAAGATCCCATACGCAAACACGGATACTGAAATGTAGGCATTTTGAGGCGAGGAATTCTTCGTCACGATCTCCGTCAGCAAGGCCATTCTGGTAACAGGTAGGGAAGAACCACTCTCGTTGGCCATGAATCTTGTTAAGGGTATCGCCACTACGTTTGCACATTGCTTATTGTCCTCGTCCCGTTAAAACCCCAATGTACTCCGTACAGTTTGCTCTTTGACAGTTGCCTGTCTCCTCATTGTTTAGATACTTGAACAATATCATGATATCACAGATAACATCTCAATTGGGAAAGGGAAACATGGGTATCTTGTTAAAGAAGTTTTCCAGCAAGGTGTCTTTTCAATACCTTTTCATACACTCGTGTCTTCGTGTCTTCGTTGCTTCGCGTGTCTAATCTATTACTTAGCTTTGGGGGTATCGTCGTAGTTTTCGTGGTCTCATTTGCCGGTTCTGTCTAACCCAGCGGCGTCGTCCTCATACTCTCAAGATCATTGTGTCTTTGCGATGCGGTGTTCCAACGTCAAATTTATACCTTCCACTCTCTTTGCTATATACCATCCTTTGTCTTCTTCATCAGCGTCGACCAACTCGAGAATGCGCTGGTGCAGGAGGTCCCGCCAGTTGGAAGAGTGTATACTTGTCACACTGGGGATGGTCGGCACCGTGTAGAGTACAAGAGGTTGCGTCACGCGTGTAGCGATGCTCTGCTCGCGGCCAAGTGTGCAAGCACGTTGGCAAGTGGGTTCAATAGAGTCGTCTGGAGGGAGCCGCACAATACTGCTCCGGACTGCAATGCCTGGATGCCGGCCACGGTGGCCACTGTGGGAAGGCTGCGGCACCCTTGCAAGACGAGGCTGGCAACGACCTTCCGAACCAGAGTGGGTGGTGTGGTTGGGTTCGGAGAGGGAGCCATATCATGTGAGGCGGGTATTGGAAAGCCATGGATGAGGTCGTCCACCTCCCACACCATCATCTCTCCAAATGTCTCTTCATCGCACCGCTCTGGGGCAACGCCGGTTGTGTCGTGTGGGCCTGGCGCCTCGATTTCATCAACGTCGACCTCGCACTCATCGTCGAGCTCTTCCTCCGAACCCGACGCTGATGTTGGAGGAGTGGTGTCATCTTGACTACTTCTTGACGAAGGGCCGGAGGTTGCGGAGGTGGCAGATCCCGAAGACCCTCGTCGGCCATGACCAAGACTTTCCTCCAGAGGTCCAGGAGGGAAGGCAACCTTTGGGCCGGAGGCCACGTCTTCAACAGATTCTGGCAATGGCTGTGAGGAGCTCGCCAGCACAGCTATAGATTCAGTCATCTGAGTAGATGATGAATCTGTAGCCGCCCCCGCCGCCACTTGCTCTACACCTTCCTCCTGCTCGACCTCGTCAGCCGTGTCGTGCAGGGGCTCGCCTCCGAGGGCCGCCAGGCGCTGAAGGAAAACCTCGCGCCGGGTCAAGGGCTCTTGTTCCTCCTCCTCCTCCTCCTCCTCCTCCTCCTCCTCCTCCTCCTC